GTGTCAGGTGTTAAGTAGATAGGAGCAGGGATTAACCAAAGTAACTAATTTCCTGGTGGTTAAAACAGAATTTTGAATCATGAAAGAAAACACTCAGAAAACTGTCAAACTGTTAACGATTTCTATAACTAACAATGGGAATCCGCAGTGTGTGTATATGCTGACTGTATCAACTGTAGAGCTAGCACCATGCAGATTAACTTCCACATGTTTGTACTGCACATTGCTCCAGTTGAGTACAACATACAAGGTTATCTCTAATTTCTAGATCAAATACTGCACACTTAGACATGCCATCTATTGTTTGTGCATTTTTGCATGCAGGGTTTAGCACATTAAAGCAGTTTGGCAATTTATGTTTCCACTCACTTGAACGGACATAATCGGAAATGTGATGCTACAATTTCTCTCATTTCCAATATAGGACCATTTTCAGACTGCAACACAGTCACATAAGCAGTATTATAGGAGAGGAGTATTACTGTACTGAATATCAGCATGGATGTGACTTGGCTATATAACTGCAGCTAAGACATAAACATCTCATCAGTTGTGCAGTATCTTATCTCTTAAGTTGAATCACTGTAACAGTCCCATCTCATTTTTGCTTTTGGAATAAACAAAACAAAATGTTTTCACCCACATCTTTTTAGTTTGAGGGTATTTGACAGCCAAATTAAAGCAGCAAAAACATGCATACATGGTTTTGAGATGATAAATCATACTGACAGATTATGATTTGGTGTTTTGAGAATCTGCGTGCCAAACTGGCTCGGAGTTGTGTTAGCTGTCATATCTGCTTGAAAAAGGTGAATGTTTAAAATGCAGACAGAGTGTAGCGAGATAAGGAACTCTGAGACAAACAGCTCAACAGGCGCTGAATGACCTGTCCTCTAAAAGCTCGACTGCTGTGTTGAAACAATCTCCACCTGCCTGTGAGTGATCCCATGTCATGTTTCCCCACAATGTCACTGTGGCAGGGCTCAGACGAGGACCCCCGTCACCCTGGACTCAAACATCAACCAACAGGGTCTCGCCTTGATCCCTCTCTTCTCTCCTTTTGCTTTAGTAAACACGATAATGGCAGAGCTGTGTTGGTGTGGGCTCCATGTTAACACTGTGGCTGTCAAAGGCCATCATGCCCCTTCAAAGGATGATGGCTCTCTAAAGTGGGCTCTCTCGGCAGCAGCCATTTTCCACTTGACTGGCCCCACACACACCAGGGGGACTGGTAGCCCCTAGCAGCTGGGCTAGACTGGTCACTGGGGGTGGGGAGAAGGAGATGAATGAGCTCGATGTGAGAGGAGGGGGCTAATAGCAAGTAGAGAAGGGCGTCTGCATGGATCAAGAGGTGTGTTTGGTATTTTGTCCCAAAATTCATCCTTCGTCTTACCCTCTAAAATGCTTCCTCTCACTTGGGGGTACCTCAAGGAGTAGTCCTGGGTACCTGGCATTTTTTTCATGTTTATTTAAAAAGTTTCACTCATGCATAATTCCAAGAATAATAACACAGAATCAGTGTGAAAATTAAAAAAGAGCCACATTTATTTTTGAGAATCCAAAACTAATTGTAGTTGTCGTAAAAAGTTACACATTTTCTGCACAATTACATAAAAATAAAGAAGAAAAATGCTTTGACATGCATGAAATAGACTGTTATTTACCTTTTTATAGTTTGCAGCACGATTGGTGATTTTTATATTCTAATTTCTGATTCCAGTATTCACACACAGGCTTAGTATTAAATCATCATCAGATCGTTAAATGATAATTTCCATTTTGCACTTGTAGAGCTTCTCCATCTAAATCACAGACAGAATATGAACATCTTTTTGGTAATCTCGCTCCATCAGCTACAAGAGCAAAACATCATCTCAAAAGGAAAATTATCTGAAGAAATAAAACCCCACTGCTGAATAACTCACTTTTTTACTGCCAAGTTTTACCGAAAGAGTTCCAACACTGACTCTTCCAAGTGAGAGCTGAATATGAACCTGGCTTTTTTAGCAGAAAATCTAACCAAACACAACCCCTTCAATTCAGTAATGAGAAATAAGCAGGCTTGTTGTTGATAATTAGAGTTTGTTTTTTATCTAGGTTATGGCGAGGCATCAGTGCAATACTGAGGTTTTATTTTTAAGCTTCTCTGCCTTCACTCAGATAGGAAAGAGGATGGAGAAAGAAACAGGGACCACAGGTCAGCATCACCATCTCTGAGGAAAACTGGCACCATGGAGGGACACTTTTTGATACTGTTTATCCAAACATCCACGTTTAGTGATGAAAAACTTGTCAATAGTTGCACAAGGCCAGCACACCCTGTGTTTTTCCCTTTTGCAGTTGTTATCTGGGAAATTGGCCACTGATTGCAAGAGCTGCAGTTAAGCATGTATTTTCTTTTTTAAGGCTTTTATTCCAAAAATAGTTTGTGCCTGTCGGTGGGCTGCAGCTAAAATACAAAACATTCTTCCAAAGAGCGTCTTTGTTTTAAAGGTTTGAACTAACTGCTCTCGAATCCTTCAGATGCTGCTGCCTCTGCTTACACGTTTAGGCTGACCTCCTCATTGTTACCATACCTGTGTTTCATCTCCTCTCTCTGGCATTTGCATAAAGCATCATTCTGCACGTCAGCTGAAAGATTTTGCTGCTCGGCAGAAACCTGCCAAATCTGCTGCACTCCCTTGATGAGAAACAGACAGCCAATATCTCATCAGGAGCCGGGAACAAAAGCCCATTGAGATGTTATGATATGAATGATAATTCGGCGAGTGTCTGTTTGCACGGCCGTGTGGGCTTTGTGTCAACACTCCGGGTCCAGCCAGGTCTCACTCGGGACAGGGGGAGCGAGATGCATTTTCATAAATCATTTCTTGACACCACATCAAGGTTATGTGGTTGGCAGTGTGTAGCCCGTAAATTGCCTTTGCATTGACAATGCAAAGAAGCTCCACTGGGATTTAAGGAGTTCAGTAGCTATTTATGGCTGGAAAATTAGGATGACCTTTTCCTGTGATAATGGTGCCTTCCATGTAAAGCAATGAAGCGAAATGCCCTATCATATCCAGGAAATATAAACCATTTTATGTAGAGGCTTGGCGCATATGCACAATCTGCCTTTTGTTACCGCTCGGTGATGCTCTGGCTCTTTACTACTCACAGTGTGGAGGTAATAATTAGCTCACTACAGCAGGGTAACAAGTTAGCACCCCCGTCCTGCTGTGCTGCTCTGTAATTGGTCCCCTCATGTGGCACAGTCGGGCCCCAGAACAAAGGGTTCCCAGAGGGGGAATCCATGCTGACCCATGCTGAACCCTCCACAACAATGACAGGCAGGAAGCATTTACATATGCTGACAGACTTGTCTCTTCCTAGGGTGGAGTGCTAGGCACTTCATTAAAGCAACATCAATACCTGCTGATAGAAAACGAGGAGTGGGCCCGCGTGCATCACTGTCTGCTCCCAGACACTGTAGTGAAATGACATAGGGCTGTCACATCCAATTTCAAATAAATGGACAGCGTTTATTAAATGGAGTGTGTGTGGAAATTGATGGGAGGGATGCTGTCTGAGCTGAGCACGTCTGCGAATCGTCTGCATGCATCAGCAATAGGTTTACCCACAAGCTGTTCACCTGAACATCAGCTGCCAAAATCTGTCGGGCTGCAGGTTCAGCCAAGCAAATTTCCACACTTGCTGAGCATTGTTTTGTTTATTTACGTCAATAAAAAGACACTTCCTTTTGTCTGGCTGCACTTTTACACCGTTTAAGATGTTAACATGCACCTCAGTGAACCTTGTAGTCCCCGCAAAGTCAGACACAGGTGACATTTCTGTCGATTCAGCAGCGGTGCAGGTGGGTCTGTTCAGTCATTGCATCATGATGCTGTGAATTCATCCTCTTATCCAGTTAAGGAAGGGTAAATCCTCCTTCCATTTGACACGCTGCTCATTTAGCTGAGAGGCACAGAGGCTGGAGGGAGGGAGGGAGGCAGTGGGGAGTATTGGAGGGGGGGGCTCTTTGGGAGGTGTCGTCCTGAGCAGATGGACCTCTCTGTAGCGTAGTAAGTGGAGTCTTCGCATGGCGGAGGAGTCTGCAGGATCTCACAGGACTGGGACTCAGCATCCAGGTGGCCACGGCCCCTCCTGACCAGCTGGAGGAGCGGAGGGACCATCTGACACTCACAGGGATATGATACACTTTTTCTTTGCTGCTTTGTTTTGTCCCAACACAAAAGACCCTCAGCCAATCAAGGAATTTAGCTAATGAAGCTTGGAGGCAAATCCTTTTGATTACATATAAATACTCAGGGTCATGTTGACACCAGGAGATCAGGGTTTACGTGCATTCTTCAGGTGAACGCTCCCAGAGACAAAAACAATCAACCTGATGTATTGTTTGAGGTGATTAAAACTGCATCTGAAACTCCATCGCGTCCCTACTGCAGTGATTTCTTTGCAGCTTGCACAACATTGCGATGTAGATTCAACAAATCCAAGTGAGAAAGTCCCATCTGTGCTTCTCCTCCACTGATCCCGAGCCCTGGAGGCTACACAGGGCTAATTGTGGCCCCATTTTCCCTTTCCTTATCTTTTTGTTTTTACTCAGTGCCGGGGTCAGGGAAGCTCCCAAGTGACCAGCGGAAGGAGCAACAGCCATCGGCCCCCGCTGAGCATCAGTAATTAGAGTCCCCCGCTCCCCTCCCCCTTCCTTGAGGCCGGGGAACCTCTCGCTCTCCTCCTGAAGGGCAAAGGTTCAGAGGGGGGGGAACAGCTGCTGATGGGAAACCACTCTGCGGTTCCCATGGATGACCAGCATCCCTGCGTCCTCCTCTGAGGATGTGCGGTAGCATCTCTGATAGGGATGATGGGAGCTTGGATCAGACGTATTATGGGATCATTGTCTGTCTGATTTCTCGTGGCTGCTTATCTTCTGCTCTTGCTTTTTGTTTGTTATCAGCGTTTCTGGGAGCAGTTGGTGATTTATTATTCTGTCAGTGATTTATTGCTGAGAGCATTTTAGTCTGTGTTTCAAAGGTGTTATTGCAAGACTCAAAAAAGCATCACATGATCAGCCCGGCCAGTAAAATACACCACCTCTGTAAAGCCTGAAATGGCCCCTTTTATTAAAAAACGATCTACAGGGTTGTAAAATGGTCAGCTCTCTGGGATAATGGCCTAATATAGGGTCCATCCAGAGGTATAGGAGGTACTTCAATCCTTTCTTTGAGTCAAAGTGGAAAAATACTCCTTTATACGCTCTGCATTCAGGATCAACAAAGTGCTTTCAGCGACATACTTTACACTCTAAGCGTCAGAGGCGAAAGCATCCATGTTTGGACTGATGCATTAAAGGATTGCTTTTCAAGCTAACGCAATTATTTGTCAGAGGAGTTTGAGTGTTTTTGCAGCTTGAGCAGGAGTTATTTCGAACTCTATCAGGTAGTTCTATCCAGGTGTTTCCATGTTTGTGACTTGGCCGCTTCAAAGAGACTGATTGCACTGTGGTATTCCAGCTTCTAACCCTCAACACTCAATCATACAAAACTTTCAGCAGTTTTTTTTTAAAGGTTAAAAATCTACGAAGTGGAATTAATGTTATGTGATAGGAAAGGTGTGTCAAATCTGATATAGGTAACCTTGGAAGAGAGACATGAATATAAAATCACTTGTGGATGAATCTGAAAACAACCTGTTGTGAGTCAAATGCTCATCTTGATTTGGTTGCACAAAAAGATAGTGACAACTTTAGTCAGATATTTTCAACAGATTAAATGTACCTGAAGTCGAGCAGGATAGCATGGGAAGTGTCTTTGATTGGAAAAGTCAAACAAAGTTCTAAAAAACTAATAAATCCTGTCAAAAAAAATAGATTAAATTGAGCTTGAGTTCAACTTTTTAAGCTTTAAAATGAGATGTTTGGATTGTGCATTACACTTTTATTTATGTGCTGTCTATCGTTTGATACTGAATGTGCTGGAGCTGATTGTAAAATACAATAGCTGTCTATATCCTGAGTGTCTCCCTATAACATTCACGGTTATAAAACACATCAGCAGCTTGTTTCTGTGAACTTTTTTTTATATTTACATGTTTAGATTTACAGGAGGAGCTCCTGTAAACCAGATGAATAAACGTCAGTGTTTAATAATCCATTTAGACTCCTTTGTTTTTAGATGTAGACAGCTTTAATGTATTGAATGGGCATGGATTTATGGTCACTAGTTGACTGCAGTGAGAGGTACTGATGTATCAAAGTGTGCTTGCGCCATCTAGTGGCAGAGCAGTTTCATGATTTATCTGTCTGGGGATGGATAAAGGGAACGTGCCTCTGCGTTCAACATCTAATATTCAATAATAACATGGTTTTATTTCATCATGCTGTATTAAATGACACAAATATTTATGTGCAAACGTGGCTTAGAAATCACAGGGAGCAAAAAACGAAACAAAATGCATAAACAATACTTTTTAAACAAAAGGATAGCAGACTCAAGATCCTTCAGATGGACCTTTCAAGAGTTCCTCATTTAAGAAATTCACTCCCATGGTGAGACTTTGAAGAGAACATCGAAAAACTGCTTTACTTCTGCGGACTGAAAGCAGGATCTTTGAGTTAAGTGAGGGTGAGACCAAAAACAGGGAATCAGCTAGCCCCAAAACTGTCCAAAAAAAACAAACTGCATTTACACACCTGAGCTAGCTGACTCATATCCCTTCCTACGTAAAGGTACAGTGTGTAGAAATGGGAGTGTATTGAACTTTTTGAAGAAACTGTCACACTTTTGTCTTCACTTAGTGTCTCCAGCCTCCTCAGGTTAAATATCAGGGACATTTAGTGTTGCATAAGTCTCCAGGTTTAAACAGCTGGTAGACGTTAACCAGCGGGAACATGGTGATCGAGCCGACGAGTGAGCCTATCTGTGCCGCCGCTCCACACCAGACCAGGGCGTTGTGGCTCCGGTCCCTTAGGATGACACCCACCATTACTTTGACATAAGTCAGCGTCCCCGTGAAGAAGAGCCATGAGAGCACCTGCAGAGGGCAAAAGGACACAGTGGACTTAGTAGCTGTTTACCTGAACTATGACCACATGTCAGCTGAGCCTGAATACGACTCAGGGTTTCATGTATTGTTTGCAAAGTGTTACCTCAGCCACCCCCGTAAGATAGGTTACCTCATCTTCAGTTATAAGAGGACGCAGGGTTGCTCAACTCTCAGGTGTTTTGTAAAGGACTCACTGAACTTTGCCAGCAGTGATTCCCTGATAAAGCCACTGAGAATTTTCAATCTTCTATTGCTACACATCTCACGTGTTTGCGCTCACTTACAATAATCGTCTCTCCCAGCACAGACCCCTGAAACAAAGGACAGGGACTCAGAGCCGCCATCGCCATGTTATAGCTGCCAAATCCTGTCCCCAGCATGGTCAGCACTCCAAGAAAGACGAGTGACCTGCAAACAAAAGAGGTTTGTTATCAGCTGCAGTTTCCTCATTTCTAAAATTCCTCTCAGAGATAACTTCTGTTTTTCAAAGGGAAGATTCATTGTCTTCATAAATCCCAGATCACAGTGTCCCAAAGCCATAAACTGAGAGATAGATAAAATATTAAGTCATAAGTTGCATGACTGTATCAGCTCTGGAACAAGTTGGTCTTGGCTTGATTATACATCCTTCTAAGTAACCAATGCTAGTGATAGTGGATGATATCCACAGTAAGTCTACTTTACATTAAAGTACTGAGACTTTATCACTTTGGGTGAGTCCAATCAAGTTTTTAGTTTCAAAATCAAAGTTTTAATGAGATGTTCCCTCTTTTTCTGATTATTCTTCCTGAGCTGCAGCAGAGTTACTAGTTTGTGTAACTCATTATGAGCTTGATCTTTATCCTTTTTATCCATCTTTACAAAAAAAGTGTTTTCTTGAGTATGAATATCTTATTATGAGAAATACCAGCACCTACAGAGTGTGCTGTTAGAAATTGTAGTCTTGGTTTTGAACAGCTTGAACCAAGTGACAAGTCCCATATTCATAAAATACACCTGTATATTTGTAGATTATTATTTTCTAACTTTTAGTAGTAGTCTCTCTTAAATAGGATCACACCCAATTCCCTGAGGTTAGAAGAAAACTGTGTTCCTTAAATGCAACCCTGAAACAGAAATAATGAACAAAAATGCAGCACAAATAAAGCAGAGCAGACATCTGAAATGAAAACTGAAGCATTCATCATTATTTTCTGAGTTCCTGGATAAAATAGGAAGTTCGAGTTTCACTTCAACTTCCTTTTAGTTTGTGGTTCATGGACTTTTTGTGATCAGATTTCAGCTCTGTGGATTTTTCGCCTGTATAAAAGCGGAGCCAATTCCAGGGTCATGCGGGACATAATCAGCATTATTAAGTATCTGTACGGGCAGGTCAAAGATTAAAAGTTGATTACTGGAGCACAGATTGACCCAGTGGTTTGAGCATGTGCCCCATCGACAGAGTGCTCCTTACTCCCTACTTTGTCTCTCTTCTGTAGTCCAACCATTAAAAGCTATAATGTCCAAAAGTGGAGTCAGTGGAGTAGGCACCCCATGAACAGTCCTTGTCAGACTGGTCAGAGGATCAGTTCTTGGTCCAAACATTCATGGTCCCCGTCTTGAAACATTTGATTGTGATGTGATTTGCCAATATTTATGGCCCATGAGATAACGTATTAATTATGCTTACACACGCTATGCAACGCTGAAAGTGTGAAGTAGCAGTCTGAAAATGAGAGTGTGTGTCCCTGAGGTCAAAGCCACATGGCCACATATTAAAAAAGGATTTTTATAACCAGTAGAAGGAGAAATGGATCAAAATTTAAACATATGGAGCATCTAACCTGTTTTGGAGGAACATTGCAACTGTGCAAGCCAGTGGGTTGGCGACTGAGGACAGAGCAGCAGAGAGGTGATAGGCCAGGTTCCCGTAGGGCATACAGGAGAACGTCTGCACAGAGGGCAGCAGGCCGTTGGTTGCAGCGTTGATCCACAACACCAGAACGTAGATGAAGGTCAGCTGGTACACCGAATGTCTGTGGCTGGCCAGCAGAGGCGTGCTCTGGGTTTTCCCCTCGCCCTGGCCTTTCACGTCTTCTGTGTCCTTCTCTAGTCCGGGGTTATCCAGCCCGGAGCTGACAGATGCCACAGTCTCTGGTATGAGGTTTTCTGCGGACAGCTCATATGTCCGAGGAAGCCTGTTCAGTGCGATGAACGCAGCCAGGCTTATGCACATCATGGCGCTTAAAAAGAAGAAAAACACCCTGGGGGAGAAGTTAGGAGGAAGATACTCTGTATGTATCGTCCAAGTCTGGTTTCCTGTAGACTGAGAGGAATTCACACATTTGGCAATACCCACACCTTGTGTCAGAGCGACCACACCAGGAATGAAACCACTCAAACCTTCTCCAATAAATAACGTGGTGATGTATTTTGCTGGAAGCTGCATCATGAAAGGGAGGAACGTAACTGAGGAGGTGCAGTCCACCAGCGAGAGGAAGAAGGTGATGATGAAGAAGGCAGTGCTATGAGGTGCCCCGGCCACTATCGTAGTCTTGTCCCAGAAGAAGGCAAGAAGGATGCAGGCGATGACACCGATGGAGAGGATGAAGTAAATGACGACACGCTCTTTGAGGCGACCGGGGCACAGTTTATGCATGAGCGTGACCAGGAGAGGTCCCAGGTTGGCCAGCTGAATGATGACTGTCAGGTAGGAGGGGAGGTCCCATCCTTCCGGGAGTGTGTTGACGATGAGTGGCAGCTCCACCCACAGACCGTTCACCGCCACCCAAGAGCCCAGGCCGAAGGCACAGGCTAGAATGTGAACCAGCAGAGCCATACTGCAGCCAGATCAGTCTGAAGAGAGTTTGAAGAAGATGAAGCCGTCACCCTGAGCAGTCCAACCTCTGCTGTGTGTCATACCTTGAACAAAAGAAGTCAGGAGCATTAAACCCAGACCTTGAGGGCTTTTGAGAATAAGGTTTGATGAAATACTTGTTGAAAATGTAAAAAGGAGAACATTAGACCCTGAGTTTTTGTTCTGTTGACTCAGGATTCTCCTGTTGCTTGGATCACATGAGTCACACACATTCAGTTACCAACACTGGTGCAGATTAAGTACTTACATCCTTTCTGAAAGTGCCACTTCAATATTCTAAAAATACTCTCTTTAAAGATCTGGTGCTTTTTTGCCTTTAGCAGCTGATTTCAGTAAAATGCTGGTAGATGATACAGACTTAGATTGTCAGTTTTTGTTTTAGTGCATAACTACCTTTTTGCTGTGATATAGCTGTTAGAGGTGGCTGTTATTTAACGAGTGGTCAAACTCCGACAGTGAATTTACAACATAATCTGATGGTTTTATTGTGGTGAAAGAGGACAAATCAAAGAGATAACTATAATTGGATTTCCCTGTAAACGTCTCTGTTTTTGTTAATTATTGAGCAATGTTACCACATCTGGCACTCGAAGTTTTTTTATGATACCATGTGAGAATTTCTAGGTCAGTGTTTCGTCAGAAAAACTACTCATAGGTCACAGTCTTACAACACGTTTTATGCGTAAGTAAAAAAACAAAAGGAAATTGCAAGTTATCCATGAGTTAATGTATCATCATCATCATCATCATCATGACTTATAAGATAAAACTTTTGGTTCCTTTTGGTAATGAAGCACTTTAGATTGATCTGTCATTTCATATCTGTTCATGTGCTGTAACATGACACAGTATGATGTATTATAGTGTATGGTATCATACCATATCATCCAGTATCATAGGGTATTGTTGCTTATCATATCAAGGTCCCAAATTAACAAGTTTTCTTTCACAATTGCATTCTATTTTGTCCCTTTTGGCACACCGTTGTTAAGCCCCCTGAGTCTTTCTTTTTAACAATGTTACTGCAGTTTAGGATGGCACATCTCACTTTGAAAAAAACAACATTCAGCTCAGTTAACAAGTCCAAAGGAATATGCACTTCAAACAACAGAAATACAGTATCACCAAAATGCTTTCTAGTTCGAGCTTCCACCTTTGTGGTCAGTATGCAGGTGCAGCTAGTCAGATTGATGACAGCAGGTAACCACATCACACAAGCTGGCAAAGCGCTATATTGAGTGTCAATCACCACAGAGCTGTGAGTAAAACTAAATCAAAGAGGTTAATTACAGCGCCTGCCAAAGAGATGGCAACTATCTGCAAGTCAGTCAACACTGTGGAAGTCTAAGGTCTAACAGGCGTCCTTGTGTTGGCATGCTGTGTCCTGTCTTCAGGTCATGGTTTTAGACCACACTGGTGCAGTAGTCCTGCTATTATATATTTCCTTTTTTTTTATCATAACTCAAAAAAAGTTTAAAATACATCTGAAATTTAACCACGAGAGCAAATGTCAGCTGAGGCCAGTTAAGCTACTTAGCTATTATCAGCAAACTTTTACTACTTCCCAAGTCTCCATGTAACAAAATGAGACACAAGAAAGTGTTTTTCTTCACCGAGAAGTAGGTGAGAGTTCATTTAAGTTCTCAGTACAAAGTGTTTGAAGCAGCTGATGGAAATTTCACCAACTTTAACACACTAGGGAAACACACAGCCATATGGCTCCTCATGCTCTCTCTCTCTCTCTATCTGTGCCCTCTGGTAGCTTACAACTCAGATCTTATGATAACAAGTCAGGAAGTGACTGCTCTGTATATTCATGTAACGGTGGTTGAAGAAAGGCTTGTTTACTAAAGAGTAATGTGTCTGCAGTCCACACAGTGAGTTAGTTAATAGAAAGACAGTGTTAGAGTGGTTCAGATTCTCATGTGGTAAAGTAAGTGAAAATACATTCACAAACCTCTAACCCCACAAGCAAATAAGCTTCATCACAGACACAGACATGTACTCACAAGTTTCCTCAGTCCTTGCAGGCGTTCAGTCAGACTCGCTGTCATCTTACTTAGAGGTTTGTGACAGACCTCCTTCAGCTGTTCTTATACAGAAGCATTGATGGGAATCACATGGCTCCTGGGTAGGTCAGAGTCCACCCCAGCCGATGATATAGAGCACCTCTGGGTAACAGAGGGCAGTGACTAAATCCACTGAGCTGTCTTTACTGCACCCACCTCTTTATTAGGACAAGTCAGCGATGAACCACCTCAAGGTGGCTCTGACATTTTGGCCCGACTACATTTGCTCACTCCAGCAGTAAACAGAATGTGCTGCAGTTGTTGTTTTGGACTGTTCAGGGCTGCACTGCCCCCTGCTGGCTGCAGGCACCAGCTACAACTTATACAAGGGAGACAGTGTTTACATTAGTGAGAAGAAGTCTGTTACACTGATTAATGTTTCTCAGTAATATGACAACACTGTCCTCATGTAAAAGCTTTAACATCAATACTCTGTTCAGGAAAGAAAAATACAGAGCGAGATATAGACTTCCCAATTGTTACTGACACATAGCAGGGACAGGTCAGGAGGGTAGCAAGCGGTGGCCTCCCCCCAAAACTGTTTGGCCACCCCTCTTACAAATATGTTTTAAAGATATGCTAGTCAGGGATAATGTACCAAGGTTCCTACACAGTTTAAATTTCCATTCTTTTCCATACCCTACTTTCAAGAATTATTTATGGAAATGCCAACTTTTCTATTTTCTAAAACAGTATTTTAGAACTGTGGTAATAGTCTGGAAACATTAATATTTTTCATTTTCCATATTTTTAAGACCTGGAAATTTATCAAATTTGTTTCCATACTTCCCATGCTTGTGTAGGAACCCTGATGTATGGTGAGCAGGTGATTCTGTGAAGTAAGGCGGACTCTGATGGGAAGTACAGGTTTGTGCTGGTTGTCACCTCAGACTGGATGATTAGAAGCCCAATGTTGTTGAAGTAGAGAAACTATTTGACCATTACCATTTAGGATTAAGGCAATCATTCGGCTGTTACCCTACACAACAATTCAGTCACATTCTCGCTAATAAATTAATAATCGCTCAGACGTAGGATACACTTAAAATTACGTAGTGGTACAGTTTCGTTGTACAATGGGAAAGATTTAAATGTCTGAACCAGCAGTAAGCTTTAAAAAAACAGACAAGCTGTTGCCTAACATAAGCTAGCTGTTGACTAAACATGCTGCTTTACTTTAAGCCCAAATATGCCTCTGGATTTTCACTCAGAGCTGTCTATTGAGTTGTTAAGCATTTGGTAGATAATGTAAAGAAAAACAGCTGTCATATGTACTAAAGGTATGCTTGTAAGAAACCCCTCAACACTATTTCAACATCCCTTTATAAGCTTTATCTCTGTACAAACATGGTCAGTTCTTCACCTTTATATGTGCACTATCTAATGGTCTTTACACTGTCGAAGTCAGGCAGGTTTAAATGTGCTGTTGTCCCAACATTATTCTCATACCTCGCACTCACTCATTGGCTCTTACCATGAACTTTGCTCAAGGCTTAGAGGCTTCAGAATAAACGTTTGCCCTCTGCTGTATTTGTTCTTACACTACTGACTGGTTTTCATGTACAGAGACCAACAGCTACAGCATTATTCAAAGCAGCGTGATGAAAAAATACATCTCCAGAGAGTTCATAGATCTTGTGTGGAAAACATATCTAAACCTTATTAAGAAATTCCTCTCCTTGGTAAACTCTTAAACCTTTTTCAGTCTCCATAGTGGCCAGACAAGCCTCTTTGTAATGTTTGTAAGGCTATTTTATTGTCTTTCTGCTGAGTTAGGTAAACATAAACTGTCTCTAGCTTTATTATTTGTTTTTAAGTTTAGGAGAGAGCCACTTAATTTCCTGTCAGAACTTCCTGTTGACCTATTCAGTCATTAAAAAGATGTCTCTGCAGAGATGCTCCAAACAGACTTTTACCAACCCATCAGCGTTAATAAGTAGTGCTCTACAACACAAGTGAATGAATTTAAATTTATGAAGAAGCAGAAAAAGTCAAATTGTCACATAGAATAGCAAACGACAGATTTACAAGTCAGATAACTGCTTACACAGGACCAAAAGAGGTAGCTGATTTCACGTCTATATTCAAGCACGGTTTGTCTGGGACTTCTACAGACCTTCAGTAGATTTGCAGTCTATGCTACGATGCATGTTCAGATCTGATACAAAGAGGTTGGGATACAGGGTATAATGTTCACTTTGGACAACTTGTACACAGAAGAGAAAAAGAGCCATACGCGACTGAGGTGATCACTCCCTGGCAAGTTTATAAGCAGCAATAAAGCATCTACTGGGACTGCTTAGAGAGAAAGGATTCAGTGTGAGCCCATGTCACAAACTGTTTCATCAGAGATCCGGCCACAACACATACTAGGAATAAGTTAAATGTGTTCCTTGTACATGACTTCATAATGTACACCTTGAAGTATGAGGAGTATCCTTTTATCCAACGACAATTTCACGTTTGGGCAACAATTTCTCAAGGTGGCCATTTTCAATGTTATAAAAAGGCAACACACAAAGAGGTACACTCAATAAGATTATTTATGTTATTGTACAATCTGCATTTTTAACAAATAATAATAATAATAAAAAAAGATTAGTAACATGTACAGTATTCGAATGATCAGGTCTGGAGTGGACCGAGGACTCCGCCTGCCTCGTCTCATCAAGTCCACCCAGAGCTCCAGTGATGGGAGGGGGGAGGGGGCCAGTGCCTGGAATGACTCTCATGAATGCTCAATAAGTGTGTTTTCAGATAACTGTGTGTATGTGCATACCTGTGTGTGTCTGCATGTATCTGTTAATGTATACTCAGTCGTCTTCTCTTGTGTGTGTGTGTGTCTGCTCAGCCAAGGTGTCTGCAGGAGGTGGAATGTCACATGGCTCAGGATGGGGATAGAGGGGGAAACAGAGGAGTTTGGGGGGCAGAAGGGAGGGAAGGAGAGAGAGAGAGAGAGAAAAAGATGGAGTCAAAAGTAGCAGGGGCTCAGTTGGAGTAGATCTGGCCCTCAGGTGGCTGAGGCAGCTTCATGTTTTCCTTGCAGGTCATGAGCCGTCGCAGCTCCAGCAGCACCATCTGGATACTGTAGGAGTTCTGCCACTTGGCCAGTGCAGTCACCGCATGCATGTCAACCTGTATCACACAGATGGACATGAAGTTAAGACATGGACAAAGTACTAGTCTAGGTAGGACGCTGTTGGGCTTCAATATACAATTACTCTTAATATTGAATGTTTACGACAGTAAATGGCGTCCTCTCTTATATTAAAGCCATGATTTTAGGATCTAAGGTATTTAAATCGACACACTGCTGATAGCTTAAGCATCCAAACCGCATTTAACAAGCTGTGATAATAACAAGGGGTTTGTAAGTGTTACATACCACACCGTTAGAGGTGTGAACGCCATTCAAGTTTATCTTCGTCACGAATTTGACAAACGGAGGTGAATCTGGGTATTCTGGCCCACATTCAACCTTCAGATTGTACATCCTGTTTTCATAGCTTGTCTGTAGACAGAGAGAGGCGGGAGGGGTTTAGTGGTTTGCACACAAACATCAACATTAGACAGCGTTTGCAGGATTCAACATGAAATCATAGGGAGGAAATAACTCATACATATGTCTGCTAACATAAAAATACGAACTAGGTTCAAGAGGTACTGGGATTTCTATTCTTGTTATACAGACGCATTCGATCTGCAACACATTTAGAGAGTGTTCAAGAAATAACAGAGGTCACTTCCTACATTAAACTGAAAGGATCATCTCTACTCTTTCAGGAACTGTGTAATCTGATATACAACCTGTTGCTTCCTGTAGCTTTATGATTCTACCTTAATTTCACAATCAGAACTTAGTCTCTACATCTGCCAGTTGACTGTCTTGACTTAGGGAGGGTCTTCATCAACAGCAGTGTTAAACTGGTGCCTGAACATGACCCTCTTTGGACCTCTTGACTACCTACATGTTGTTTTTTTCTGGTTGATTCAGTGTATTGTTGAGTTAAGCGCGGGCATCACTCACTCTCGGAGGGCCGAGGATCACTCCTCTCCATCGTGTTAAGGTCATGTCCTCGTCATCCTCTAGACCCCAGCTTACTGTTCCATCCCCTACACCTTTCTGGCCTTCCTCCAGCTCTTCCAGGAGCCGGAAATTGCGAGGAACTGTAACGCCTGTTGGTGGACAGACACAAATCAAAGCCAGTCTGTAAAGCCAACACATGCACCCCTTGCAAGATTGGTATGTGGTCCTCCCAGATCCTGATCAATTTATGTTTGACAGATAACAAAACTCAATTTGCAGGAACTCCTGCAAGAGCAATGACTTGCAGAAATTTCACGTCATGGTATGACTCACCCAGGAACACAGTTTAATAGGAAATGAGGACTGCCTTCGTTGACTTGAATTTGATGTCCGATCAGTGATGAATCAATGCTATTGACATCCTCTATTTTAGCATCTGGCTTGGATAATAGTGCATCCCTTGGCCTCTGCAGTGAGATATGATGGTGCAGTACTGCTAACTGATCCATCCAAACTACAACAAGAACACGACCAAGCTGGTGCTTCTGCAGTTCAGCTCATGTCACCTACATCTGAAGATCCAGACCTCAACATGGATCATGTTTACATGACTGACTGGAGGTCTGAGAAGACGATCGTCATTGTTGATGTTCCTCCGGCTGAAATTACTGGAGCACAAAGGCTGATTATTTATGCATCAACAGATTCAATTAACGTCTGATGCTTGAGCTCAGGTTGTGGCATATGTTTACACGGATGGTGCAAATACATGTCTGAGATGGGCTGAAACTCCACATGTACAGTTGGATGATGATGGTGATACAGTGTCATGGTTACCGAACTATAACCGTGCTAAATGACGTTACTAAACGAAAACAATGACATCCACAAACTATAAAGGAAGATGAGAGATAGAGGATGATTCCTGTGATATAACGGATCCTGAAATCCCGTTATAAGCAGTTAGGCTGCACCTCGGTGATCTAACTTCACTTACGCTAGCTTAGCCGTTGGTAACGCTCCCTATTCATTCTCCTCACAGATTCGAGCTTCACGCTTCTGTCTCTCTATTTATCGGGCGCGTGGAAAAACAACGTAATAGCTCGACATCAAAATTGTGTGATTAATATAAAGATAACCCATTCCCCAACGGCAGCTTAACATTGTGATTTATTTCTCTTACATTTACCTGATCCGGCGGCGACCGCCATCTTGTCGCTACACAGCGGGAACGCGCACGTAGTCCTCCCATTGTAGCCAACGGTGCGTGCGCGAGAAGTAGACGTTGAGCTTCACTTCCTTTGTTGCTGTTTGTTTCTTGCCTGTCAGTTAACGGTACTAAAAGCTGAAACTGTCAGGGGATTTTAAAACCTGAAGTGAAAGAAACTGAATGCTTAACAATGACAGAAAGGAGGGAAGTGTTAAAAACATGGGCCGATATTAACTTTAATAACTTTTAAAAACTAATTGGGTGTGTTGTGTTTGAAAGAATGTACATACTTGACTCAGGCCTTTTCATATATACTGATTTGTAGTATTATTTTAAAATCTTTTAAACTTACTTAATAAATATTGCCTTATTCTACACTTATTTAGGACACAAATCCTTGGAAAGCACTCTCTGAAGCCCCAAAATACTCTTATATCATATCATCCTGCCAAATCAAGAGGAAAGTCATAATAAAAAGGATATTCAAAAATCCAAAAAGAAAAATCAGAGGACACAGAGTAATTATCAACAGTTTATTTAGTTCATTTATAAATACAGTTTAATATGTACATTGTACGTCTCCGAAATTGAAGACAACAAAAAGGCATCAAGGCATTATTCTGATATCTAAAACTCCATCACCACCAGCTTACTTAACCAACTACAACATCCATATGGGTCTTACCTCAGAGGCAAGTGAAGGTCAATTTAAAGTCAGTCAATAAATTTTTTTTGTTGTTGTTTTTTTTCCCATATCGCTGGTAAGATTTACAGAAAATCGTTCACGGGAGAGAGGATAAGGCAATTCAATTCATAAATCCAAGGATGATTCAAAAGTATTTTCAACACAGCATGTTAAACAAACTGACGACAACTGCCCACGCCACTTACCCACAAGTTCACTTGCTTTCACAAACAACACACTGTCACGAAATACCCTTCAAATCCATTTATGAAAGCCAATTGTAGCTAGGCTGAAAAACAAACAGCTTAATCACAAATCTACTCAGATGAGAAGAGGCAGAGTTTACTAGACTGATATATCATAGAATTTTGACTACATTAAAAATCATTCGGCTAAATCTGATGAAAATCAAAGACTTTGACAATTTATTCCGATAAATAACGGTCTTAGCTTATCTAATGGAGGGTTCATCTTTAAAAAATCAGTTATAGTACGTGAACTATTCTGACCGCAATCCTGAGATCATTCGAAAAAGAGTAAAGAAAAGTGGATTTATGTCAGACCTGTCCTCACAGCCAGACTCCAACTAGAAACCATAAACAACCATTATTGCAAGTCCTTCTAAAAGAGAGGACTACTATTGTGTGGGCTCCTTATAAATACCCAAATATTTTTTTTAGGTTTTCAGTTTTTTTCAGTATCCAAACTAATTATCTCATACCATGTCTAGTATTTCTAACTCTTATTCTTAACTATTGTCCTATTTTGATGTGCCGAAAACATAATTAAACTGTGTTTAAATATCATTACAGTTATCATGAAGAAAAAAGCTATTTGCTGAAGCACTTAAAGTCAAATTTCAGATCTAAAAAGAAGTTGTCAGTTAAAGTTCAGGTGTGTCTATAGATTGCAGTTAGCAGTTCCCAAACAGTAAGTTGCCTAATACTGATGAAAAAATCTACAGCAGCAGGCCTTAAACTTAACACAGTCACACATAACTGCATTAATTCACCAGCTTGTATTGCACGACCTAAAGCACACTTAACTGTTCCTCACATTACTCTACGAACAAGCACTATGCAATCTGCTGTGTTCTACTGCTGCTGACCTATGGTGATTCATTGTGTATATCAAGTATGAAGGATTCAAAAACTGGAATACATACACAAAACAAAATTTAAAAAAAATTTGGCTTCAAAATTAACTATTACTAGAATTAAATTGTTCGCTTTGAATTTAACGCCAGAAGCTCGATAACCTGGCCTTTTTACCTGGTTGACCCCGGCTGAACACAAAAGTCACCTCCAGTAGATGAAATCTAAACACATAAGCCAGAATTTCTTCTGAATGGAGACAACATTTTCAGAGTTCAAGCCTAGATCCATTTGGTCAAAGTTTAGGGTCATCTTTTAAAAGCAATCAAAAGGAAAGCTGGTGACCCTGTAAATTTCTTTGCACGAGCTGACATGCGCTATGCATGCATGCATTCTTAGGTCTGTGTGAGTGACATCTTAATTAGTCAAATAAAATTGTCATGCAGTTCGTTAAGTAGCGAAATTTGAACTCCAGTTGTCCACCTTATAGAATACGTGTAAACAATTAGAAAAAGAAAGGCATTTCAAACTAATCCAATGACTTAAGACGTAGAGTTAAGGGCCTCTCAATTACACTGCATAGTTATCAGCTGTACAATACATTTACAAATTACAAACAAAAATCTTTCAACCAACCGATTCAACTCTTAAATCTCATCTGTTCCTGGGTTGTTAGACCACACAAAGCCCTTGTAACATCACCAAGTTTTGCCAAGACGGTACACGGTGGCAACATTACACAAGGGATATGTCACACTCTAAAATGGACAGATTCTTCCTACAGTACAAAAGAAAAGCAGGTGAGGAGTGTAGACAATGATACAAACAGTTGGCACAACTTTGGAATATCTGTGTCTGATTGACTGACACACAAAACCGTCAGAAGACAGAAACGAAACGTCGCAAAAACACAAAGAAGTGCTGCAAAAGAAACAGAGACACGAGTACTGCATCTGTGGTGTGTAAGGCAGCCTGACTAAAATAAATATGCCTCGTTTTTGCTAAACTGTCTGTCAAATAAAGAAATCCAAACAAATGCTTTTCACAGAGGACACGTAATGATCATGTGAAAAGAAAGCTCAGCAGGGCCAGATTGACTCAGCCAATCAACAGCACCGTTACAATATATATGCCCAGATTTTTAGCAGCACAGACTTCAGTGACACACTTCTCAATGTGATTTTTCCCTCAAATTACAAAGCCTGGTAATAACTCTATTTCTGTGTCTGTGTTATCATCAAAGATAAAAAACAAAAAGCTCATTTCAGAAAATAACCTCCAATCAAACGGCTGGATTTTGATCATTTTTGTGTGGACTCTTGCACTGTAACTGCAGTCGCTGTCTCTGCTCGACATGACTTAATTATTAGATATGGCTCTGTCTTAATGAAGTAAATTCGAAATAAAGATGGCTATGGTATTAACGGAAAACAAGCTTTTAACATATCTTGACATCATCTCCCACTCAAACAGTCCCAAATGTGCAAGAATCAAAGTGTAACAGTTATTGACAAATTTGTTCCTTTGCTATCAACATTGGTAAAACATCCAGACATCCCACATCACCTCAGCACTAACACTTACAGTGGCCTACATCCACTTTTACGACTCGAGACACCAATTTGAAAAAGTGGAGATGTAAAGACTGATCCAGAGAGCAAAAAGAAGTGCTAAAAATAACGTGATTTATCAACTCCAAAAGGAACAGCTGTGTCTCTGGAGGAGCGAAAAGTGAGCGATCACTCTTTCAAGTAGACTTTCTTGGGGATTGTTTGACATTTTTTGACAACAGGGAATCTTTAATCTCTTCGGGAAGAAATTTCAAACCATGTTTCTGACCAAACCGTTTGAGCTGAAGCCTCTAGAAGTCACGGCAAAAAAACTTGATAAGTTGTGTTTGACATTTACAAAGAGTTAAGTAGATATTGCGTTTTGAAATGATCTTTGTGAGTGAGTAATGAAAAAATCCACAAACAGAGCCCTCCTCTTGTAAAAACAGACAAAATGTGCAAGACTTAAAGCTATGGCATCAGAAACTGCTTGTTAGTTTTTTTTTGTCCAATGGATTAAAGTTTAAGTGAGGCAAAGAAGGGGATGAGAAGCCTGGACGATGCCAGCGTCTTCTGAGGTAGGGTGCAGCGAGCCTGCAGCATTACTTGACTTTCTGAGCCCACTTCAGGTCGTCTGATCTGGGCTTCTCCCCGGTCACTCCTTGGATCAGGTCCTCCAGGTTCCTCCAGAAACCCAGCTTCTCCAAAGGGTAGTTCAGCCATCCTGTAGAGAAAAGGCTCGGTGACAAATCTGACTGACCTCATCGTAAAAACTGCGAGATTACAGCTAAATCCCAGTTTGTCCTCTTTCCTCCACCCCTAGCTTTGGACTGGGTGGGATCCTTTCAATTGAAAATGGGACAAAACTTGCCCTATTTTTCCAGCATTTTAATGCGAGACACTGAAATATCTGCGCTGTCACTCAGGACATGTCTTTGAAGTATATTTCCTTTATCATTGTGAACAGCTTTTCTTACACTAACAACCAAATTATAGTCTTTGGAATCAACATTCAACTAAATTTACTAGAAATTAAACTTTCAGTATTTGTAACACTTTATACAGTGGGCAAACAAACTTGTTTGGACTCTGGTTAAAATTTCTATGAACATTTTTGCTCCTCCTTCTTGGTGCAAACAATGAAGTCTGGATTTGTTAAAAGGCGCTGAGGATAATCAAGTCAGGACTGTGGATTTATCAACCAGTGCCTGTTTATGCTCACTGCTAATCCAACTTGTGATGGATTTTTTTCTGTTTGTTCCTTCAAGTACAATTTTTAAATGTTTCTGTAGCCAGAACTCGCCAAATATATACCAGTGTTGCTGGTAAAACAAAGCAGCATTTGAAAAACAAAAATGGATATATCCAAACAAGTTGAAGGGCTTCTATCCTTGCATTAGTTTCTATTTTTCATGTAATGTTTGCCAGGCTAAATTTGCAGGGCATTTTCTTCAACTGCTATGTTCAAAGTGTGCATCTCATGAAACTGTCCGAAGGCCGGATGACCAATAACCCCTCCATCCCAAAATAAACCAACTGAGTAGTAGGGTGAAGTGGTAGGGTCAAGAGGGAAAAATTGGGATTTGGCTTAAACATCACAAACACAGGGATTTTTGTCTGTAATCCTCTGGAGGAAATAAAAGCAAACCTGTCGTGATGCAGAAGTACGTCTCATGAGGAGAGACGTGGTGGACGCGGTGATGCTTGCGAGGGAGGATGATATGACAGTCCTGCAGGAACGTCACCCAGCGAGGCAGGCCAAAATATGTGTGAGACCACTTGTGAATCTGGTTGGTGAGCGTCACAAAGATGGCTAGTGCAAACAAGTAGCAGTACCAAGGGTAGATATGATAAATCTCCGCTGCAAAAAAGGAGACATAAACAATCAGTATTCATTGTTACTTTGAAGGAAGAGCCTGGATAATGATGAAGAGGAAAATGTCAGGCTCGGTTTGTCGATACAAAACTCACCAGGGGAGAGGGTGAGGAAGTTGAAGGCCATGTTTGCTAGAGGGACTATGGTCAGCATGCAGTTGTCACCATTGGTCTCAATGAAATCGTGACGGGTGATGGCTGTGGGGTCGATGTGGTGCTCTCTAAATGGTCGTATAAAAGCCTGCAGGAAGGATCAGATCGTTGGAATAGGGTGAAAAAAAACAAGGAAGGAAGCAGGCTGCAAACACAAGGAAATGTTACAGATTATTTAGAGTGCAAACAAGGGATTACTGTTGAGGGGAAAGATCAAAATAACTGCTGCATGTGTTGTGTTACCCTTCCGAAGATGGGCAGATCTACTGATCCCCACGTATCCGCCCCCCAGTGCACGAGTCCAGATGCAAAGTCTGCGGTCAGTATTCCTGCCACTGAGAAAGAGAGCAGCACAGAAAAATGATGAGGAAACAAGCAACTTTTGTTTGGACTGCAGCTCAGAAAAACAACAGAACTGATGACAATACATCATCAGAACATTATATAACCCCTCTGTCAGTTCTCACCAATGCTCAACAGGATGTACCACAAATGTCCCAGATGGAAATTGGCAAGGAGGTGAATGAAATTGAAGGCCATGAGAGAGAAGCAGAGGATAACGCTTATCCATTCTTGACATCTTTTGCCTTAAAACAAAACGAAAAAAGCACTGATATTAGTATGATTGCACATACGCACAGAATATGGAACATTTTTGTTAAGATTATCAGCTGTAAATATGAACCTAGGCATCAGACAACGAAAACCAAAATGAGCAAAGTTCACTAAACTGGTCAGCGTAATTATTATCAGATGACTGTGACACTCAGCAAGACAACATTCCTCTGCGCCCTGCTTGTTACATGACTGAAGAGAGCAGCAGGGCTTGAAATACCTGTCTACGTATTACAACTAAAAGCATACAACTACAAATTTTCAGCTGGAAAACTCTCTGGCATGCAAATACTGATCACCAAAGAGTCAACGCTGTCACAGCAAGCTCCTCCATGAAAGGCATCAAGTATTTGTACAAGGGGTGTATTTGTACGAGCCTAAATCACCTGAATGAGTGTTGGGAGTACTTGCCAAAATTTCCGCAAAACTACCTGCACCATTAGTTTCTTGTTTTACGTGCTTCCTCTCAGTAGCAGAGAGCTCGGGCTGACTTAGCAACAGCCCTGTTATGAAAGGTCACAGCAGCTCTACAGCCAAATGAGGCTTCTGAGCCTAAAGCAGAAGCAGTGGGTTCTTCTAACCTCTCTCTGATGCTCGAAATGTCAAAGGACGGCGGCGACTCCAACACCAATTCACCCAATCTCACATGATCCCCATTGTGCAACAACAAAAGTGTGACTGTGGTGCACACTGAACTGTCGCTGATTGTTCTGTGTCATGAAATAGGAGCATTTCGAGGTAAACTCACGTCTCTCTTTGTGATTTAAGGAGTTTTCCCTTCAGTTTGTTACTTGGTAACTACGGTATGAAACCCTGTCGTTATGTCACGCCACTCGTGGGTACTTGAACCGGGTGAACAATCCCATAAGACGGAGCTATTAAGAGTGTCGACTCACCTGGTGAGTACAAATTGGCCAGTTCTCGGGCACCGGCGTGTTGTGGACCCCATCTAGCCGCACCCCGACCCGGTCCCTGCGGCTCTGGACTCTGTGTTTCCCCTCCACAGCCGTTCTGGTTCACCATTCTCGCCATTTCTCCACTGTGGGCCCAACCCCTTCAATCTCTCTACTCGCAGTCAGGAACCAACGGAATCATCAACTTCTCAGCCCACAGCCATCGTAGCGTTTTCAACCAATCACGAGCGAGCCGATGAACGGGGTAGCCAATCAGCGGAGGAGGAAATGTTCCACAGACAGGCGAGTGTCCAATGAGAGTTGCGGATATAGAAGACCGCATTTCCTGACCCCACCCGTCCTGTATTGTGGCCGCGGTGCTCTCAGCCCTCTGCCGGATGAACAGCAGATGGAGCTCTGTGGACGGTATGTGACATGAAGCACATTCAAAACTGGAGCAGGTGTTACGACGGTATCTGTCACGGGTCGGATTTGATATGCTACGGCTAAAAGAGGACCTGAAAAGTTGACGACTAGACGGTAGGTTGTGTGACAACAGCAAGTTACTGTTACCAACGTTACAATTGGGCCCAATCCGTAACATTATCACATTTTTTTCAAATATAAAACATAAAATAAGATCTTCTCCCCCATTAGACAAATTAATGGTGTTATAAAACCCCATATTTTATACCAAAGTTACTCAAATGAAGATAGAGATCTAACAGATCTGAGTAAAATTTCTTCTCCACCTGTTGCTGAGTTTCTGCTGAAGCCAAGTTTAGCACAACTGCTGTGTCTAATGTTGTTATATGTTGAACAAAAACTCTTGCCTTTCCTCCTGATAGGGGAGAGTGGGGTAAGATGAGCCATTTTTCATATTTCGGATCACTATATCAAGGCAATCATATTTTTGTCTCAGGGACGCTCAGCCAGGGCTGCAGCCATGTGCCATGTCTTTTCAAGCTTATTTCTGGGGGAGTCGTTGACAACAGCAACAATGAAAGGATTGGACTTTTTATGAAACATGCAGAGAGATTTCCCAAACTGGCAAACCTGGCACAGCAGTGTATCTGCATACTAGTAAAATTCCTGCTACAGGGCTGACTGTGACTTGGTTGTACTTCTGACACCCTGGCTATGTGGACATGCTTATTTGTTTCTCAAGAAGAACATGCAGCCACAAAACCAGACACTGAATCTGAAATATTCCTCTGTTCACCCTCTTTCAGTTTCACTCCGTGTCCACATATTGTTTTCATGATCCTGTTCAGCATGACAAACTATTTTTACCCCTCCATATGTGCTGTACTTGTGCAACACTGTACATTACACAAATTATTTGTTTGACACTATGTGGTCAGGTGTAAAACACATTTGGAATTGTTTTTGTTGTAAGAAATTAACATTTTTCAACAAGTAATTGATAGTTGATGTTACCAAAGATCAATTGCTCTAATTCCTTCGATGTTTTCCCACATCTTGTCCCCCTTTGTGGACAGCTATTAACTACCTATCTAAATTGTAGTGCTCCACAACTCAATCAAGAGTACCTCTAAAGCTCCTGTGGGGAGTTTTTAGATGTACACGAAATAGACTGAAATTCATATTGATGCCTTTTCATGGTACACATACACAAAGACGACCATCAGCAACAAGACTTGTGATTTTTATAGTTATTTGTAATACCAAAAGTAGTGCAAGGGGGTAGGTGTCTGGTCTGTTTTGACAATTTACACATAAAATATTTACAAGAAATGATCCACTTGGCTGTCAAAAGTCAGCAAGATGAGATGTAGAGGTCTAGAGTGCTTTGTCCAAAGAGGCACAAACTGAAAGTTCCTCACAGGAGCTTTAAAAATACCCCACATGTCGGCAAAGTGATGTTTTTGTCACATTGTCAACAGGAAGAGGTGAAACCACAACACTACACTAGATGAGCTCTGACGTCTTTATGTAGATCAATTTGAAGTATGTGTGAGAGTCACCTTTGCAAATAAGGATCAATAACTCTTATGTGCTTCTCTCTCTTGATCTCTCCACAGACATGTCCCAAAGCTGACACACTGTCTGCATTTGAAACATGGAGGCGGCAAGACCCATGGATACACAACAGCCTGTGAGTCAGTGAAATGTTATTCACTGTGTTTTCCGTGTCTGTAGGGTCAACATTTTGGCTTGGTAACAGCAGACAGTGGTTACCAAAAAAAAAACATCAAAAAGAAACTGAAAGGTTCTTGCATGTGCTGGAAAAGCATTTGCTATTTACGGGTGGAACAAAAAAAATGGACAATTCCAGGAATAGAGAGAGATGTTTTAAGTACGTGCCTCAACACATTACAAGTGCTTCTGGCTGCACTCCAGTCCAAATGTTTATAGGGAAATACATAAAGTTCTGGCTCAGACACCGCTCTTGTCATGTTGTTTTGTTTTGCACTACTGCAGCTCAACACACGATGGCAGTAAGACCTCAGCTGTGATTCCAACTCTGCTTTGAGTGACGGAATAAAGTGTGTTGCACAAGAGCTGAGAGTCCAGTGATGATCAACCTGGGTGCAGTTATGCTCTGTAGATCTTTACTGGACATGAACTAGGTTTGTGATGCTAGGACATGTTTGATGCCTGAACTGTGTGCAGTTTTCACTTTAGAGCCATTTAGAGTTTAACAACCACAGTGCTTCAGTCTTTCAGTATTGCAAAGGATACTCCTCACATGCATTAAATAAAGTTTAGATTAGTCTGAGGATGTTGTTGGAAACACTTGTCCTGAAATGGTTCTGGCATAAACTTTTAAAGTGGAAGATACTGTCAGAGGAGTATTTTTCCATTACTGTAGGGGTTAAAATTGTGTCTGTAGAGGGCGTAAATGGACGTGCTGCTGTCATCAGAGTTGAAATCATTCACTGCATTATTTTAATACAGTTTTTATTTAACTCTGGTGTAGAGTTAGCTTTAATTTTCTCCACTTCTGTTTGTTCCCCAAGTTTTCTATAAAAAAATAATTATTAAGATTAAATTTTCCTGTTTTTATCACTGCAACCTAAAGTCTACACCACAACTGTCTTGTCCCTTTTCTAAATTGTTATTATGTTCAGACGGAAACACTTTAATGCGGGCAAGGTCTTTGAAAAGTAGCACAGGTTGTCCATTTGGCCCCTCGCTGCGCGTCACACACCTGAGCCCCGCCCCCCGCCGTTAATATAACCCCTCGAGACAGGAAGATGTGTCAATTCCTCCCGATCCATGCTCCCTACCTCCTCTCAGTAGTGTCTCTGCGCGCTGTCAAACACAGGCGGTGACACACGGGGGGTTTAAACTCACAGCTCGACACTTCAGACGCTCATTGAAGAAACTGAAAGAAGGTGAAAACAACTTAGGGCGTCTCATCCCAGCCCTCCATGCTCCTGCAATCCGGCGGGTGTTAAGATCCATGGAAGTGGCCGGCTTCTACGACGAGGGCAGCTTTGCTTTCCACAATAAAGACAGTATTATCAGTCCCATCAGCGGCGGCTCTTACTGGAGGCTCGGAGACTCGATGACGGAGCTGGGCATTGAGGAGCGCGAGAGAGCGATAGACTTCAGTGTTTACCTGGACTCCGCTTTGCACTGTCCGCAGCAGCAGCAGCAGCAACAGGGGGACATTTACTCAGATTTCCTGGCGGAGAACAAAATCAAGAGAGTTGCAGCCCTGCAGAACTACAAGAACTACTCCCTGTTGAGCGAGCTGGAGACGAGTCAGTGCGACAACCTGAGGGACCCCAGGGAGCCCTACGCGCTGGGTTACACTGAGCTGCAGGAGACCCGCGAGGATAGTGTGCTCAGCCCTGAACTCAGCCGATACAGAGCTGCTGCTGCTGCTGCTGCTGCTGCCGAGAGAGACGACAGCCAAGAAGACTTAAAGATGGAGAACGGGTCGTCTGGGTATGACATGAGGTCTTACCTTCACTATCAGTCCACCAGCGGCAGTCTTGGAAACATCTCCACTGCGTCCTCGACCTGCTCCAGCCCGCCCGGCACACCTGCCCCGTCAGGTAAAAGCAGGTCACCCTCGCACAGCGGCAGCAAAATGTCCAGCGGGAAGGCGAAGAAACGCCTGGACAAGGACAGTGAAGAGTACAGGGTGAGGAGGGAGAGGAACAACCTCGCCGTGAGGAAGAGCAGAGACAAAGCCAAAATGCGCAACTTGGAGACTCAACATAAAGTACTGGAACTGGCTGCGGAGAACGATCGTTTACAAAAGCGCGTGGAGCAGCTGTCCAGAGAGCTCGCCACCCTGCGAAACCTGCTCTCTGCCACCGGACAGTGTTAGAGACCTCCTGCTGAGGTAGGCTCCACGCGGAGCTCCGGGGCCAGCTTGTCTAATCATTGATGGACTTTAGAGCCAGAGGTGATCCACCGAGCAACGGTACGCTTCCCAGGTGAAGACCACCAGTTTACAAGGACACTTTGAATGGGGGGACTGAAGGAGCGGGTGCATGGATTGCGCAATCATTCACGATTCTTCACATGTCACCTCAGCTTTTATTCTCAGATGTAATTTTTTTGTGTATGCAGTATTTCTGTGCAGGTTTTACATACATGCGAGTGAATTTCTACATTTTTGTGTATCTGGAGCAGGGGTTGTCAAGGGAAGAGTTGTGCTGCAGTGAAATGATGCAACTCTTTGTAATAGTATTGGCAATGAATGAAATAAGTCTAATTATTTAATATTAAAACGGGAAATGCTTTAATTGTACTTGATATTTTATTGAATTAAACAGATTTATACTTTGTCTAAACAATTTCATCTGTAATTTCTTTATTTTTTGTGTTATTTGAGCAAGTGTATGCTCAGACAAGACAGACAGGGGTGTGTTATTCTCGCCTTTAATATTCCCAGGCATGATAGTCAGAATGTGTGTGACAGTTCATGTTAAATTCAACATTTTGCAGATGAGGATTGGCTCAGGAACGAGGAAATATGTTTAATCTAATGTGCAAAATTTGGTTCAGACATTGACGCACCGTAGATGTATGTTCCCTGTTTTAGAGCTTGGATTTTTCTATCAAACCGCCACAGTGAACCTGCAGACATTTTATGAACGCCTCAGATGTCAAATTATAAATGCATCATCATTTAAGATTTTTACAAAGCAGAAAAAACATTCGTGGCGTTTGTAGACAAAAGAAACCTCCTCAGTTTGGAGTGTGGAAAAAGAGGGGTTATGTGAAACTGGGTTTTTCTGTTGCTGCAGAAATGTAGAAGAGGGGTTGTGTTTTTAAAAAATTTCCTCCAAAATAAAAGCAAACAACAGCCTCTCTACACAAGTAATGTCTAAATCTTTAATGCTATTTGGATTCTTCTGTTTACTCGTCGATTTGACACCAAAGTCCTTAAATCCCAAAATACACCCAACCAAATTTATACTGAAACGATACTGCTGAGAGCAGCAAAAGGGAAAACAAGACTCAGTCACACTGCACGCCACACAGAAATGTTAGCTTTATCTTTAGCACACGGCTCGGTCAATAGTCTGCTGGGTCCACTGGCCCACAGAGGGGTTCAAGGTTGCATGGAAATTAATCAGCAACTAACCTCCCCGCGCCACCTCAGGTCTGCAGCCAAGACCTGACTTAGTTAGAGATAATCCTAAACAAACCTGATTTAACCCTCAAGTGGAAAAAATGGAGAAGTCAGAGAGTGGGAGTGACGAAAAAGGTTCAACAAACACGATAGATAAGTCATCAAATGGTTTGCAGTGGAATTTACCAAACCCTTCGACTGCATTTCAGTGTGTGTGCACAAAATGAAACCTTTACATCACAAGCAACACAAACCCCAGACAGAGAGGATAAAGACAGAGGCATGGTGGGATTTGTGTGTGTAATCCATGACAGTTCAGGGAGGGGAGTGTTATCCAACTTCAAAAAAAACAGAGAGGAGGAAAAAACACCTCTGCGGGTGTCTTCACAGGTGACAAATGTAACATTATAACCCTGAAAAGTCATTTTATATCCTCCAGATTAGGTAGACAAAGTCTTTGTGAAGTGAGGGATGACATTTTGAAAATACTGGATGTTTCAACACACTCAATGGTGGAACAGTTAAGCTTTGAAAATGTTGTGCAACATCCCCTCTTTCCAACACATCATCACTCGAAGAATGCTACACCCACAACTAAATAAGACATTGTTATCCCTCTTGAAGAAGACAATAGCTGTGACGAGATGTTGCCTGGCTTTGGGAGTTCACAAAGCTTGAAGTAAAACAGAGTAAGCGTGACTGTTTCCAATTTTCATGAAAAGTCTTATTAAAAAAATCAAATCGACACAGAAATGGTATCAGGCCTCAAACAATGTGATCTCAGAGTCTCTGCAGATATGTGATTCAGCACAGGTTTTTTATTAGCTGTCAAAACTGGCAGAGAGTCACTCAAACATTCTCAGGATTTTTTCTTCGATGACCCCCGTTTCCGACTGGAGCCCCTGCGCAGTCTTTCCCTGTTCTTGGCTCCCATGCTGACAGGAGAGAGGGAAATTCCCACACAGGATGACCTCTTTTCTTCAAAGTTTAGCCCGGCCCCTTCTCCACTTTTTACCGTCAATGGGCAGTGTCTGTCCGTAAAATCCTCATTGCATCACAGCCCCTGTACAGGCCAACTGTCCTCCTAAAAAACTCCTCTGATAACGCAATACAAACACACACACACAGACACACACACACACACACACACACACACACACACACACACACACACACACACACACACACACACACACACACACACACACACCTGTCATTTAAAAGTTCTCTCTGTTCTTGTGGTTGAGAAATGGGAGAAGATTTGCTTGACCAGTGATTCATGTCAGTGTTTTCTGCTTACCTCTCATAAAGTAGTTTGTTCCTTAAAATATTCCCCGACCCCCTTCGCTCTGGTTGTGTTTTCCAAGTTTAGTAAGTTGATTAAATCAATGAACTGATGAGTTCAAGATGTCACAAACAAATAGTTGATTTAATAATCTGTATGTTAAAAACTAGAGAGAATAATGGAGCAGACTTTAGTGTTAATAGGATAGCAGCTCATCATAATCAGTGTGTAACAATCACAATGCTGTCTTACTTTGGTCTGTATGTTTTCAAATGTTTAGGTTTTGCATCTGTTCAGAAATAGACTGACAATAATCACTGTCTTTTTTTATTCTGAAAAATCCAGCCGTCAGTGTGTTCGTCTGGTCTGTGTCCGCATTTATGCTCCCCTGTCCTTCCTCTTTCTTTCTTTAGAGTTTAAAGTTTATAACTTTTTAAAAGAGGTCACAAAAGCATCGTTATTATTTCCATTTATTCCTTAAACCTGCTGGGCTCAGTGTTTACACTGTATAATGTCTAACAGGAGCGCAGAGGATTGTGAAAGCGTCTTCTTGCTCATGCGATGTGATTCTTGGTCGTGTTTTGGACTGTGAGCCAAATGAATGTGACAAAATGAAACACAAATCTGTGTTGTAGTTTCATCCTCAGCTCTGTGGCAATTCACACACTCCAAAATAGAGCTCTGCTCTTTTTTGTGATGTGGTAATATAACAAAAGCCAGCAGTCTGACTAGATGCACCTGTCTGCTAAGCTTGTAGGTGATACTGTAGCTTAAGCTTGGTTGAGCTATGGTACGTTTTAATTCTATTAAAAGAGAAGGAACTTTTCTTTTGACTCTCTAATTGAACAGCCTGGGAATTTTTAAAAGGGAAATGTGCCGTTCAGAAGTGCAGTGGTCTCATTATTTACTAAATCAGCAGAAGAGAGCAGGACAATACTTGGGTGGCTTGAAAGGGTTAAATGTTAATTTCTTATTTCTAATTAGTCAATGCGTCATGTCAACAGATCTCATTTCTAAGACAGAGTTGAGGGCATATTTGATCCTAAAATGAGTTTTGAGAAAGTTTGAAAGAGGAAGAAAGTCATGTCTAACCCTATTATTCCATGCACATTTTTTTAGATTATAGATTTTATTTCGATCATGAGGAAAGAACATGATACAAAAGTCGAACCAAAGACAACAATCCAGATAGAGCATAACAAAGGGAGTCACTTTTTCACATTACAGTCTAATAAACATGAATATCTGAGATGGAACCTGTTTCTGATGGACATAAAGAAATAAAAAGATGTTAATTTCAGGACAAGTTTTATATTAATGTCAGAATCAGTATTAAACTGCTTTATTCTTTACATCAAAACAGAATTTACAACCCTGTCACTGTTATTGATTTGATTTGAAAAATTTGTTGTCATTTGGAAAAGATGGATTTGACATCAGCCTATTTTAAGACACTGTCAATCTGTCAGATTAATCAATAGTGTTTGTGACACTATATTGATTTTATAACAGTCAAGCAAAGGAGTACTTTAGGGTTCAATACTTGGTTCTTTTTTATTTTCTATCTGTATGTTTTTTCCTACATTTTTTACCTCAATGTCTTGCATTACCTTTACATAAATGTAGAAGGATGTATTGCCATTTATAATTTAGTGATATCAGAACTATCTGCTGTATAAGATCGATGTCATACAGTTTCGCTTGTGTAGTTCGGAGTCATTTCTGAGTGTTTTTTCAGACCATTTTAATAGAGATCTTTATGGTACTGATTCATACCCTGAAGATCCTTATTACTCATAACTATCAGACCATTTGGGGTAGTTTCCTTATGTGAATCTTGTCAGTTCTGGACCGGTGATTTAAGGTGATTGATGTATCTTGGAAAATCTGAAGTACGCTATTGAAAGTGGACAACGGTGTGTCATCTCTTTTGGTACCGCTAAACAGATATCAAAAAAGTGAAATTTCTCAGTATTGTTGAATTTAACTCCTCTGTGATTTTGCTTGCTCATTTACAGTTCCTCCTCTAAGTGAAAGGGACAGCGGATATCCGGACCATGGGGTTGTAACGGGAAGCTCGGCAGCATCAGCTACGGTAAATGGACTAGAACATGAGCTGTCTTGAGGTGCACCCAGATTTCAACATCTTCTTTACTTCTGCAATTTTAGCTGTAGATGACTGTGAAAACACAAAACTGACGTGCAGAAGTGACTTGCGGTCACTACGCAGCAAGTATCACTGCCCAAATCTTGTGCAACATGAGGCGATCTTGCAAGATGGGCGTTAGGTTTATTGTTGGAGAAATACTCGAACAGGATGGGTTCATTTCAGCACTCTTGAGGTGTGCGGAGGCTTAATCGATACCTTATGCAGAGGGATTAACAGATGTTTCCTCACTAAGAAGAGGGTCAATTTACACATGACTATGTAAATAAGTCCCGGTATAAACTTCACTTATTTGTTTTTTTTCTTTTGACTTCAGGAGCTTTTCTGTTTAAAATAAAATAGTTGGAAAGAAAAGTCTACCTAGAGAACATGGAGAATACAGTTTAATTTTCTTTTATATTATTCAGAGAAAAACATCTAAAAGTGGCACCTGCTTTTCAAAAATGATCAAATATATAACCTACAATATTGCATTTAATTGATTATCGTAACAACACAGATAAAAGAAGTGGTCAAATACAAAAATGAAATCATTCAGATAAATGTGTCTCTGTCATTTTACAGGTTAGAGACTGAAAAGTTAGAATACAGGGAGAATACATCATAATAAATTAATAAATGCAAAATTTCACAGACTGATCATCTGATTTATAAAGTATAAAATGATGAGACTATAACTGTAGATTTTTAAAAAAAAAAAATTTCTCTCCAGCCAGGGATGAATAGAGGGGGAAAAATAGTGAACTGATCAAAGATGAAATCAAAACTCAAGCAAAATACTGTACTTAAATTTTCATCATATTAAAAAAGTCAACTTTTAAAAATCTGGCATTTCAAATAATTAACTAACGTTTCCTCAAAGTGATGGACATGCAGTCCCGAAGCATGAGGTCTCTCAGTCATCGGAGTCACCTGACTTTTCAAAAGAAACACTTAGAGTCATTAAATCTCTTCTCAGTATGTGAACCAACACTGATTTAACTCCTCAACAAAGACAAGGAGACTTTATTCAGGATTATGCCACTGAAGGACTTTATACAAACTTTGAAAAATAACGTTCAAGTGTTTCCAGGTGCAGAAGTTTGTCTCAATACTGAAAGTTTTGCCCATTCCTCTATTCCTCAAACCCTGCTCTAAAAAAATTCCTAGATTACCAGACACACTCTGACACACTTCTTCAATGTCGCTTACATCCTGTTTTATTCTTACAACAAGGCCTTGAAAACAGTTAATATTAGAGAAATGAAAACTTGTCTGATGCAAGGGAAAAGATTAATATTCACACAAATGTGCGCACATCAATTAAACCTGAATAAAGGCCAAAAAGAGTTCAGTGAAACTTGCCATGCATGAAAACTACAGCTTGTGTAACAGCTGTAAAAACATTCCTACGTAGCAACGATTGATTGATTACAGATTTTTCTCAGTTGATACCAAAATTGATGATGAGGGAGTCGCTCATCTGATGGCCAATCTGTAAACATCACAAACAACCAGTGCAAAAATGCTGAACTTAAGTGAATACTTGATTTATTCAACATTTAACTGCATTATTGTACATATCGAAAAACAATTTATATCCAACACTTGTGGGTGACTGGTCTAGACTGGAAATGCTGTCATTGGGAGGTGAAAAGGTAGATTTTCACTCAAACAAGATCACTGTGAGTGCTTATGCCAAGATCAGGTGCGAATGCCCTTAATCTGCTTAATTAGTTAGCCGCCCAGTGAATCCCCAGCATGTAGTTTCATGTTCTATGGGACGGGCAATGGGAGGGATGTCTGTAAAATGGTCAGTCCAGGTATTTAATAAACAGGATTATGGTGGATTATTTCCTGTGGAGTCTTTGCTCCGAGTGTAGGAGTTGGAGTTTGTGGGGTCTTGCCATGAGTGAGGGTAAAATGGATTGTAAGATTGACAAGTGCTGTTGCTGCATCAACAAGCATGCTGGTGTTGTACCAGCCCATTGTGGTGAGTTGAAGCTTTTAAATTTACCAGCTAATCCTCACCTGTGTTTATGAGTTTTGGGTAGTGACCAAAAGAATGAGATTTCAGGTACGAGCAGCCAAAATAAGTTGTCTGGGCTCGGCCTGAGATGAGATAAAGAGCTGAGAAATCCTCAGAGTAGACCTGATGCACCTTTGAATCGGAAGGAGCATTCTTAAGGTGGTTCGGTGTTTGATCAGGATGCCTGCCTTTGTAAATCTTCAAGGAACACCCAACTAGGAGCAGCTGGAAAACGTTACTAAGGAGAGTGTGTCCGGGCTGACTTGTCACCGCTGCTTTTGTGACCCAGCCACCGATTATGTGTTTTCATATGTAGTTTTGTTTCATAGTTTGTGAGTCAGCCTCCTGTTACACAATCAACAGTCAGACAGTCTATGAACACGGTAGACAAAGTGATGAAAGTGCTCAAGATTGAAAGAGTAACTCGAATCGAAAACACATTTGAAGATTACCAACAGTAAAAATCACCACGGATTCAAATAAAAGTTCAAATAAAACTTAAAGTTGCTGTGAGCAACTTTTGGTTTGTGTCAATATTGGCTGTGATACCTTTTTTGAAAGTCATTAAGAGGCATCAGTATCAGTTTCAGTCTGTTTCTCAGCTATTTAAAAACTCCTTATAGTGCCTTTAAGATAAAGATGTTTCATCACAGAGAGCCAGTTTGGTGTAGAGCAGGGTCATTCAACTTAAACAGCAGCTGGTCCATATCAGAATACTTGGGAACTTTTGATCATATAATTTTGTCAAGTAATGGCAAAATTCAGCTCAAATACTTTATAATATTTACAGATTTTGATGTAATGTTTTCCTCTTGGTGATATTTAAACTTTAACTCATTGGTTCATCACTTGTAGCAGCTGGCAAAGTTAATAATTTAATTGAAAATATTATAATAATGCTTTATTTTTGTCAGTATTGATCCCACTATGATCATTTATTTCTTACATGGCGTCATGTCACTGAAAAAAATAAAACGCCAAATAAGTTTGATAGAGCAGCCAATCACAGTTTAGGTTGAGAAACACTGGATCCACTTCCTCAGCAGTATTCATCATACTGCAGATAAACCTGACTGACATGTATGGGCAGCTTCTTCAGACCATGACTGGTCCAGGGGCTTCAGGTTGAATAGGCTTGGTCTCGAAGTCAAGGCACGTACCTCACAGTCATCTTTGTCGAGGTTGTTGGTTTGATCCTCGGCCTTGACTCTTGGCTGCACGTTCTTGCTCTTTATACTTAACACTTTCTGTCTTTCCTCTTATGTCCTATCCAATTCAGGAAACAGCTCCCCAATATAACTCAACAAAAAGGTTCCTTCAGTATAAATAAAATTCATGAACGGAAACGGAAATGAAATTCAGGATGTGTTGAACTTGTGTGATTGAATATAATTCAGATAAAACTCTGTGAAGTGTTTTCTTCAATCATGTAACTGCCTGCAAAACCGCCTCAGGAGAAAGATCAAAACATGGGAAAACAGATTTTTTCTTTAGACAAGCTGTTACAGTAAGACGTACAGTCAACACACAAAGAATCCCTGACAGTACACTCAGTAAATCACAGATAGCGGATGATATTGTAGTACTCATATGTGGGCTTTGACATGTAGTGATTACTCAATAGGAAGTGGGACGTGTGGATGATGGTAGTAGCAGTGAAAATGTTCATCACCCACTCTCTCTTCAAATGTGACAGTCCTCACGTTCACTGCATCTTACCTTTCACCTCAATCCAAAAAAAAAAGTTGTTGTTCAAAATCAAACAAAAACATCAATGACGAGTATGTGCGTCTTTTGGTCACGGATTTAGCGTTGCATCAGCAAACCCACCACACCTCGGAAGCAGCGGATGGTCCCCAGTTACTGCGAAGACAACATAAACAATCAGCCTAAAAGAACACGGTGGAGACTTCTGTGGTTTGACATGGAGGTCGAGTTTTGTTTACATGATGTGTCAACGTAGTCAACACCATCACCTCGGTGTTGAGAGGAAGGAAGTGCACACGGGGGGAAGCACCAGCGCAAACCTCGAAGCATTTATCCGCCATGACCTATATATGCATGAACTTAGCCTATGACAGCCGAGGGACTGGATGTCACAGTGATGTCTGTAACGGTTTGTCCCCCCACAGCAGAAGAGGGGGGACAGGAACAGGAAGAGGAACTGCTCACGGGTGAATGTCATAACAGACGCAAAGCAAAGACATCAGACATCAGATCCTAGTTAGGGACGTGCAGTTTAATGCAAACAACAAAACCGATGTGATGTGCTGATAGAACAATCTGATATATCACAAAGAAGCAACACCTGCCTGTGTTTAATTCTCCTGATGGGAGGAGTTTTTGGTTATGACTGAGACTGAAATGAACGATAATGTCATTTTTCTTTTCTTTTAACCTATAAAGCAAATAAGTCCATCAGCATGTAGACTGTACAGGTATTCTTAATGCCTCAAACCACATGCTGTCAGATGATGTGGCTAATAATGTTGCAGAAACTGAATTATAGGTATTTCGCTGAGTGATTTTATTGATTTAAGAAGCAGGATGCCTTTTTTAGAAGTCACACCTACATATGAACAGGACAAAATCAGCAAAGAAATAAGTGGTACCACTTCATCCACAGGGGGCACCAGAATCAACATAAACCAAGAGTTGCTCTCAGAAGCTTTATGTGAGAGATAAGTGTAGGTTTATGCAATTTTGGAGGAAGTACTCCTCCACTTTAACACTAATGTGACAACTAAAATATGCCTCATGCTTGCAGACTCATTTGTGTGTTAAAAATCTGCAAAGTTTACTTTTAAAGTGCTTTACAACAAAACATTAACAACATCAAGAGCATTAAAAAATATAAGACAAGGTAAAAGTCATGTTAAGATCAGATGTACAAAATGTACAAAAGAATAGGATCATCAAACGAAAAGAAAAATGTGACACTAGGCTGAACAAAAGGCAAAACAAAGTGAGGGGAGCTCTTCACCCATTTGTCAAACAGCTACAATGTGCCTGTCTGTCAGGTATCTCAGTCATGCCCCTGTGAACGTAAAGGGAGATTCATATTCAAAGGTCTTTTTTTCCATGCGTGCTTGTGAAAATACCAAAATGACACAATATTTTCTGCTAAGCAATTGATCCTGAACAGTTGCCTGCAGTATTTTTGAGGTAGAGACACAACTTGTCCAAAATATACCGTCAGAAAATCTGCATTAGCACCTGGAATCACAGATCATGGCCTTGAGCTGCCCCTGAAACCAACACAGAGATGCTGTAATGGTGAGGTTCTCTATCCCAACACTTGACAAATCATGCCTGTAACTGTAAATTGTAATTGAAATACTTTAACACATGATTAATTAAGATGCAGTAATATCTTGAGAGTTGTACCCCTGTAAGACTGGGAAGATTTAACAGCACCTATATTATACACAGTATGGTAGCTCTTACAGGTGAGAAATGCTAAATGATAAAATATCACAGATTAATTTTCAATAAGCCAAAGTGCCACTTTGACAGGTAGGTATGTGTGTTTTATAGAGCAATTAAGTGTCTTTGGTGCAATGTGTATTTTAACTCCATTAAATACAGTTTTCAGAGCAGCACCTGAGCAGATGTACTGAGATCTCTTTTTCTAATCTACAGGTTGATCTAAAGCTCTGTCTTTGCTTCAATGACTCCCCCAGCTTTCTGAAGATTAGTGACGATAAGGGCAAGAAAAAACATGGTACACCTGACAGTTTACTCCCTCTTCCTGGTATCAGCCTTCCATTGTATACCCCACGGTGTGGATGTATGAGGTGAGTCAGATTTTGCAGAGTCACACATGGAAATATCTGACTCCTCGGGTGTTTAGGAATTTCCTGATCCTATCACTTTACTTCTTACAGAAAAAAAAAAGAGACTTACAGTCACAGATCGCTCCACCCCCTCAACAGCTGGCCAGCTATTGGGAAGTTCCAGGTTAATAACTAAACTCAGGCCACATGCTGAACGAGTCAGCCGGGCAGGGCAGATTGATTGGGAGTGTGGAGTCAGCAATGTGCACTATTTGGCTGAGTAAGGAGCCACTGCAGGATAACACACAGTCCAGCTTCATGTTTGCTTAAGTCACTTTTTAAGACATTTTTCTTTTTCTAGTTTAAAAAATGAAGAAAAACAAAGTAATTCCATATGTAGGTTTGATAGTTTTCATATTCAAATAAAACTAAAATGAATTTCAAAATGACAAAGTTCTTCAAAACAGTCTGAGTCACAATAAGACAGCGTCTAGAAACAAAAGGATCCACTGTGTCTTTAAGACAACTTCCGGTCACACCTTGGTTGTAGTTTTCCTAATGCAATTGAGCGCAGCATGCACCATCATGTCTGTTTGACGTCAGCAGAGCGTTTGGAGGGAGTGCTATTACTCACTCTGTTTGAGTTGCATTCCTGTACACCAAGTACAAATGCCGGCCCCTATTTCCCAAACAGGAAGTCCCAGCCAAAAGCTGTTGCCAAATCATCTGTACTGCACCAGTGTGGTGGAATTTACACAAGTGAAGCATGTCTCAATACACGTTCCCTGCTCTCTCTCTCTTAGTGTTGACTAGACTCCACTGTTGTTGTCTTCACATAAAGATGAACTTAAAGCTTCAACAAACTAAAACACCTGAATGTCCCCCTATAAAGTTTTTGTTCTGTTTATTTAAATTTATGTTTTGAGGGAAAAATTATCTCTAAATTTACCATCTCTCTAACTCAAAAAATTTAGAATTGGAAAAATTACAGGCTGAACCTTGGTTTGCAGAGACAATTGAAAACATAAAATGGTGTTACTTGTCCTGACATAGTGATCCTTCTTACTCCAGCTCACCTTTAACACAAAGATAACCGATGTGCAAAACCAGGTTCAACAACAAAAATAATAATAAAGTCGGCTGTTTGAAAATGCCCAGACTTCATATTGTCCGAGAGAGTCAGTTCAGGATCAGTTTCATAGTCTCACAGAGTCACCTTGTGGTGTTTTACAGACACTACACTCAGCCTCTCCAAGAGCTGAGGAACAAAGTCGCTTAAAAGAATTGAACTCTCTTAGATAATAATTGTAAACAAAAAATGTATTTTTCAAAGTAAATATTACAATTCAAGAATTTCAGACATCACTCCAGCTATCTTAGGTTTTTTTTTTTAAAGTCCAGGTAAACACTGTGTTTAAAGGTCATCGTTAAATCTATGGTTGTTATTTCATGCACATTAAAATAAATTATTCATAATTATTTGAGCCAGGAACTGTTTTAAATACATCTCTAATGAATTGCAGATATTCAGTCGATTATGATATCTTTCAAACTACAAGTGAACATTATTCAGGGTAAAAAGGAAAATAATTACTTTTTGATGTCCTTTTAATTTTAGTAATTATTGAGTATAGGGATTTATGATATTGGATTTTTGTCAGTATCCAATATGCTCGTATTTTCAACTCATTTTGACAGATACTAATACTTAAACACCTGTTTTTCCATCCAAAATAAGACCAAGTCTGTCCTGTGGTGGAAGCTCCCTGTTAATCTTATTATAGCAGTCTGTTTTTTTTTAAGAAACTGACATAAAACAAGACAAAAGATGTTTGATTTTACCATAAGACATATTTTCAGACATAGACACCCAGTAATGTGTGTCTAACACTTCCAAATACTCCCATACAGCCAACATAGTGCATGTAAGCTGTAGTAGTCATACCTGCTGTTACTGATGTAATGTTGATACAATAGTGCGTCTATGATTGAGACTCATTTTACATCTGCTCTCATAATAAAGACACAACAGTCCAATAGTTGTTTTTTTATTCAAAAAGGAAAACAACAAAAGTAAATAAAAAAATACATGTTTTTGAGCTCAGCATTAAGTGTAGAAAAACAGGAGAACCTGGTGCAATGGCTGCACAGGTGCTGAGATTTAATCCCTTGCTAAAGCTGAATTAAACAAACTAAAAGGAAAAACTCAGCACACTGAAACCTGACCTGAAAAAAATATATATTTCTATCTAATAAGAGTTTGTCCCTGTGGAGGACATTTATACATTCTAAAGAAAGGTACAGTTGTCAGACTCGCCGTGGAGTCACAAAGGTAAACTGAATGCTAGCAGCTCAGCTAATCTCTTTTTAGGACAAAACCTGTTGATTCACAAATGCAGCATGCTAAAAAAAAAATCATAGAAAAAAAGATCTCCAGCTCAGGGCCACACTATGAAACAACAGATCTTCACTTCAGTGTTTTGTTTTCATCCCTGTGCTGGTGTTTGGTTTTTGGTTTGTTTAAAATCCCTGTTCAAACTCAGTTTGGTGAAGTAAAGGGTGACACATTAACGGGTGTTTGTATTGCTGGCAGAAAAGAGTTGGGTGTTACCAGAGAGAGGGTGTTACTTCGTGTCTCAAGAAGCTGGCATTCCTGTGTGTAACTCTCATGACTTAATACGCTTACATTACATTGCTGTTTGGTTACGTTACACTCTTTTGGCATCGAACATCTTTACACACATTTATCCACCAGGCTGAAAAAAAGGTATTCCCTTAAAAAGTGACTGAGCCAAGTGTTAGAGCGTTAAAAACAACCTGCAGATACCTCCAATGTCAGTTTGAGGATGCCAGGTGAACTGAGAGTGAGACACATCACCTCGTCTCAGCACCGTTTTCTCTTCATCTCACATCTGATGAACTTTAAATGTTATTTTCATAATTCAGACTAAATTTAGCCTTTAGTAGAGACCTCAACTGCACACCCCTCTCACAAAAATACAGACAAAAACACAAATCCCAAATGACAGTATTGTATGTACTCTACTGGTGACTCCACGAGTGAGTACAGAACAATCTCATGTATGTGACTCTTGTCCAGTGGGCACAGGCTCACTACCCTTGGAGCGTCACATAATTTATCTTTCTTCAGGGATTCATTTTGGGGAAAACGAACCATTTTTCAGAAATGTCTCCCTTACTGGCATATTTTTAGGCTGGCTGGATGAAAATCTGGCTCCTTGATTTCTGGCTGAAATGGAAGAACATGTTTGGTAAATAAAGTGGGGCTAAGGAGCCCTGACAGGCTGTTTATCCTGGTTCAACTAATAAAAACAGATCTCTCTCCCTCTACTGACGGTACAATATCCTCTCTTTAGGTACAAACTCTCTCTTCAGTCTGTTTTTAAGTCAGCACGGGTATTTGGGATGTGACACCTGAAAAAAACAAGGCCCTGAGCGTCCAAGATGACTTCTTGAAAAGTGGGTTAACTGGCAGCTTTCCTAACTCCAACCAGCCGACCCCCTGAACTGCATTTTCTAAAATAAACGAGTGAAGCAGAAAAGTCCAAACAATTCTTCCACTCGCACAGTCACAGCAGGCTAACTGATCAACCCCGTCCACTTTGACATCAGTGGAGAGACAGTGAGGAACGAAAAAAACGAGGCAGAGGGACAGACATCAGTGGAAATAGGCTCGATAGCAGACATATGCACTGAGGGCCAGCGCCGTGCACAGGCACACGTTGGTTAGTAGAGGAGACCAGGTCTCTGGTGCTGGAGGCCTTTCCTTTGGCTGCTCCACTGCCTCAGCCCACTCCTGATCTTCAGACTCGAGGTGCTGCTGCTGCTGCTGCTGGGTTTTGGTCGGAGCTTTTGAGGTTTGATCTTGGATTCCCGCCTGACCATCAAGCTGATCTCCACAGTCAGGAGGAGGACTGGAGGCAGTGACAATCCTCTTTCGCAAGTCTGTCTCTTGTGAGGACCTGATGGAGACACAGAACAGCTTTAATGCCATCACAGAGAAAACACTGGTCACTTCTATTTTTAGATTTAGTCATTCATAAATAAATATTTTGCTGCCAGGTGTGAGAGCTGCTCAGTTAACTGAAGCTAAAGAATAAAAAAGATGTTTTTTTGAGGTAAACGTAATTCTGTTCTTTGGGGGAAAAAAGCACTTTTATCAAATGAGTCTATACGAAAGCAAATTTCCTAAAGCATCACTTCCATAATTACCCCAGATTGCCAAACATCATCTGCTGGATGATCTCATCGGTTTCGGGGAAAAAGAATGGCTCAACCTTGCCGTTGTGTGGATCTCTGGGAGGAGGAATAGGAGGAGGAGGGGTGAACTCCGGAGGATCGTCTTCCTCGTTTGACAGCTCTTTCCATGACTCCTTGGAACAAAAACAAAACAAAAATCCGTCTTAGTATTTGCAAATAAATCAAAATAAACTGGTAGATTTGTAAGATATTGCAGGTTTTCATTCACAGGAAGAAACACCGGGTCAGCAGAGAGCAGAATAGAGAGTCAGGACTCACCTGCAGCGATGTATCTCCCTTGATGTACTTGGCACCTTCAATGACAGCGAGGTAGGAGAAGCGAAGTTGGTCTGCGGTCTGAATCAAACCCATTCGATGGCGCCGCATCTCCAGCAGCACATCACGGATACGCACTGAAGACGGATCCTTACGCATGGACATCTACATCCAACATGACAAACGTTCACTTTAGTTCTGACAGAGCTACAGTCAGGTGCTGCTAAAAGGCTGCCTGTGACATTGATATGTACAAACCAATAAGAGGCAGGTGTCCACAAGACAAAAAGTCCCAGAGCGTCCAATTCCAGCGCTGCAGTGGACCACCACTGGTCCCTGATCCGAGTTTAGACAACCCGACTCTCGCACCTTGAACAGGAAGTTAAGAAAGGAGGCAGGAGACTCTGGTACCCCAAAGTCAGGCCAGGTGGTGTAGTGAAAGTGTAAAATCTCACGAGTCTCTTGAGTCTAGAAGGAAAATCACGGAAAAATCTTTAAAACAAAGTCGACTTTTACCCAAGATTTATTTCAAAAAATCTAAAGAGACTGAGAAAGAGACTTACAGACAGATTTTCTAGCTCCAGCTGCCGGACTGTGTAGTAAGATTTAATGTCTTCTGAGACGAATGTGAGCTTGAAATTTGTGTCTTCAAAGATAGCATCTCTCTCTTCTCTGTGAGGCCAATACTGGGCACATTTTATCTTCAATCAAATGACGGGAACAGAAATAGAAAGCAGCATTGCTCGGGTTATTGGTGCACAAACACATAGCTGGATAGTAAGAGGATACACTGAACAGAAAGAAGACCGGTGCTTACAGATCCTTTCTCTATGACTCTGTTCAGCATCACCACGCCGCGGGTCTTCTGCTCCCACACCATCTCCCAGAAGTGGCCACATGTGTTTGGAAGGGGTCCCTGAGCAAGAATAAAGAGTGCTTATTGAAACAACTTGAAACCTGTTTTAATTAAAGATGTTTAGTCCATCAAACATTTAAATGTAGCCATCCTTGCTAGTTGTTGTCTGAAGTATTAGGCGAGGAAACTAATTATTATCATTTGATCTTTTGAGGCCCATAATGCTGATCTTCTGTTGTGCCTGAGCTGCAGCACAGTCACCTGCCACCAGCTGGGGCTGTAGCTCCAGTTTATACCTGATGCCATTACACAGTAAAATAAACTCCATTCACACACCACAGGTTGCAGCCAACAGGGTAGGGTGGGGCCAAGTATTGGATCAATTCCACAACCTTCCTATTAGAGGACAACCTACTCTACCACTGAGCCACAGCTGCCCAATAAAGCTCAACTATCTGGATGTAAACAGGCACAGACGACTGATTTTATCTTGTTCTGTGACACAGCTGGGCAATATTTTGATCTAAAAAATGGAGATAAGGTTGTATGTGGGCGTTGTTTGGTTAAACCAGCACGTAACCACTCAGCTAGAGCAATGTGTTACTTGCACAGGTATGTTACCTGGGTGTTCACCTGCACAGAGGACCGAGGGCTGGTGGCGCTAGCTTAGCCACTGACCATTTTGACATGATCTGCATGCAGACTTTGATCCTATGTTCAGTCATGTCAAAGTAAACATGTTAAATTATGACTGTGTTGTTCAGTGGTCTCTGTAAATTAGAGTACGATTTTTTTAAAGGGCGATATAATGAAGCTGTGAGAGGATAGCAGAAGATTTAAGTGCCTATTAATGTACTTAACCAAAGTTTTCGCTTCATTAATTATTGATTGGCTATTTATTTACCAGAACCCACTAATGAGTGCCCACAGGAGGAGCTGTTATCATGGGCTAATAATACATCATATTTTATAGGCCACTCATTTATTGTTTACCCACAGTTAGCAGTTTATAGGGCACGCCTAGCTTAAATAAATGCAGTCTAATACAACAGTCTTCACATCAATCCTAAATCAATAAATACTATGATATTTTGTTTTAGAGATGTTAATTCCACGGTGGAGGATGTTCTTTGTAAGGATGTCATACTGAATTCTGTTAAAACTGTTTGTGTTAAATGATCCCTCCACCTCTTGTCACTCCATGACGACATCTTCTCATGTATATTTCCCGACTAAAGATGACTCCCCACCAATTTCCCACTTAATAACAAACATTACTCAACATAAGGGTTCTGAGAGAGGTGTGATGATCTGTCCGATTCCCAGAAGAGAACTGCGAAAACTTCTCTAAGCTTACCTGAGTGAGAATATAGTTCCTCTGTGCCTCCTCTACTGTGATCAGGCTGGCGTTGATGTAGTCGTTCGCACCCAGCTGCAGACATATTCTGCTGTGGTCAACTGACAGGAAGAAAAAGGAGTGTGAGTGTTATTAATATGTCACAACACAGGGGCACTACTATGTCATTCACAGAGACATACAGCTGCTGAGAACAAATGGTGAGTCTGTTTTTGTGAGGTGTGCAGGTGTGAACTCTCTACTTTCATACCAAGAAAGAGAAAACTTTTCTGGTAAGTTTATTTCAGGTTTTAAGTCAACAGCATGAGCTAGTTCCAGGTTACTGATTTTCACTTCTTGTTAAAAGTGACAAAGCCATGCTTGATAGCATGTACAGTAACTATTTGCACTCTCTGGGCTGAAATATTTGCATATCTTTAACAGTGTGAAAAGAGAGGAAACCGCACAACCAGCTGTTGGATCGCAACTTTACATGGAAAGTACAAATGAAAGAAACACTGCAGGGTTAAGATATTTTATGACAGAGGAAATGTCATCAAACTCTGCTGAGAAATGAATGATCTGATTTTTAAAAGCGACTCTAACTTTTTGTTTGTATATTTGTCCTCTTGTATCATCAGATTGAGATAGCTGAGACAGACTGTTATTCTTTCACTTTATTAGTTGCTGCGCTCCTGTGGGAATACAGCTGCAAATGATCTTTTGCTAACCCCTGACAAATTTATATTCATGTTATTGTGGTTTAATGTGCTCAGTCTCACTTATCATAACAATATAAATGATATTAATAGTGCTTAACACGCCTGCAATGAAAGCCTCTTGCTCCTGTAAGCTCAACCTGCATGCACAGGCTTTATAAACATACTTAGAAAATCAATAAATACACTTTAAATAGATCAGAGTGATGCAATGCTCCACCTATGGTGTAACAATGACTTAGTATGGCTTCAAATAAACCTTAGCACAATTGCATCAGAGGTCAACATCATATATTTGTATAACATAATCACCTGTATTAGACTCAGCTCAGCTTGATGCTGATGTAACCCCTAAGCTGGCCGATATTTGAACACAATGAGGGTTCCAGGAAGAGGGCATTGTCCCTCTACAGGAGAATATTTTGTTCCCTTCATGCAAACATTCAACAGAAACTTACATGGGCTAACATCTCGGTAACGATTCCTATTCTTGTTCTCTGGTAATTTGGCAAACTTGCACGGGAGATCACATGACTGCTGGCGAATATCCTGTGAAAGAATAAACAAAAACACTTACAGTTAAATAACACCTACTACTCAGTGCAGTGTGGATGTTGCAGGATTGGTCTAGAGGAGGCGTGAGCATGTGAAAATGATCATAAAAGCTGGTGTTACCTCTTCCTATTTCCTTATAAAAGGATGTGGAAAAACTCATCATACTAACCCTTGTGTTGGATGATATGACAAGAAAATGCAAAATATTTCCAACTCATGAGCAAGCAGGGATGTAAGGGGAACTGTGCAGTCAAAATATAATATCAGCTGATTCATGCTGGACTCTGATGGATGGACACTTTGTGAGAAAACCTTTAAAAATTAATTGAATTGGCAAAAATTCAGGAATATCAATAATATAATTAAATAATCTTTTCCTGATCAAGTATTGTCCTTGTTGGATCACTGATGTGCTGCTTGAGAGAGACCCAGACAGACTCATCAATCACCGGATTTGGTCACAGAGCAAACGGAACAGGGACTATACAAGGGTAATGACTACAAAGGCTGGTACAGGGCTGCAGTACGCCCACTCACTCTGCCATGATTATAATGTGATCCACAAGTGACATCTTCACCACTACAGTCTCATTTCCACCTTGATTTTACTGAAAGGTCCTACCTGATAAACAGCGCTCCAACTCCCGTTTTCATCGATTTCCCGAAACTCGGCTTCCATTGCTGACAGTCCAGCTGCCCCTCCTTCAGCTTTATTAGTGCTCCTTTTTAAAAGTGGGCAACGAAAGCTCCCAAACAAAGTGTACTTTAATGTTGCCCTGATTACAGTTCCTCCTCTGTTCGGTAATTCTCAGGGTGGCAGCATAGATTTCACACCGCGGTGCCTCTCTCTCAGCTCGGCCTGCTGTTAACGGAAACACGCCGCTGGCTCCTCCTACACGGTGTAGCAGTCGTACTCCGGTGGCTAAAAAAATAGCAGAAAATGTCTCTTAAAGAGGGTTGTAGTCCACCAATGTTCTCGGGATTGATATCAGCTTTAAAATGTCCTTGTCAAACAGTTTTTTTAAAAGAAACATTCACTTTACCATTCCTGCTGCAGCTGTGGAGACTGGCCAACGAGAGCGCGCGGAAGGCATCTTGACTCTGGAACGTTATGCGCATGCCCGGCTATGGTAGCGTGCACGTAACGCGTACGTACGTAAATTTACGCTCTTTGAAAGGGCATCAATATCAAAGATAAAAAATGTAATAATTAACTGTTTAGAAGGGTATGATAGATAGATAGATAGATAGATAGATAGATAGATAGATAGATAGATAGATAGATAGATAGATAGATAGATAGATAGATAGATTATTAAACCCAGAGATAAATTTAAATGGATTTACTACAAAAATATTTGTACCACTTTCTCAAAAAATATAGAACTGGGACTCTTTTGTATTTTGTAACCTTGAAAAAGAAACAATTGTGCATTTATTTTTTAAATGTATGCATGTTAATTTTTTCTGGACTGAGGTAGAATATTTATTTGAATCGTTGTCTGGATGTAAGATAAACCTGCAAAAGAGAGATATTATTTTTTATTTTGAAAAAAGAACATGGTCCAAAGTCATATATTTTTGTTAAACCTTTTTACTTTTTTACTTGTTTACTTTGAATTATGACTTTCTTTGAGGCCTTGAGGTCCTTTCTATGATCTGAACTGAAAGTATGATCCCAATGAAGAACTGAAATTAAAGTTTGGAAAAAAAAAGTGCTCTTTGAATGTGCTTTGGTAGAAAAACAATCAAAGAGACAGCTCTGTTGTAACATAGATAATCATACTTTGTTCCAAAGGGTGTAGGATGAAGTTGATACAACTTATCTACCCCTACCCCTTTATTGTTGTGTTACTGTAATTTAATCAGTCTGAGCACATGTAGGAATAACAGCAGAGAAGAAAGAAAATATATCAGAAAAAAGGCACGTTGCCCATTGTTATAAATTCATGTTCCTCTCTTGTATCCATTCAGAATGTGGTTTATAAAAATAAGTTTGAACTTGCTTAGTGATCTGCAGGTTTTCATTTCTTTGCTGCAGCTGTTCCACAGATTAACTCCTTTGACTGATATACAGTGCATTTTTGTGTTGTTTTTTTAAAAATGCATATTCCCCTGAGATTATGTTTGTTTTCTCTTATTTGAAACAACTTTTGGACGCCCTGTGGTAACTGATTCTGATTTGCTTTGTACATGATCTGAGTTGTTTGGAGGTCGTATGTGTTCCCCACACTTCTACACAGTAGGTGATGTATGGGAGAATTAATGAACAGTACAAGGTGTATAGCGATGACTGGTTTAGAAGATATTTGACTTGATATAGTATTGCAATTGACTTTGCTATTTTTGCTGTAATGTACTATATATGTGGCTTCCAGGATAATTTGCTGTCAATTATGACTCCACGAAATTTTATTTCATTCACTCTCTCTATTTATGTTATTCATCATGAGTTTCTTTTGTGAGTTATCAGCTCTATTTCCAAATATTGTGAACTTACTTTTGCTTAGATTTAGTGTGAGTTAATTGATTTGACTCTAGTTGTGCCCATTTGTCGTTTGATGTTGGTTATAATAAAGTTGCGTAAGCAGGAAAAAAAAAACGTAGTTACGTAATCACGTAATGGTGTTTTTACGTCCAATCTGTGAAGCCTGCTGCTGTTTGGTCAAAGAAATATTCTCGGTGTCAGAACTCGTGTCGGTGCTGGTGATATGAGATTATTTGCAACATTTCAGACACATTTGTCTCTGAAGAGGTCGCGTGTAGTGATGTAGCAGAGGTCATAATGGATTAGCTGTTGATTCAGTGGCTTTTCTTCAGGCATTTGTGACTGACAACAAGACCTGGGACCAGGGACTTTGTGGCTCCTAACGTTAGCTAGCGACGCAACTTAGCTAAACGTTTTGAATCCGCCTAACAGCAGAGACAGGTATTATGTGAATCCTTGACAAGTTCTTCTGTGTGTGTCGCTTCATGTGTTGTCCCTCTCTGGCCGCCAGCTCATCTTCTACTGCTGTGTTTTCCTAGTTGTTGTTGTTGTCTGGCGTTGGCGTTAGCCCTCAGCTGTTGTTGGCTGCTGTTTTGCTCATGTGTAGTTATAGTTATTGCCTCCCTGTGGTGGAAAAAGTGTTCAGATCTTTTAACGGTAAGTTCCATCAGTAATACCTCAATGATTAGTTCCTTACTTAGAGAAAAAGATGCATTCAGTCTGTGCAGTATTGTTGAAGTAGCTCTTTGATTCTATTGACCAGATGTTATGCATGAAAAATCTAAATCTAATGACAGACATATAATAGCGCCTTAAAATACTTATTCGAAAGTGTCTTGAATTGGACATATTCATGCCAAAATCCAGGACTTCCATACAAACCTGAAGCACATGCATAAACCTACCACTGTTGTTTCTTAGTAGGGGTGGGAGAAAAAATCGATACAGCATAGTATAGCAATATTTTGTCTGGCGATATATCGTATCGTCTCATTGACCTAGTATCGATTTTTCAAAAAAACAATGGAAAAATAAGATGTATTGTTTGCCCAGTGAGGTTTGCAGAGGTGATATCATAGAGCAGAAGAAAGTTAGTACAACAAATATATATATAAGGTTTGCAAGATGTGCTACAGGAAAATAAAACAAGCGTAAATAAGACAAACAAAAGGAAAGATATTAGCTTAACAGTTGAAAAAATGGTAGAAATCGCAATATATTGTATCTCAATACTCACATTTTTGCAAAATGTTGAAAATTACAATAATATTGTATCGTGGACCAAGTATCAAGATAATATCGATACTAGTGATGAGGCCTGGGTGATTTGGCAAAAAAAACGATCACGATATATTTTTTCAGATCGTCCGATCTCGATTATTATCACAATTTGTTTTTAAACTGCAATTTTTAAAGCACCTGTACTAAAAACCAAAGAAACTAGAGATTAGTTCAACATTTTATTTTTAGGGCACCGAGCGCAGACATACCTTAAACATCGGCGTAGTTTCTCAACGTCACTTTGGAGATACCCGAACTGCCACACAACAGACGTTAAATAATTTTCGTTCTCAACAATGACATCTTCGGAGCATGGCTTAAAGTCACGGCTGACATCTATTTTGCTGCCCTCAGCTCCGCGTTTAGTTCCTGTTCGGTTGTTCTGTTTACTTCTCCGGCAACTTAAAGAAGTGAGCAGGATCGGCTCTGATTGGCTGTTGTGACGCACATTTCCACCATGTTTGATTGAGTAAATATGCTCATCGCTGATCACCGTGATCGAACTGAAATTTATCACAATCATATAATCACCCAGTCCTACTAGTGATTCCCACCCCTGTTTCTTGGTGCTTCCAGCTTTTAAAACTTCATAATTTCTCTGTCCAAAACTTTAACTCCTCTGTCCAACTCACTCCCTGTATGTGCACCTGTTTACCCTAACACTTTCTAATCTTATGACTGTCATAAATGAAGAGCTGATAGTACAAATGACCGTTCTGAAGCCTGTTTTGTCCATCTGTCTTAGATTCCTTGAGTAGTTTGAGATCTTTGAAAGACTCTCAAGACAGCATGGCTCCCAAGGACATCATGACCAACTCCCATGCAAAATCCATCCTCAACGCCATGAACTCGCTCCGCAAGAGCAACACGCTCTGCGATATCACTTTAAGGGTCGAGAACACAGATTTCCCGGCTCATCGAATCGTCTTGGCTGCCTGCAGTGATTACTTTTGTGCCATGTTCACCAGCGAGGTAACGCAAAGATGTTGCTGTAACACATCGAGTTTTTTCTGATTCTCTTCCTTTAAAATTGTAGAAAGATATAAAAGATCGTGGGAAAAGTTAGCTCAAATTTATCAAAATATGACCTGTTTCTGTCTCATTGTTTTTGCTATGAGGTGTTTATTGAGAAGAAAATTGTGAGCTAACTACAGAATAATCTTCTTTTGTTGTTATATTAATTTCTCTGGATGGTCTCTGTGTTTGTTTCTGTAGCTTGCAGAGAAGGGGAAATCTTTTGTGGATATCCAGGGGCTGACTGCATCAACGATGGAGATCCTGCTGGACTTTGTCTACACAGAAACAGTGTTAGTCACAGTGGAGAACGTACAAGAGCTGCTCCCTGCCGCGTGCCTGCTGCAGCTCAAAGGTACACCGAGGAGTGTCTTGTTAGTATCATAATTTGAAAAGTGTGGTCATAGGCCAACAGATATTGTGAGCACGAGTGAGGTGTATCTGCAGCCTTACACAGCAGCTTGTAGACGGTGTTGTTTAAAAGATTCTAGATGTCTATACTTAAATCTTGGACAGAGTCAGGGCAAGGTAGCTTCACCTCTGTAGCTTCAAGTCAAATTTAGCTAAGTGGGGAGACATGGCAGGCTGAATAAAGGAAATTTTACAAATGTTTTCAAAGACACACACAATTTTAAGCCAGAGGAACACTCAGCTAATACAAAATTAACCTGAAAGTCTATGTGAATTATTTAGACTAAGCTTGTACTACCAAAAATACATTTTTAAGGAGGCAGCTACTTTATGACTGTGTCAAATCACCATCATTTCTGCAACAATATCCCAGGATCCACTGTCAGTGCAGCTGTAAACACTCTGAAGTTCTGGTTGGGAGAAATCAAACACTGTCTAACTAAAAGTGGGATGGCAGTGAGTGCTGAATGTGGGCTGTATTCCTTTTATGTGAAGTTTGAGTCAGCATAGTCAGACGAAAATCAAAGACAGTTAGCCTGCAACAGAAACCAGGATTCTCACTGTCAACAGTGATTTAAAATCAGTGAACACATCATTCAAATTAAACCCCATCAAACCTAAAGCCCCTACATCCTTTTTATGCCGTTCACATAAGTCGAAGTTGTGTTAATTTAATTAACATCATCAGGATTTATTGTTATACACCGCTGGAAGTGATATAAGCGTTAGCCAGGAATTAAATTTAATTCACTGAGGTATTAAAAAAGACTTAAATTCATCCCTGCAGAAACCCTGAGGCACAGCATGGCACCACTTTTCAAATGAAACTGTGTCTACATTTCCTAATTAACAGTTGTTGAGTGACACGAGGATCAGGTCTCCAGGGATTCGTCTGTATTCGAAAGATACATGTGTATGTTTCTGTGTATACAAATGTGTCTTTTGTCCTCCTCAGGAGTGAAAAGAGCGTGCTGCGATTTTTTGGAGAGTCAGCTCGATCCCTCCAACTGTCTGGGTATCCGGGACTTCGCTGAAACTCACAACTGCCTGGACCTGATGCAGGCGGCTGAGCTCTTCTCCCAGAAGCACTTCTCTGAGGTGGTTCAGCATGAGGAGTTCATGCTGCTCAGCCAGACAGAAGTGGAAAAGCTCATAAAGTGTGATGAGATCCAGGTAGGAAAACTGGATGTGATGAAGTGCTGTACTATTTGGTGCAATTGTCAGATATAATGAGGCTGCTGGATCTGTGACCAACAGCACATTAGAGCTGACATACAGAACAGTATAAACGTCTTTATTGACCTGCAGCAACTAGAGTGGGAAGACTTGGTGTAAAGATACCTAAAAGCAACAAAAAGCGCTCAGATTCTGACTTTCAGAGCTTTCTGAATGTCATTCAAAGACCTCTAAGAGAAGAAAGAAGCGTGCACCAGCCTGCTGTAACCTCAGTCTGTGCAGCCCCCACCAGCTCAGCTCACTTTAACGGATTGGGGGGCTGACAATGAAATTGCAGAGAAGAAAACCTGATTTAAGTTTGTCTTAGTGCTCAGGAAATTCCTCGTCCAAACCACACATTGCGTTTTGTGAAAAGACGGTTATTATCCGCAAAGATTTATAGATTCTATCAAAGGCTTCCTCCTGTCATTTTTGTTGTTTTAGAGCACAGCTAGATCTTACATGTTAATCACAACCATGTGTAATTTACCCTTATGAAAATGACTGTCTTTGTGTCCTCTTGTTTCATGTTTGAAGAATTTATGACTTTCTCGCATCAAGCAGATAACACTGGAGCATATTATGTTAAATAATTGCGTTGCTAATAGAAAAGTGTGACATCTTTATCTACTGTTGTCAGCTGATTGTTTAATTCATAAACTGAGCTGCGGTTCTCCTCACTGTGCGTGCTCCCTGTGTAGGTGGACTCAGAGGAGCCGGTGTTCGAAGCCGTGTTGAACTGGGTCAAACACAACCGGAAAGAGAGAGAGCCCTACCTGCCAGACATGCTCGAGTTTGTCCGATTACCACTCCTGACCCCCCGCTACATTACAGATGTCATTGATGCTGAGGTGAGCCAGGAGACGCACAGCTAATCACACCGTGCACCCAGTGAAGGATTATGTGTTGAAACTTTCATCACAGTTACAGCAGTAATTAAGCAAGTTTTGACACGTTTCAGCCGCTCATACGGTGTAGCCTGCCATGTCGAGACCTCGTTGATGAAGCCAAGAAATTCCACTTAAGACCCGAGCTGAGGAGTGAGATGCAGGGCCCGCGCACACAAGCTAGATTAGGTAGGAGTTCTTGTTTTTTTATTGCAGTGTGACTCAAAGCGAGTCCTCTTATTCCTGCTCTGTGATCAGCACAGATAGTAAAAGTGATTTTAATTCCTTTCAGGTGCCAAAGAAGTCTTGTTAGTTATAGGAGGGTTTGGCAGCCAACAGTCACCGATAGACATAGTCGAGAAATACGATCCTAAAACACAAGAATGGAGCTTCCTTCCTGTAAGTATTGCACTTCAAAAGTACCTCTGTGACTCTCCCAGTTTGTTTGGCTAACACAGACCTGCGTGTCTTTATCAGAACATTGCAAGAAAACGGCGATACGTCGCCACAGTCTCACTCCATGATCGAGTTTATGTGATCGGAGGCTACGATGGTCGCTCGAGGCTCAGCTCGGTGGAGTGTCTGGACTACACCGCTGATGAGGATGGAGTTTGGTACACCGTCGCCACCATGAACGTGCGGCGCGGTCTTGCTGGAGCCACGACACTCGGAGGTGAGCAAGCTCCTTAGCTAAAGAAATTTCTCACGATGTCCCTCATTAAAACTGTTTCTTTGAGTTTGTTTTGTTTCATTTGCTTTTTTTCTCATTTGTTCTCGACAGACATGATTTATGTTGCTGGGGGGTTCGATGGCAGCCGACGTCACACCAGCATGGAGCGATACGACCCAAACATCGACCAGTGGAGCATGCTGGGAGACATGCAGACAGCTAGAGAAGGTGCTGGTCTGGTGGTGGCCAGTGGACTCATATACTGTCTAGGTATGGACTCATGGTATGGATGTCTTGGTCTCCTGAAATTTCCCAACATTTTACAGAGTTCATGTCTAAAAAAGAGTTTGGAGAGTCTCCCTGAGATAACCATTTGAAAAAACACAGAACATCAATCCATTATGAGAGTAGCTTCCTTCTTAATCACATTTACCATCTTTCTCCTGTCAGATTCTCTGAAGCAGTAAAAGTTATTTCCTTTAAAATTGAGGAAACCATTTTCATTTAAGTCACTTATCATCTGTGACTGCAGTCCTTTTGGCTGCTTTACAGATGATTTAGTCCAAGACCCATTTCTTTAGCAGGGATGCACTCAAGACAGGTTTTCACCCGTCACTCCTTTTCAAACACTTTGATGGTTGAGTGACTCTGAGAGACTTCAAATTAATGTTAAATTGACTTGAAGACACACCATTATGGCTTAAAACAACTCACAATGGAACACTTTCTGGGGGATCTGGTTTTTCTACTGCTGCTCTATCAAGCCCAAAAGAGAATCTGATGTTGTGAAATTAGTAGGACCATTATTTGGTTTATAATATGTAATAAAAATTTGCATCTACATTCAACGTTTCCATGCTACTCATTGTTTTCTGCGCTCTTCACTTATATTTTCTCTGATGTCTCCTCACAGGTGGATATGATGGGTTAAACATCCTGAATTCAGTGGAGCGGTACGACCCCCACACAGGCCACTGGACGAGTGTGACCCCCATGGCCACCAAGCGGTCAGGTACGAGTGAAAACAGGAGGAACTGAAATGTCAGTGCTGCGTGCGTGTGTTTCTGCTCACATCTGAAGCCTCTGTCGTTGTTCTCAGGAGCTGGTGTGGCTTTACTGAATGATCACATCTACGTAGTGGGAGGCTTTGATGGGGTTTCACATCTGGACTCTGTTGAGGTCTACAACATCAGAACAGACTACTGGACCACTGTGGCCAGTATGACCACTCCAAGGTGTTATGTAGGAGCAACAGTTCTCCGAGGACGTCTTTACGCCATCGCCGGGTAAGAAGAGTGGCTGTAAAACTATCCAGAAAAGCTAAATCTATAACCTTTGTGTCATAAATATTTATGTAGGTTTTTACCATCTGAAAAGCCCCAAAAAACTTAATATTCACAACACAACTGGGCTTTCTGATCAACTCCAGCCTTGTTGGTTTGTTGTTTTACTCCTACAAAGCCGACCTTGAAGAGACAAGAGGCGCTGTGTCTGTTCTGTGTATCCGTATCTTTGTGTCTATACTTGGAGGGAAAATGAGCGCTTGTGTCACTTTTCTTTTTACATTATGTTTTTAAGATGTCACCAAAACACAAACTTTCACAGTAAACTCTACGTACAGCTCAAACAACCGCAGTCGTTCTTTGTTCATGAAAGTGGCGGTCAGCTCTCTCAGTTCCTTGTTCTCTCTTGTCTCCTTCCCTAGCTATGACGGGAACTCTCTCCTCAGCAGTATTGAATGTTACGATCCGGTGATCGACTCCTGGGAGGTTGTCACTTCGATGGCGACGCAGCGGTGCGACGCCGGAGTCTGCGTCTTACGGGAAAAGTGATCTTTTACCAGATGAAGAACCACAAGTGGAGCCACAGACAGAAGAACAGGCAGCTAGGCTTTGCTAAAATGCCACTAAAACAGAACCACAAAGGGGGGGATGTTCGTTCGCCAGTATGCAAATGGGTACTTTGAAATGAAGTGCAGCAGTTTGGATTGCCTCCTCTGCAGGATGGTGGAGCCTTGACACCAAGACTGTGCGACAGAGATTCAGCTTTGCCGTGGTAGACGTCATCTCAAAAGAGGCCTCCAAGAGCCCACCGCCATGACATGCATGACTCTCTTCGGTGGTACTTGTTGCTGTCGTTACCTGTGAGATTATTTTTTCAGTTTGTCTTCAAAGTGCAATATATTTCTACTCATCATGAGAAAAAAGTAAAAGGAGGAGCCGATGCAGACTCCGGTTGCTGCTATTCGCCTTATGACTTTGGCCTGTATCAAACATCCGCTGCCAACCATTGATGATAGTGACGGTACATTGGCTTATTATCGAGTGTACTCAGTGGCGTTTGCGAGGTCGTAAATGGGTCAGTAATTCAGCCCTTTTTGTAACTCTTCCTGTAAACTGTGCTTTCAGATTCAAATCACTATCTTAAAAGTTAAATTCTTATCGTTGCTCTCAGAATATATATTTAGAAAATAAAGAAATAAAGTTTTAGAAAATGACTGAATTGTAACAGTTGATCGTTTGTCCTTCCATCCGGCGCAAATGCAGAATCTCAGAGTTGTAAGTATGAGGTGCATGTGATTTGGTTTCACATTTCTCAGCTTATGGATTTTGGCATGAGCGTGTGGGACGCAAAGTCATGACGTCACTGTTGCCTGGGAAGTGAATAAACACTCTGAGAACTGAAATGCTTCATCTGTGGTGCATCTGTGAACAAAACAGAGTATCTGCTTCAGAAATTATCAGTTAGACCTGCAACATCTTGGTAAGAAAAACTTAATTTATAGCCACTAATATACCAGTAAACATAGAATAAAAACATAAGTGGTCCCCGGACACTCATTCCCCAGTGAAAAGTCACCTTCAAGTTCCTGTGAGGAGCTTTTAGCTGGTTTAGAAAAAGACATTATTTAATATTAAGGCCTCTTTTTGGATTACCAAAGCTAACAAGACAATCAGCACACAGATAAGTTATTCCTGTAGTCGTGTTCAGTATCTAGGGAAGCTGTAGAGAAGTGATTAACTCAACCAAAAGAGGGTTATGATTTATGATGAGTAACACTCAAGCTAAATGAGTTTTTCATTTTAAAATATTACAGCTTTAAGATATCAAAGAGAGAAGGGAGTTCACATTTTGTCCACAGGGGGGCACTAAAGTCAACACAAATTGAATGTTCGTCATGGTAGCTTTTCATGAATTATGGTTAAGGTACAAAAGACACATTTAAACACCTACCTGTTGATTGAATGTAAACTGCCCATTTAAGACTGATCTCTTAATTATAGTATAATCATAAGACAATATATCCCATAGTTAATTTTGAAAACCTGCCAAACAAATGATATATCTGTCAGTCACAAAATGTTCCACTCTGTGTGTGATGACTTTAGGAGGTGGAAGTTTCACTTTTTAAATTAAATTATTTGGGGAAAATGAACTTTTTCAGGTCATTCTAACTTTTTTTCTTCACTTGTATACTCTGCTATATTCACCTAAATCTGTTCTAGTTGATGTTGCTGACGTTAGTTTAAATTAAGTTTGTCTTTTTGTCCATTAGTGTCAACTAAAAGGTCTCATTTATCCTCATTGTGCAGGTTAGTGACAAACATTTTCAGAGAGAAGAGTGTTCACCCTTCCTTCCCTCCCTCCCTCCCTCCCTCCGCCCTACTTCTCCCTCCTCTACCGTGTAAAGGTTAAAAAAAAACATCAGAGCGACAACAAGGTGAGCCTGCCTGCAGGTATAAAGAGTGTCTGGCAGCAGGCGGGACAGAGCGGAGCTGTGCTGACGGAGAGAAGAGTTACCTGTCCCAGAACAGAGGAGCTACCATCAGAGGAGTGTGGAGAGTACGACTAAAAAATCCTGAGTCAAACCAACTTTAATCGTCTGGAGCAAAATGGTAAGATCATTTCACACAGTGAAAGAGGTGGAAACTTCACTTTGGAGGGTGTGATATCTAGTCATTTGCTTCATTCAATAATATATCTGTTTTTTTTCCTAAATATCTACGCACTTCTTTTTTTTTTCCACAAATGAAAGATGTGCAGCGTGAGATCGGATTGTTATCAAAGCTACAAAACCTTCAACACTTAATGCTGCATGTTTCCTGTGTTTATTAAGATGAAGTCATTAAACAAACCTGCAACGTTCAGTAGACTTCAATGATGTCCTTATATAACTGCACAGTGAGCGTTAATGGTTTTATGATTTCACAATCACTGACAGACAGCCAGCAAGAAGAAGAGCTCAGCACTTCATTTTTAATCTGACAAATTAGAGCCTTTAATCTCAGTCTTTGTGAATCTGTAACTCTGTGTGTATTTTAATAATCAATATTCATATTTATCATGATGATTATTTCAAACTTTGGTCCCCCTCACCCTGTCTCCCAAGTGTCACTCAGCAGCTAAAAATCATCTTGGGGGATGTTCCTCCTCCAGGGAAAACAAAGGCTGAAATTCTCCGCGTGTACAAACTTGACTGCGGGAAGCACTTAGAAAAATGCAACAGTACAGTGTTAGAATAAGCCTGTTGTGTTTTGACATTATTTACTCTCAATGACTGGAAAAGCCCAGAACAAGAGAACAAGAGGACAGACTTTAACGGGGTATTATCAGACAGTTTGCACAGCACACTTAACTGCTGTATTATGAGACAAAGAAAGGCCAAATAAAATTCAATTCTATTAACAACAGGGAACCAAATTATCTAAGAGACAATTGACTTTTCTTTCAAAGTAAAATCCTTCACTGCTTAATCAGGCATTGGTTTAGTTTTGCGCCCACAGAGTTTTGTACGCAGCATGTACTTATCCTCGCCTTTGTTTGTTCCAGTTTAATCAGCCTCTCTTCATAAACTTTTTAAACTTCCTTAATTTCAGAGTAGCAAACTGCACTTTTACAGCTCAGTCAAAAGTCTGATGAAAGGCACAGTTTATCACAAATCGACCAATCCTCAATTCCCAACATCCCCCAGTGTCCATGTACAGTTCACGTGTACACAGTGACTTGCAAATGGCCAGCATCTATTAGATAAATATGTTCATGGGGAGACATGGAGGGCAGTCAGTCTGCTTATGAAGGGGAAAAAAGCGCAAAAGATTAAGTATTAATTTTATCAGACATTGATCGGAAGTATTACGAAGTTTAGAGGTGACAAGAGGAGTCTTTAAAAAATCTCTCTTTGTGTCCCTCTCTGCATGATAAAACCCGGTTTTCATCTTTTTCAGCTCCCATTTTTTCTTCATATTTGAACTGTCACCTGTTGGTTCCTCCTGTAATGTTATTTGCATGCAATAATGGTCCCTTTAACTGTCAAAATGAAGAGAATCTCTATATTGGATGGTAATAAACATAATTCTGCTTCAAGTGCCTGAATTGTGAGTATCTAAAAAATGTCAGGGACTGCTGTTTTAGCATTATATACACCCTAGATACTTCGAATCATTGATGCTCTATTTGAGTCACTAGACCTGATATTTCTATCTTGAACATGTAGTGACAGGATCTCAAACTCTGGCTAAGCAGACACTAAACGATTTTATAAATGTCAAGGTGGAAAGTGAACACACTGTACGAGTAAACTGTTCACACACTAACAAATGATGTGCTCGCACAGAATCAATCAATCAATCTTTATTTGTCTCACCCCAATTCACTCCAAGTGTTATCCCATGATGCTTAGCAGTCAAAGCAAGTCTAGACTGTACTCTGTTTACAAAGACGGGATAAGTCTGAGCCCCATCTTAGCGTGTAACACTTTGCAGCATTTACCAAGTTACAGTGGAGAGGAAAAAGTTCCTGTAACAGGCAGAAACCTTGAGCAGAACCAGACTCATGTTAGACAGTCATCCCCCGCCGCTGCCTAATTAGAATCTTGGAAACATCTTAAACTATGGATGTAAAACTGAAAAGATATGAACCACAAAAGTTGTCAGTTTTGTTGTTTTTTTGGGAAGAACTTCTACAATTGTCACCTTCACTTCTACATTTGTTGCTTTCTTTGTCGCTCCAGAGAGAGTGCATCTCCATCCATGTGGGCCAGGCAGGTGTGCAGACTGGAAATGCATGCTGGGAGCTCTTCTGCCTGGAGCATGGCGTTGGACCTGATGGTGTCTTCCTTGATAACCAAACAGAGCTGAACTCTCGTGAAGACCCGTTCAACACTTTCTTCAACACGGGGAGTTCTGGTCGTCACGTGCCGAGAGCGCTTTATGTGGACTTGGAGCCCACTGTTGTTGGTGAGTAATGCACTTAGTGTGTTCCATCCTCCTCATATGTATTTTTTCTTTGTTGACAGGCCCACCTCCCTGTTACATGACAGTATAAATCCATATAAGTCATGCAAGCACCTACAGATGGGAACACTGGTATCCAAGCAACAAATGCAGAGTCGACTTCATTGCCTTTTGTTCAGTGCAGGCTAACATTTACACAGGAATATCATGTAAAGAGCAACTTGATCACATGGGTCTTTAGACGAACGGTCTTGAGTTTCTGATGTATAATTTACATTTTTATGCCTATGCATGGAACCCTAAAATTTACAGCTCCAAACAGGAGTTATGAAAAACACACATATTAATACTGTGCTGACTGCAGCAAAGAAGAAGAGAGTGGTTGTCGTGCATGAAAAATGTACTTGTGGGTGTTTTTGGTGGTAAAAACTGGACAAATGGAAGGCTGTTATTATCATGCACGACAGGAGCTTCATGTCTTTCCAAGACTACTGTCACTTTTCTGTAAGGAGGAGTGAGCAAGGGAGCATTTCAGTTCATTTTTAACTCACTTGCTGTCAGATTATCCTGAAGATCTTGGCACACATTGAAAAAAAAGAAATCTGGTAAAGGACAGTTGATTAGAAAATAAATTTATCATTTGACCATGAATTTACTCCATTAATCTCCTGATAAACATTCCCTTCTCCACTCCACGGTTCAATTTTTCTCTTACGATGATGATCACATATACAACTGTGTATGTGCAGTTTTATTTATGAATGTATTCAGTGATATCTTAACTTGTCTGATACTCTTTCGGTGCATTTATATGAATGCAGGGTGGGTCGTTTATTTGTAATCTTTAGAAGAAAAAAAGTCAAAACCATCTATGTGAACAGAATCAGCTGTGAAGACGTCAATAAATCAATTGGGTTGAAGGTTGAAGATAATGTGAAGGCAAAGACGATGAGCTACAAGCCTTGACGTGTCTGTTTTATTCGACTAGTCTGGCCTGACAAGTTAAACTCAAATCATGTTTATCACATCAGACTTTCTGATTATGACCTTTTTTTTTCAGATGAGGTGAGGGTTGGAAAGTACAGAGAGCTTTTCCACCCCGAACAGCTGATCTCTGGAAAGGAAGATGCAGCCAACAACTACGCTCGTGGTCATTACACGGTGGGGAAAGAGGTCATTGATGGAGTCATGGAGCGTATTCGCAAAATGGTGAGTAGTAGTGATAAGAATATTTTCATAACTGTTATTTAGCTATTTCCAAGGGGATAGATGTGAAGACGGAGGAAGTATTTTTCTTCTGCAGTATTCTATAAACAAGTGAATGTGTAAAAGTGTGAAGACCATATTTCAGTTTATTATGAGCTACAAACTGTGGCATCAATCTTCTCCTTAGAGTTTCTTCAGGAAAGTAAATAAGTAAAAAATATGTTGAGCTTTGTTTTTTCTCTTTGTTTGTTCTTTTTGTTTCCATCATCAGACCGACCAGTGCACAGGTCTGCAGGGTTTCCTCGTTTTCCACAGCTTTGGAGGAGGAACCGGCTCTGGCTTCACCTCTCTGCTGATGGAACGTCTTTCTGTCGACTACGGGAAGAAGTCAAAGCTGGAGTTTGCGGTCTATCCTGCTCCACAGGTTTCCACAGCTGTAGTAGAGCCCTACAACGCCATCCTGACCACCCACACCACCTTGGAGCACTCCGACTGCGCCTTCATGGTGGACAATGAGGCCATCTACGATATCTGTCGTCGCAACATGGACATCGAGAGTCCTGGTTACGTCAACCTGAACAGATTGATCGGTCAGATTGTTTCCTCAATCACAGCTTCTCTTAGGTTCGATGGCGCCTTGAATGTTGACCTCATGGAGTTCCAGACCAACCTGGTCCCATTTCCACGTATCCACTTCCCGCTGGTCACCTACGCGCCCATCATCTCCGCAGAGAGGGCATACCATGAGCAGCTGACTGTGGCTGAAATCACAACCGCCTGCTTTGAACCGGCCAATCAGATGGTCAAGTGTGACCCTCGGCATGGCAAGTACATGGCATGCTGCATGCTGTACAGAGGTGACGTTGTCCCCAAGGATGTCAACGCTGCCATTGCAAATATAAAGACCAGGCGCTCCATTCAGTTCGTGGACTGGTGCCCCACGGGCTTCAAGGTGAGAAACAAGATGAACTTGCTCTCCAAGGGAGACAACTCCTGTGAACGTAATGTAAACTATGAACCAAATGTCTATCATCTAAGACAGCTTGGCTTTCAGTTTATCACTTCAAACTGACGTGTGTAAATGTACAGCCAACAAAACCAAAGTACATCTACATCTACAGAAACTTCATTCCTGTGATTGCTCTCTGTGTCTCGACAGGTCGGCATCAATTACCAACCTCCCACCGCAGTTCCCGGCGGAGACCTCGCTAAAGTCCAGAGGGCCGTGTGCATGCTGAGCAACACCACCGCCATCGCCGAGGCCTGGTCACGCCTGGACCACAAGTTCGACCTCATGTACGCTAAGCGTGCGTTTGTCCACTGGTACGTGGGTGAGGGTATGGAAGAGGGGGAGTTTGCCGAGGCCAGAGAGGACCTGGCCTGCCTGGAGAAGGATTACGAGGAGTTGGCTCATTCGGGCGTTGATTCTGACTATGACGATGAGGATGGGCAAGAATATTAAACCTCTGCGCTCCAACAGCTGCACTGCAATGATGGTTTGTATAGAGTCAGTCACAAAAGGTGTAACAAAACATTTTACCATGATAAGATATCTGTTATGATACCTGATAGGTGATATGATATAGGATTGCTTTGAAAGCTTTAAAAGACCATCAAGAATCGATACACAGTCAGTCGTCATATATCATGCAGGTGGCATTGATATGATGAATGTATTGTTACACTCCATCAATCACTGCTGCATTCTGCTTCTGTCCTGTCTTTTCTTTTCCAGACTGATCTCCTTTTTACTGTCCTGTTTTCATTATGTCAGCTTTAGATTAAAGCCCCTGTGAGGACGTTTTAAGCCGGTAATGAAAAAGCCTGAAATTATGTGGTGCCTCTTTTATTACTTAAAAAATCAAACAAGATCTTCAGCTACAAACCTGCCTGTTTCTTTATTGTAATTTGTATGCCCATAACCACTGCAAGAGGGTTAATGACAAAATTATTGACTATACATTGGAGAAACTGCCTTTTACCTTTTCCACAGCAGGAATTTACTTTGAGTTGATTTTTATTTTAAAGCAGGGGAGACTTTTTTTGTCCCCAAACACTCCTTATACGTACAGGACAAGATCAGCCAAAGAGTTAAGAGGTATCACATTAACCACAAGTGACACCAAGATTGACACAAACACAGTTCCTCACAGGAGCTTAAATCCCCTGACCACCTAAATGATGCTCTTTACCTGTAACCAAAGCTACTTTACATTAACTAAACCTGATAGATAAAAATAATGAGCATTTTTCTGTAAGTTTTAATATCATTTTCCTTACATGAGGACAATGGGTTACTGTTTATTTCACGCCTAAATGTTGCTGTTACAACTAAGAGAGAAAGTATTTTGTTTTTTGTCTTTGCCTCTATTTTTCCATCTTTATTGTTCTATCACATATCTTAGAAAATGTATCACAAAAGATGTCTTTTTAATAAAAAAAGGGGCAAAAATAACACACCTCACGCAATATCTTGTTTTGTCTTGTGAACAAACTGTTGGTTTCTTTCCCTTTGTATTCTTGTAAACACTTCCACTTTGTCTTGCACTTTCACTTTCAGTGTATCTTGTTTCAATAAGCCTGTGAAGTCATATTTAGTGAAGTCAGAATCAGACTAGCCTGCGTGACTTCCTCGTGTTATAACGCATTTCTTCAGTTTTTCGGTTTCTGTATTAGTTTATTTTTTTGACTTCCTAAACATCAGGACATAAAGATTTGGTCAAGTTCTTACATTAAGTGTCTTGCATCCTCTGACTGCAGATGACAGGAGACGTGACAAAACGCTCATCCAACCGAACTGCACAGCTGTCTATCTAAACAATGAGTTCCGGTAGCCGTAAAGGTGTCACCTGAACAGATTCATCCGCGCAAGTGTAAACATAGAACAGTCCACAAAGAGAAGAAAGATGACTATCACTTCATGGCACAATGCAGAGAAAGTAGGGCGTCAGTCTGGAAGGAATGTAATTAACTTTAGCACAGTGAAGAAATACAGATGTCAATCATTGTTACAGTAACTTTAATCTGTGGAGTTGAGCTATCAAGCCTATGGAAGACAATTCATAATCCCACAAAGACTGCATATTACATACTTTTGTAGGAGACATTATGATATAAAAGGTGAATTATAACCTTTTTATAAATGATTTAAAAGGATGTGATTACAGTTTGACTGCAGCTGGTTGAAGAGAGTTAATCTATCAAGGACTGGGCTGAAGTTCAAGTTTAACTTTTGTGTTTTTCTCATTTTGCTTTACTTTCTAGTTCTGCTCTTCACAAATTTAATACATTTTTACCAGTATGCAGTGTCCTAATGTTCATATACACCTGAGAGATTAAAAGCAAATACTTTTTAGGGTTCAAAACAAATTAAAAGGTGTGTCAGTAATATGCTTTGTTAGTTATATGCTGTTAAATTGCAATGCTTTCAGTAAAATGCTGTGATCATATAGAATAGGTTAAAAAAAACATTTAAAAGTAGATCCAACTGAACCAGCAACAGTATGGAAAATAATTTCATTTCATTTCAATGCAGTTTTAATAATAACTGACCAATTTAATACAGTATAATATTATGGTATCATGAGCTTAATAGTTGTGCACATTTGTTTAAGTGATACTCTGTAAAAAAAAAAAACCCACTGTAGAATACACTGTAAGACAACGCTTATTCTTATTATTATTATTCTTATTCTTATGCACCATGGGTCTGAGAAGACTGAAATTTCATCTGTGCTGTATGTTTAACATGTATAGCATATTTGACAATAAAGTTGACTTTGACTTTTGACTTTGAGTGCAAATTAATAGCCCACTCACCGTAGCAAATTCAATTTTGACATGCAAACAATAAGGGCAACAAAGATTAATATACTGTTATTACAATGGATATATTCTTGAAATGTTCACTTTTAAATAAGTAAAAGAAAAATGTGTTAACCAACCATTTTAATATGTGCATGGGGCATCCACGGGGTAAACTGTGAGTATAATGAAGATCCCACTAAAAAGAAGTACTTGCATTTTGTTAGTTGTTATTCAGTGGTTTAAATACCTCAGGTCTGCTGTTACATACTGCTTAGAAAATTGAATCATGATAAAATGCAGGCTATATGAAGCAAAACTGATGGATATCTGCAGTAGTAAGCCACGTTTGGGATTATAAACTGAACTGTAGGGGTATGATGAATTTATATAACATGGGTAGTGACTAAAACTATTATCACCTAAATTACAGCAGCCCCGCATTGACAAAAGTTAAAATGTTGTGTTTCTCAAACAGCACATTAAGAAGTCACCCAAATCATACGGACACACAGAAATCACGCACGTCTTAATATTATATCAGCGGTGTCTAGTTTTTTCAGCGGACGTGCTCACTGCCTTGGAACATTCTCCTCACTGTGCATGGATGTGTGTGTGTGTAAGTGTGTGTGCGAGAGTGTGTGTGGTTGTAGCCTGTATGTGTGTAAGCTGCCTCCTCTCGTGTTGATGACGACTGACTGCCACCGAGTCTGACGGCGAACAAACGGGATTTTTTTAAATAATCAAAAACGCCCTCATCCGAAACTGTTTACTTTCTGAAGTGGGTGACCTCTCCTGTCCGAGCAACCACCGCCGGGTCGGTCCGACACGATGAGCCAGCCTCGGCCGGACGAGTTCAAGCCTCCTCCGGAGTGCCCGGTCTTCGAGCCCAGCTGGGAAGAATTCAAAGATCCGTATGCCTTCATCAATAAGATCCGTCCCATCGCTGAGAAAACTGGCATCTGCAAAGTCCGACCGCCTCCGGTGAGTGCGAGAAAGCCGTTAAAAACGTTACGCGGATGCTGAACGGTTGAGACGGCGGTTAGATGGACCGAGCGCTCGGGATTTAAAGGGACTGTTCAACATGGCGGAGACTCGGCTGTGTTCATTCTTTGTGCTGCCACTGCTTAGCTACCCCTTCTTCTGTCATTATACCTATCGTAGCCGTGCTTTTGTGCCAGCTTTGCGCTTCTTAGGGTTAATAAAAGTGCGCCAGAGTATTAAAAGTGAATTATACCCATCGTTTACCGAGTGTCAACAAAGCCTCAGAGGTCCAGTCATTGAGCCACTTGATTAGCTAGCATGCTAACTCAAGCCAAGCGCTCACCAACCAACCTGTCATAATTGACGCTTTGATATAGGTGGCTATGCGGAAGCCTTTCTGTTGCGTTTGAAAGGATTATATTGTCATAAAATAGACATGGATGTTTACTCTATGCTGTATTTATCCCCCTTTTGTCCTTACACGTCCTGAGAGCCCTGCAGCTGACGTTAATTATGGATTATTTGTGTAGTAGCATCATGATGCAGTTGGGTCACTCAGTGTACTTGTGATCCATCACCACTCGGCCAGAAAGTAGTTTGTTGTGATTATTCAGAGACGACTGTGCATTTTGGATGAGCTTGTTTACAATTTCATAAAGATAAATTACCAGAGAGAATACCTCACAATGAGAAGCACACAGATATCTGATCACAAAAAAACACTTTTAGTGCTTAAAAAAACAAGTTGTGACTTTTGAACTTGTGTTTTAGCCCGTCATGTTCCCCAGAAGCGTATTAGTTTTGCATGTTATCATATTTTAAATGTCTTATAGATGGGCCCCTGTTCATGTATGAGCCTGTGTTGTAGGGTGTTGTCCTCCATGTTGGCTTTGTGGTAAGCTGGGCTGGTGAGTGAGTCTTCCATCTGGCCATTTTGTGTGCCAGTGGGGGATGTTGGCTACTGACTTAATACAAGAACTTGGGTCTTTGGGTATTACCAGTGTAAATACAAGGTCATGAATGATATTGACACAGATATTGATCAGTGTTTTGGCTTATAAACAGAAAGGGTTCACTGTGTTTTTCCGCCCTCAGCAGAGGTCTTTGTATTTTTGGCTCAACTTGATCCTCAAATTAATTCAAAACTGTAAAATATAGAAATTCACCTTGTACAGTAACCTGTTTCAGTACAGTTGCATCAATGTGGGTTAGTAATCTGGAGATTTCTACATTTATTTTTGCAGTCTTTGAAGCAGCTGTCTCAAGGCCACGGCTATAAAAGAAAAAATGAAATAATCAAATAATGTGTGCCGTCAAGGAATGAATTCAACTCTTTTAAACTTCCACTGACAAAACTATCAAGGCAACATTTTTAGTTCATGACAACCTTCATTTGTGTATTTGTTGCTGTTTAGGGTTGGCAGCCTCCATTTGCTTGTGATGTCGACAGACTTCACTTTGTCCCCCGGATCCAGAGGCTCAATGAGCTGGAGGTGAGTGCTGTTTGTCAGATTAGATCAGTGATTAATATTTGACTATGTCTATTTTTGTGTGTTTTTAAGTAATGAAATAAAATTTGTTTATTTAAATTGATTTTATTCCTTTTGATGTTATTGGCTCTGCAGCTGCACTGGTTATACAAAAGCCTATGATGCGATCAGTGCTTATTAACTCTGTTTTACTGAAATTTGTATTGCATTAAAGTTCCTTTCTCTCAATTTTAAACCAGAAATGGATGAGTTCATCTGAAACAACAAGTTGCAGTGCCTTTTCTTTTACCCTCCGTCAGCCTGGCTTGATTAAATTTTTCCTCGTAATCGTCCCCTGAGATTATTTTGGTTTTTATTGAATGCCTTGAATTCCTTGTCTCAGTTAATTTTCTTTAAAAAAAAATCTATTTATAACTGTCTGTTGTCTTTTATTGTGTTTTCCCAGGCTCAGACCAGAGTCAAGCTCAACTTCTTGGACCAGATTGCCAAATTTTGGGATTTGCAGGGATGTGCCCTAAAGATTCCCCATGTGGAGAGAAAGATCTTGGATTTATATAAGCTGAATAAAGTTAGTACTTACTGTTACTGTACACGGTTTACATGCAGTTAATGACTGCTTTATTAGAAATAGTTATACAGTTATACAGGTGATGGTTTTAACTCCTATTCAGAGTTAAGGGTAAAGAGGGTGGTATTATTGTTTGGCAGAGTAGTTTCAAATGTTCTGTCCCTCTCCTGTATGTAAATGGAGAGGATAAGATGTCACGCCTCAGTGTAATGCACACTATTTAAATACTAGAAAGTACAACCTGAACCAAAGATTTGCACCTGAATAAATACATTCTGTAAAATGTCCTAAAACGACCAATATCATCACTGTACCTCCCTGTTATTTCAGCTGGTAGCAGAGGAGGGCGGATTTGACATTGTGTGTCAGGACAGGCGATGGACCAAGATTGCTCTACAAATGGGATTCGCTCCTGGCAAAGCTGTGGGCTCACACCTGCGAGGGCATTATGAGAAAATACTCTATCCCTACAATCTGTTTCAGAGCGGAGCAAACCTGCTGGTGAGTTGGACACACGCATCATTATGTCAGCCAAACAGAGTGTGGTTCATTCGCAAACAGAGCCCTAATAATGCTTAACTCCATTTTTTATTACTACCAATGATGAACTTTTGAGTTAAATGACACGTTTATCAAACTGGAACGTTTCTGTTATTGAGAACATGATCCCTGTAAATGATTCAAGGGGAAGATCTTTATAAGATAAATTTACACAAATGCATTATTAGGATATGCATGTTATATGTTGGATTGCAGTTGTGTGTTGGATTGTCTTTTATATTTATTTCAGTTTTGTTTCTTTGGAAGAGTTAACTAATCAGATCTGGCGTCTAGCCGTGTCATTTGGTAGTTTTTACGCTCTAATCTTTCAAAACATGTTGCAAAGAGAGCTTATCCCCCTGTTGTTGGATTGGTGCTGTGTGACCTCATGGCCAGGTCACTTTAAATTGTTTAATTACCCAAGCTCTCTCTTGCCTCAGGCACCAGAGGCAGCTTCCAAACTGATGGGTTTGGAGGCTGATCCTGAACTTGAAAAGGTATGTTTGAGCCGTGGTCAGAAGCCACTTGGCCTCTTAATTAACAAACTGCATGTGAATCTCTGGCTGTGTGACAGTATGTTGTAAACTCAGCTTCTCCATGTTGTATTTGCAGATGTGGTGTAGTGAAAAGATTACCTCAAACATCTTTTCTTTAGTTTTGAATCCAATATGTGTTGACATGTATATGTAGCTTGAGACAAATGGACAATACAGTGTTGCAGATTTTCTTTCTTCTCCTGTCCTTTTCAAATTCCACTCTGATTTTATAAACAACTCACACACAGCTGCTGCACACAGCATAAACCATTCCTTCACTTCCTTATTGGCATGTCGCTCCTTTTTTTAGTATAATTTTGGTTAAAATCTGCAACTAACACATTTTTCTTACGGCCACTTTTGTCCTGTGGCTGTGAAAACTGTTAATCCATGAAAGAGTACATTTCCCTGCCCATCATCTGGGTTTGTTAGCTCCTGATGTGTCATACATTTCATGATATATTGTCCCTGTTGATATTTAGTTGCAGTGGTAACTGAATTTGTAATCACATAGGGAAACTCCTTTTATCGATGTAGCCATAGACAGTTCCTGTTTTAGTCACAGAGATCATTGAATTCTTTCTGATAGTTGCTTGTGACTGTACAGGTATTTCCAGTTACACGGATGTTTTTTTAATAGTGAGTCATGGTTTTGATTAGAATACTCTCTCCTACAGTGTGTTCAGAAGCCAGTTCAGCCAATGGAGAGCACAGAGAGTAAGGAGAGTTTGGACACTAAGGATCAAAAGCTGCAGGACCAGGCTCAGAAGCAGCCTGCTCAGACGCCCGAACCTTGCCCCAACGCACGCAGAGCCAAGCGCATGAAGTGCGAGGTGGGTGTCACAAACACCTGACTCAAGCTGTCTCCAATCAAGCACACTTCATTTGTTTGTACACTCAGTCACCGTTGTTGTAGTTTCAATGCTCACTGCAGTCTCACGCTCCACCCTCTCTGCAGCTTACCTGTGTGAAAACTGAGCCAGGTGAGCCTGGTGAAAGCAAGCCCAACCTGAGGAGGAGGATGGGGTCTTTTGTAGCCAAGCAGGAACCAGGTGAGGCTACGAGAGTCAAAGTGAACAAATATTTCCATCAGTGCTAATGTTGTCTTGATATCATATTTTCACCTCACAATTATCACAATCAAAACAATCCACAGTGAAAGTAATATTGAGATATTCATGGAGAACTTGAGGAAAAAACACTATCTGTTATCACTAGTTGCTTTATCGCTTTGTTTCTATTAAGGAGGGGCAAGAAGAGGGTAGAGCAGCACATAATTTCATAAGCTAATGAATGTAACTTACCAACAGGGAATTATTCATTTCCAATGACGGCCATAGTTCTGTTTTTTCTGCGTCATTGGACCTGCAACAGAATCATCTAATTAAAAGAAAACTTCCTGTCTTCTTGTCACTCATTCTCCATGAACACCCTGTCTTTTTACCAAATATTAAACTCTCCCACATTGGCGGTAAACTATTTTTGAGATAGAGTCCTTTGCTTTCATCTCTTCAACCAAACACTGTAGTACAGACTAGCTGGTTATTAAGTCTTCTGTTTCTGCTGCCTCTTATTCATCCTCCCTTAGTTTTAAGTAACCAGCTTAAAGAACTACTACACACCATACGATAAACTGACTGGTCACACAGTATCACTGTTTGCTCCTTTGTAGCCCAAGATTAATATTCCTTCTTTTAAAGACTGTTATCATCAATAACAGTTTATCACATCAGCCCTCATTAATTTCTTTTGTGTCGCTTTAGCCTTACATTTGGCATAAGTGAAAAACTGATCTACAGGGGAAGTTTTACTCGTTGATAAGCACTTACTATTCTTTTGTAACATTGCCACTTTCGACTACATTCAAACTTGTTATAAAGATGTCATTAAATGACAGTAAAATGTTTAATACTGTGGGTTAAAGACAGGTGTATGTACTGTGGAAGTGTTACACTCAGCATGGCGTAAAAGTTGTTTTCTTGTGTTGCAGAAAAAGAGATTCCTATTCTAGTAAAACAGGAACCAGTTGAAATTAAGGAGCCAATTATTGAAGCTGAGAAACCCAAGTCACGGTACAAGAAATACGTCCCTCCTGTCCTCCCAAGTCCAGTAAGTCCAAGTTTTCTATAAGCTCCTCTTTTTGGATGAGATGCAGCTTTACAAGATCCCAAAATTCTTAAAGAAAAATTAATAGACTTGTCAGTTTAAGCATCATCAGAGGTACAAGCTCAACTTTAATCTTTCATCTTCAAACTTGTTTCAATATCTTTTTTATGTTCGTATTTTATTCAAGTTTTGTCATTAAAAACATGTTTGGTTATATGAAAAAAAGTGTCATGTCTCTCTGCCTCACGATAATCTATATCGGGTGCATAGACAAGATGAACACGAGCACATTTTATTACAAAAAAGAGAAGAAACAAATGCAACAACATGAACGATTGACTGGAGGAACAAAGCCTGTAACTGTAACTGATCGATTGTTCCTGTGATCATCTATAAAAGACTATTGTCATTATCAGGTGGACAAAATGATCAAGATCTTGTCCATATTTTCAGTAACAGTCTGATAGCAGTATCTTCATTTAAAGCTAAGTAGGAATGAGAAAAATGAAAGATATGAGTGAATGTTGTTTTCATTATTTATTTCATATCCCCCATAAAAAAAAAAAAAACACTAAACAGGAATCAAAAACACCTTCATTGTATTTTTCTTTCCTGGACTGAGTTGCAGAAAACTGAGTTCTTGAATCCAAGAAGCACTAAAGACAGAATGAAACCTGAGTGCTCAGACCACCTCAGGAAGTGGTTTGAGATGCTCTTCAACCAAATGTACAGAGGCGTCCTTCTTTCATTGACGCCTGTTTAGTCTTTCCTTCTCCCACAGTGTAGTTCTGAAAATTATCATAAAGGTTTCTGTATTTTTTGATTTTCTTCAATCCCTGTTGTGAGTCCTCCTGTCATGTGAACACCAGCAGCTGAAGTTGCTGCATAAATCAAAATTACACTGAAATTAGCCGTTTGCTCTCTGTCTCATTAAAGCTACAAGGAAAAATGGCCCCAGCGATTCCTACAGATTCAATCACATACCAGGTAATTTGTCTAAACCAGGAGCTTTTATTCGACTAAGTGTAAGAAAAGTGTTTTAAATCTCATCTGGGCTGTTTCTTGGTAGAATTGGGATGTAAAGAGTTAACGGGGCCTTCATATTAGACAACATGTACAAGGAAATGTTTCTCTTAACTTTGAGGAGAGGTTCCAGTTCAAAAAGGATCATTACAGAAGAAAGTCTTTGCTGCTTTGATGCTCTGTCAGTCACCATGACTCTGTGCGAGGTTTGTAACCAACTGCTCTCTTTGTTCTCAGGTGGATTTGGTTGTGTGTCTTGTGTGTGGCAGCGGGGGAGAAGAAGACCGTTTGTTGCTGTGTGACGGCTGTGACGACAGCTACCACACTTTCTGCCTGATCCCTCCTCTGCACGACGTCCCCAAAGGAGACTGGAGATGCCCCAAGTGTCTGGCTCAGGTGAAAATAAACAGCAGTGTCTTTTTTTTTTTTTTAATAGGATGCAAATTGCCTCTCAAGTAATAAGCTCTGCTAGTTATCCAAACAACAAGAACAAGTCTGTCTACTCCTCTCTCTGATATGTATTTTCTGACTTACCCTCAGGAATGCAACAAACCTCACGAGGCGTTTGGCTTTGAACAAGCGTACAGAGACTACTCCCTGCGTGCATTTGGACAAATGGCTGATGCATTCAAATCTGATTACTTCAACATGCCAGTTCATGTGAGCAAAACATTTCTCATCATAAATCTGTCGGTCTCTCTCTCGCTTTGAGTATTTCAGATTTAACCTAATGTCTTCTTCATGGGTTGGTTACAGATGGTACCCACGGAGCTGGTGGAAAAAGAGTTTTGGCGTTTGGTTGGAGCCATTGAAGAGGACGTTACTGTCGAATATGGAGCTGATATCGCCTCAAAGGAGTTTGGAAGCGGATTCCCTATTCCGAATGGGAAATTCAAGGTTTCCCCTGCTGACGAGGTATGCCTCATCCATTGATTTCATGTTAAACTTATACTGTAGCTCCCTTTAGAAGAACTATCACTGGTTGCAACACAGAACCTGGTTATCAAACCACATCAAGCGATACCAAGCGAAACCGTCTACTTCGCTGTAATGCTTGTGTTGATAAACTTTGTGTGCTCCTCTTGTGCAAAAGTATCAAGCACAGCCCTCCTCTACTGTTCCCAATGGTACTTCAATGCACCTCTCAATATTACACACATAGAACGACATGCAAATCAACTGGGACCCCTCTTCTGATATTCCAGCCCTTACTGACTCCTTTATGTCACAGTAAAGCACTTAGTGCAGCAAACAGGCCCAGCAAAACCCTGAATTTATATCTCACAATTTGCATTTTCACTAAGAGGTCTTCTTCTTTTAGATACGGTGCAGTACACTCCTTCTTAAATCTCAATTTTAGTCCTTATGGCACCTAAAAACAAACCTGTACCATCCTCCTTTTTGGCATTCCTCTGTTGAGGTGATCCAATCTTAAACTGCAGTGTTTTGGAAGGAGGAGAAGAAGAAGGGAGATATTGCACTTAATGAAATCTCTCCTAGCCTTGTTTTTTTTTTATCTGATTAGAGTATTATGACATTTATGAATGTTTTTATTTGGCAGCTATTAGGTGTATGCAAACAGCTTCTTAAATCACACACAGTCAGAGGGGCACAGAGATGACTGCAAAGGGAGAGAGAGATAACAAAAGATGAATGAAATCAGAATAGAAGCATTCTATAAGAACAACAGAAAGTACAACTAAGGTAAAACTTTCGTGTTTTTGACCTGAGTAAAGACAGCTCTCAGTTCGTCATTTGTATATGTTGATTTAGCTGAGATCTGCTGGGCTCATGATGAGAATCAGGTAAGGTGCGTTGCTCACATCAACTGTCTGAGTGGTCTGGTTTGTGAACACGTACACCAAAAATCAAGCCACTTTGAGGTGGTCACACAGCCTACATCCTTCCTGCTTGAGGCTCCAGGGTAGGGTGCAGTCTGCTGTTGAAATGCAAGAACAATCAGGGTTTAGGGTACCAAAGTGTGCTGAGCTGTATCAGGCTGAATTAATTTTTCTGTGTGTATTTGTATTTGTATTTATTTATTTAGCACAAATTAAAAACAGGGCAGTCAGGGCAGTGAAGACATAGAGTGCAAACGACAAAGTAACTATGACATAGATATACATATAGGTTATAAATATACAGTGATTAGGGAAAGGTCAAACAGATACAAATTGTCATAGATAGAACTCAGACTAATCATCAACCACTGATAGAGACAATATAAGTATTCATAAAAATTAAAGAAACATGATCATAACAGATAATGACGTGTTTAAGACATGATCAGATGAGATTTTAATGATATTTTAAAGGATTTGAGGGATGATATTGATTTTAGAGATGCATCCAGATTATTCCATAGTTTCAGTCCTCTAAAAGTGATATTAGACTGATGACTAGAAGTTCAACAGGAGGGTAACTGAAGATGGCCATTTTGTGTGTCTGTGTCTGTGTATCTTACATGCTTACAGGCTTTGGTCAATAAGTTATCTTTGGTCTTGTGTCTCGTGTTTTGCAGAAATACCTCAAATGTGGGTGGAACCTGAACAACCTGGCCATGATGAATCCTTCAGTGTTGACTCATGTGACAGCTGACATTTGTGGGATGACGCTGCCGTGGCTTTATGTCGGCATGTGCTTCTCCTCTTTCTGCTGGCACATCGAGGATCACTGGAGCTACTCCATCAACTACCTGCACTGGTACATAAGAGAGGAAAAGATCTGATGCCACTCTTTGGTTTTGGTTCATTTCAATCTTAATATAATGTTTTTTTTGTGTGTGTTTACTACAAGGGGGGAGCCTAAAACTTGGTATGGAGCTCCTGGTTTTGCAGCAGAACAGCTTGAGGAGGTGATGAGGAAGCTGGCCCCGGAGCTGTTCGAGTCTCAGCCTGACCTGCTGCACCAGCTGGTCACTATCATGAACCCTAACACTCTAATGGCCCACGGAGTCCCAGTATGTTTCATGCAGCTTCTTTCACATTGATGTCTGAACATTTTCAGACTAACAGCTGGATTCTGTAACATGATCACTGACTGTATCGTTTCTCTGCTTTTCATCAGATTTACAGAACAAATCAGTGCGCCGGCGAGTTTGTCATCACGTTCCCCAGAGCCTACCACAGCGGCTTCAATCAGGGCTTCAACTTTGCTGAGGCGGTCAACTTCTGCACTGTTGACTGGGTACGCACCTCTACATGTTGTGCTTTTTTCACGAGTTTAAAACAATATCCCCCTTCGAAATAACCATCCGTCCCTCTTTGTCACTCCAGATGCCTCTGGGAAGGCAGTGTGTGGATCACTACCGTATGCTGCACCGGTACAACGTGTTCTCCCATGATGAGATGGTGTGCAACATGGCCTCCAAAGCTGACACACTCGACGTGGTCCTCGCCTCAGCTGTGCACAAGGACATGGTCGCCATGATAAAAGAGGAGCAGACACTGAGGGAGAAAGTGAAGAAGATGGTAGGACATTCTTGATTATCATGTCAATACAACATTGTACTGTGTGTTGTGCATTGATTTTTCTGTAGAGAGCTTCTTCATGAACACAGTTCTGTTTTTTCCTGCACTCAGTCTGTCCCTGAACTGTGCAAACACGCACAGACAAGATTTGATTAAAATCATTTTGCTGCAACATGAAATGTCTTCGAAGGTTGTGAAAACCTCTCAGAGTATTCTCCGGGTTAAGATTGGTTGATACCTCCAGGCCTCAGGCTTTCCTTGTTCTGTCTACAGAGTAAACACTTTGTCTCCCCTGCTTGTTTCTGCTTTTAACACCTTTGCTGTTGTCTTGCACCCTCAGGGCGTGTTTCTCTGGAAGGAGGCTAAATACGATCACCTCCAGGATGACGAGCGGCAGTGTGTCAAGTGCAGGACCACCTGCTACCTGTCTGCCGTCACCTGCGCCTGTAGCCCAGGACTTCTGGCCTGTCTGTACCACATCAGCGACCTCTGCTCCTGCTCCGTCTCAAACTACACACTGAAGTAAGTCGCTCTGGGGATTAACTTTTAAAGGCTTTGTACACATAGTTGCTGTATGTCTATGAAAATATATGAACTCTGCAGCAGAAGTAGATTTGCATGTCTTACCGTAGGTGTGTTCCTCCATACATTCATCGCTCTGTTCTGTCTTGCAGCTACAGATACACACTGGACGACCTGTTCCCCATGATGAGCGCTGTGAAGCAGCGATCCGAGCAGTACGACGACTGGGCCGCCCTCGTTACCGAGACTTTAGAGGCTAGACTGGAAAAGAAAAAAGGTTAGCAGAACGAGCAGATCAGAGACGAAGTAAAAACTCTCTGCTTTCTCTCTCAACATGCAGCTGCTGTGTTTAAACAGATGCAGATAGACTCTCTTCAGATGTCATAAAACTGTTGTGCTCATCTTATAGAGATCATAAAACACTACGGTAGACTATGACAAACATTAGACAGATGTTGCAGCTGTGTCATGTATCATATTTAATTGATGTTGTTTTAAAAAGATGGCTCAGTGGATCAGATGTCACAGTCTGTTATGTACAAGATGCCACAATCTCTTCATCTCTTTGTATCCTATCCTTGCTTCCTCCTCATCCTCTCAGGATAGAGAGACTTAGAGAAAGAAAAGGCTTTGAAAAGGGAATTCGAGAAATCAGGAGTTTCATTTTTCTCACTTCTACAGTTTAGCCAGAGGTGACGAATCACTTGCATAGCTGCAGAAATCTTAGCAGTGGTTGTTTTGGATAGCATTCATTAGTTTGGCATCTTTTCTTCCCATGTCTCCCACCTTCATATCACATCTACCTGCTCCGTTTCTGTCTCACACCTCTGGTTCCTTGTGACTGTAAAGAAATCACGCAATATTGTCCCGTCTTAAAAGATCTGTGAAGTGAATGTTACAACAAACATCATCCCTGTGGCTAAAAATAAAGAAGAACAAGCAGACGGGTTATTTAAACTGTGAATTTTATGTAACCCGTCTGGCTGTGATTTATCTGATGTTCTCTCCTCAGGTCTGCCGGTGTTTCGCTCCCTTCTTGCTGAATCAGAGTCCAGCCTGTTCCCCGACAATGACCTGCTGCGTCGGCTACGTTTGGTCACACAGGATGCGGAGAAGTGCGCCTCTGTGGCACAGCAGCTTTTAAATGGAAAGAGGCAGACCAGGTAGGATTAATACACTCCTCTACTTTATCTGATGGCTTTATAGATTAGCTGTCTTTACATTTCCCTGTGTGTTTTCTTAAGTCAGGAAATCTTATTAGTGCCTTAATGGGGTTCACTTTTTTTAATTCACCGTACTCTCTCCCTCAGGTATCGCTGTGGAAATGGCAAATCGTGCAGCCAGCTGAGTGTTGAGGAGCTGAGTTCGTTTGTGAGGCAGCTGTATAACCTCTCCTGCAGTCTCCCTCAAGCCCCTCTGTTAAAGGTGACCAACAAAAAATGAATATTTAATCAAATTTACACCAAACCCAGCTCATTCCTTCATAATCGTACACATTGTGTTGACTCACACGGCAGATTTCGAACAGCCTCTCCACATGATACAGCCTGTGACTTGTTTGCTCACACTCTGCTGATGAACTGACGGCTCTCAATGTGGAAATCCAGACAATTCAGAGGGCAACGGTGTGGTCCAAAACAGAAAAACACGGCATTTCTTTATGTAGTTTAATAAGTACAGACAGTATTTGGTCATAATTGGAAAACTGTGAACTCATTCTTAGACTTCACTCTGCTGTGTGACTGACAACGACGTGTATGAGCTGGATAAGCCTCAGTCTGACAGCCTTCGTGTGAGACTGTTTTTTTTTTTCTTTTTAGGAACTCCTGAATCGCATCGAAGACTTCCAGCAGCACAGCGAGAAGGTCCTGGCTGACGAAGTCCCCAGCGTGGCTGAGATCCAGAGCCTGTTAGACGTCAGCTTCGACTTTGACGTGGAGCTCCCCGAGCTGCCCCGCCTCAGAGTGCGGCTGGAGCAGGCACGCTGGCTGGAGGGGGTGCAGCAGGCCAGCGCTCAGCCTGCCACCCTGACTCTGGAGACCATGAGGAGACTCATCGACCAGGGGGTCGGCCTGACCCCTCATTCATCTGTGGAGAAAGCCATGGCTCGCCTGCAGGAGCTGCTGACTGTGTCCGAGCACTGGGAGGACAAAGCCAGCAGCCTGCTGAAAGCGAGGTGAGGGCAGCACTGATGATGATGATGTTAGCGTGTGAAGATGTCAGGAAGTTGTTTTTGTATCACAGGGATTTGTGATGATTGTTACTGCTGTGTTATTCCTCATTAGTTCTCCTCATTTTAATTCCAGCTGGTGCAAAACACTGCTGCTGAAATATTCAACAAAATGAGCTTCATATTCAGTCCAACTCTGTCTCTTTACTCACTCTCATTTGTGCTCATCAAACTCTCCCTGCTGTGCCACTGATCTACAAATATTCATCTCTTATTTGGTACCAGAAAAGTTGACAACTCTCGCTACAACATTTCTGTTTCAAAGAATTAAAAATGTTTAGTTCTAAGCTTCTTCAGCAGCTCTTGTCTGTGGTGGATGTAAGTTTAATATCTGATGTCATATGTCGTGTTTTCCTCCTTCCTTCACAGACCTCCACACTCCATAGAGACTCTTAGTGCTGCTGCTGAGAAAGCTTCTGGTATCCCTGCTTACCTCCCAAACTGTCTCCTCCTGAAAGACACCATCAGGAAAGCTCAAGAGTGGCTCCAAGAAGCTGAGGAACTTCAGGTGAGCTCACTTGGAAAGATAATTACAGTTCATTACCTATTGAGCTGAATACAATTCAGATTTTAACACTGAAAAAAAACTTTTATTTATTCAGGCCAGTGGTTGCATCCTGATGATCGACAGCCTCTCTGACATGGTGCTGCGAGGACAAGCCATCCAGGTCCACCTGGAGCCTTTAGACCGGCTCGAGTCTTCAATGGTGGAAGTGCAAGAATGGAGGGAATCTACAGCTGCAACTTTCCTCCCTAAAGACTCGGCCCTCACCTTACTGGAGGTAACAATCCAACAAATAACTCAAAACATAAGTCAGCGCATGGTGTCGGCTCATTGTGGCTCCTTTTCGGTTTCTGAAAATGTTTGAGAGGAGATTAATTTACTATTTTAAACATTTGGCTTCTTTTGCTGAGTATTTATAGAACATTATCAGTAAACGTTGATTGGCTAACACTTACTTTAAAACTGTACTCAGAAGACAACTCTCCTATCTCTGTAGTGACTTTTTAAAATGTAAATAATCTGTTTTCACACCATAGAAATCAAACAAAATATTCATCCTGACAGAGAACTGAGAGAGTAAAGAGACTATCTGCTTATTCCACCTCTTTTCTTTTCTACTCTTATTCCTACAGAATATTTTTTGATCTATCAGAAACCTGGTAACTGAGGATTTATATCATTAATTGGCAGCTTTGATGTGCCTCTGAGGGCCTGACCTCAGAGCACATATCTGAACATCTGCTCTGTGTACGTCTGACAGTTGTTTTTTACCCGACACAGGTCCTGTGTCCACGATGTGAAGTTGGAAATATTGGCTCTCCAAAGAGGAAAGCGAAGAAAGGGAAGGAATCGCCGAAAAGTAACAAAAAGAAAACGCCACGCCTCAAAACTCTCAGCGATGTGGAGAAAGTTCTTTCGGAGACTAAGGATTCTACCTCTGCAGTGAGTGTTGTTACTCTTAGACAGCGATCGCAACATAAGATTCAAAACTTAATTCTCACTGCAGAGCTTTCTTGACCATCTTTTTTTCACCAGATGGAGACTCTGGAGGAGCTGCGCGTGAGGGAGATGGAGGCTTTCTCAAACCTCAGGGCAGCAAACGAGTCTAAGCTCCTCCCCACGGCCGACTGCATGGACCTGAAGGTGTGTGTCTGTCAGAAGGCGCCCATGGGTGCGATGCTACAGTGCGAACTCTGCAGGGACGCCTTCCACAGCGTGTGCGTCAGAGACTCCTCGGACTCCTGCGAAACACAGCCATGGCTCTGCCCGCAGTGCCAGCGATCAGACAAACCCCCTCTGAACAAAGTCCTCTCTCTACTGGCCTCCCTGCGGCGGTTGGGGGTGCGACTACCGGAGGGCGACGCTCTGCACTATCTGGTAGAGAGGACAGTTAACTGGCAGCACCAAGCACAGCAAATCTCACAGCCTTGTAACCTCCTCGATCTGGAAGAGAGACCAGGAACTCCTCCAACCCTCACCCGCTGGGACAACAACTCTCAGGTCACTGCTCTTCTCCTCCTGACTCTTTTTGCAGCTCTTGGTTCAGACTTTTTTTAGAGGTATTAACCTTGAGAATGTTTTTGATACAGGCTCCATGTTTGACTCCAGAGTGGAATAGAACAAGCCATGCTCAGACCGTCTTCTACACCGAGCAGAGGTGCATCCCGCTGCAGGGTCAGTGTCATCTCAGCCCAAACAACGGAGAATTCGCCACAAGCGGCTTAAGATTCGAATACTATTAACGTTCACGTTCTGGTATATTTTCTGTGCGACAGGTTTGAGTCGGGACCTGGAGGAGCTGATGGTAGATGGACTCCTGTTGCAGGTGTCTCTGCCTGAGGTCCAGAGCCTCTACCACACTTTACTGGACAGAGCCAGCAGCCAGCACACAAACACATGCATGTCGCCACCACAGAGCGAGTCCACAGACTGTGACCAGCACATGCAGTTCAACTCTCAGGGAAAAAATCAGCCTCTCATCCAGGTACAAACCCTACAGCCAAATGAAGTGATTAACAGAAACGCTTTAGTATCAGGTTTAATCAGTCTGTAATGTGTTTTTTCAGGACGGCATCAGCAGTGTGGTCGGCTCAGAAAAGAAATCAAAGCGGCAGCTGGAGAGGGAAAGTTTGGACACAGAGCACAGAGAGAAGGTCAAAAAGCACTCTCACAAAAGACAGAAGATGAATAAGAAGAACCTGCAGCGCAGGCAGACCTCCACCTCATCCTCTCCACGCTCTGACTTCTCCCAGTCTGATGACTCTGACGAGGAGATGGCCGTGTGTCCGGCAGAGAGATGTCAACTACCAGAGGGGGATGAGGTGAGAGACATTCATGTGGAAACCTTACATGTCATGGTTTGGGCTTGTTTCTGTGATCAAATGGCCAAAAAAGAAATCATTAATCACAGGTTTAAGTCATTTTTGGTGAAAGTATCTTTGTGTGTTTCCTGCAGGTGGATTGGGTCCAGTGTGACGGCAGCTGTAACCAGTGGTTTCACCAGGTCTGTGTCGGCGTCACAGCCGAGATGGCAGAAAAGGAGGACTACATTTGTGTCAGGTGTACGATGAACGATGGACACATGAGTAAATGAAGAGTTTTTTTTGTTTCCTGAAGGACGGCTGAAGATTTCCGCCTGGTCGTCAGTCCGTTTTATCGAGCCACCAGTCTGGATGTGTCACTGATCCTGTACTCCCCCCTCACCCCTCCCATCCCGTCCTGACCTGTCTGTCCGATCCTTTTGTAATAACGGTGCTATCTCCTCTTTGACCTGTTGTCCAGAACTATAATGTTTAGTTATTTTTTTGTATTTTTACATATATATATTATATATATTTCTTTCTTCTTATGAAATGTTTGTGGTTGTCTAAATGAAAAAAAAAAACACAGGATGTGAAGTGTGCTGCATGGGATTCCATTACATCAGCGCAAAGGAGTCTTACAACACGACACACCCCAGTATGGAGGGTAAATCGAGGGTTAATATTATCGTCTCTGGGACCTCCTTGCATGTTAAACCAGAGCTGACGGGACAGATGTCAGAGTTTTCATACACTTTCCCCCCGGAAAAGACTATTACCGTTTTTTTCTTTGAAATCCAGTGTTTAGTACATGCATCTTAATAATATAATGATCCCTTTTTTTTTTCTTTTGTTTTTGTAGAATAGGTTTATTTATCTGAGCAATAATTTTTGTCTAAATTGACTTCAATGGCTTGATCTCTGCAGAGTTGTGTTGGTGCTTGATAATGATGTACAGAAAGCTGCGCAGGTGGATAGACTACAGCGGTAGAGAGGCGATGTAACACAGACAGAGACGCTGCTGCTGCTGCTGCCATGTGCTCCCACAGAGTGTGACCCAGCAGAGAGCTACAGAGGGAAGGACCTGGGTTTAGCTGAAGATGTTACAAGTTTATATTGTGGAATAAAGCCCTTTTGTTCTATGGAGAAGTCTCCTCTTTGCACTTGAGTCTACGGTTTTTAAGGACACATTCAGAGTTAGGATTGGATTCAAATCTTGTGATAATTTCTTCGAATATTTTTCATTTTTTCAACTCAAATTATAAGGTTAAAAACATTTGGAAAAATCAACTTATTGTTTGGGACGATGAAGTAAAAACTTGCTTTTCCTAAAGTCCGACACAGATGGGCTGGGGGCGTCCCCTTCAGCTGTCTTGTGCTCGACACAAAGGTACGATTATTTTGTTTTGTTATAAAGGACCAAAAAAAGCAGAAAAGATGGACTTGAAGGTGTTTGTTTTTAGAGTTTTGATCATTTAAGAAAGAAAGGCCTTATGTTGTTATTGTCAGCAAATTTGTTCATGAAAACTGAACATTCAGGAGTCACAACACCGCTCACAGAAGCTGCTGTCTTCATGGGGGTTGCTGGATACCAGTGGAAAGACAGAAAACACTCGAAACAACACTGATTTACAAAATCAGATAAGACACACAGGTACACAGAAAGAAAAGTAACCTTATTCTACTTCTTCAAATGGGCACATTGGATTCAGCTGATGTGGCTAACAGATTTCTTTTTATTTGTGTCTTCTTGTCTTCAAAGGTTTTTACATTTTTCTTGCCACACTTGCCTGTACGAATCTCATAAGACAGACTCAAACCTTCAGAGAATCCTGCAGGAGCTGAAGAAGACACCAACGCTGTTGTCTGTGGGATTCAAATGAGAGTAAAACCTGTTTCTTCCAGTTGGTAAAGATAAACAGACACAGTTCTTTTAAAGCTACACAGATGCCGCAGTCATGTTTAACGCTGTTGTCTTTGGAAAGCTTTAAGGTCAAGATCACAGGCTGATTATTTTGACACCTCGGTTGCATCTGTGCACGGCATCTGTTTCGACCTATTAAAGCTTAATGTCTTCAGCTGTCGTAATAGGCTTTATTTGAGCACATGCTGATTAAAGCAGAGACTAGAGGTCAACAACTCATCTTGGCTTCTATAGAGGAAGATTTCCTCCTCTAATGAGGTTAACTTATATACGTAAGTAAAGACATGTATGCTTGAATGAATGTCACATTGTAAGTCCAGCTCTGGTTTCATTTTCTCAAGATAGATCATCTAATTTTCGTGAAAAATAATAAGAAAATAAATCACATTGTTTGTGCACGTTTCTAGGATTAAACAGACTCTATATGACATCGTAAAAGTTTACTATCATTTTCTCACAGAAGAGGGAGCCAAAAACCAGCAGAGCGAGAAAAGAAAGCCATGCCAGTTAAAACATGGAGGTTATGACTAAGGAAGAGAAGGATTTCCTCTGTTTATCCCCTCTGTTCTTGAGCATGCAGCACATATGAGCCAAAAGTACACACATGCACAGACAGGAGCCTGTGAAAGTGCGTTGATGGACAGATGAGAGAGGGGGCTGCACACTGAACAAGTGCCCTGAGTTGTGGGAGGTTCTGTAACTTTCTCTGTACTTCAGCTGTGCCCAGAAAGTAACCAGTCCCAACTTCATAACAGCGCCAGAGCCAGAAATCCTCCAGTTCCTAATCCAGGCCCCCACAGACTGAGCTAATGCCCCCTCTCTGAGACAAGTGAGTAAAGCTGCCACAGAGGAAATACAGTCTGCACCAGTTCGATTGTGAGGGGAATAAAAATAAAGATTCTACCACCAAAAATAACTGCACTTTGATCGTAAATATAACAACAGCTGAGTGCCTTTAGCCGCCTCAGTTTAAAGGTTAACAACATGAAAATGACCAAGTAACTGCATATAATACCAAAGCAGGAAAGGCGGTATGACTGAGTGATAAAAGAGAATTATGAATAACAACTTCTGTACCAACTTACTAAGAACTGAGGTTGATGTTTCTTTACAATAATATGAATATGAATGCAAAGGGAAGTAAAAACACCTGTACTGACAATGAAACAGTCTGTAATCCTCATTTATACTCATTATACTGTTGTATGGCGCTTACAAATGAGAAAATAATGATCATAATATATGTGCCCGGTCTTTAGGTAATCTGTAGTTTGTCTGATGAGATCATGGGATGAAACCCTTTGTGTTTATAGAGTCTGTTTCCATGAGGACGCTACATTTATTTCTGTGTACTTTACTCTGCTCCATTGTCAGGCTGTCATTTACGACCATCCATATCTGTACTTTATGACTCTGGTAATAACCATTTAATTCTCTGTTTTGAAAGGCATAAACATTTTGTAGGGTAGCATGGCAACATTGTCCAGAATATAGAGGACATGGGGACAGTCAGAAGTCATCCAAAGGAGGCTTTTGTTCATCATGAACTCCGAATTGAGTCAGTGTAATGAGGAAGATATGCAGTCAGAGGATCTCATTTAATCCAGTCAGTCATTGTGCCGTGACCAGCTGGGTGCCTTTCATGTGGCAGTCAGAACACACAATGACAGAGGAAAATATGTCCGCATTAAAATGGATGATCAACCACAGGAAGTATTTAGATAACGTGACATATCTTCATTAATTAAATGTGTCAAAAGATTAAAAGTGGTGCTAGTTTACCAAGCAAGTGAATGTTTTTTAAATGTTCATGATGCTAAATGAGGTAAATTATCCATCAATCTCTATTCATAGTCTGGACCATACTCTACTCACAAAGACTCGATGAAACGAGGTGTTTAAAGTGCTAAAAGTGGTTCGACTGGTGCACATCTGCAGCAGCGATCCAGAGGAACCAACAGCATGAGGGAGCTGAGGGACTTCCAGAAAAGACTGGTTAGTGACTTTAATGGAACATGATGATTCAGAGGATGGGGAAGGGGAGAAAGGTGCTCAATGTGACAGTGCCACTCTGAACTTAAAGGCGCACAATAGTAATACACAGCGGTCACTCTATAGCCACAAATAATGCTCAGAACAGCACCTAACTTCATCAACAGTACATAAAGGGTCCCAGCCACAGTACTAGCCACCAAACATCTTTTTAACTTTGCCTAATTTCTTTAACAAAGAGACTAAACACAACTCATCTACTCTCTTCCAGCAGCCGCTTGTTTGTAGGGAGACCTCAGGCCAGTCCATTACAGACTACAGCGGGGTGACGCAGCTCAATGAAGAACATTTATGATCATTACTTTATCATTTCCTTGAAGTAATAATCATCATATTAATCATTTTGCACTGCATTTCCATGAAGAAGGGGGTTTCTAACTCGGTGTTGCGGTGTGTTTGACCCTAAATTAATTTTATGCCGGAATATCCCTTTAAAGCAGCATAACTAAGAACTTGCTCAGGCCTGAACCAGCTTTAGAGACTTTAGGGACGATAAGCAGGTCTGCATATTGAGACCACGATGATTTGGTGGGTTGAAAGGGAACTGTAAGCTCTTTTGGATATGATAGAGTTTGACCATGAAGAGCTTTGTAGGTCAGAGGAAGGATTCTAAATTCTGCCCTTAATTAATGGGAAGCCCGTGTAGAGAAGCTAATACAACAGAGATGGGCTCTACCGTCTCCTGGTTCTGGTCAAGACTCAGACTGCAGCGTTTTGGACCAAGTGAAGAGTCTGTGAGGCAGCCTGATTAAAAGGAAAGTACAGTAATCCAACCTTCAGTTATTCAGTGCTGTGAATGCACAAAACTCTAAAGAGAGCATACAAGAAAACTCCTCTTCTGCATTTTGTCACTTATCAGATCTAAAAAAAAAAAAAAACAGGCAATGCAAAATGTGAGAGTTCAACACCTCACAGACTGAACAGATCATGACCTCAGTCTGTCTGTTACACCGTGGGATCAGACAGTAGACAGACATGTCATGTTCACAGGGATGTGGTTTATTCAGCGAGTACAGAACTCATGCATTCATCCAAAATACAAAGAAACAAGAACAGATTTCACATGAGCTGGTGCTTTGAACAATAGCTGATCATAATACAACAACAGTGAGATGGTAAAGATGGGAGGTGAATAAGCGTGCAGTTTGATTTTGTTCTACACTGAATAAAAAACAAATCCCATCACAATGCAAATCAAAACAGCCAAACTAAAACAAACACAAGAACTTTTTAATTCACATGGGGCACATCAAAGCACTTTTTATTGGATCCGACTTCAAACTTCACCTAAAAAATTCACCTGCCAAACATCAGCTCTCAGGGCAGCTGTGCTACTTTTACTAATCTAGACTCTTCCTCACCGCTGTTGTGTTTTGTTTTCCTCCTCTCAGCGTGGATGATCAGAGTTTTAGGGGATGCTTTGGCTTCCTGATCAAGAATTCAGCATGCACTCAAAACAAAGATTTTAGGTACATCAAAAGCACCATCTTTTTAGGAGATCTCGGTAATAAAACAGTTAGTTGGATACTGTGATAGGCATGCATTTGGATCATTTTATTTATTTTTTTCATTCATTTATTTTTGCAACACAAGGAAGTAAACTGAAACAAACAAACAAAACCAGTGAGAATATTCAAAACAACAATAACAATAATCAAAGCAAAAAAGTAAAAATAGAAATAAAGAATACTACTAATAATAATGCAAACCCAACCTACCCCTTCTCCTCCAAATTTAATTATATTAACAAAAAATAGAACATAAATAGAGTAAATAAGTACATTACTCATTTATGAAAACACCCAATCGTTAAAGCCCTTCTTCCTCCCTGTAACTGGTGAGAACCATGTTTTTGTACCGCTTTTTAAATGCATGCATCCACTCAATACCCTTAATACGTATAGTTTTAAAAACTTACCCATTGCCTCAGTCTGACAGCAAGAAATTTGTTGTATTTGATAGTGAAATAAAATCAGTTTCTTAATAAAAATTGAATTTTTTTAAATTAATTAATTTATTTATTTATTTTTGGGATATAGGTAACAGTTGGTGTGTGCGGTTTGTTCTGGGAGGGGGCGTGTTTAGGTGAAATTTGTAGTTCTATTGTTGTTATGGAAGTTGTATACTGTTTATGAAAAAATGTTCATAAATAAATTGTTTTAAAAAAAAAAGAAAATTGTATTATTTTTCTGAAGACAGCCTCATGAAAGCTGAAGAAGCTACCTAACACGATTGAATGATGATCTGCAGAAACACACTAGTATGCAGAGAATAAACCTGTGTGTTTAAATATTAGAGCTTTGGAGCGTACCTTCACCTGGATCGCTGTGATTGGCTGATCCTGGTCCAATCAGGAGCTGCTGCCCCGTCCCTTCCGTACATTCACACAGTCTGATTTAGCGCACACACAGCGGAACACGGTAAGTATCTACAGCAGCTTTCCCTTGTGTAAAAACTAGAAATTAAACGGCTAATAATCCAGTTTGTGGCTCCATTACTTTCATAACGAGTCTCTGAACGCGTCCTTGTCTCCAACGAGGCACTAAAATGAGCTCCGAATGCTTGAGAGTTAAAATAGCTTAGCTCACAAGCTAACGCCGAGGACTGGATAGTGAAGCTACCGTCAGCTAATGACCAACTACCGTGGGGTCGATTCAAACAGGATTCATGTGTTTTAAAATGGAATTCTTGCTGTTTTCTGCTAAAATGGGTTGTTGTCGGCAAAGGTTGAACTCCAACGAGCACCTCTGAATTAAAAAGTTTCAAGAAATGAAACCGATTTTTAAGAGTTAGACCCTAGCGCTAACTGGCTAACTAACTTATTAGCCCGGTGTTTCGGTGTGAAGAGTGACCGTGATAACTGGCGACTACTGTCTCATGCGTCTTTGACCGGCGTCGTTACTGGAGACTCAAATAACTCTATTTATTTTGTTTTAAGTATGAATTGAACCAGATGGGTGAATTTGTTTTATTAATATGTAAAATAGACAAAGTGACACTCGCGAGGACTCTAGATGTGCTGTAACTGAACTGATCACGGCTGGAAGTCACCAGATAGAAAGGGTCGCCTTTTTAACCATAACACCGGTGGTAGCTGAGCTGTATTTTTAGCCGTTTTGCGAACTCGAAATGGAATTTACTGTTTGTTAGAAAATAACTAAAGTAGATGTGTGTACTCTTTTTGTTTTACTGTCTACCAGTAAAGTGTTTGTGAGCTGTATTTGCGCCGCACGGCTCCCTGTATCTCTCTCATGCTAACACCCCGAGCTAGCATTCACGCAAATGCTACTAGCCTAATGCTAACATTTGGGTTGACACGGGGAAAAAGCTACTTTTCTTGTAACAGTTATGACCGCTCAAACTTGACGTTAAAGTGATCTTAAAGTGACATTTATTTAGTTCTGCTGTTTACTTTGGACGGTGTTTTAAACGGGGTTAACAGTTTGAGTCTGTTGCATTGGGAAACTAATAGCCACACCCTTCCTTTCGAAACCAGCAAAGCTACAAGTTGTCACGAGAAAAAGTTAATTTTTGATCAATATAACGAAGAATAGCAAAGTACGAGACGTTTAACTCTTAAAGATATGGTTTAGTTTGATAGATTTGTTAACAGTTTACTAAAAGGGTGTCATCCAGAAGTGTGTTTGTGTTGTTCTGCTAAGTTTGAACCGACTTGCCCCCTCCTGGCTCTGACACACATAGGACAGACAACATGCTGTATACTGCCTGTTTGGTTGTGTTTAAGTTTAACGTCATTACCTCACTTAACTGCAATTTTTATATCACCACTGGCTTTGTTAGGTTTAAACAAATGTGCCTGTTTATATCAGCAACAGGTGTTTGAAGACATAAGTTGACAGTTTTGTTTGTTATGTAACATGACGTGACAGCTCACCTCCTGACTCCATAAAGTAAACCCACACGGAGCTGCTCAAATTGACTATAAGAAGTCATAGACCGTGTGAGTCACTCTCTGAAGAGCCAACAGCTTATGTTGAAATGATTCCCACTGGTTCCTTTTTCTTTCAGCTGTCACTTGTGTGTATAACTTTTGACCTTTTGAAAAGCCGACTTGAGTGTTTGGTTTGATTCGGGACTACTTTCTTGAAACAGTTTGGTGCAGTCCGGCTTTCTGGCTCTCTCCAGACTTCGAGCACCAGCCCGCTGACATCAGAGTACCTGAGGATCTGCCGGCCCCCCTTCACCCTCTCCCCAGATGTAGAGGGAGTTGACTTTTGCAACAGCCGTGTACACAGTAGGTCAATCTATCTTCTTATCGTCTCTTTGTAATACATTTGCGGTGAAGTGATCATAATGTTGAGACTTGAGAGTGCATACTGCGTAGTTCTCATAAGGGAAGTCTTTGGTTTCTTATCTGTTAAGTTTACATCTTAAACTCAGAGCATTTGCCTAATGCAGCAGGTTTATGTTGGCAGAACCTTTAGGTGCACCCTTTCACCCTGGTAATAATTTCATTGTCGTGGTCATGCGTGCCCCCTCTGATCACCATTTTCTGTTTGTGTGGTGTACTTGAGTAGAGGAGGGTCATCACAATGGCTCTTTGTGGAGGGCCTCGTGTGTGTCTGCCTCACACTGTGGGTTTCTGTTGGTGCTTCATACGTTGTAGTTGGAATTGCAAATGCCGGCCGAGCGTGACAGAGTGGTTTTTGTATTGTTTGTCGCAACATTTGACAAATATCCCACAGTAGGATCACTCGATTCAAAGAGGTTCTTAAATGAGATTTCGCTGTGCATCACCCCCTCTTTGACATTTAAACATCAAATGAGTTCACATTTGCATTTCAGAACAGCGTTTAAAACACAGATCCTTGAAAGCACTCCACACTTGATGTGCCTCTCTCTCTCTGCATGTTGCTGAACAGAGATTTGCTTTATGATTGCTATTTGCTGTATGTCATGTGCCATCTTCTTACTCTGTTTAAAGTTCACATTATATTCAACATGAGTGGAGTCGCAGTAGATAGATAGATATACTTTATTGATCCCAAACTGGGAAATTCTCATGTTACAGCAGCAAAAAATACAAAATAAAATTAAATATAAGAAGTAAGTACAATGCAGACTAAAAATACTAAATATATACAATTAATATAGACTAAATATACTAAAAATACTAATAAGCAGTATCACGTATGATGTTGAGTTTTTGGGATGTACTGCTCAAACTGATTCGATAGATTTGAAATAATAAATGTGAGCGAACGCTTTTTGTTGTATATTCAATCTGAACAAAAGCATCCGATTTTGCATGAACTACTGCCACTGTAACATCCAATAGCAAAGTAAAGCTTATTCTCAGAGCACAAAAAACAACAACAACAAAAAAAATCAGTGAGTTGATGAAAAAAGAGAAAAATTCTGGAAAGTGTTGGTCCGTATTCATCCAGCAAACTTAGCGGGCTGTCTTAGGTGTCTTCTGAAAGTGTCATCAGAGTTGAATAAAACCTGCAAAAAGATACCAGACATGATAAAGAGTTGACTCTAAAAATAAACCACCTTCATTATTTCTCAATGGCTTAATGGTTCATTCATAAAAAATAATCCCAAAGCTTAACCAAACTATTCAAGTGTTCGTCAAAGTATGATTAATGTTTTATTCTTTCTTCAAATTATCTTCTCATCATCCCGAACATGTTCATGCCTGTGAATCGTCCCTGGCTGCTATTTTTTTTCTAGGCCACCTCCGCCGTCTAATCTGTGTCAGGCTGATGGAGCCGATGATAGGTCATTCTCTGTGGCCTTTCTTCTCTGAATCATAATGAGATGAAGTTATTTAGGGCACTCAAATGATTACCTCTGACTGCTCCTTTATTTTCAGGGTCTATTGTGAGTTTACAGCTCAAAATGCATCTTATGGGTCCAATTATGCAAATACATTTGACCATAAAATCACTTAATTATTCTTTGATCCAAGTCGAACTGAACTCTGCTCTGAGTGTGTGCAGTGAAGGAGTCGGCCGATGTTTTCTTTTCGCTGCACTTTTTTGTGTATTTTTTGAAGGCGACGCCCCTATTGTCATGACAGCTGGAGTCCCTTGGTAGTGGGTGGGGAAGGGAGCTCATTTTTTTGGCAGAGGAACCACGTTATAATGTTGTGATGTCATGAGTGATTTTTCATTATTGTGGTTACTGTACCGACAGGGTGTTCACACTGACATCAGCTGAGCCAACATTACTTCAGTTACTGTTCGCTGAATGACCAAGTCAGAGAACACGCTACTCTATGAGGAGTCACACCATCTTTAAAGTTCTGCTCAGCACTAGAAGTTAAAGCTTATTTTACGCTTAAGTGGGGCTGTATGTTTTCTTTTTTTTCCCTATAGCTGATAAAGACACAAAGATCCTCTGTCTCACTTCCTCTGTCCTTTCACAGACCTCTGTGCTGTCCAGTGAAGTTGCCCACCATGCGTGAGTACAAGCTAGTGGTGCTGGGATCAGGAGGCGTGGGAAAATCCGCACTGGTGAGTGACGGCTGCTGCCAAGGCTGGCACTGAGCGGCAGTCGCAACTATTTCTACATGTTTGTTCAGGTTTGATTCTGATATGGGTTGCTATAGGTGAGGTTTGGATTTTTGTAATGATTGATTGTACTTGAGTGTACTTTTTATCTAAACCCCTGTTTTAATGAATAGTTGATAGCAATACAGGACTATTGTTCTGCAGATTAAACACTTGTAGGTATTTCAAGAGGCAACAATAGATAAAGGAGAGTGGGAGGAATAAAGAAGAGTGACTCATGGGCTGTCCGGCTTCAAGAACACAAATGTTCCTTGTTGATAAATCAAAAACGCTTCCAGCCAGAGATGTTTATCATGAATGTTTGAATCTGTGCATTTATCATATGTGTCCGTGTTTCCCTGTGCTTCATTTCTCTATTTCAGACAGTCCAATTTGTGCAAGGCATTTTTGTGGAGAAGTATGACCCCACAATAGAAGACTCCTACAGAAAGGTGAGCTCACAAAGAGACTCGACACTTCCTGTGTCCCTCCTGCACCTTGACTAATCAGTCCAATGATTTACTGCCTGTCTTTGAAAACACTAACTTGTTTGTTTCTCCATCAGCAAGTGGAGGTGGATGGGCAGCAGTGTATGCTTGAAATCCTGGACACAGCTGGAACAGTAAGTCGAGTCAGAGATGGTTTTCAGACAAAGAGGTCTTATATGACAAATGCAAACAGGCTGCTGATGGTTCGCACCTGTGTTCTCGTTTCTATAGGAACAGTTCACAGCTATGAGGGACCTGTACATGAAGAACGGACAAGGCTTTGCTCTGGTGTACTCCATCACAGCACAGTCGACATTTAACGACCTACAGGACCTCCGGGAACAGATCCTGCGAGTAAAGGACACAGAGGACGTGAGTGTCATACGTTGTCATTTACATTTTACAGTCGAAGAGGGGGATATTTTCAGAGCTGCACTTTCTCAGTCGTCAAAGGAAGATACTGGCAATAGCAAATGAATGTTTGAGATGTGTTCATCAAACACGAGTCTTTGAACTACCCAGTGTTCAGCTGTTCAATATTTTGAAAGCCTTGGCTGTACTCTGTCAGATTCTGGACATATAATATTTAAGGTTATGAGAGTGTTTTTAGCATGAGTCAAACCGCTGTTCTGCATTCAGGTACCAAGCTAACCTTAGAAGCTGAAGCAGCTGACCACAGGTTGTTACCTTACAGCGACCTGTCGAGGCTGACTGTGGACATTATCTTTCTCTCTGTTCGACTGTGTTTAAGAGCTGCTCTTAGCTTTAAAGACTTGGTCATCTTTGTGTCCTGTGTCCCTTCTTTGCCGAAGAATGACCCGACTATCATCAACCATGATACTTAAAGATGATTCTCTCTCCTGTCTGTCTTCAGATATTTTATTTCCTGCCAGTAGAAGAGTGTGAGAAATGTCAACAAATACCTAACAATTCACACTCTCGCATGAAAAATTTATTCTGACATGTGAAGTGATTGATTGTCTCCACCTGTCAAGAACACTTTGTTCTTAAATTGAAATGAGGAAGAAGGATAAACAGGCAAGAATAAGGACGTGAGGTGATGTTGACAAGCGCCGTATTGTGATAGCTTGGTGACTGTGTCAGAGTATCTCTAAAACTGTAGCTGGGGTTTCTGGTCCACAGACATCGGTACCTATCAGAAGTGGTGTAAGGTCGGACAACCTGTGAACAGGCGACAGGGTCAAAGCTGGTCTGTGTGAAGAACTAGTGGAGCTCAAACTACGGAAAGTTTATGATGGGAAAGTGGATCGTGCATAACAGATTTGCAGTTTGGTCCAGGCACCGGTGTTGACTCTTGACCTCTATTCAGAAACACTTACAATAGGGACATGGGCAATAATAGAGGGAGGGGACCTGGAGAGACGCCACAGTCTTGACATGGCCTCTAAAATGTCCAGATCGCGGTTTGATTCAGTATCAATTGAGTGGGTTGTGGTGGAACAACCAAGTCCAGTCTGTGGAGATCTAACTGAACATCTTTCAGGATTTATAAAAATGACCACAGGATGAAAACTGTTTCTTCTAAGGTTTGGCTGTTTTGGCCCTGATCTGGTGAGAGTGGGGCAGGTACGAGTCTGGAAATATTAAATAAGGACAAAATTATAGAAGAGAAAAAAATAGATAAGATTGTAATTTAGTGCATTTGGAGCGGATTGATTTAAGCATTTATGGTTGTAAAAACTCCTGATTTAGTTCCTCTGACAAAGTTTTTTATTTACCATTAGCCTGTGTAACCCGAGTCATCTCTTCAGCTCGAGAGTTCCTCTCCAGTGATAACCTTTTGGAGTGAGACTGTATAATCTTTCAGTGTCTCCTCGAGGGCTCGTCACTCCCTCATTAGAGTCCGCTCTGTGGGAGAGAGGGCAGAGCGAGGAGGGGGGCAGGAACTTTGTGACGGGGTGGAAATGTCAGAGCTGCTGTTAGATGCTATCTGCCTCTTTCAGTCTTAGTCTCTTCATCTCTTAATTTAGAGGGAGGATGTTCAGCACGCTGCATGTCTGCTTTATTTATTCATCGCGTGTGTCTTGATTGATCTTTGTGTCTTATTTGAGGCTTCACTTTAAAATATAAGATCAAAAAACAATATGTTGTATCTGCAGAAGACTCATTTAAACTCCTGTGTAAGAATTAAAGTGCTGCTCTGAGTAAGATGTGGCTTTTACGCTCTCATCCGTGACATTTCTGTTAATCAATCAGGTTCCCATGATCCTGGTGGGAAACAAATGTGACCTGGAGGACGAGCGTGTGGTTGGCAAGGAGCAGGGTCAGAACCTGGCTCGTCAGTGGTGCAACTGTGCCTTTTTAGAGACTTCAGCTAAATCAAAGATCAATGTTAATGAGGTAAGTAATGCAACACAAGAAAACTTCATGTAACACGCACACCTGAGTGGAAGAAGGCAGGTGTTAAGTCGGGTGAAACTATTGACCTAGAAAATAAACAGCACGCAAACTGCAGGGTTTTGATATTCCAGAAAATTTACACTGTGACCAAAATTGACCTGAGAGTTGAGGCTGTTTTTATCTATCCTCTGAAGTTGTGCAAAACCTCATTATTTAAAATCTGTTCTTTAAAGGGGGTTTGAAAAGAAACAGGTGAAATGTTTTCCATCGCAATATTTTCATTCATAAGAAGAGTTTCCTGGTCAAAGCTTCCTCATTCCAATGTGCAGAAATAATCAGATTTTATCAAAGAAATGAGTCATACCGCTGAAATATTTGAAAGAACGTAGAAAAGAAATAGTCTGATGTCAGCCACATCCTTGAAAGTACTTCTACTAAAATGACATTGAATCATGTTTTCATGGAAAATGGTTCTCATTCAGGTGATAATTGAAATTTTACTTTTTTACTTTCATGAGTGTGACATAGTGAGGTTCATGAGTGACATTTTTTCCTGATCGATTGATTGACACCTTTGTATTTCATGTTTGGAGGAAATTGCATAAATGGCAGAGGTGACTGTTCACCACAAGATCTTCTCTATCTGTTCTTTGCCAAGACGAAAACGTTGACACATCTGAACTTCCTCTGCTCTAGATTTTCTATGATCTGGTGCGACAGATCAACAGAAAAACGCCGATGGAAAAGAAGAAGACAAAAAAGAAGTCAAGTTGCACACTGCTCTAAAATGCCCTCCCACAGTAGCTCCGGGCCAGGTGAGTGGGTGTCGAAACCAAATTTATTCCAGACATGTGAAGAGCTTCTGCCGCTTCCTGAGCGCTGGATTGTCACTGAAGGTTTAGAGCTTTATTGCAGTGATTATTCAAGCAAATTCATAAATTTTAATAGCATGCACACATGTTTTGTGTTGCACTTAAAGGGATGGGCTCAGCAAATGGATGTTGAAAGCAACACGGATATCCTTGAAGCATGATGACTCATTAAAGCACTTCTGTACGTTTGCGAGTAAATCTTTGGGGAAGGAAACTGAATTAATGAAGCTCTCTCCAGTTTCTCTTTGCCTTGTGGTGCCATCTCTTATACAATCGTGTTTTCATGTTTCCTTCTTTTTAATCACAAGAAACACATTAAAAAGGAACATCCATTTTAAGGCTTTATCTTTTTAATTGATTTATATTGTGTCTAATGGGTTTTATGTAAATTTTCTAATTTGGAAGATTTCCACAAATGTTGCAGCTCCACCTGCTGTTTGAGGTTTGCAACTGTGTTGGTGCTTCACTGTAAAAAACCTGATAACATCTCTTGATCCCTGAGGGAACTAGATTTTGTTTTTCCCATTCTAAAAAGAAATATCCTGTTTATCAGCATAAATAGAGCAACAACAAAAAAACAGAAACTAGAAACAAATACATGTTGGAAAAACAAAAAAGGAAATAACAATTATGCAACTCTGCTAAGCAAGCTTCTCTAAACTTCTCAAGCGCTGTGAGTTTTTGAAAGGCTACATTTGAACTGCCTTTTTTATATTTCACATCCATTATTTAGCAGTATCCAGTAAAAACACTTTTGACTCAGCTGCTGTAATTCACGGTGGCACACCTGGCACTGAAACTAGCTGGAGTTTCTTTTTCGAAAACAGGATCGAAAAAGGAGATTTTTAAATTCAGGCTTCAGTCTCGGTCTTTTTCGCTTCTGCTTTAGTTACTTTTGAAGCTGCTGATACTTCCTGCCCTTTACATCTCGCTGTTTTGAAAGGTGGCTGTAGTCAGACTCTCACAGAAACCAAAGAAACACAAACTCCTTTCAGCTACCAAGTTCTAAGTGGTACCTCCAGGCAAGACCAACGTGGCCAGTTGCTCCCACATCACTTACATAAGCTTAAGCTCTGTGTTAAACAGAGGCTCATGATTCTCATCAAACAGCTCATAGTGGACACATTTATATGCTTCTGTACCAGAGATAGTCGCAGCTATCAGCATTATTTTTGTTTGTCTGCGTTGAAGTCTGTCTTACTCTTACAACTTTGTGGTCAATAATGGCTGAAACCTTAAGACTTGAAGCATTAACTCTGCGAGGCTTGAGGATTTTATCCACGTAGTTCATTTGTGTTATTTAATCTACAAAATCAGACATCACCCAGTGAAAAATTTCTTTTTCTTTTCACCCGCCTGTATCTTTAAAATGTATAACACTCAGATATATCTCATATCCAACATCATATAGTGAGAGAAATACATGTGTAAGCAAACTGTGACCTCACTGTGTGGCAGAGGAATACAACCATGAGGCAGTAATTCTCCTTTAATATGTACTGACACTGTTTTTGTCCTGCTTGCAGAAATGTGTAATGATTAACAGTTTCCCAGTGGATCGTGCCAGCATTCCAAGTCCTCTCCAGAGTGTTTTGAAAAAGGCTGACAGAGATTCTCCACCACTCTCAAAATAGCAGGAGACGGCACATACTCTCAAGATCCTTGTCTCTGCTTTTTAATGGCAAAGATATCCAACCTTTTTTTCGTACTGTCAGCCTGGTGACAACTATGTTTTTGTTTTTTGTTTGGTTTCTTCTTTTCTCTTCTCCATGGCGTCTTTCTTTTGGAAATATCGGTGTAAAAAGAAGAGACCATGGGTTTATTCAATCCATTTACGGGAACTAAAATGTTTTATTCAAAGTAACATCAGTCTTTGGCATATTTGTGACAATACGTTTGCAAAAGAAACCATGTGAAATGTTGGCCTTCTCATACATTTCTGCACTAACCGTGTCAACAAAGATGCATCATTGTCCATAAGTTACTCGCTCCTACTTACCAGGATGTGTATTGATGAGATAACATCTTTCCTAAGTGACTTTGTTTTTTATTGAAAGCTGCAAGCCTTCCATATTTCCCATAATATATTCTACTTCCATTTTTGCATAATAAAGCTAAGGAAATTAGTATTTTATAGACTGATGGGGAAAATGGTTCTGATTTGTGTCTTGAGGCTGAAAATATATTGTACTAAACCAACTCTAATATTGCTGTCACAGATGATTTTCCAGCTTTTATGAATGATTAAATTTTAGTACATTTTCATTATTTTTTGGTCCTGTTTCTTCCCTTTTGTATTTTTGAAATGTTGTCTAACACCCTTTTACTGTCCTTCATGTGTTTCCTCCTCAGCATACAGTGGCTGAACTTGGTAATATATCACTCAAAACTCTAAGTAGCGGGAGGATCAATACATCCAGGAGAGCATCGACAGGCTTAAAGTGTAACTGTAGTGTTTCCTGTGGACAGAAATGAAAAGCCAAACCTCCGGTCACTAGAGCTTGAGCCGAGGAGATTCAGAGCCGAGAGAGGAAGGGGAAGAGAAAGAGGAACCTGAAGGCAGAATAGAAACTGTGATCACAAGATGTAGGCAGGAGAGACTCAGCTATCCCGGCTCTGTGAAGATGGTGCGACATGAAGGCCTCTTTAAAGTGTCGCAACACATAGCTTGTATGTACGGTGGCCGAGAATAGCCACTGCTGCAAATGTAAAAGAAGCAGCAATGAAATTTACCGATGCAAAAAAAAATAAAGAAAACGAAGCCCACTGCAAATTAGAAAGAAGAAACGGTGCAGATTTAAAAAAAAAAAAAAAAAGCCACAATGGAAGTTGACAACACAAAAAAAAAAGTGATTAAAAAAAGTTGCTTACTGCGAAAATAAAAGGATGCAAAAAAAAAAAAGAGGCCATAATGGAAGTGAGCTGCCAGGGGACCAATAATGATGATGCACCAGTGTTTTAATTTTCGCAGTAAGTAACTTTTTTTTTCCATCACCACTTTTTTTGTGCCATTAACTTCCGTTGTAGCTTTTTTTTAATTTATCTGCACCGTTTCTTTTTTTATATTTGCAGCGAGCTTTGGTTTCTTTCTTTCTTTCTTTTTTGCATTGGTAACATCCGTTTTGTTTTGTTTTGTTTTTTCTTTTTTGCATTCTTTTTTATTTGCAGCAGTGGCAGTTTTAGGCCACCGTACATATGTACTGTATGGCTCCCACCTTTTAAGCTTTGGATTTTTAACCTGGGGTGAAACCTGCTCACTGAGGAGATAGTCTCTTTTTAAACAAGATGGAAAATGCTTCATAAGAAAACAAACCAGATAAAGCAAATGAACTCAATTTAAGGACAGGAGAAGTTGTAACTTAACAGAATAAGATAGTTTAAATTCGTATTTCTGTCATTTGTAGAGAGGTGTTAAAAAGTGATAGTAGTGGCTGATTCTGTTGGAACTGAGTTATCACATTTCATTGTCCATCAGAGAAAGATTCACCATTAATACTTCTTTGGAAGGTTTTTTAATATTCATTTTTAATGTGTGTTTATCTGAAATTTATGGGAAAAAGACAAATGCCAAAAAAAACACCCACTGGAATCAGGTGTTAGTTTCCCCATTCCTTCTGCATCACTAAGACTTAATGTTTTCTATTTTCTGAGTCCTGAGAAAACAAGTTTCGTTCATAATCAATAGGTTCATTTGGTGTAAACTGCTTATATGTCAGTATCTGTTTTACATTCACAGCTGTTCTTTGTTGTACCTCTAGGTGGTCCACTGGTACTTAACTTGTAAGTCAGTATGAGAAACATTTGGTATGGTATGAAGCCGGCATGACGAGGTGGATAATGTCAGGATGCTGCTCGAGCTCGAGCTACCTGTGCAGGAAATGACCGATAATAACCTCATCTGTAATCGAACACCTGGTTCCACTCTGAAGCAGAGCGAGCTTTAGACCTGCAGCTTTTATGCCATCACCATTAAAATCCAATTTCTCCATATTTTTACCGCTGATCGATGAGCGGCGGTGACTCCCCATCTCTCCCACCTCCCCTGGCCCTCCTCCCCGCCTCCTTTCCCCTCCCTCTCTCCCGCACGCATGCATTCAGACCGACAGGCTACGCGACCCCCCTCCCCCCCTTCCATCATTTTCCCATCTCTTACTCACTCTCTTCCCTACAACAAACATGGCCGCGAAATCTGATGGTGCACCCGTCTCTCTACGAAACGAAATCCCACCCGAGTGTCCCCCCAGGTCGGACCCGCGGCCTCTCGAGCGCCGTCCAGCCGAGCAGCGCTACTCCCTCCCGGACTGCTGTTGGACGCTGTGCGCCCTTTTGGTCTTCTTCTCGGACGGGGCCTCAGACCTGTGGCTGGCGGCGGACTACTACCTAAGGAGGGACTACTGGTACTTTGCACTGACTCTGGTCTTTGTGATAGTCCCGTCCTTGGTCGTTCAAGTGCTGAGCTTCCGATGGTTCGCCTACGATTTCTCGGAGAGCGTGGAGAGCGGCACGGCAGCGGCTGCGGTGGTGGCGGCATCGGGAGCGGAGGAGAGCGACTTCAGCACCAAGGACAGCGGCGAGCGGGGCGCTGGCCGCACCACCGCGGCTGGGGTGCTGCCTGGGCCGGGCACCGGGGGAGGAGCCCGGGGTTGCTGCAGGGTTTTCATGTGGCTCTTCCAGGCTATCATACACATCTTTCAGCTGGCACAGGTCTGGAGGTAAGCCTGACGATATATGTGAGTTAAAACTACTCAATCTGCCTCTGCCTTTTGTGTGTGTGTTTGGTGGGTGTTTAAATACCCCCTTGCACATGAACCCCCAATACCCGGCATCCCTTCCTGCATGAAGCCCAACACCTGGGAGGCTCTATCTTTTAGGGAAGGCTGCACTCAAGATGCCAGAATTTCTTTTTGTATTGTTTGACGTTTCTGCCCAGCTTGGAAAAAGGGAGAGGTAGACTCCACCCATCTCCCCCCGCCCCCCTCACTAGCCCCCTGACGCGCTTTTAGGTCAATCATCTCTGGGGAAAATCATCAACACCAATCTGCTTGTGCAGAAAGAAAAAAAAATCCCTCAGTGTTTTGGGCTTTGGGTGAGAGGCAGCCTGACAGCAGAAGAAAACCAATAAATGTCATGAGAGTAGCTTCCTATTTGCAGTGATGTGTGTGTGTGTGTGTGTGCACCGCCTCCCTATCACTGTGTAGTGTATTTTCAGTTCCTAGCTTGGGGCTCCTTCTCTTTATGTTTGTAAAAATCCATATTCTCAAATCTCACAGCAGCTTCTGAGACTGTACGTCTGCTTCCCTTTGCCGAGCCCAAACGTGTTTAATTAGGAGGCGGCGTGCTCTGGGAGAGGAAAACAAAGCCGTGTACACTGTGGCATTACTCTCACATGGATGCTAGTGGGTCTGTAGGTCAGCTGCTCACTCTGTGATGGGGAGGCAGTGGTGCTCAAGCCTCCAGAGCTCTGATGGGTTTTGACAGGGTTGAACTGCTGCCAGTCAGAGGGAGGCTTTCAGCTCAACTGAGGTGGGAGGAGGGTTAGAGAAAATACTCCAAGACATGTAGGGATGTCACAGAAAGAGGAATAATGTGTAATGATGAAATTAGATATAAATCAATTCTTTGATTTGTCTGTAGGCTTCTGTCTCTGTGGTCTCTCTCTCTCTTCCTGCCTCTTTAGATGGCCCTATGGGTAATATATATTGATCCCTTATTTCCTCCTGGAGTCTCCTCTGTGTGTGTGAGTGTGTCCAGGAGCACATTAAAACGTTGTGGCGGCACAGAATTACCGGTAATGCCATTAAAGCTGTTTTGTGCATGCTCCATTCATTGTCGGTTCAGCTCTCTTACCAGCGGTGTCTGCACATTAAGAGGATTACCGCTGTGTGTTTCACCCTCGGCTGTTAACTCAGGAATGATCCGTCACTGATACACAGATAGTCGGGTTGAACCAAGGATCAATTCAGGCTGGCTGCTAGAATTAAATGTCAGTGCACAGGAGAAGGCATGTGGGGTTGTGTTACAGATACAGACACGCCATGAAACTCTGGGTGAGTGTGTGAGTGAGTGAGTGTGTGTGTGGATGAATCTTTGACCCTCATTAGTGCACGTAAATGTGCTCTATTTTCTCAGTGTGTTACTTCCCAAGGCACGCTTTGTATAGCAGAAACCAGAACCTGAAAAGGGTTACATAAACTCCCTCATGGTTCACTGGACCTGTTGACATGGGGCTCCTCTGACCCGTCTCCCTGAGGCTATTACCGAGACACATATAGCTTTAGACCTCCATGGCTCTGTTAAGTGTAATCATGAAAGTGATGGATGACATCAGGTCTGTTTGAATGAAGGGCATGGTCAGAAAAAGTGAGATGGGGATTGTTATCATGAGAGGTCAAGACCAAAAGTTAGGGCATCATATAAAACGTTGATAGTAACAGATTTCAATGGTTTGTAAATAAGTAAAACTCAGAATTTGATTGAAAATGGTGCAAAAGCAACAGAAGTGTTGAAACTGAAAATTTTTATCATCTTAAGATAATATCAATCAAATCGATCAATCAAATTTTATTTATATAGCGCCAATTCACAACAGTCGTCATCCCAAGACCAAGAGCAGGTCTAGACCACACTCATTGTTTGATGAATTATCAAGACCCAACCTAAAATGGGATTTGGCCCATCTCATCTAACATGAGTAACAGTGGCAAGAAAAAACTTCCTTTTAACAGGCAGAAACCTTGAGCAGGACCCGACTCATGCCAGACAGGCACCATGCTGCTGCTGGGTTTCGGAGGAATACTATCCTCAAATTTGTGGCCAACTTTTGAAAAAGTTTGGGAGGAACAACAAAAAAATGAAAAAAACGTGTAATCTGATGGATTAATTTGATAGAGGATGAGTTTAATGGGAATTAAGATTGAAGAGGTTTACCTCTCTGTCAGAGACTGCGTTAGCAAACAGTTCAAGAGTTTTAATGTGATGTCCCTCTGTGTAAAACTGCAAATCTGTGTCTACAGTTTAATATCTTTTTAGTTGGGAGATTTAGGAGGGATCTGTGCAAGAGAGACAAGGCCAAACCAACACTGAATAGACATGACTCTGTAGTGGAAGCCACTGCATGGGCTTGAAATCAATTTATAGTTTGTCAGTGCACCCACAAATACAAGATAACTTTGTTCAATAAATAAAGAGGAAGCCATACATAAACATGATCCATGGTGACTTCTCTAAAACATGAATGTGTCACCTTTTAAATAATCATTTTGAAAATTTTAGCGATTTAAAGTTACAAAATCTGATGTTTTCTTTGCTATTTTGCCAAATAAATATAGATTGAGCTATTTTCAAAACATAAAATTCTGCCTCTATCAGTATTCCAAAATTTTGGGGATTATTGTTGTAATTGGGCCACTTCATGGTCACAGAGCAGCCTGATCAGGACCATGGGCCACTGTTTGAGTACACCAAGTATGTTTGTATGTAACCAGTGATTAACACATCATGGAGTTCATGAAGGAATTCACTGTGAGCTCTTTTCTCTCTCTCTCTCTAATCTCTAATCTGAAGTTTAGATTGTGGGAATTTATCAGGATTTCTTTTCTCTGCATCTCTCCTCGTGTTTCGCTCTTTCTGACTGATTTTATTTGAAAAGAGATCGCAGACGAGCGCTACACTCACCCCCTCCGATGCCCGTACTAAAATTAAAACCACAGAGCTGCTTAGTTCAGTTTCAGTTTAATCTAAATCCTAGAGGAGCAGAAAGCAGCTCTTTGGCAGGAACTACTGACAGCTCCCAGAGTTTGGAATAATGAGTTATGACTTCTGAGAGTCCGTGTTTGATGTCCAAAAGTTTTTGAAGCTTAAGACCCACAATTCTGTCCAATCTCTTTTTTATTTGACAAAACTTTATTTCCTGATGAACCTGTCTGCCTCTTATTCCACCGTATTACCTCGCTCTATACTGATGAAACCTTTAAACAGTTTTTAATGCTGTCTTAGAAACCGTAGAGGCTCTGTACTTCTAATTTCATTAAACTGGCTCCACCTTTTTTTTTTTTGTTGACTATTTTAAATGTTCGTATCAACCTTATTCTAAGTTAAGTGCACAGCGGCTCCGATAAAACACTCCCAGATGATGCATAAAGAACTTGATCTTTGACCAACAGGTATGTTCACGCCCTCTATCTGGGCGTTCAGAGCCGCTGGCACCGAGACGCAGAGCGCCGTCACTACTACTGGCGCATGATGTTCGAGAGCGCCGACATCAGCATGCTGCGTCTGCTGGAGTCCTTCTTGAAGAGCGCCCCTCAGCTGGTGCTCCAGCTCAGCATCATGATCCAAGCCAAACAGGTGCTGCCCCTTCAGGGTAAGTGTCACAAAATGACCAATCACCTCATCTGTCAATCACTCTTGCGCCGCCCAGGCCGCCATTCCGAATCACATATAAGAGCAGGGAAAAGTGTATTTTTGCCGTGTTTAGACAGGTTTCCCCAAAGCTGCTTCAATCGTGTCTAACTTCTCTCGCTCGTTCTCTCCTCCCCCCTCCCGTGTCCGGCAGGCCTTTCAGCTTCTGCCTCGCTGATCTCACTCGCCTGGATGATCGCCTCCTATCAGAAAGTACTGAGGGACTCCCGGGATGATAAGCTTCCAATGACCTACAAAGCCGTCATAATTCAGATTCTGTGGCACCTCTTCACGATTGGCGCCCGCACTCTGGCCTTCGCCCTGTTTGCCTCTGTGTTCCAACTTTACTTCGGCATCTTCATCGTAGCTCACTGGTGCATCATGACGTTTTGGATCATCCAGGGCGAAACAGACTTCTGCATGTCCAAATGGGAGGAGATCATCTACAACATGATGGTGGGCATCGTGTATGTGTTCTGCTGGTTCAGTGTGAGAGAGGGTCGCACTCGCTGCAGGATGCTCATCTACAGCCTGACTGTGTTTGTTGAGAATGTGGCGCTCACCACGGCCTGGTACCTGTACCGCGGCCCTCGTACCTCAGACTTCTACGCCGTCATCATGGTGTGTGTGGTGGCCAGCAGCTACGCTCTGGGCACCTTCTTCATGTTTGTTTATTACTGTCTGCTGCACCCTGACGGCCCCATCTCAGGGTGGGGCTACATAGTAGAGAAGGAGGTGCCTGTGGAGGCTCTGGTCTCCCCAGCTTCCAGCCTCCCCCCTGATGTGGTAAGCAGCCCCCCCAGGACCCTTCAGAGAACTAAAGGGTCTGAAAGAGAGCAGGGTCCGGGGGTGGATGGGGATGTATTTCAGGTGCGGCCCACTCGGGGAGCTCAAGCCCCAGTTAAAAATCTGACACCCAGGACTGAGGGGCCGGTCATTCGGATAGACCTACCCAGGAAGAAATACCCCGCCTGGGATGCTCACTTCATCGACCGCCGGCTGCGTAAAACCATCCTGGTGCTTGAAAGCGCCGCCCCGGTCACGCCAAGGATTCAGTATCGCTGTCTGGGCACACCCAAAGAAGTGATGGAGTACGAGACCACTGTGTGATAAGCTGACGGTGCTGTGACTCAGCTCCTCACCGTGTGGACACCCTGCCTGAAATAAAACGGGCAGGTGTGAGACTCCCACCCAGCTGTCTGTTTCAGCTCCACGCCCACTTGATTGCTCTCAGTACTCAGAGGCAGTGGGGACAAACAGGCGGAGAGAGGGACAGAGCGTTGCGTCTTTATTTTTTACAAAAGGCAAAGTGCTGTGATGTTGTCTAATGATGGTGCATATTTTGGGTTCTGTATCATTTCTCAGGTCAGATTGTGGTACAGGAGGAGGTCGATGTTGGCGGCGAAGCTCGCTGCTGAGTGGATTTAGAGAGAAGCACAGAAAGGCAGACTGGTAGGGCTGCACGGTTACCAATCAGAGGCACAAAGTCCTCCTCAGTTAAGGTGCTTCAGCACAAACATCTCAAGGCGGTCAGCCACAGAGACGAGCCCTCAACATGCATGACTACTTATGGCAGCTAGAATCAACACATCCTCCAACAAGGTGTAGTATAGTCATCAGCTTTTAAAGATCTCACTCTCATTAAACACATCTACAATAAAAACAGCACAGGTACCGAGGATCACAATCATAACTCTCCATAGTTATTCACTCATGTCGACGGAGTCTCTGAGAATGCTGCTTCAGGTCTAAATGGTGGTTCAAAAGCAACATTTGAGTTGAATGTAAAAACAGTTGAAAATGTGATTATTTGTGACGAGGCTTCAAGCATTTTCACCCAGTTAGTGGGATTTATGACATTCCTGTGCTACTCTTCTTTTTTAGGTAAGCTAGAACAAAAGAAAAAAAAAGAGATTTGTGTGTGTTTACAAGCAGTCTGTTGTTATTGGGGATATGCCATCGTTGTTCAAACAGATACACCTTCATCAGAATGTGTACGTACTGAAATAGCTACATAATGATTTACATTTTTAGGATGATAGGACTCGAAACAATCGTATTTTCATACCGCATCCATCGTTCACAGTAAGTGAATTAGGGCAGACTTTAACTTTCATGTAAATTTAACTGTACAATTAAGAGGAATTTACAAAGGACAGCATTGTCTGTAATTGTACTGTGTCCATACAATGTTGTCTGAAAAATGTAAAGATATAAAGGATTAACAGCAGACTCCAGACTCCAAACAGGATAGCTTTGACATTTTCGATGGTTCAGGCGTGTGTGTGTACGTTAAGACAGGTCTTTTACTTTCTTCTCATTTTTTCAAAATCCCTTTAAAAAGAAAACTTTAAATCTCTGTGAAGAGTTTGTGTATGTACAAAAATGATTAATGCCTCTTTTTGACCCACAAAGGAAACAAGACCGGCTTATTCTGAAATATTTACTTCTGTGAGGGGGGAAGGTGTCATCTCTGACAGCATGCTGAAGAAACAGCCTTTTTCCACTGCAAAAATCCAGAGTTAGTTTAACCGAGGGAGAATTTTTGTTGTTGTCAAGAAACATGTATGACACATGCAAAAGCTGTCAAAGGAGGGCACCACTGTCAACAAAAACTGAGAGTTCCTTACAGGAGCTTTATCGCTGCACAAATCTGGGAATATCAATTGAAATTAAAAGAATAAAATCCACTTTAATTCTTGATTCACTGATAAACATATCTATTTAAACCTGAGAATCAATTTATTTCTTTTATACTTTTTTTTGTAAATTTTATACCTCGTACACGTTGAATTGCTTTATATGTGCTTTAGAAAGACATACACACGAAGATACACTGATCAATCACTGAATGAGTATTTATTTGGTGGTTTACAAACTGAACGGTGTCTGTATTTGGAGTGTAATCAGAGTGAAATCCTGTAAAATGAAGAGACCTGTAAAATTTAGTGTTACCATACTTTCTTTGATCAGGGTTGTATTTTCTATAGAAGACTCTCAAAAGGGAAATTTCTAGACTGTGTGTGTCTGTGTATGTTTGTGTGTGAACTCTCACACTCTAGCATGTGTATGGGTGTGTGTGTGTGTTTTTGGAGGAGGGGTGAGTCCTACCATGTGCATTGAAATGATTTTGACCTTGTGTCACTGAGGTCTGACAGTTTTGTTGTAAACACTGTCCAGTCTGTTTGTTTTTGTTTTTTTTAATTTATCCAGATGACACTGAAACAAAAAGACGGCCCACGGAGCACCTTTACCACACAGAGCCATAAAGGCTTCAGCTATGGTGCTAATGGTTTGAATCCACCACATAACAACCACACAGTGTACCATGAAATGGGCGTGTCGTGGCGAGGAACTGGGTGAGGCTGTACCTCAAACACAAAGCTAGAATCAAAAAGCCTTAAACTGGTCATACCAGACTGTTGTTGTTGTTCAGAGGAAGAAAAGAAGGATTAATGTGAAGGTGAAGACAATTTCATTATGTTGTTGTTGCTAAAATAAAGAGCAATGTGTTTACCTGACTTCTGTATGAGAGCATTTTTACACACATAGATAGATAGATAGATAGATAGATAGATAGATAGATAGATAGATAGATAGATAGATAGATAGATAGATAGATAGATAGATAGATAGATAGATAGATAGATAGATAGATAGATAGAGAGATAGATAGAGAGATAGAGAGATAGAGAGATAGATTGATAGATCGTTCTGATTGGATTGAGACTAAATCCAATCTCCGTGTTGCCATGTTCTGTCATCACTACATGCTGTAGATCCCCAGAGGTCAATGACCTCTGATTACACAGACTTATCTTTGGTACGCTGTTATCTCTGTAATTCTACTCCTCCGAGGATGATGGGAGTTTCAGAATTTTCACCAACCCGTGTGTTTCCTCACTTGCACTCAAAAGAAAAAAGCTTTCACACTTCAGTCTCAGAGAAAAAAACAGTCACTCAAGCTTCATTGCAAGTCAATGGGGTGTGAAACCAAAATCAGAATCCAAAACAAACTGCCGATTTAACTCTTCTTGCTGCAGGGAAATGAGAAAACAAACGGCCTGTTTGCCGGAGCTCCTCTTTAAACTCACAATCACAGCTTCACATTTGGCTGACATGTTTAGAAATGCAAAATAAATAGCCGGTGCCAGTTTCTTCTCACGAGGAACAAATGTATTGAGCTTTTTTTTGGTCTGTCCTGAATACACAAAATACTTCAAACTGATCATCATTTTGCTTAACATATGGGAATTCCCTTTTAACGGTTGATTATTATTTACAGCAGCAAGGCGGAGGGACTTTTCTGAACACAATACGCAACCTGAGATCAGATATTTAGATTAGAAACACTGTACTGATGGCCTTAATGTAATAAACCAAACAATACTGTGTATACTTGTTACCTCTATATATTTCTGTTCATTACTCTGCATAGTACATCTTGTTCCCACCCCTGGAATGGAAAATTATTATTTTTTAATAAATACAGCAAAAGGTTGCTGCATGAAGCCTAACCCTTCATAGAAAGCTTTACAATAAGAGCAGGTCTATATCATACTCTACTTGGTATTATTTGCAGAAACCATACACATACCTGTCAAGTTTTGGTTTGGAAGATGAGGGAAATTCTCAGGAAAGTGAGGAAAAGGTACAACGAGAACGAGCAGCCAATCGGGAGCAGGTGATGGCACACCCAATTTGCATACAAGAAAGGCGACACCAACACCAGACATACAGTAGACACAGTCAGGACAGAGAAAAACACAAAGTACAAGATACAATTGTTGGATATTATGACCCTAATTGATGATGTCCATGTTATAGGCAACAAGAGCATTATAAAATACAGCAACATGAAACAAATCAGCTTTTGTACATTTGTTAATTTTCTCTCAAGAAGGGCTGGTTATAAACTCATGTATGGAAAACTCCATGTCAGTGTAACGCCACACCTGTCAGGTTTTGGTTAGGAAAATAAGGGAAATTTTAGATACATATTTTATTATAGGGGAAGACGGTGAGAAGGAGGAGTAAAATACGGTAGTTTCCCGACCAAAACGTGATTCTTAACAGCTATGCCTTACATCAGGATAAGATTTAGTCTTATTTTACAGGCTAGAGTAAGTCTTATCTTAGCACCTTGCAGCATTTATACAGTTACATCTGTTATTTAATTGATTTATTTCTAATTTTGTGCACAATTACCTGCTTGTTAGTTTAAGCTTATAACAGAACTCATAAATCTGCAATCAATTTTAACTATTAATTTGATATTTCCTTTGTCTTCGCCACACCGCCCCCTGTTGTACTACACCCAGTCAATCAACGGGAAGCAAGAATATAACCGTTTCGACCAATCACATCGAAGTATTCACACTGTTCAGAGAGTATATTTTCTCTACAGCCAATCACCGTACAGATGGGCGGGGCTTACGCCCTGGTACCAGTCGCTCTTTCTCTTTTCGTTCGTCTTCCACATTTTAAACTAGAATGGCGACCGCCGTCTGCGGTCTACAGTCCACCGGCAACAAACCGACAAAGCTTCACCGAGAACACCGGAGAAAAGCTAAGGACTCTAGAAGAAGACAGGCGGCCCTTCTCTTCCTCACTAATATCTCTCTCGACGGACGCCCCCCGTGTCAGCTTGGTAATGGAAATACCGACCAAAAAGCCGGCGAGGAGCTCCGACTCCAGGAGAGGGACAGCGGCGCGGCGGCGGTGGTGGTGGTGCCCCAGCCGGCGGTTAGTCAGAGATCGGTCACCCAGGTGACAGAGCCAGGTGCGGCTGGTAGTGGCTCCAACTCCAGTTTTCAGGGAGTACTCAGTCCTACCCGGCCTTCTTTGGTAATGTCTCCGGGACCGGCCGGGACAAACGCTGTGGGGGCCAACGAGGTATTTTTGGAGAGTGGCAGTCTGTCCGAGACGCTAACGCCGGACACCCCTCTGTCCCCTGTACCCCCCGGACATCAGCCCTGCTCCCGGGTCAGGTCCACGCCCGCCGCGATCAGCCCGGTTCCCACTGGGAATCCCCAGGATTCACGCCAGAGGTGAGCTCATAAGAGGCCGGTGTCTCACCGTGGGCCTTTAAAGGATGTACTGACTTCCGCATGAAATGAAACAAACAGGTATTTCAACAGGGGCGTTAGTAATGTTCCCCTGAGTCAACACATTTTAACCTGTTCAGTGTTCAGTTTTAGGTTTTATTCCACACAGATAAAAGAGATATTACTGTGTCTGTGTTCAGATCTGTTTCTGATATCTGTTATTGTGTGGTGTATTAATCACAGCTGTTCTCTGCTCAGTTATTCAAGATGAGGTATAACCACTGTCAGCTGTTTTTCTCCTGTCTTGTTGTGTGAGGAAAAACACCTCATAAACTTGGACCCTCTCTTAAGATCAGAGCGGGATTTCACCCTCATTATTTGTGATGCAAAGAGATTTACATTTGTTCCAGATTACATAGTGAGCCTTGTCATGTGAAGGTCTTTTGTTTACATCAATGTGGCTCTCATAATCTTCACACAGGTTGAGGAATGTCTCCGGTTCTCCTGGGCCCAAGGTGCCAAAGAAAGTCCACTTTATCAAGAGCATGAGGCAGTATGACACCAGAGGATGCAGGTAAGTTCCCCGTTCATTTGCATTTAATAAAAACAAAACTCAGAAAATGCTTTAGAGCAAGTCTGCAAAGGCTGTTCTCATGTTAGAAAATGAGAAACAAACAATAAACAAAGGCGGTTTAATCTGAAACAGGGCTTAAACTCATAAGCAGTGTTACACTTCTCTTGCTTGTGTTTTAATAAGCTTCTTAACTCCGGCATAGTGACATAGTTTATACTGCGGAGGAATAACAGCGCTACAGCTGCTCAGGAGTGATTGCTTCTGTGGATTTAATCACCGTTGGAAGCTCTGCAAATGCCAAAAGAGGTGCAGCGTGGAAATCTAACACCCTTTTGCTCTAACCTCATCACTGGACAGGACTGAAATATCACGCTGTCGCCTGTGTGTTCAGCTGGTCCACCACCAGAGTTAGATAACAAGAAAGATGGATTAATTTTGCCTGTAGACAATTAGAAACATCCCATGACTTTTTCCCCCCGCTTTATTTTTTTAGTCTCATTTCACTTCTCCATCATCTCATGTTCACACGTACGAGGATGTGTCATGTGTTCCTGCTGGTGCGTGCTAAACAGGGATGTGGCGATGCGGGATTTCGTCACAGGTCTGACTTTCTGTGTCTGTATGAAGCAGCCAATCAGTTCATGTTACTAACTACGCCGAGGCTTGGCTATAATGGTTATATAACTGGGCAAACAGGATTTCAGTGTTGCTAAATTGTCCCCTGGAAGAGATGTGATATCTCTCCCTGAGACCCACAGACTGCTGACTGTGTGTTATTGATTTCTGTGTTTTGAGAAGTCTCTGGTGATGGTGCAGTTTCTTTTAGAGGCTGTTGTCTTCAGTGGTTTTGTTACCATGTAGTAAAATCTGAGTGGGTTGTCCACATTTCTCCAAAGAGGCCCGGTGAATGTGTCATATGTTTGATAGTTGTTTGTGTGTGTGTGTGTTTTAAGACAGACCCACTCTTTGCCCCAGTTTGTGCCTCTCCAAGGTAACGTTGCCCAAAGTCAAAGGAATTAGCCTGTGGTGTTTCTAAAAGAAAATCGTGGCCTCTAATTACGAAACACTCACTGCTGTTTAAAGCGGCTTTTATAAGCCCCCGCTAATCTTCGAGCCGACACAATTAAAGAATAATCGGCTGCATTTTGAGTTGGATCGACTTGTCAATAGAGTGGTTGACGTGATAAATCAAAAACTTATTGCACATTTTTGTGCACAAATAAAAGAACTGAAGCTCCAGAAACATCATTGTTTATATCACAGAAAAGCAGTCCTGCAGATGTTTGATCTAAAATAGGGACAAAAACACGAACAGATAGGAGGACAAAGGTTGAATTTTCTGTAGATGTTTCTTAAATTAAGGAAAGCAGAATAGAATAAGACAATTGTTTTGTTTTAGTCAATAAAATGTCAGATATTTCATGGATAAGCTTCCCCAATGCGAAGTTTAGCCTGTTAACATTTTACTCAACACTGAATTTTTTGGTTTTAGCCTTCAGTCAAACAACAACCACAAACTCAGGGCTCATTGTCCCCTCCTGCTCTTTAGATTGTTGTTGACAGATATTTGGCTGTGATAGCGACATAAATCCATGCAGAAGCAGCTAAGTGACCGATTTCCCTGTCACTGATGCTCCGGTGCTGATGAATACCCTGTGCACAGCAGCTGTCACCGAGGTAGCTGCTCACAGACTGACGCTCCATCTGTTTTGTCTGCCTTTACTTGCTGTGTCCTGCAGGATCGTGCTGGTTTGTGCCAAGCGGTCGCTATATGCTGCTTTCTCAGTGCTGCCCTATGGAGAGAGTGCTCACCTCAGGTACACAGAAAGCACCATCCACAGCAGAGAGCACCCACCCTTCACTTTTATGTTCCCATCATCCTCCTTTGTCATCCATACCATCACTGATCTCAGGACAGGGCAGTGTGAGAGCGCCGTGCTGTGAAATGACATGACTGTGATTCTTTGTGAACAGTGATACGAAGCTGGAGGCGCAGAGACAAAGGTTGTCGTCTGTGGTGGCTGTTGACCTGCTGCCTTCCCTGGAGGGAGTGGAGATTGGCGCCTGCGGCAAGGTAAATGTCTCTGTGATGGAAAGTGGGACGAGGAGGAACAAATCCTCCTCATTTTTTTATGGATCGTCTTTTTCTCTGACTGTCCTATCGTTTCTCTTCAGACGGTGTCGTACGCTCAGTTTCTGTATCCAACCAATGCCCTGGTGAGGCAGAAGAGCAGCAGCGGAGCGCCAGAGAGCTGCACAGCTCAGACCCCTCAGTCGCGTTTCCGTGGCAACGGGCAGAGGAACTTCACCCCGGCACGTCTGAACAACAGCTTGGCTCAGGACCCATGTAAGAAAGGAGACACAGAGTCAAACACCTGCTCCTCCTCCTCCTCCTCCTCCTCAGTTTAACCGGACTCAGAAATAATCAGAGTGTTTTTGTTCTCAGGTCCAGAGGAGGTGGTGGAGTACGATCCTAACCTGCTCAGCGACCCTCAGTGGCCCTGTGGGAGACACAAGAGGGTCCTGATATTTCCATCATACGTGGTGAGAGTTTGGTCTGTTAATGCAGTTTGTTTACTCTGCAGTTCTGTGGTTTATTCAGCTTCTCTACTGGGAACCTGGTGTCACAAAGTAATAGGATCAGGATTTGTGTTGGTTAATATATATTTTGCTGCCATGATGTACTTTGAAACTGAACTTATTTGGATCAATACTCATACAAATCCATCTTAGCCTGTAGAGACCTACACCAGCCACCATCCTGAAAGGCTGATTCTCAATGACTGAAGTGATTGTCTTGTTAGGCTTAAGCTCCTGTCAACCTCATGTCAGCTGTTCTTTACAAACATTGTCTGTTTCCAACATTATAAATACTTCCATACAGCTGACATGTTGCCGCCCAGCTTTGGTGTCACTGTATAAGCAAATTTTTACACCAGCTCGTAGACCACACGGGCAGAAGTGTTCATGCTGACTGCATGTGGAGTTTGAGTCAGCTCAGACTGATCTGAAGCAAAGACTGTTGTTACTTATGGAAGATCAGGGATTTTTAAGATTCAGGCAAAATAATTTATTCACCTTTTTATGGTTAAAAGTTCTCTGTATTTATGAATTTACATATTCCTGGAGAGAGATGAAAACTGTGGATCTTTATTGTATTTGCCTGAGTCCCTGTCTGCTGACCTGATGTGTGATTCTCTTCAGATCGAGTATAAACTAAACAGCTCTCCTCTTTTGAACCTCCTGTAATGACTTCAAGAGTAAAATACATCCATTATATCCCTTTCACATGATTTTATTGTGGCTTTGCTGATTGCGTCATAAGACTGTAACTTCTACCAGGGTTCTGTGTGACAGAATTCGATAAAAACTGTAAACCTTTGTTGTGGTTATAAATCGTGCAAACACAAGACTCCTCTGTCCTGACACGCAGGTTTGTTCCCTCTCTTTGTAGACCACTGTTGTTGAGTATGTGAAACCGTCCGACCTGAAGAAGGACATGAACGAGACCTTCAGAGAGAAGTTTCCTCACATCAAGCTGACTCTGAGCAAGATAAGAAGGTGCAGATCGATCACATTGATTTTAAGCAAACACGTCAAACTGTGCAACACTTTCTTTTAACACTTCCACGCCTCTGTTACTTCCCTTTTCCTCTAAACCAGCCTGAAGAGAGAAATGAGAGCTGTGAGCGAGGAGTTTGGTCTGCAGCCAGTCACCACGGCGATGGCCTTTGTTTACTTTGAGAAGCTGGTGCTGCAGGGCCGCCTCAACAAGCAGAACAGGAAGCCGGTGGCAGCGACGTGCGTGCTGCTGGCTGCGAAGATCAGCAGCGACCTGCGGAAGCCAGAAGTCAAACAGCTCATAGACGTGAGTGAAGTTTCCACTCCGATCTTGTTAGATCTCAGAACAAAGACATGCAGACAAGCAACCTGTTAGCGCGCTCATTCTTAGAAGAGATGGAAAGCACCCTCTGCAGCTCACCGTCGTCTACTAAACATCTATTTTTTCCTTTAGCAGCTCAATTTATTCACAGGGAAGATGAAACATGCTGACTATGAGGCTTTAAGAAAAGGGTCTTTGGATAGAAAAGAATCATAGAGGCAGAAAATGAAGCTTTTATATGAACGCAAGCTGATAAGATAAGAGCTGCAGCTTCGAAATCTCATAAGAAGTGTACATTTTGACTCTATTTCCTCTATAAATTATCATATATGAGGAAAATCTGTGACTATAGTCGTGAATCATTTACATTCATGTTAAAAGATTTCAGTCTTGTTGGATTTTGTAACACCCAGGAGTCTCTTTGTTCCAGCAACTCTTTAATAACTTTGAACGCTGTGTGGTGAAGGTCATTCGGTTTGATGTTTTTATGAAACAGCAGAGTCACATAATCCTTCAAAGTTACATGTTTCCTGTATCAACAGGCGCTCAAGAGGATTAGTCTAAGATATTGATTGATGTTTACAGCCTGGAGACCGCCTCCTCCCTCCCAGTAACACCACATGCAGTTAAAGTGTTCACATATTTAATCAAAAGTCATCAATCGGTTACGTTAATAAATTTATTTTGGTTTGTTTTAACAGTTAATAAACCCATTTAGATTATGCATAAATTATAGGTATAACAAAATAATTTCCAGCTTCATCATCCTGCAAAAAAGAGAAAAAAATCACTCTCCATTCATTACAGATACCTCTGATTTCTGTTTAAACACTGAAAGAATTAATTGGATGTAAAGTAAAAACCCTCCTGCATTATTTCAGCTCCTCATTCTCCGTCTTTCTCCCTGTTTTTTTCCCAACGGACGAGCAGAAACTGGAGGAGCGTTTCCGTCTAAACAGACGAGAGTTGATCCCCCTCGAGTTCCCGGTGCTGGTTGCCTTGGAGATGGGACTTTACCTCCCCGAGAGCAAGGTCATGCCGCATTACCGCAGACTGGTGCAGCAGGGTTAGACCGGATCCAGTGAAGCCTGACACTTGGGTGGTTTCATTAGCAGCATCAGCAGGTGTGTGTGTGAGTCTGTGTGTGTGTGTGAGGTGAAGTAAACTGGACTTTGAGTCAGATTTGTGTGTGTTTGTGTGTTTGTGTGTGTTCTCTGCAGATGGACCAGTCAATAAGCTGTGGTGGTACGTTCTGGTACTATTTATTTCTGTCAGTCGTGACTCGAGTCACTCACTGTATATGAAGAATAACTGTTTACACTAACGTTATAGACTCGGTGGTGTGTGTGTGCGTTTGTCTGTCAGTGTCGTGTCTTGTTGATGGCGTCATGAGCTCTATGTTAGAGATGGTCGATGAGCACATTCATGGTGCTTTTATCTTAATATTATCCTGTGACCTGTTTGTTTTTGGTACGTCCTCTTCTTTAACGTGTCTATTTAAATGAAACGAGCGCTGTGACTCTTGCGTTTGGAAACTCTTGACCCGCACCTTCATCTTTACTATACACACCCAGCCTGTATAGTATTTACTCTAAAGACAAAGAACTCACTGTTGATTCTTGTAAACGCCTTTTAAACCCACTGTGACACTATTTCAGCGCTTTAAGACTGAAACATGACACTGTAGACTGACTGTGGCTAGAAAATGTGACATTGAGGTAGTGAGTAAAAATTTGGAAGAGGCCTTGTTGATTTAATATTTGCACTTTTGTGCCAAAATAATCACACTTGTGATTGATCTTGTTCTTGACTTAAAAGCTCACACTCCTGCAGCAGCCACAGATTTATTGTAATGAATTGTGGAGGCTCTTTTTGTTTGTTTCATGATGTTACCCAGGGATATTTCTTTATGTATAAAGATGCACTGGAATAGCCGTCAAATATTCAGTTCTCAGGAATTTTACTTTCTTGTATCATTGAATGTCTCATCATACTTTATCTAACCCAAAGAGATAGGGGATGCACAGATCCGACAGTTTCTCTCTTAATACCCGTCCCTGGATCATGGGTTTCTGTTGATACTGACTATGATCCAATATAAGTGTTACTTCATAAGAGGATTGAGTATCAGAGTGGAGAGACCGGGATCATCTCGAAGTCTGGAGTGAGGATTAAACTTTTTTACCAGCCTCTTAAAGCAACATGAAGAGATACAAATCTAAAAAGACCAAAACGATTAGCATCAACTGAAGGGTTACAATGATATTGATTATGTACCAGCAAATTTTAAAAAACGATCATCAACTTTAACGCAACAAACTGATAAGACCTAAAGGCTGGTGCCAAACACATGAAGCTGTAAGCTCATGAGGGGATCACAGAGAACAGAGAGGACTCGTCTTATTTTACAATACCAGCTTTTGAACATGCTGCACAGGTCCGTGTCAACATACAGGTGCAGCTGAAAAAAACAGAAAAAAGGTCTTTTTTTCCCAGTGATTTAATTTAAAAAGTGAAATGTTTCAAGACTTTTTCGTTTGAATCTTGATGGTTTCAGCCAACAGCTCACAAAATGAAATATCCACTATCTCAAAACATTAGAGTATAATAAAACATTAATCCAAAAGAGGATTTAAAATAGAGAACTGTTGACCATCTGGAAAACTATGAACACTCATGCACAAGAACTTCTACCAGGAGATTTCAGGGCTGAGAGGCTTCATAGAGATACAGATTTTCTCTTAGAGCAGGATCTAGCACCTGCCCACAGCGCCAAAACTACCAGAAGCAACCTGAGTTCCCATTAACCCCAGCTGTGGCACAGACAGTTTGCCTCCATGCTACGCTGTATTGATGCAGTAAGGAGATAATTTTCCAGCTGTGTTATAAATCCTATTTTTGGATTGGAGTTTTCTTATATTAATGTTTTGAGATAGTAGATTTTTGAGCTCTAATCTGTAATTTCCTTCATGGGGAAAAAATGAACTTTTTCTTTACTTTTTGAGCTGCACCTGAAGAAGAATCGGTGCATGCTTAGTTAAAAAATGTGACAGTGACTCTCGTATCACTGAAACCATCTGTGCACCATCATAAATCAGTGGCAGGTAACTGATTTGAGTGCTTTGATCAGAAATATTTGGGTTCCTCTTTAAGTGCCAGAGAGTATTTGTTTGACTGTGGTGCTTCGTGTGTAGTAACTCTTCAGATTTGGATGCTGGGGGGAGGTAACCGTGGTATCATGATAATCGATGTTGACATTTCTCCGTCTTGCTGCTGTCCACATCTTAAAATGTTCTCGTCTGGGAAAGACGATCACAGACTTCGATGGTACTTCAGTCCGATGTGTGTTTGCAGTGGTGAAATATGTAATGCAATAAACGTCCAAACAGATCTGTAAGTGCACAAAATGTTCTAAATGTACGGTTAGTGTCAAATGGTGAATATTCATTGTTTTCATACTGTCAAATGAATGTTTTTCAAATATATTTTTAAGACACTGAAAAGCTGTCGGGGTTTCTTCTTTGTTGATGTTTTCTTCTTCTTCTTCGAGTGTTTTTCTACCAGTCTTGTAACAAACTCACAGCACACCAGTTTGATTTCTTTCCATGATTTTTACTCTTCTCATGTGTTTGCACCGCTCAGACTAGAAGCTGACATGCAGGTTGAACTCATGGTCTTTGTATTAGGTCAGTTTATATCAACTGAGTACACGGTTGGAGGTTAAAGCATCATCAGCCACGAGGAGTCTTAGTGACAGTTTCTACTAAATCATAATCTTAATCCTTAGTGTTTAATCGTTACAAAACAAAGAAGCAGCTAAATAAATATGTTAAATTAATCATGTTAGTATGTTTTAATCCAGACTCATGTCTTCATCGTCGTCCTTCTTGTCTTTGGAGTCGCCCTCATGGTCTGACTTCGTCTCCGTTTCCATGGCTTTAGCGAAAGCCTCCACGTCTGCAGAGAGAGAAATGTAAAGAAAGCAGTGAAGCAAATGTCAAACCATTGTTATTTCATCTTACATAATGTCAACACAGTGACGGATTATCACAGCCAACCTTCAAACGCACAGAAAAGACAGAAACCTGTAAAAATCTGCCGTCAAAACTCTTAATGATTGAAGCTGGGATGATCAGACTGATGCCTCTTTATGATACACAAAAACAAACAGGACCAGAAGATTAGCCATTTATAAACTGTAATTTTTAAAGCAAGGGGGAGGTGTCAGCTGAGCATCTTTAACATTTTCCACATGATATAATCACAATAAATGATTCATTCATCTGTAAAAAGTCAGCAGGATAAGATTTCTGTTTTAAGACGCTCCTGAAAAATGAAGATGATTTAAACAAACCAAAAAATCCTTACAGGAGCTTTAAAGAAAGGGTTAGTTATGTTTTTGAGTATTGTGGTTTTATCGTATGTTTGCTTTAAAGCTCCAGTTAGAAGTTATGAAACAACAGACTGAAATTAACCATGGTCACTTTCTGTTAATTGTCTTGTTTGCTTAAGCAGTTTTTAAATGCGAACAATATCTATACTGTAGTTTTTAACACTTGCAACTGCTCCAAAAAAAAGCGTCAGCTGAGACAATTTAGAGCACAGTGAGGGAAAACCACCTTTTTACTTTTTTGGGCATCAGGAAGTCAAAGCGGGTGATATTTGACTGTTAAAACGAAGCAGGGTGAGATTTTATGAAGTGATACTTTTGGGATTTTATTGCCTCTTATTCAGTGAGGACAGGACAGAGGACGGAGCAGGAAATGAGGAGAAAGAGAGAGAGAGAGCAGGGAGGGACATGCAGGAGGCTGGAGTTGAACCCAGGCTGACTGCTTGAGGCATAACCTCTTTATGGGACGCGCCCATAGAGAGCAGAGAATATGATCTAACCATGTACAGGAGAGGATAAACAAGAGATAGACACATGCAGAGGCCTGGAAGCTAAAGTACGGCTGAACATGCTCACAGAGAATAAATACCAACGATACACTGAATCATATGTGATATGATTACATGTTTTCTTTATCTGAAATTTAAATGTGTAAAATAACCTCTAACTGTGTTTCACCTCCTGATGGGTTGAGTTTTTATTGCAGTATAATATTGTATTTGGCAGACAGGATCTGACCTCTAAGGTTGCTCTATTGCAGTTTAGTAAAAAGTGCTGTTTTACCCTTGAGTATAGAGAAGAATAATTAAGAAGTAAAAACATAAAGTAGAAGTATTTTCAGTTTATTCCTATTATAACGTATTAAGTTGAAATTCACTCGTGTAAAAAAGAAATGAAACTTTTAAGTGGACGATGATTCTTGAGTTTTCAGGCAGTAAAATGTGCTGTTATAACGTCTCCGGGTGATTAAACACTGACCTCCTTTGTTTGCCGCGTCGACAGCCTCTGCAGGCAAACCAAACTGGTTCATTAGAGGCCCTAACTGCCCGGACGCTAGAGCGCTGCTGAACATGCTCATAGCCTGCAGAGACACAATAAATACCAAGAATTAGGACAAAAACCACAACAGGAGGCTGAAAACCAACCAAACAGCTTCATAATGAACACTGCTGAACTTTAATTTAACCCGCTGTGCCTAAAGGACAGAAAAATGTTCAAATGTCAAATTCAGCCCAGAAGCTAAAAGCATGGAGAGAGAGGTTTGTGTGATTATTAAATGTGCAGCCTGAAACTATCTCATCACCCTGAATCTTAAACTCTCTGCATGTTAAAGAAATGAAAGGAAACACTTTTTATTTCAAGATAAACTTTCAGAAAACAGAGAAATAAATCTATGATGGTGAAAAGCTGATTAACAGCGGAGTCAAAGGTGTACCTGCTGAAACTGCGGCGAGCTGAGCGTGTTGTGGAGCTCCTCTGAGCTCTGAGGCAGAGACTCTCCTGACGGCAGATAAGGCATCAACCTCTGCTGCACCTCGGGGTTCACCAGGATGGGCGCCATGACCTCGGGTGTCAGGACGCTGGCCAGGTCCACTGCAGGTAAGAAAAACCACACCTCACAAGTCAGTCTGGCACCATCCTAACTTTCTTACCCACAGGCAGAGGTTACTTCAAGCTTAGTGTAAAGGATCATTAATTTGTCTTCTGTTGTTAAATAATCACTTTTTTGTTTAAACTTTTGTGGTAAAGAATTTTCAAGTCTCTGACAACTAACCAGGTTTTAACTTTTCCTTATTTTACAGCCGAGGATTCACCTGTTCACCTCCTGATCCTCGGCAGCCTGAATTTCCCCTTAACACAGATGACTAACTCCAAGGAGGCTGCTGGTAAAAATCAAACATATACTGTCTTCAACATGCTGGTGGTTTTGTTTTTCTCCTCAGAGTCCTACTCGAAGTTTCAGTCCCTTTTAAATCTCTTTCTGGCGTGTCGGAGTGCTCTGGCAGCCTGAACAGCTCAGAGTCTTCACCAAATCCTGAGAGAAACGTCTGACTCTTTCGCTGCTAAATGTTCTCTTATGATCACCGGCTGGTTAACAACTGTCTTCTGGAGTACAGAAGGATTTAGAGCTTTACTTTTCTTAAATCAAGAGCTGGCTTCTGCAGAAAATGACTAATATCAAACAGAACTCTGACTCTGCTGTATAATGTAAAACCTGGAGATCGATAACGTGTTCATCACCTCTAGTGAATCCTCTCTTCTTATTGATCAAAGCTGCTTTGACTCCTTTGTTTGCGCCTAAGCTAATCTCAGCTCTCTTTTATTTCTTTCAGCTCTTTATTTACTGTTCCTTCACCTTCAGCACTCTCTGCTTTTATATGAGGATGTGTTGGCAAGGTGTGCTGATAAATCCTCTCCATGAAGCAGGCAGGAGAGCTGTGCCTAATGTAGTGTAACACAATAAAATTCAATCAATACAGCGACAGACTGCTCTGTTTGTTTGGGCGTCCTGCCTCTGCAGTAAAGTGACACTGTTGAATTCACAAAGCTCATTATTTCCTGCAGAATTACCTGAAATCACTCTAACTAGACCCTGATTGTGTTTCTTCCCTCAGGTGGTTCATTAAGTTTTCTGATCACATTGACTGAAGTTTAGTTTCTGCACGTCTCTCACCTCCCTGTCCGCCGGCCGGCACGTTCATGGTGGCCAGGATGCTCTGCAGGTCTCTCAGCTGGATCGGCTGCGTGGGGTTGGCTCCTCCTGCCGTCAGTGATGTCACAGCAGGGGTGGAGGGAGTGGTGGCTGTGGGGGAGGCTGCTGAGGTGGCGGAGGGAGTGATGGGGGTGGTGGGCACCTGGGAGGAGCCGAGCCGGCTGGCAGTAGATGTAGAAGTGGGAGTGACGGCTGTGGACGGACTGTGAGAACAGACGGGAAGGAAACTGTTATTAATTCATGAAGAGTGGACAAGTATTCAATAAAAGGTCAGGAGCTTATTCCCATTTTAATTTTGAAATATAATGAGAATTCACAGGATCTGCTTCTGGACTTGTTTGGCCGGGTACATGAGGGTCAAACAGTGATGGCATCGGGAAATATGAGCACAAAGAGAGTTAACTATTGACCACCTGCTATATCTGTTTTTTAAAGAATTAAAACAATAACAATAGGAAATGAATCTGAAACTATTTTGAGGATCTAAATATACTTAACGCTCCTGTGAGGAACTTTCTGTCTGTGTTGATCTTAGTTCCCTGAGTGAAACCCTCTTTTATTGCTGATTTCATGTTGTAAAAGTAGTGCCAACTCACAAATCATCTCTTCCTGTTGTCATTTTAAAGTTAACTTTGGAAAATGAATATTCGGGGAAAGTAACAAAAAGCTGTTTCTTTCACACACCTACCCTCTCAGAGCAGTCACAGGTCTGATTTTGTCTCTCATTTCCTCACATTTCAGCCCCTCAAACTATCAACATCATGCCTTGTTTTTTGGCAGCACTAAGTCAAATATCGTGCAAATGAGGTTAGATGTTGAACAGGGGTAGGGCACCTTGTGGAGGAGTTACTAGCTGCAGGAACGCTGCTGCTGCTGCTGCTGCCACTGCTGCTGCCCAGGAGGTTGGCCAAGCCTGGACCAGCCAGCGCCCCGAGACCACCTGTTATCAAAAGAGAAGAAAACATGTCCTCCTTTAATCTCTGCGTTTGCTAATACATTCTTCATTTTTGTCTCACAGCAACTTATCCAATCAGGAGTTAGTTAAGACGTTACATACCGATCCCGCCCAGTCCAGTTGGTCCAATGAGTTGCATGAGCTGGTTGTGGCTCATGTTACCCAGAAGGCTTTGCAGACCTCCTTCCCCTATACATGAAAAAAAGGGAGACATACGAAGCTTCAAGATGAGTGAAGTTCCTTTTGAAGATATTCTCTGGGAGTTTATTTTAAGTTTTTGTACGTGTTATTGTACGGCAATATTCATCTCTCGAGGGGGTGTCTAACTCTGCGTTATAGTGTGTTTGACCCTAAATTAATTTTATGCCGGAATATCCCTTTAAGGAAAGAGGAGGAGCATCTGTTACCTCCCAGAGCAGACAGATCATGTCCTCCGCTGCCGCCACTACCGAGAGCCCCTGGCATGGGTGGGTTGTTGAGGTATTCGTTCACTTTACGGCAGATCTCCTCGTCTTTGTCAGTCTTTGGCTCCTGGGATCATAAACACACAATGGTCTGAGCTTTCACTAGCGCTTAAATGAGGAAAATAAATTCTTGGGTGGATTAGAGTTGAGTTTAATATAACTTTGTTTTAATTAAAAGCTGTGCAGTCTCGCTAAAACAGATCAAGTAAAATAGAGGTAAAACTTGTGCTTCACAGTCACGGTAGTATGGTGTATTTAGGGGGGATTATTTTTTGATATGGCTCAACACACAATTAGTGCCCCTGAAGTGAAGAGAGGCATGAGAACTCTGTCTGAACTGAGTCAAATTCAGAGCAAAAAGGCTGAAGTCATTAAATTCAGTATTGTGGCTCATTAGTGTGTTTTTAAGGGTTTATGGCATAAATGAAGCTCTCAGGCATGGATGATGAAAAATATCAACCATTTGTTAGAAGTTTGGCAAAGTTAATTTATATTTTTCCCTTTTTTAAGCCTGAAGAGGGAAACAGACTGTCCAGCTGCATACCTGCATCCAGAAGAAGAGTCTTTTGGATCCAGCCTTGAACTTCAGCACGTAGACCCTCCCAGTGGTGCACTGGTTCACCCGTTTGAACTCACAGTCATCAGGGAAGATTATCAGGTCCTGGATCAGAACATGTTAAATAGTTATTCAAGTCAAACATCAATCAAACTTGTATGACGTGCTAACATTTAGAGTCGCCTACATCATCCACATTCCCGGTGGTCCGGTCCTTCCAGCAGAAGTGGATGAGGGAGTCGTCAGTCTGCTGGATGTAGACCTGACCTTTACGCTTGTCGGGGGTCACTGTGCTGCCCTTCATGGTCATCTTGCCGGCCCGGAACTCCACCAGGTACTTACTGGAGGAGCCACGAGACCCAGACACCATGCTGGGGAACAGAGCTCCAGAGGCCATGATGAGAGGAAAAGACTACAGCTGGGGAAGAGAGGAGGGTCAGGGATTCAATATTGATGTTATGAGTAAAGTGATTATCAGGCAAGTACGCTAAGGCGAGTACCCTGCAACAAGCCCCATAAAAACGATGATCTCTCTTCCAGCAGCCGCTTGTTAGTAGTGAGACCTCGGGCCAGTCCATTGTGGACTACAGGGGGGTGACGCAGCTCAAGGAAGACCATTTATGATCATTTCTTTATCATTTCCTTGAAGTAATAATCATCATAGTAATCATTTTGCACTGCAGACACGGTAGTTCTCCTGCCGTAGCGTCTCGGTCTGATTGCATTTCCGTGAAGAAATGATCATAAATGTTCTTCCTTGAGCTGCGTCACCCCGCTGTAGTCCGTAATGGACTCGCCCGGAAGTCTCCATACGAACGAGCAGCTGCTGGAAGATAGTAGGTGAGTTGTGTTTAGTCTCTTTGCTAAAGAAATCAGGCAAAGCTAAAAAGATGTTTGATGGCTAGTACTATGGCTAGGACCCTATGTGTACTGTTGATGAAGTTAGGTGCTGTTCTGAACATTATTTGTGGCTATAAAGTGGCGTTTTGGTTGAGGTTTGTGTGTGGCGCCTCGTTACTAAAGTTGGTATAACTAGAGAAGCAAGCGGTCGGCAACATTCATCTCTCGAGGGGGTGTCTAACTCGGTGTTACGGCGTTTTTGAGCCTAAATTAATGTTACGCCGGAATATCCCTTTCAGGAGGTAACACTACACAGGGAACACAGTCTCGGGTCTTTGGGGAGAGTGACTCGCCGACAGGATTTACCCCAAAATCCTCCTTAACCTCTCCTCTTTTGGGAACTGTGAGTACTTATGCGACTTCCCTTTGTAACTCTTCCACTTAACAGTGCAACCAACTGCATCATCTTAAAAGATGTTTGCAATTGTTGTTTCACATCCTCTTGAAAAGAAATGTCAAATGTTTTGATGATTATGGTGACTGTAGGGAAGTGCATTACTCTCAGGCGCAAGTTTATGACGTCACACTCAGTTAACTGCGCAGGCGAAGTAACAGCAACTTCCAGAGGAAAAGACGTTTTACTTAACGTTAATGTCATAAAACATTTTTAAACATCATATTTATCTTTATTTATATTATAATTATAATAAGAACTTGTCTGCTAAAAGAATTTGTGTACCTTTTTTTGCAAACGGTGTTAAATGTTCACGTTTTTTTTGTAATTTTGTTAGTTTTGTAGGTATATTTTCTCGGTAAACCTTTCAATTCAAAAGCATTTTTACCAGCCATTTTACATTTAAATACTGCAATATATTAATTGAATCGCATTGGATTGTCCATATACAGCCTATATGTTTATAATAAGTGCAACCCTGGTCCACTTCTGAGTAAAATGTTGTTTTTTTGTCTTCTGTGACACTGCAAATCCTATAGATGATATAAGAATACACGGTAAAATATTGATACAAAACATGCGTAATTATTTTAAATAATTAGTTATGACTCCACATTCATTCTAGACGTGAATCTATATTATTTGATGGATGCTATTTTGTCACAGCTTTACAGAAATAACACGACTCATCGAGATTATGATAAGAATAAAATAATAGTAGGAAAATAACATGATAAAGAGTGAGATTTGTAAGGAATAATAACCGTATTTACCGGAACAAGTCAGCCCACTGCTCCCATAATAACACCGCTACAGGGGCAGTCACAGATGACTCTGCATCATCAGGCTAACATCGATCTTTTAGCGCAGTACGACACCCGAGAGAGCTTTAGTTTTACACTGTCACACGCTCAGAACAAAGAAACACTAGATTTCTAAATCAGATTTAAAACACGATGTGAAAATAAGACGTTTTTACTTACATTTACAGACAGTAATGCCGTTCAGCCACAGAACAGTTACACACGCAGCAGATGAATCTGATTGGCTATATTCCACCGGTGCGTTACAGCGATTGGTCGAACCGTATGTCAGTCAAGGGGTTTAAATGCACTGCGCAAGTTAGGTAGAGATGTCATCAGTCTGCATTGAACTGAACCTGCATAATTAATGTTTTAAAAAAGAAAAACATTATCCAAGTAGATTTATTAGTTAAAAAAAGTTTAATAGTGATGAACAGATTGTGCCTGATTAAGATAAATGTAAAAGGTATTTTTAACATTGTTTACTACTTTCAGTAAATTATTACAATATAATACATGTAGTTCTGGTGTCTCTAATACATACTTTTAATTCTAGTTCTTGTGTGATAATCTCCAATATTTGTTTGTTATTGTAAGTCAAACATGTCAGTCAACATTTCTAAGTAATAACACAAGCTTAATGCAAAAAAAAAAACGACAACAGAAGTCATTTAAAAAGTCCATAATTTATTTCTCAAATATGTCATGGATGCATATGTCTGTCAATAACTGTCTGAAGAGGAAAAACACAGAAGATAAAAGGAAAAACCATGTGAACTGAACCTGCATAATTAATGTTTTAAACAAGAAAAACATTATCCAAGTAGATTTATGAGTTTAAAAAAAGTTTAATAATGATTAACAATTTGTGTGTGATTAGGATAAATGAAAAAGGTATTTTTAGCATCGTTTAGTTTGTCAGATTTTCGACATATCTTACTCCTTTCAGTAAATAATTTGGGTAAATGATGTTCCAATTCTTCAGAGACAACATATGGTTTTGGTGTCTCTAATACATTCTTATTTTTTAGACTCATTCCTATAATTTTTGTTTGTTATTGTATTTCAAACATCATGTCAGTCAATATTTCTAGGGAATAACACAAGCTTAATGCAAAAAAAAAAAAACAACAACTACAACAGAGGTCATTTCAATAGTCCATAATTTATTTCTCAAATATGCCATGGATGCATATGTCTGTGTGGATAACTGTCTGAAGAGGAAAAACACAGAAGATAAATGCAAAAAACCATGTAAACATTTTCAAACAGATGCCAAACAGCATGAAAGTGAAGAGTACGAGACCGAGAGACTGAACCTGCAGCCCTGAGTGTCTGCAGGCCTCACAAAGTGCTTCAAATTCAGAGTCAAGTTGAGAGCAGCAAGAAGAAGACATGACAGGATATTTCACAATACAGTAAATGCGTTTGACCGTGAGCTTTCAGATGTGCAGTTTATGTAAAAGGCTAGTGTGTGGAAACAAAGAGGAGCATGTCTAGACCATCTAACAATCGCACTGTATGAGTAAAGATGCTATGTTAACTGTGTAAGCGTTATATTATCAGCGCACAACATTCATTGGCTGCTGCTTCTCTAGTGTTTGAAGATAAGGAGGAGTGAAGCTTTTGTCACATTTCAGGAGGGCAGTCTAGGTGGAGCAGTTTGCATAGGTTCATAATGGCGACAATATCAAATGTAATGTGATGTTTGTGGCGCTGACTGATGGAAATGTGAAGTCAGGGTATCAGTCAGTGAACTCTGAGTAACTTACAAATGCTTGAGGACAAACTTCAGGAGTCATATGACAAAGCACTTTTTTTAGACCAAAGGTTTTCCAACAGCACATCCTGGGAATATCAGTCTATTACAAGTAAACGTCCAAAATAATCAGCCAAATAACTCCTGCTATAGATGCTCCATAACTTACCAAAAAAAAAACATGTATTTAAACATTATTGAGTATAAAAGTTATTCAGTGAAAGTTAGTTATACATCTGTTGGCACATTACCAACAGGAACTTAAAGTAGCTAATTTGGCATTCGTTTAATGCTGCCAATTAGGATAAGTTTTATCAAACACAGGCTCAAAAAACAAACACGGCTCAAGTGGCAGATCATAGCTAACAAACAAGCTAATCGACTCATGGCAACATTTTACTTCCTGTTTACAGAATCCAAATGATGGACGTGTCATTCAAAACTTAGAGCATGTTTCTGCCTCAGCTAGTGATAAAATCAGAATCATCACATTAATGTTGTTTTGTTAAGGCTCAGTATGTCCCATCATCATTATGAAGTGAGAAACCTCCTGCTTTTTATTTAGCAATCGGTTTGTGTCCCTTTGCTTGAAATGTGAATGCTTTTACACTATCTTATTTAGTGCACAAAAGGTTTTATGGCTTTAATTTGTGTTGATAATCCTCTTGGTGAGCATGCATGCACCAATTATTATACACAATATCTATGTTACAGCGTACAACAATACAATGTACCAATAATATCTGTCCACTCTGCGAGTAAACATGATAAAAAAGCAGCTTGTGTTTTCACTGTAAGCCTCTATTCACAGAAAACTCTCACAGTTGCGACCTTTACGAGGGATGTGTACAGCGAACTGAAATAACATCTAGAATTCAAAAAGTTTGTTTATATGTTTGTGTATAAAAGTAACAGATGTGTTTAAATAACCCCTGATATTCAAATGCAACAGGACAGAAGTGTGTGGAGCATCTACAGGTGAGATTATGGTCTAATACCTGAACTAAATCATCCTTTAAAAAGTCAGAGCTGTGTGTCCTGCAGTTTTTACACTCTCAACAGGTGAGTTACACATATGGACTATTATTAAGATTAGGGCCTATAAAGATGAGGATGTTTGATGTCAACATTTACATGAAGTAAACTCTAAAAATTCTCCTTTATATAACTTTGTCTCTCTGTGAATTCACAGTCACATTCTAACAAATTGTCTGATAACACTCTGATATCAGTTTTCATCGATTCACACAAAGACAGTACCAGTGAGCGTCACAGACACAAAACTTAAGATGCTTAGGAGTAAAGTGAATCCTATCAGAGAGGAAGTCGTCACTCTAAGCACCTCTCGTGTCAATAAATGTTGGGACAGTCAGTGTAATTTCTGTCAAAGTATCCACCTGTGTACAGCCAGTCTTCAGCTCCCGTATGAGGGTTTGTTCCCTGCTGAAACCACCTGCATAGACGTGAGACATGAGGGATCTAATTATAACAGCAGCGCAGCAGAATAATTACACAGTAAGGGTGATGTGAAGTCCAGTAAACAGTGATATGATCCAAGAAGCTGCCTTCGTACATTTCTAACATACAATAAATTTTTGATAGAATTCAAGTATCTTTGTAGGAGTGTGGAAGAGGTTTTAACGCAAATAAAGCAAGAAAAACAAAACTTTAATATTAAAATGTAATTAAAAAAAAACATTTTCAAAAACAAGAGCGACATACCTGGTTGCCCACTCCTCCTTGTCCTTGCTTCGTTCCCTTCTTGAAGCCCTTTGTTTTTCCTCTAATCGCTCTTTCTCTGTGTTTGCTGTGTCTACAAAACAACAGTCTTAGGTAAGACGGCGCTCTTTACACTCGCAGTTTTGTATTATTTTTGGGGGAATGAAGTTTTAGCTTCTTTTTTCTCTCCCTCTCTCTTTTAGGAAATGACCCAAATGGCTTTAATCACCTATGTCCCCGTTTTCCATGGCTCTGATGTCCGGCCTCAGTCGGCAGTCTGTCGGCGCCAGGAGTCTCTCCATGCCGGGCTCCAGCTCATTTAGTGTCATGGCAAAGCTGGTAAAGTTATACATCTGCACACAAGGAAACGCAATACATGCTGGTTAAACTAACATCTTTAAAATCTGTTAACTTTACTGCTGGATTTCAACTGTGCGGGATGATGTCTGCGTGAACGACACCGACCTTTACGGAGTGAGCAGGCCGCGGCGTCACCCTCCACAGTAAGGCACTTCCGGGTATCACAGTCACAGTCTCTTGAACATCTGGCATCTCATCTGCCTCCTCGCCTTCACAACTTTGTTCCTACGCAAAGACACGCACAGAATAACACACAGATAAATACTGTGATTAGGCAGGGACAAACTAAGTGAAGCTTGCAGTAGGCATGGTACAAACAGGTGACTCACAGAACTACAGTCGCCACAAATTCAAGACGTCTCTCAAGCAACAATGCATGTCATTGCAAGACATAATGGATCTGTGCTGGCAATGATCTAATCATACACTACACTTTGAACATAACTGGAACTCGACAACAGCAGCAGCACACTACAGATATTAAATACACTTTTACCTTACCTTCTACTAAAGCCACTGCATGTTATCGTGAAAGGAAAAGATACCGTTTCAGACAAGAATTTAGAGTGAGGAGGAGAGATCACAGATTACTTCAGGTAGTATGACAGAGAAACATCTCAAAGACAAATGAAACGAGAAAGAAAAAACAGACTGAGCAGCATTTTCTGTCAGAGCAGTTTCTGATCATCAATCACCTGTTTCAGCTTTTTAGAGTCCGCCCCGTTCTTCTTGTCTGACTTCCTGTTCGTATCGTAAAACTTGGGGTCCACGCTGTACATGCACTCCGTCCACTTCCCGTAGATGACTCGCCGCTTCTTCTTACTGGTTCACAAAGAGACAACAAAATCAGGTGAGAGAAAACAAATCACATCCCTGTATATTCACATCGCTGTCACGCTCCCGCTCTTACTTTTTGTCTTGGATGTAGCCTTCTACTCTGTGCAGCTCTTTCCCAAACATGCCACACGGTTTGAAGTTCAGCACGCACTTATCTCCCGTACTGATGGAGATAATGCAAAAGAACTGTCAATCAGTAACGGCATTTCGAACCAGGTCAAAACCTGCTAGGAGTTATTTGTTATCATACCTGTGGTTGACGATTTCCACAGTTCCATATTGCTCAATCCAGAGTTTTCCCAGAATGATATTATGGACACAACACAAAGGGTTTGTCCAGGTGTACGCCTCTTTATGTCTGTAAGAAAACCCCAACGGGTTAAAGGACAAAGTCAGGTCATTATTGTAGTCTTTCTGTAACAGGAAATTACAAGACTATCATCTCGTGCTCTGCAACAAAACAAGTGTTAAATCTATTTAGAGCTGCTTCGCTTCATAACCACTCTAACTGACACATCTTCAGAGTGAAGTTCATAAACAGCTGTGGTGTAAAAATCTGAATAACCTCAAGATTAACTTCCAGTTTAAGAAACCACAAAGACATGAAAACTCACAGATGTCTTCATAAATTACTCACTTCAGTAGCTCTAGCGTCATAGTGCCTCTGGGCTCTGCTTCCACACTTTTGCCCCAGAACTTGAGTTTTGGGTAGATGGTGCCGTGAAACTCAAACTCCTGCTTCAGAGACTGAGCGTGGAAGGCACTGACAGGGGGGTGGTGGCTCACCTGCTCTGAGATCAATCTGTATCCCTCATCCTCCCTTTAAAACAAAAACCACACAACAAATTATATTAACTACCAAACAAACAAACAAAACTATTTGATGCAGTTAAAGGAGTCCCTTCCAATACCTTGTAAGTTCATATGTTTCCCCCAATAAAGGATTAAACGGCTTTCCAGTTCTTTCCCATTGAGATGCGACGGCCGACACAGCAAATGCAGCAACAACCTGTCACAGAGAAATGAAGACAGAAAATGTAAAGTTTGGAAACTTTAAGAGGTAAATCACCACACACTCTCTGGTCCGACTACTTAAGAGCCTTATAACTGTTACTTTAAGCGGACTTCCTTAGTCTTCTGTGAGAGTAAAAGTGAATACATTTGATTTTTAGGCTGTAAACTGGGCAGAGAAAGCACAACACAGTAATGCAATGAATTCGTACTAATATAAGAAACTCACAACCTGCAAAACCAGAACTACTGAGTGATAGTTGCGGGTACCTGCATGCGGTCTATTGAGTCAGACAAACTGCAGGCTTTGTGGATGAGTTGAGTATGCTCCATGTACTCTGAGATCCTCTGGAGAAAGCTCAGCGGCTCATTGAACACAACTGGCATGGCTATTTTAGACAGCTCCTGTAGTAGGAAATCATCATAAGGACAGGGCAGATAAATGACAACAGGTGAGATTCAAACTGGGACAAAGTTATGCAAAACCTCTCACTCAGGTAACTTGTGCATCACATCATTCCAGCGTTATGTAACACAACTGTGCAGCTTTTTGATGGTGGGGATGGCAAAAACTTGTTTTACAGTCAATCAATTCTGGTGTCATCCTTGCTATTCTTGGTTATTTTGAAAAATGGCTGCAAAAAATTACACTATCCCTGCCAGTTTTTGTCAGATAAGTTTAGAAAAAAGTAGGTGTGCATCATAACTAATGTTTTAACAAGAACAATAGAAGCTTGCAGACTTGCAACATGCCACACAAACATGCGATTTTAAACTTAAACAAGAAGTCTTCACATCAGAACAACATTCTGTACATTGGTAGCAAATCTGATGTAAGAAATTCAGATTAAATTGTCTGCGAAGCCACATAGAAAATGAGTTATCTTTCAGCTTGATTAGGCAGGACTTACCATGCCAATGCATTTCTTCAGTATACTCCAAACACTGAAATTGTTCCTGGAGATCATATCAGCAGGTAGGGTTTTCCTAGTGCACATTTGGACCAAGAAAGATTAAAAAAGATGACTAAAAAAGGAATCACAGTATATCTGGCTCCTCAGCACAGTCAGTCAGTCTGCCATTAGAGAACACAATGTACGAAACCAAAACACAGGAGACTTCAAGATCAAAAATGTTCGTGTTGACTAGCTGATCCAACAGCAGATCCAAGTCGCTCTGCAGAGGAGGTGCTCGGAATAAAAATGCTGTTGCACTGGCTTTGTCCGGGTCTACGTGTGAGTGCATGCATGATGAACCCCCCCACCAAACACTTGTGTGGTCATGTGGTAACATGCACACATACATGAATGCATGCATGCATGCATACCACGCTTGTGCAGGATTCCTCACCTGCGCTCCCACACTCCATTCTCCTGCGTGGAGCTGCCACCGGTCACCTGCGTATTGTCAAAGACCAGGGCATCTTTGAAACTGACTTCACAGGAATCATCTGACTCCAGCCCTGGTGAAGACAAGAAGAGGAGGAGGGGAGGAAAAGGTCATTATCTGAAGTCTGTACGCTTTAAATGAAACTCTTTAAAGTCTGCCTCACCTGTCTCCGCGTCGTAAAACTCCTCCTCGCTGTTCATAGTGAGCAGAAAAAGTAACTCGATGTTACTCAGAAGTCATGTTTCCACCGTTGGCCTGTCCCTGCAGCCCAGCCTCTCTCTCCAAGCATCACAGGCTGCCAACTACACCACCTGCAATGCAATACCACCGACTCGTTACAACACGCAAAACAGAAGCTACACATTCGTACAGCCTGGTATTACAGAGTGCATGCAAAGGACACAATAACAGCAGCACTCTGTCTCTCTTTTGGAAACTCTGTTCCCCAAAGACTCTCAGCTAACAGTTAGCAAGCTACCAGACTAGCGAGCTAACCGTTGACTTCGCTGCTGGGACTAAATTAAAACCTTAGGTGGCGGTTGAACTACAGAGATAAGGTAATGATATCGAAACAAACAATGATAAATCATTAAAACACGATTCATTCAAACATACCTGCAAGTGAGAGTGTAATGAATGCTCTAATATTGTTAACAATCGATGAGTAACTGCCACTGGAACAGGGCGGAAGTAGGCGGCAAGGACACCTCGATTGACACGTCCGTCAGCCAATCACATTGTAACAAAGAGAGCCCTACAAAACAGTAAAAAAAAGAAAAAAGATCAGCCGAGTGATGGGCAAGGCAGTTCTTTTAGATGTACTGAATCACTCGAATCGGTTCACTAAAAAGATTCATTCAAAAGATTCATTCACCAAATCACTAAATCATTCGGCGTTTGGCGGGAGGAGCCTGCGACTCCAACCTCCTGAGCTGATACACAGCTGAACGGTTCAGGATTCAGTTCAATTCATAACTTTTGGAACCAGGAGATGACGTTGATTCCAGAGGGTGTAGTTCAAAGCATGATTTGTTTACCAAGTGATTCAGGAGTCAGTGCATTCAGGCCCTCGTTCGCCAGCTGCCTGCCTGGCTATAGCAGCTGCGCTTCTGACAACTTAACTGAAGTGGGAAACGAACTCGGTTCAGTACGTTCACTTACAAGATTCGTTTTTTTTTAACGAGTCGTTCGCGAACTACACAACAATGGAGCAGCTGTCAAACAGATTTAGTCAACGATGTGACATTCAGGAGAAGATTTGATGGATATTGTCCGAATCCTTGAGTGAACAAATGAACATTGTTCATTTCAATTCACAATGACAATGAACAGATTAGAATATATACACAGCGAAAGATAGTTTTCGTTATGCTGGTTACTACTGAACAAGCATTATGTAACTAAGTGTTAATATTACAGGTCTAAAACAAGTCATAATTTGTAAACACAAACCCGCTACCTCTTTAAAAGCTTGGCCTGTCTAAAAGTGTAAAAAAATGTATCAATAATTTCTTATGTTAGCATAAAGTTATTGAACCGTAGACAAACGTAATGCAGGATATTTTACCTTTTCTCGACCAATCGCTTCTCCTCGTGTGTGTGCCGCTCAGATTCTCATCTCATGTGCCTCTTATCGTTATTTGTCAATGATGGATGTCTCAGCAGACAACACATTGAGCAATCCAAGTTCCTGTGTTTGAACCTCCTTCCTTTGTGTCCAATGAGCGAGCAGGTCTGTCAGCAGCAGCGAGGAAAAGCAGAAGCGATGAGGCGGTGGTGCAAAAAAACACGATAAAAATGTACCAGATTTAACAAAATAAAAACGACTTGAATAATATTCGACCAATTTCGCTCATATTTATCTATGAGGCAGGGTATGGTGCCTCACAAATGAACCCTAACACAATATGTCAGTGTTTGCTGAAGTTAAGCCTGTAGTTCCACCAACACTCCACAGGATGGCAGTGTTGTAACTTGGTTTAATTTTGAAGCTCTTTCAATAGACTAAACAGCAAAACTGCATTACAAAAAGTAGGCTATATATTTCAAATCTAAAGAGACAGTTATCATATTTTTATTACATTTTACTTCATAACTTGATTTTTTTTTTTATTTAACAACTTCTCTAACTTACTTGTTTCATGTTATTGTGTTTATTTTCCTAAACTTTCATTAATATAGGCCTATTTACAATGGAATATAAGATGCAATCAAATATTTATAATACTTACCTTTTTTATGACCTTACAATAATGTTTATTTTGTTTCTTTCTTATTATATTAATGTTCAGTCAACCTGTTGATCAATATGTGTGTACACACTTACACAATTTACACCCAAACCTCGGCTACCTCCATTCATTTACAGATATTTAAACAGACACTTAAACAGACACACACAAACACACACACTATACACACAGATTTTATTATTTTCTATATTCAGTTTTTAACACAACACTCCCAATTGATCCCTATTGCTGGAAAAACATGTATCTTGTGCACACATAGTAATTAACTTGTGTGCACAAGACAATAATTTATTCTCACATGAAATAACTTGTCCCCAACAATATGTACAACCAGCCAGGTAAAATTATTAAAAAGGAGGCTGTATCAAAAACACATTAACTGCACAAATAACTTAAAAATCTACAAAAAGGACCACTTCAATTGACTTAATATAAAAATGTAGGCTACACCCAATTATAAAGCATGTCATTCTACATCTGTTTGCCAGTAATATGGACCTGGGTCCCATAATGGACCAGAGAATTAGCCAATGGTCAGCCAAAGAATAGGATTATGGGATCCATTAGCCACACCCAGACACGCCCCTTCTATTAATTATGAAAATAAAATAATAAGAAGTGGAAGTTTGTAATATAAATATGTGTTTATCTAATACTAATCTGCTGAAGTTATAAATGTTGATCAGTTTTGACCAACTAAGAAAAGTTTGATCTTTAACTCAATATTCAAACAACTTCTTCACCAAGTTTTGAAAATTTGAGCTCTGATGAAAAAGGGAAGTGTGTAGTATTTTGGAGAAGAGTTAAAATGGAGATTTTATTTTGGAGAAAATGACCGGAAGTCATTAACAAACTGAGCCAGTCAGCCTGTCTGTCTCCTCCTCTGCGCGCATTTTGGAGGAGTTTCAGATTTGAGGATGGAGGATAACTAGTCGGAGCTCCTGACTGAGCTGTGAGCTGCAGACTCTCCAGTTTCTGTGGGATCATTCTGACCAGCCTCAGCCGGAAAAGCTGCTCTTCTTTTTCTATTTCTTCACTTTGATTTAAAGCAGATAAAAGTCAGAATGAGCAGAGACGGAGACAGAGGCGCAAAGACTGTTTTACGGAGCCAGAAACACGGCAGGACGCAGCAGCAGCAGGTTTCTGTGCAGAAGAGGAAGAAGGATCCGTGTGTTAGGGATGACATCTCCAGAGACTCACAGTCAGGTAACGACAGTGGCAAGGAGATTAAATCAGCAGGAGCGCAGGGGAAACGAGCAGGGAAAGTGTCGACAGGTACCACGGTGGAGGGTCAGAAGAGCCCCGCTGCGCAAAGGAAACTCTCGGACGCCAGTAACGCTTCAGAGGACCTGAGTAAAGACTCCGGCTGCCCGTCCGGGAAACTGTCCTCCTCAGACAGCAGCTCAGAAATCTCAGACTGTACCTCAGAAGGCAACAAGCAGGACTCTCCGAGCTGTGACAATGAGCTAAGCTGGACAGACGGAGGAGCTTATGTGAGACCGGACAGCGAGAGCGCAGGAGACGGGAAACCGTGCGTAAAAGCAGCGAGAGACCCGTGCGCTCTCCAGCCTGATGTTAACGGAGGAGGACTCCGTCTGTTTGACCCATCAGGGACGTTCCTGGAGCTCATGATGGGGGACACGACCGATGACCTCGTCAGGGAGGTGGAAGACTTGAGATCAGAAAACGAATATTTAAAAGTAAGCGTAATTCACTTAAGTCTGATTTGATAAATGTAAGAATATCGTCTGATTATCCACGTTTGCACCCTGGTTCGTGAGTTGAGATCCATAAAAAGCCCTCAGACCGCGCTCTAGAGGGATTTTCTTTAAATGCTGCTGTCAGTCTTTATTAGTAAAGAAGGAAGAAGTGAAGAGAAGCTCTAAAGCAGGAATCAGGTTAAAACTTACTTCTATGTTTACACTTGACCTCTATTATTTTTACATCACTAGATATAAGATTGACCACAGGGATGGATTTAGTCTCACTGGCACTTTAAGACAGGAAATAACCTTATAATTTATCTGAAAGAAGAAGTTTTATTTTATGTTTCCTCTATGAATGAAGGGGAGAGCTGCTGTCTCATAGAAATCCTTGTTGGTCACTTGAGCTTTAGTTTGTGCATTAGAAGAGTGAAATGTGAGATAAACAAGATTAGGAGGCTTTGTTCCTGTTTTATTATTAAAGATTACCCCACTGATAAAATGCTGAACTTTATAAAGTCGTAGAATTAGAAACAGAAAAAGAAAGTTCAAAATCCTAACAGCAGGCTTCGATAGAGGCCAAACAAAGCACTTCTTTTATTCCCCATAATGATGGATGATAGCCATTTCATTAGCCCCATGACATCACCGTGCCATCACCATGATTATTTCACCATTCGCTCACTTTAAGTCTTAAGTGTCACCTAATGATGACTCAGGTGACCTGTGATTCATAACACCTGGTATCAGTGTTCGATCACGTCACCTTTCCATATGTGCAGCAGTGACCTTTAACAGACTCTGATCAATGGAGAGTCAGGTATGATGGTAATTTGAGGGGAATTCAAATGATGATAAATGACAAAATTCGCACCCTCAGAAAACGTGTAAAAGAAGTGTTTGTAAAAGTTTTGTAATGTACTAGCATACTCTTGTTTAAAGTACATTAGATGTAAATGATATACATAATAACATAACACCTGATAAAGAGGTAACACGTCTTATGTATTAATGTAATGCTGAGTTTTTCGAGTTAATACAATGCAAAAGCAATGAAATTACCAGCGCAAATACCGCTGACTCCCTGAGCTGTTCATATTCTGTTCAGAACTTAATTTGCAGATGATAAAAAATAATTTTCAAGCTGTTTTAAAAGCTCCCGTAAAGAGTTTTGCGATGTTAATAAGATAAACTGAAATTCAGATTGGTGCTTTTTTCATGATATCAGCGATAAGATTGATTATATTCTAATAACTGGTGCGAGGGGGTCGGTGTCGGCCATCAGCTGAAGAAACAGCCTTGTTTTTAACATTTACACAAAAATATTCACAATTAATTCTACATTTGGCCATTACAAGTCCACAGGATGAAGTCTTTAGTACTCTAGCGTGTGAGGGACAAGATAAGCAAAGACTGTTTTGTCCACAGGGGGCACCAAAATCGACACAAGCCAAAAGTTCGCCGTAAGACAGTCACAGAAGGTTAGCTATGGACTCAGAGGCACAGTCCTTCTTAAAGTCTGTTACATTAGCTGGTTTGAGAAGTAAATTTTCTCTGTTAACATTTCCACCTCCATTTTAAATCAAAGTTTCAGCATAAATGGCCTTAAAGATCTCCTTTCACGGCTTTCAGTTTGGGTCGATTTTGGCAACATCTGTGAACAAAGTGGTAACCCCAAACTCACTCTGGCAGTGGTTACAGACATTGGAAAATAACTGTGCAGAAAGTGCCAATCTAGTTGCTCATGGTCTCACTAGTCTTTGTAGGTCATTTAGAGGCATCAGTATTAACTCCAGCCTGTTTCATAACCGGTTAACAACTTCTTACAGGGGCTTTAAATGATGAAAGCTAAAGTACCAAACTAAAACATGCACCATTCTAGTCAATTATTGGTCTTTCTGTAAAACATTTTTGCCACCACCTTGACCAGAGTCTTGTATTTCATTGTGAAAATATCTGGTAGAACAAGATTCATGTATTCACAAGTATTACTAAGACTGAGTCTGTGTGGTTTTCCCAGGATGAGGTGGAGGAGCTCCGCTGTGAGATGCTGGAGATGCGTGACATGTTCCAGGAGGAGGAGGTGTACCAGCTGCAGGAGCTGCGGCTGCAGCTGGAGCAGGCCAACAAGACCTGTCGCATCCTGCAGTACCGCCTCCGCAAGGCCGAGCGCCGCAGCATCAGGGTGGCTCAGACGGGACAGGTGGACGGGGAGCTGGTCAGGAGCCTTGAGCACGATATCAAGGTCAGAGAGTTCATTCACCCTTTCATCACAGTCACTTCCCTTTCGTCTGTGTGTGTGCGATCATGTGGTTGTATAAAAACTCTCCCACCACCCACATCCAATAAAAGCTCCTTCTCGAAAATTGGCGTTTGACTGAATCACAGCTGCTCCAGTTTACGACATCAAAGTGAAAACTCTCTGTTAGCCCCACTAAACTTTTTCTCATCTCAGCTCTCTGAACAGTGATGGTGTTGTTCATACAGGCTGAAGGAGGCAGTCTGAGTCATGACTGCTCACCGTGGACCGTAAAAACCTCCACGCTGTTTTTTTTTTTTTCAGCACCGCAACGGTTTCATTAGTTTAAAATCTCTTCATCATGCTTCCTGTTTGTATTTTTGTTATAAAATGGGGCAATTATGTGGTGAGTTGTTCTCTGTGAGCACAAAAGCACTGTAATCTTGATCGGAATCCTGGCAGGTCAATAAAAGAGACTCTGTCGAGGCAGCGAGAGCCAGGCTGTGAGCAGTGGTGTTAAATTCCCAAAAGCCTCACTCCCCTCTCTCCTCCCCCCCCATAACCCCAATCCACTCATGAATTCCTGTCACAAGCTTTTCCTTGTAAAGTCTTTTAGATTTTACAGACCAACTGCTGCAAAAGAAACATGCTGCAGTCACAAAACAGCGTTACACTGAATCCATCTAGGACTGAGAGATTTGCTTTACAGCATTTGACCTTGTGTGTGATTGTGGCTCGGAATAGATCAGGAGGTGAAGAGGTCTCGGTCCTGGATCTTGTTCCTGCGTCTGAAACTTTAAAATCTTTCTTCAAAAAGTTGATCAAAGTCAATAAAACTGCCCCAGACATAATCTACTCAAAACGACCCCAAACCAACAAAACATAATTCTACTACAAAGAGGTATTAAAGGAAAACCAACGAAATTTAAATCCTGCAAAGCGGCCAAAAGTTTACAAAAAGACAGAAAACAACCACAAGGAGATGTTAAATAAAGTGCAAGGAGAGGAAACTACCACAAAAAGGGATTAAGTGACCAAAAAATGAGTGGATGATAAATTCAAACTGACAAGCAAAAGACAAACAGATGGCAAAACTAAGAAGCAAAATTACTGCAAAACCTGATGAAACAACCTCAAAGAGATGCAGAAGTACAACAATGTGGAGCAAAACTACCAGAAAGAGAGGATTTGCACACCTGTAGATAAAGACAAAACAACTAGATAGAAGCAAAACCACCTGGATGAAACAAAAGCTACGATGAAGAAACACTGAACACCATAAGGTGCAGAGAAAGAGTAAAAAGAGTACTTTAGTCAGGTTTGAGAGCTTTGACAGGTCTAGTATTTGAGCTATAATAACCGACTGAATGTGCTTTGTTTCCAGGTTGCAAAGAGCGTCTCCCTCCGATTGTACAATGAGCTGGAGGTGGTGCAAAAGAAGAACTCCCAGCTGGAGTGGGAAAACGAGGCGCTGAGAGAGAAGACCCAGGAACAGGAAGTGGCCAAACAGGTGTTACAGGCAGAGATGGACAAAACCAGAGAGGTGAGTAGAACATTCTACTGAATAATCTACCTGCCTCGAAGTTAGAGCTTAATTTTACTCATGGTTGTGCCAGCGATACGATACGATACGATACGATACGATACGGTACGGTACAATACAATACAATACAATAAGATACAGCACTATATGATATGATACTTTATGATACTATACGAATCTATACGATACAGTACTATTGTAGTACTGTATCGTATAGATTCGTGACCTGTACTATTTAAGGCGCCTATGGCCTGGTGGTCTAAGCATGCCCCATATACTGAGGCTATAGTCCTTGTTGCAGCGATCATTGGTTTGAATTCCAGACACAACCTTTTAAGTGCATTTCTCCTACTCTCTGCTTCCTGAAAGTCCAAGTGCACGTATAAAAAAGGTTCTTCTGTTTGCATCAGTTTGACATTAGAGTGTGTAAGTGTGTAATCGTACTCCTCAGATCTCTTACACATCAGTCAGTCTTGATAAAACCATCAGCCCCGATCTTGACAGAAACATTAGTTGCCTCCATCACTTTGGACAGGAATCCATCTCCACATTTCTGCTGCTTCACAGCTGCACCCATCCCGGCCAGTTGTCCCCCATGAAGTCAGGTGACACATGACCCTGATGGGGCTCAATGACATGAGAGGAGGAGGGCATGGCCAGCAGCTGCCTGGTGCCATGGTGGGGTGAAGCAGCCTGGTATGCTTGAGTCTGAACTCCAGGCACAGCTGATATCCTCAGCTGAGGGGACAGAGAAAAAAAGCGCAAGAGATTACAAAAATAGACTCCCTCTCTCATGCTTTCCCCTTTCTGCTTTTATTAAGCTTGGCTAAATCTGGATCAGTGTGCATTATGGCATTCATGAAGACGCATGTTTGTGCGCTGGTATACTGACCTACAATCATCCCCTGCATGTGATTTTATCAAACAGTGGATACTGCACCCTGACAGACTGAATCTTCAGTCCACCTTTTGTTCGTGGGGCCCTCCTCCTGCCTCTGTGACTCGTGCGACAACAATCACACACCTCTAATCCAGGATTCAATGCTCTGGCATGAGCTCGGTCAGGGCTACTCATCAGAGACAGCTGCTAGTCCCTTTGATCCCAACAGGGAAATCCACTTAGATTACCTAATCTAGCAGCGCTCAACACACAGTGTGGACCCATGTGAAGAAGAGGGAACCTTTTAACAGACTGCAGAAAATAAACAGACTTCCTGTAATGCTGTTGGTGACAGTTTGACTAAAATCCCCCAAGTAATGAGCTCATAAGAAAAACGTGCTTTTATTTTGAAATGCAAAATAATTTGTCACAATTAAATGACATATTTCCTAATTTTTCCACTTTTTCGGCAGCCTAACAGCACAATGACCTTGAATTGAATTACTGCGAGCAGCTCCGTATGTTTTTCACGTCCAGGCTGCAGATTCAGAAAATGACTATTATTAACACAGTGACATCCTGTCTAGTGTCTAGCAGTGAGACAATACTGCCAGACAGAGGCTGACATTCCTCTCATGCTCAGACTCAACAAAGAAACTCGGTCATGTGGAGAAGGGAGAGACTTGAGCGGGAAGAAAGAGTTTGGATCGAATCACAACATGGACAGATAACTTTACTTCATGCATCTTTGACAAAAACCACAAAGACTCTGAGAGTATTTTGGATGAAACAAGTTAACGCAAACTGTTTCAATCTTGTATAAATGGCTAAGCGAGAAAAACTGAGAGCCTACCACTTCCTTGTGTTTTTGGTCATATGATAATAACAACAAAATCTAATTAGGTTTGGGGTAAAACAAGACTTATTTTATATGGACTTATCGTCCTCAGGTTGAAATATTTTGTATCACTTGATTAAGTTATGAAAAATGAATGTTTTCGAATTGTTTAAATCCAACGTTCATGAGTGAAAATGAGGGAAATCCCACTTTGAATGGTGCGCTTTGCCTTTAAGGTTGCTATGGTTACTGGCGGAGTGATATTGCTTACAGCTATGAAATGATGTATTGGTTTAAGAACATGAACTTTATTAATCCCCAAAGGGAAATTCAATACTTATAATGGTAATAATAATGATAATAATAATAATAATAATAATAATAATAATAATAATTAGAACAACAATAATTATGTAAAATAATAATAAAAAATTAATTAAAAATATAATAATAATCAGAACAACAATAATTATATAAAATAATAATTAAAATAATAATAATAATATAACAACAATAAAAATATTAAATAATGATAAAAATAATAATAATAATAATGATTTAATACGTATATCATACTGCTGATATGTCTAGCATTGTATTTCAGTTGCACTGCAGGAGGTGTGTGTGTGTTCTCTTGTTTTCACAGTTTATTTGATAAAAGGTATCTGAGTCAAAAACATGCCGGTTTGCAAAGAAACATAGTAATATGTAGAAATAGTAAGAAACAAAACATTAGGGAATCAAAAACTGAAGGTTGGAAATATCAAGTACTGGGCTAAAAGGGTCTCAATTCGAGAGAGCAAACAGACTGTCACTTTTAACCTGTACAGGCTTGCTGTGTTTGTTTGTAAAGCCAACCTGAAATGAGTGGAATGTGTTGCTTTTCTTTAACTTGTATTAAAACAGGAGCGTATTCAGAGTTTGGCAGCTTGATTTTTTCCATTATGGCTGCAAGTGTCTCAGATGTTCAGGCAGGACTTGTATGATGCTCAAGAAATCCGTATCAGGTTGCTCTGTTTCCAGTTGGTGCATAGTTGATTTGTCCCTTTTCCGTTTTATCTCCTCAGGGCTCTCTGAAAAAGAGGAGCATCAGATCTGCCGTCAGTAAGGCCGAGAAAAGACTCTCTCAGCAGGTCGAGGTTAGAAATGTTTGATTCTCACGTCTGATTTGATCATATATATCTCTTTTTCATCCTCACCAGGATGATTTTTTGTGTCCTTTCTTCTCTCAAAGGATGACAGCGCCGATCTGAGGTGCCAACTTCACTTTGCCAAAGAGGAATTAACTCTCATGTGCAAGAAGCTCACCAAGTTGGTATCAGAGAGCGAGGCAATGCGGGAGGAGCTGGCCAAATACCGCTCAGCCTACGGTGATGTGGACGCCAACCAGTTGCCTGAAGGTAAACGACACTCTGCGCGTGCCAGGGAAGCAGAGGTCAAAGTTCACTTGAAGCTGGTGGAAGAGGAGGCCACGCTTCTGAGCCGACGCATCGTTGAACTGGAGGTGGAGAACCGCGGACTGCGGACGGAAATGAGAGACCTGAGAGAAAAAATGGGGAGAGGAGGAGGTGAGGAGGAAGAAGACAATCTGTTGGAGGAGAATCCGTCAGCGTCAGAGCAGGCGACTGAGAGAGAAGGAAAAGAGCAAAGTCTGAAAAGAGGAGGCAAAACTTTTGTGAAAGGTCAGGATAAGGATGCAGAAAAATGTAAAAGTAATGTTGAGAAATCTTTGCAAGGTAATCCATCGAAGACTGACAGGACTGCTTGTCAGATAACCCGAGAAGGTCCAGTGGGTGGTGAGTGGGATCCTTCAGACACTCCTGAAAGTGAGAACAAGAAACCTGAAGGTGGTCTGAAAGGTATGACAATGAAAGACTACGAAACTCTTCTGGCACTCAGAGATCATTCCTGTATTTTAAGTTCGGCCATCCAGCTCCTGATGGCGCCCACAAAAAATGGCCTCTCCTCATCTCCCTCAAGTGCTTTCACCTCTCCGACAGAGGACACAAACAGCAAGGCTCAGAAGATACCCCCACAAGGACCTTTGAACGAGGCCCTGGAGCTTCTCCAGGCTATGCTTTTAGCTTTCACAGGGAGGTTAGAGACTCTTCTCACAGGAGAAGACTCGGGCAAACTCTCAATTCACACGGACAGACAAGTTTGGGAATCCAACTCTTTACCGTTCCTGTCTGGAGATCACGGTGCCGATGCTCTGGGTCAACAGGCAGAAGATCTGCGCACCACAGAGGTTAAAGAGAGGGAAAAACAAACTGGACAAGCGACTTCCATCCAGTCGGACCCAAAGATGCGCCTTACGTTACAGATTCTGTGGGTCCTTCACCAGTGGTGTCTCGTCAAAGGACCTGGGCTTGAGGGGAAAGAGGTAAATTCAAAGCACTCTGGTTTGTTGTTGAAGTTTTAATCACTCAACATAAATCCTTAAACATGTCTGTTTGTTTCTATTCAGGGTAAAGACAAAACCATGTCTGTGCTGCAGGGGTTGTTGCAAGACCTGGCCACGGCGCTCCAGGATGATCCAATCGACTTTGGCAGCCAGTCCAAAGCTACACAAGGCAAGGCAGCTGAGGTAAGGATAGTGCTTTCCTTTCAAGCATGTGCCCCCCCTGCTGCAAGTGAGTCTGTGTGATACAGCAGGAAGTCCTCGCGCTGATCTGTCTGCCTGGCCACAAGTGGACGTGACTCTCGGTTCAACAGGCGTCGTGTAAAGACTCATGCCAGAGTATTTGGGCTAATCTCTTGTAGGAGCTGCAGCCAAACAGGACACACATGTTCAGATCTACCGCATGAAAACACACGGATGATACGCTGCATTATCCAGACTCATACCACCGTTCACTATCTAGAGATACAGCCGACTATTCTGCTGCTTCCACCTTGTTGGTCGAACGTAAATAAAAAAGAGTAGTTTGATTACACAGACGAGATCTGTAATCTGGTGTTTGAGTCGTTGCCACTGAACTGTTGATGCGTCTTTTGCACAGCATGGCTCGAGATCTTCTCTGAAGAGGCGGATTTATTTCTTTAATGGTTGTTTTCTTCTTTATCCTGCCGGCTAGACAGTAATCCCTCCTTCCCTCAGAGGCACGAGGAGTTTGCCGTGATGTTACGCCCCATCCTATCGTCTATTTACAATCTGACCCAAATGAAATACATTAGACGCCTCAAAACACTCTATCATGAGATTTAACTAAAAATCAAACAACTGAAATTATAAACAAGTAAAACTCTAAATTCCTGTTTCATGACAAGTATGTTTTTGTTTGTGTCTTCGCTCAGAGAACCATCAGCGGTATCTTTGGTGATAAACTTCGCTCTGAAGTTGTCAGGTCGGTGTTTTCTTCATATTTCATCTTTTTTCCCAAACTGCCTGTGCTCATATTTCACAGAACACCTGCTGTTTTCACAGAACTTACAGCTCCACTTGGAGAAGGCGCCAGTTTCCCCCACACAGCTGGAGGAGGAAGAACTGGTGCTACGTGAGCCAAGAGGCTGCCCAGCTGGACCGAGAGGACCCGGTTAAGACGTGGGACCATCTAATCATGCCGTCCAGCTTCCCTGATCTCGACTTTGAGCAGATGTCACTGGAGAGGAGCCACACCGCCCCAGAGAGGTCGGCGTTTCGCATCTACTACAGCCCCCCGTCGGCGCGCAGGGTCCAGCTGGCCCAGCAGAAGAAAAGCCCCGTCGCAGACGGAGAATCCTTCAACTCGGCCTCTCCCTGGTGTACACCGCTGACCTCCTTCTCTCAGCTCTGTCTGGGCTCGGCTAACAACCTGAGCGATGACATGAAGGAAATGACGGCCAGCTTGAAGCAGGCGTTTCAGAGCGGTTCACAGGAGGTGAGAGGGAGGCTACAGGGGCGGCCAAAAGAGGGGGCTTGCTTGTGCGCTCAGAGCAGCTCAAAGCCTCAGATGGTGAGTGTGGGTCAGCAGACAGAAGGGACACACAGGTCAGTGACGACCAGAAGCAGTCCATCCCGAATCCTGAGCCCCTCCCTGGCTTCTGCACGCTCTCATCACATCTCCACCTCACTGGACAGCTCGCCGAGCAGAATGGAAAGGTCCAGATCCTCGCCGAAACTGTACCGCAGACACTCCAGTGCGTCTTCTCCCGCCTCAACCACCAACCTGACCTCCTCCTCCTCAACCCAGTCTACCTCTAGAGACCGAGCACTGTGGAACCAGACCCACCAAAGCCCGTCTGGCCTCTCATGGGTCCGACAGACCAGCCTCAGAGGGCAGAACCAGAGCCCTGTGAGCAGCACGAAGCCTCCGACTAAATCTGCAGGAACCAACCGTTACGGCATGGTCACAGAGTTCCTGCGCAGGGTGAGCGGCCGGGCGGATAAACCGGCTCCAGGGTCCACTCAGAAGATGAAAAGCGGGCTCAAGAACCTGGAACGTATCCCAGCGAGGCCTCCTGCTGCTCCGCTGCACAGGACCGACAGTGTGACGAGGATCGTCAACCAGAGGTTCATGAAGCAGAGAGAGGAGTCTGGACGGGCTCAGAGGGACGAGAAGGGAGGCAGTTTGAGCCAGAGTGTCCGACACAGCCAGAGTACATCCACCTCAGAGGTCAGTGTAACAAAACAAGCAGGTGTGTGCTTCAGCTTTACCATTTTAACACTCCTGTAACATCCCCAAGTTCTTGTTTGATAACTTCTTCAGCTGCATAAAAGCCTTGAGTCTTTTGCATCATAAGCTGATTGTTGAGGCCTGTTGCACCAGCTCATTGCGTCTTATGTCAAGTTGCAAACTCCACACTAAACTGTAAATTATAAACAGTTAGTTTGTTACCTTTAATTGGTTAATTGCTTCAATAACCTTTATTTTAAGGAGAGAATATCATCCATAATGAAACAAAAATATGGTTGCAGAAATGGCGATTTAAGGGGCTGGTTTGGTCTTCGTGACCTAAATTTGTGGCCTCTTCCCTGTACGTCACCGCCAACTTTTTCGCCCTGTTTCCTGCTTTGTCCACTGATCTATCCTCTAAACTCCCCCTCCTCTAAATAAAAGCATAAAAGGCAAAAAAAAAGACTTTTTCACTCCACCTGGTCAATCAGTGAAAAGCTCTGTGTCAGTGGGGTGTTTGTGGACGTGCTGACTCTCATGCCTTCCTTTCCTCTAAATTGGCTTACAGCTGAAAGTGACTGCTGTGAACTCCTGTTAATTGTTTAACAGCAACTTAAGGTAAAGCATTGTGATGAGGTGATAATCTACTGTGTGAAACAACAACAATGACACTGAAGGTTGAAATCATCAGCTACAACAGATGGTGATTTAGCAGCACTGTAATATTCAGGGGGATCTGAATCTACTCAGATCTAGGTGTATAATGTATAAGCAAGCACAGCCGCAGATTCGGCTCATTTTTAAACTGGTCTTTAACCATCGCTGGCATTTGACACTGCGCCATCATTGTGGCGTGCATGCGGAGGGTGAGAGCTTTAAACTACTTGCATGATACAGACAATTAGTGACGTCAACCAAGACAACATGCCGGACACCTTTAGAGATGAGAAGTTGAAGTCTTGGTTTCTTTTCCACAAATTTTTGGACTAAATTTAAACTAAATAACCCCAAAACATCCAAACAGAAAGTTAGATTAACTTTTTTTTTTTTAATCAAACTCCAACAAACTTTAATTTTACCATATTTCTATTATTTAATCATCTGCTCGTCTTCTTTTTTTTGACCAGGATGGAAACTACGACTGCAGCTCCGGCGGCACTTTGACCTTCTGCTTCTCCCGCCCATCTCGCTCCACTCAGAGACAAACGTCGAACCAGAGCAAACTCCCCCTCCACCGATACTCACCTCCAGCCAGCGTGACGGTAGACTCCAGCTGTGAGTGAGCCGGAGAAGAATCAGGACAACTGAGAGAGCGGTTACAGCCATGAATAAGGACTTTAAGATGTAATGTTTAATGTAGAACAGGAGGAGGGAGCTGTGAGTGGATGTATAGCTCAGACCTCATGTTTTCTTATGGTGCAATTTACTCTCTTCTCCTTTTTCTGAATCTTAATTTCTATCACTTTAAACTCAAATCATCCATATTCAACTATTTTTAACTTTATTTAAAACTGATTTTGCACTTATATCCTGAATGGCAGATCATAATTATAATTTTATATCATCTTTGTGGTATTTTGTAGAGAATAACCTCATGTTTTGTTGATTAAACTTCCTAAGTCTGATCAAACTGCCTGGTCAAACTTGTCTTTGTAAAATCTGTAGAAACGTGTCGACTCTGCAGCGATAAGCAGGACGGGGTTTCTGCCTGTTGCGTCACGCGCTCAAAAAAGAAAAAGTAACCGTTAAGTAGTTAATAAGATAAGATTTCCTCGCGTGTCAGGAGCATCATCCCTCTCCCCTCTTTGCCTGTGTTGACTTTCACTCTCACTGAAAACAACAGCCAACAAAGACAGCTCTTTGTTTTGTGCTTTCAGATACACTTTGATACACAGTTTTTAATCACTGTTTGAGTTAAACGCTCAGATTTGTTTCAGAGCAGATCAGATTTAATACTTTGTCTTCACCTGCTGTGGTCAAGGACAGAGCGAGTGGGAGGAGGAGGGTCACACAATCATGCAGTGTCATGTTTCTGCTGCAACATGTGTTCTTTCTATACTGTCGCACACACACACACTAAACAATGTGGGTTACCTCCCAGTGGAGGGTCCTCTTTCCTATCATAACCCAGTTCACAGAATACTGTATTGGCTGGAATATAAGACGAGCCTGATTGTAAAATGAGACACATTTTCCTGACACATGTTGAGAAAAGATCAATTTTTTTCAAGTTTTTTTTTTGTCTGTTTGCAGATGGTACCACTAGAAAATAATATTCTATAAATTCAATATGTTCTCCTGCAAAGTTTACATAACCCCTGAAAAGTAAAAGACTCTGAACTTTATCTCAGTAAACCTTGTTAATGAGCTCAGGAACTCAGCCCTGTTTTCCAGCTTAGTTACAATGCTTCATTTCAGCCAATTTGGAACAGATTATCAGAAAATTCAACTTCTAAATTTACCTTTAAGCTGCTGTGTGGATTTTCTGCTTGTTGTGAAACAGACTGAAAACTACAGTGATGCCCTTTTATGACCTACTAAACCAAAACAGGACCAAACAGACTGTTGAGAAGGAGAAACATTTCTTCAAGCTGTATTAAAGTTCACAACTGTGCAGTTTGGTGCAAAAAGGAATTGTAGAGAGATGGATGTGATTCACTGGGGTTGGAATTGAATTGACTTAAAAATGATTGTCTCCAAACTAAACGATGTTGTAAAGATTTGAATAAAATTTAAATATTTCTAAAGTTAAAGAAGAATTTGAGAAGAATAACATATAATAAATGTAGTAAAACACTTTACTTCCTGTTAGACATTCACAAAACAATAGCACAGTATAAAAGTAAATTAAAGCAGAGTATGATCCAAAAATACTTATATAAGTGATTTCCGTTTTGACACATTTATTATATTGTATATGGGTATGGTACAAATGAGATATTTGAAGTTTCCTATGTATATATATATAAAGTGCATATTTGTGTGTATACGTGTATATAAAATAGGGAGTTTCTTGTCTAAAATTGTACTATATTTATATTTGATCGAATAAACAATCTAAATCAAAAACGACAAACCAAATTACAGCTGCAGTACTGAGTATTACCCGAGGGGGCGCTGCAGGTAAAGTACTGCTCTTTTAGTCAGCTGTGTTTCCTCTTTATCAACATTTGTTGGCGTCTGATAAAACATAAATACGGAAGTGCTCCCCTGCTCTAATAATTGTGAAAACTGAAGAGGTTCGTGAGTGAAATTTCACTTAAATCAAAAGTTAGATGGCGTCTCTTTTCTCGAGGTTCGACTCTTATGACTTTGAGTCTGATCGGCGGTTTCAGGACGGACTGAAGAGTTTGAACATCAGTGACAGCAAAGATGAGAACAAACTGCTGGACATGAAACTGTTCTTTTATAACAGGTTTGTTTTATCTGCAGCTTTGGTGTCATATTTATACTAAATTATGAAGTGTTAACCTGTTAAAAAAAGTGAAGGTAAACTCGCATCTGTGATTAGTTTGGCTGTTTAAAATGTCAACACGTCATATGGTTGTGTTTTATCTACGGTGGCCCGAAAGGCTTACTGCGCGAACGCAATTTCTTAGTGAAATTGCGTTTTTTAAACATTTAGTGTTTTACAGATATTTTAATCTATATTTAACTAGTAATGGAGTATTTTAGGGTCAAGCATAACAGATTTTCAAAGTCGCTTTGGCTCATTTCTCACATCACTATTAACATTTGCACAGCAGTTGGTGCATTTCTCAGAATAATTAGTACAAACTGCAATGATGTGCACAAATGACTAAATGTTGTGAGAACTTTGAATCTGATCTGAGAAATACACCAAAGTGACTGAGATTAACTGTAAAGTGAATAATCTTAATTCTTAATTCAGTAAATGATACAAGTACACAGATTTCATTTCTGCGTTATAATTTAGTTCAAACTGCACTCTAAAAAACATCACCCCTGCTTCTCTGTCATCATCAGGTTTGTAGAGCCAATAGACCCGACCAGCTACAAACAGTGGAGCTCCACTTTACCTCATGTAACACCGGTGGACTGCAGCGCTGACCAGAGGACACTTTCAGATCCAGACTCTGATGTCAATAAAACCCAGACTGCTGAAACATCCACAGAGACAGAAACAACACAGCTGTCGTTTGCAGAGGTAATGAAACTGGTTCAGGAGGGTAAGGAAGTACCTGGAGCAAAAAAACTGGACATAAAACCAACCAACCAGAGTCCAACACCCTCTCAGATGGACCGAGTACTGAAACCCTGGGAAATTTCAACTTCAAAATGACTTTTAATCTTTTCTTACAGAACTGTGAATATAGAAATCTCTCATTTTTAATAAATACAAAATTTAAAACACTGTAGATGACATTTTATTAATTAAAACTAACAAAAATGAAGGCTTAAACACACTTTACAGTTAATACCATTTGATCAATAATAGGTAAAACAATTATTTATAAATACACTTTTCAGGTACCTGTACATCACATCTCACTCTGCATGCTTGTATGACCTTTAACAATAATTTATAACCTGAATTATTACCATAGACTGTATATAGTACTGCCTATATACAGTCTATGACAACATCTAATGAGCTCATAGTTGATTTTTTAAATGTCTAGTTTCCCTTTCTGTCTGCCTAATTAGATCTGAGGTTGTTCATGCAGTTAAAGCTTCAGTGAGAAACCTTTAATTTGTTGATCTTGGCGACCTCTTTGCACAACACAGTGAGTCTTGTGTCTTTATCAGTCTCATCCTCTTAAGGAGCGCTTTCTGGCTGCAAATCTGATCCCATCCCGCTTTGTTTCAACATATCGCTTCCCTGAAATCTTTGTTGTGGAAAATGTGAACGCAGACTGAATCAACATCCTGCTGATAATCTCACTGTTGGCAGCCGTCTCAGACATTAAGAAGGAGAGTGAAATCTCTGTACTGAAGTAATATAAAAGCAGCACTGTTACATTGCCATTGTATACATGAGTATTGTGTATCCAGGACATGTCCATGTTTTTCCATAAGGCAAATGTTAAGTAGCTCTTGGCTATTTTGTGTTGGAAGGTGTTATGGTAAACTTCTTGAGTTTAAGCTTATTTTAATTATGATGTTGAAATACTTTTGCAGGAGTTTTAATTAGCAGGATAACAACAAGTTTTACTCTCTGCTTTTGCACCTTAAACCTGATTCAGACCTCTGTGAGTGTCTGTGGCTTAATGGACAGAATTTAGGTCAATCCCTGCAGTATATTAACACATTTAAACTTACAGAGTATTTTACACAACTATGTAAGAATGGCAGATGAAGAAACTTTAGAAATCCCTCAAACAAAATCTCTAAAATACTAAATATATGCAACTATGTACAACAGCAAACTATTTTCTATTTCTATTTATTTATTTTTAAAAATGGGAACAGTACATATTGATGAACATTTACATGTAAATATGTGGGATTGTAGCCAGATGGCTAATTTCCATCCCCAGTCCCATTGGCAGGTTGATGTTAAACATAAAAGCAATAATGTTAAATGTACAAACAACATGACTAAGACAGTAGAACAATATACTGACAAGATACACATAATATACATAATAACGTACACAGACCAAAAACTAAGTGACCAATAGTAAGGGGACCAAAAAGATTAAAGGAGAATCGTAAAGCGCGAAAGTGCTGATTTCAGTGTCATGCACTAAAGGTGTTTAAAGTGCCATTTACTACAGTACAGCTTGTTAAAGTGACGAAATTACATTGAATTGCACAATGTGTGGTACAGGATCAAAAGTTTGATATTTGTGGTTGTTCCCATCTTTATGGAAAGCTGCATAGGCAGTGATTTTTTACAGTCAGCTTCAAGATTAAAAATCTCCCTTACTCACCCCTCTGGTAGTTAAAGTGCAGGTGGTGTTCAAGTACAAGGCACACCTGTGAAGACGTCATGATCCTTAAATTTGTTAGTTTTTACCATCGATTTCAAAGTGGAGAACAATGTCGACATCTTGTGGTGAAATGTAGCTGCTCATGGTTTTAACCTCAGCCTCTATCTAATGGTTTTGCATGATTAGTAAAAGCTTTTGTGCTCTGTAGCATAATTTTACATATTTTACTGTTTCTCATTGGCTGCTGTGGGTCATTTCCATCCATTCCCTCAAACAGATGCATGATATTACTTAATCAGGCGATAAGGGGCTCTTAAATCAGAGATATGCTCAATTATGAATGAGTTAAAAATTAAAACCAAAACACACAATACACTTGCCTGAGTCGAACAATTTTATTCACTGCTTCCTAACATGCCATTTGTTCTTTTCACAGAGAAAATGAGCTATTTATCACACATATTTTTCCCAATATCACCTTGTAATTTAATGAAAAAAAAAACAACATACAATGCAAACAGTCACACAGTATGACAACAGCCTTTAAGAAAAGTTCATTCAATGCTGGAGTTCATAAAGAAATCAACCAAACAAAGCTAACAACAAACTGTTTCTGCAAAGTTAGCACCTTTAGTGTAGCACCATCAAAAAATAAACTTTAAAAAATTAATAAATGAGGTAAAAAGAAAAGGCAACAGTCATATGTGGTCAGACACTAAACAAGTGATTTAGCACCACGAACGGGGCTTTCAGTCAAGTTAACATGATCAATCAAAACGGTAAAAAAACAAGTTTCACTACAATCATAATCTATACACATCTGAACAGGTCTGTCAATGTTGAGAGGAAGGAAAAACACAAAGATTTGGAAAAATGGAGATGACATTCATGCAAACTGCGATCCAACAGACTGAACCAGAGATGAAAATAAATACACCAACAAATCACGGCCGACCATATTCCAGACAAACCAAGTAACTTACTCCCAAATATAAACTGGAATTTCTATTTGTGACTTATCACATAACCTGGTTAATAAAACTAAAGAGAACAGTGAAAACACACTGGAATAGTTAAAACCGAAGTCTATCTTTTTCTTAAAACATATGTTTCCGAATCCTTTACAGCAACATGATTAAAAAAATAAAACAGTACTTTGTGCTGTGAAATATTCTCAACGATTTTTTTTCCTATAACATTTTACAGTACATAATCATTTTAGGGCTGTCACTAGCAAGATTAAGATTAATGTGAAATTATTTTCATGATTATTTGATTAATAAAATGCCAAAAATATGAGAATGTCAGCCAGTGATGAAAGCTCTACTACATCCTCAAAGACTCCTCATGGTACATGGCTGCTGTGTGAGAAAACGCTGTGCAACACGTCAAAGTCAGAGCTCTACAGTTTAGTCTTTTCATCGAAGAAAAACGTCAAAGTCAGTTTGAGCTCATTGAAGAAGCTACAAAATATTTTTGGTTTTGTATCATCAGCGATTAAAAACAGATAAAATGTGCAAACCCATTGAAGTTTCTGCTGCACCACAGTAAGAAAATGTTGTTTGGCCAGAAACTTATTAAAATGCTGGTTTAAAAATTGGTAAGAAATCATTGCAAACAATAGGCAAACTTACAATTTGTAAGATTAAACAACAAAACAATACAAGATACAGATCATGTAGAAAGAAAAAGTTAACATTTGTTCAGATTCATAAATAAATACAGGATATAAAAGTGTAACTGCAGATTTTTTAACCATTAAAAAAGTGTTGAGGTAGAGACCGTGAGCCTGAACCAAGAAGCAAGTTAAACGGCTTTCTTTGGGACATCTGGCTTCACAGAGAGATCCTGAAGAAACAGTATCACAAGACTGGTTTGGTTTTTGTTCAAGTAAGAAAGGCGTAACTGTCGGCTGCATTTGTGTTTCTTTAAAGGCTTTTTCACTGACGGTATGAACACTTGACTGACCGATAATAACATAACTGTTGCAGTTCTGTGGCTCCCCTTAAACTCAGTGTTTCATGTCAAGACTCTTTGGAAACGATGGCTCCTTCTCCTTCCTTTCACAACACTGAAAGGCTGGGTTATGATCTCTTTCCAGTGAACCAGTTTCATAATACTGAAGAACCTGAGTTGAGCCCAAAGATTGCTGGCTGACCATCTAAACTTGCTTCCCGGTTCAGGCCCTGAGCAACATTATTGTTTGTAAAACAGCACCATTATTTATCAAAAGAGACCTAAAAGTAAAATTGTTGGTGCCGACTGGCAATAGTTGATGACACATGACTCACAGTTGTAAAAAAAAAAAAAAAAAAAAGGAAAAATAGTTAAAATGTGAAAACTGTTTGACTGTTCTAAATGAAGTCTTTCAGAGGGGAGGAGTTTTAAAAACTACGCACTGCAGGGCAGGATAAGGCGGTGGGTTAACTGCTGATGCTCCAACAGGAGAGAGGAGGTTACGTTCACAGTGGTTATTCACATTCATAATAATCCTTCAGTGGAGCAAAGAGGTGACGAATAACAGGGACACTCCAAGAGCGACCCAGGACTTTCTGTCTCTGATTCCGACCCATGTTGTTGACATCTGTGTAATGTTTGGGGAAGCCGAAGATCCTGAAGAGGAAAACAATGAAATGTAAATAAAAATAATCTTTTACTTAGCTTGTGCAACATTATCCCTTTCTTAATGCTACAGCACAGGTTGAACAGATGTTTAAAAAACTAAAACTGAACTATTGAGTCGTCACGGTAACAACCTCAAATATCCAAGTAATGATAACTCAAAATTTCACAGTTCAGAGTCTCATCATTTACATCTAAAAATGGCTCTCTTATGTTGTCACTCTCATTTTCAAGCATCAAAAGGAATACATTTCTATAAAGAATAGGTTATGTTTTATTTTACTAACATTAATAAATTAATATTTATTGAATGACAACAAAAGACAAAACTCTGAATATCAGACACCACTTCCTGAGATCTTCATTTGGTTATCACACAGTGCAGATGTATTTTAGTCAGATGTACTTACTGCTCCATTTCGGTGCACCACAGGTAGTCTTCCTTGCCATTCATGCTCACAGGCAGTGGCCCCGTCTTGCCTTGCCTTATGGAGTTACTTTTTGTTGTGATGGTTCGCACTTTATCAAACTAAACAAGATAAAAAGAATCATGGTAAAACTTATGCAACTGATCATCGAACAGGCTGGTAGTACTTTTCTGGTTCTCTGACGAGCTATCTCCAAAGTTAAAATTTTAAATAACACTATAACTTGTTTCAGATTCTTTCAAAGTAGACGCACAAGTTTTCTGTATTTTATCTTCTGTCAAAATGCTGCTGGAATTTTAATTTCCTTGAGGAAACTCCCAAAAGATTACATAAAGTTGTAACTAATCGAATCTAAAATCTAAATCTAATCTCAAGTAGATGTAATTAGTGGAAATAACCTTCGATGCTCCTGTTTGGCCTCCTCAACCAAAAGAGTCTGACTCCATCTTTAGTAGATTTTAACAGAGCAGGGGCATTTCTCTTACCATTGCTTTGCGTCCGACTTCCAAACAATCCTGGAGGCTAACTCTGTCATCCAGAGCTGTGGCGAGAGGCCTTGAAAGAAACAGAGACCCGCATGATGACTGTACTTTCATCCTCCAATGTGAGATGATGAAACGAGAAAGGGGTATAAAAGAAATTTACCTGTTCATGCCCGGGAGGTTTCCCCAGAAGTAGCGCGCTCTGTGAGCAGGGCTCACTTTGACCGCATCGATCAGAATTGGATTACACTGCAATAAAAGAGGGAGAAAGTGAAAAATGAGAAAAATGATTTCATGCAGGCCGTACACTTAAACCTAGCCAGGATGATACGTTGATAGTTTTCAGATTTAATCACCTCAAGGAATCTGCAGATGTCTGCCTTGTCATTTGCAGCCATAAAAACCACGTTCTCAAACAACCAGAAGAACGGCCGGTCATCGCCCTCCTTTGGCTTCAACAGGGTCAGGATGCGATAAAACTCAAAGAAGAGCCTTCCAGTGCCCTCTGCAGGTCAAACCGAGAAAGATGAACAGAAAGGATTTAAAACAGAAGATTGCAGGTCTAAAACTTTCAGTGCAACAGCTCTCTGTGACCTTAGTTCTTTAGTTTTCCTTTCTGCAAACACCTTGTTTAGTTTTAAGTACTCAACGCTGCAAAAATAGTTTAATTTAGTAGAAGTTTAGAGGCTGCTTACCGAATAATCCTTTTCGTAGAGGGTTGACCATGGACAGGTCGTTACACGGGCTGCCTCCAATCAGCAGATCAAATGGGCCCCATTCAGCCAGCTGTGACACACATTTTCATTTGGTTTTCAGCATTTTCAAAATGGACCGTAAACAGAAATGAATAAAGACGGCTACCTTCAGATCAGATTTGTTTTATAGTGATGTTTGCATATACTGATTAAAAACACACTGAAAAGCAGTGGAATAACTCCGTCCTGTACTCACATGTTTCCTTGTGATGGTACGAACATCATTGACGTATTCGATCTTTCCTTCGTGCTTGATCATCCCCACAGCGATGGAATCCTCACAAATCTCTGAAGCGATGTAGCGCTCAATCTTTAAGCCGAGGTCTTTGAGCACTAAGTATCCTGTCACGATCACACAGGAGTTAAAGTTGAGTTTTGAAGAAAAGAAACTTGATAAAAAAACAATTTTTCACTGTAACATCTGATCTGTTAGTTCAACTTTTAACTTGATTTATTCTCATTTTAACAAAAAGATCACAGGGTTTATGAATTTATCTGACATTACAAGATTTGAACCAACCTGTTGCAATGCCGTCAAAGAGCGAGAGCACCCTGATTGGTCGGCGCTGGTCAGCAGGGATTGAGGGGTAGATTCTGTGAGGCTCCTGTGGTCAACAAAAGTAAACAGCTGTTTTTAGAAATTGTCAATATCCCGTAGTAAACCTTTAAATGTTTCAAGAGAGCACGTCTCAGCCTCTCTGTTGTACGTACAAACTCCATGGCGCTGTTGTTGACAAAGAGGTCCTGAATCTTCACGCTCCAGTCTGGTCTGAGTTTGAGGTTCCCCTCACACTGTGACGGCTTACAGAAGTAGCAGCTCCAGGGATCGATATCTTTCATTTTGTCAAAGGTTCCTGGGCCCACCAGGATATCCAGGCAGTCCTTACAGAAACATCTAGAAGTGACAAAGAACATCCAAAGTCGTACTTGTGAATGTCAAATTCTGCTAATATAGTTTAAGACTCAATGTGACTGAAGTTTTTAGGATCAACATGTCTGTCCTGGTCTGCACTGAGCCGTGTTTACCTGCAGCAGCTGGAGTTGCCGCACAGAATGACCTCGAGGCCGGCGCAGCACACTGTGCAGTATGACTGGTAGCCATCTTCATCATAGCGGTACAGCGTCTCAGTGAAGTTCATCTGTGAACATAGTGGTTTGGCAGCATTTAGGTTGTTAATAGCAGCTGTGTTTCAGATTGAGATTAGACATTTATAAACTGGACTAGGATGGAGAAAAGCAAAACATAAGTAAACCAGGTTAGACCATGAGGTTGCTGGATTACCTTGCATCTAAAACAAAGACCCCCTTCAAATAACGGGTGCGCCACGTCAATCTCATAGGATCCACAGGACAGACAAACATCTGGAATCACAAACAAAGACTTTAGAACAAGAATTAAATGTCAGATTTTTTAAATAACAACTAGATCCTCCTCATTTCTTACCCTCGATCGTTTTTCCCTTCCTTTTGGCTTTTTCTGGTATTGATTCTGTGAAGCAAATTATGATAAACAAATCATACATTTAGAAACAAAATGATGATAAAAGTAGACAGAACTCATCATTGAATCATGAGGCGTCATCGTGCTTGTAGGCTCATCATATTTGTACCTCTGTCGTAGATCATGGTTACATTATTCGCCTTATTTTTGTAGACGTATTTCCTTTTTGCTGGAGGCTGATAGTCGGACAGGGCGGAGTCAGAAGAGTCCTGATGTGAATTACAGTGGATAGAATCTGAAAGTTCAGAGCAGACAAAGTCAAGAGAAGTTTCATGGACAGAAAGCGTTGTAAGATGTTTGATTTGAACAGAAAACAATGTTTAAGTGAAATCATGGAAGGCCTAGATGGACACATCTACAATTCACCTCTCTTATCTAGTCATTAGTTAACAAGTTAATTCCTACCAGGAGGTGCAAATCCGTCCGGTCCCTCAGGCAAAAATCCCTCCGTAGCCCAGTCCAGCATCAGCTTTATCTCTTTTTCTTTGTCTCCTCCTGCTGCAGCGAAAGACTTTTCACAGCGCTCACCTGCCAGCTGAAAAATGAATATTTAAAGCAACGAGTTATTAAAAGTTCCTGAGTAGTTAGCTCCATACGACCGTGTCTAAAACGGCAAATTATGTTTTATTATTATTTAACTGTGATTTATTTATATTATTTCACTGTTAACAAAGAGAGATTGTCTTTAAGGCTCTTGGGCTGCAGTGGCAAACTTTCTGCTCACCTGTTCTCTTAATGGTAGATCTACATTAGTCTTATATGCAGATAAATAAATGTCAAAGGACTGGAAGGAATGTCCTGTGGTCTATTAGAGTGACAGTTCAGGAAATTTTCAATCACACTCTGGTCTTGAGGTAATTTAGTCGAAGTTTTCTGAGTTTGGCACTGTGTTGTAAGTTTGTTTGGTTAGATAAGGAGATAATTTTAGGAGAGAAGCTTAAGCACAATTGACATGAATGTTATCACACACTGGGATTTTTATATTTTGCGTCTTACTTCGAGGACATGGTAGATGGCTTGCTTGTAGATTGGCAGGCTGGCGTAAGAGTTCTGACAGAAGCACCTGGTGAAGTAACTCAAGGACAGCAGACCCTCTGTGTGGATCTGCAATCAGAAATTACGACAATGTAAGATTTCGTTTCGACACGTGATGTGCATGATGCTGAGGATTTTTTCTGCACTTCTGACCTCTGAGAACTTCCCGTCTCCAAACCACTCCACCAGCCGCATCCCAGGAGGAGAAAGCTTAGTTTTCCAAGGCTTCACCATCCCAGGCCACCAAGAGAACCCCTGCACTTTGCCCCACACCAGCTCTCCTACCCGAAATCCTTTTCCATCCTGAAGCCAAAAACGGAAAAGACCTGTTAATAATTCTTTCACATACAAAACAAAAAAAACAAACACAGATAACTCTGACACGAATTATTTAACACACTTCTTGATTGTGTCATTTTTTTTACCTGGTAGGCCCTCCTCCGTCGTCCTCGTGGTGTTGATTTAGTGGTTGTCTCCTCTTCACTCTAACAGTAAACATTATTTAAAACGAATAAGTGTGCAGCCAGAAGTAATTTACAGTAAGGACGATCTGCTTCTTGATCAACAAAAACACATCTTGCATATTATTTAGTGAATAAGATGTTTACAGAAGAGGACTAAACTCTGTCTCTGCCTCTGTCTCACCAGTTGCAAATTGTAAGTTAACAGCAGCAGTTGTCACTCTTTCTCACCAGACTCGTCACACTAATGCAAACATACAACCCCGTAAGACTTGGTACACTGTGTGAAATGTAGATAACAACACAATTTGGTGGTCTGCAAATCATCATAGCCTATATTTCATTGGAGACAGTACAAAGACAACAAGTCGAATGTTGAAACTGAAATATTGTTTGATAGAAAATGTAGTTCAGTTCAGCGCATGGACTCTTCTACTTTGGGGCCATGATTTTGTAATACATGGTGTTACTGTAGTGGGCTTGAAGATCACAGATGTTCCAGTATCAATCTTTAAATGCAATGTTTTGTAGATGATGAAACCCTCATGATGATGAAATCTTTGTGAAATCATGATCAGGTTCATCAAACTGGAATTGCAAATCAATTTCTTCACCTAGTCTTAAGCAGAGAGGTGACCACCATCATCCTCGTCTTTCCCCCACAGGGGTGCCCCTCTATACCAAGTCATGTTGGAGATTAGTGTGATTAGTTGGGAGATGCTCTTAAACTTTGTAGTATTCAACAACCTCTTCAAGGTTTTGTTGTCTCTGTCCAAACTAACTCAAATTGCAAACAAATAAATTCTGTTTTTATCGACATATTATGCAGCAACTCAACTTCTGTGAAATTGGGGTTTTATTAACAGCAGTTTTGAGTTTGAGCAAATAACAAAAAAGAGGCTTAAATTTGGATTCATTCCCAGATTTTGAAAACTTTTTTGTCAAGTAATTTCACCAAATCAAATTAAATTTTTAATTACTCCATCCAGTTTAAATAGTTTATTATTTGGTTTCTGGCTTGAATAAGTTGCACAAATTGAATTCATTTGCAATTTTCCAATGAAGTAGATTTCACATGAGATTCAAAAGAAAACAAATGTGACCAATTTCAATCAAGCCGTGCCCCTCGTTTTTATTCAGGGTGTTGCAGCATTGAGTTTTTTTAATGTTCTAGTGGTGTTTCATATGAGGGACCAAAAATTACATAATTAAAAAAAATGAAATAAATAAATAAATGCTGAAATAAATATAAAAATAAATAAATGAATAAATAAATAAATGCAGAATTAAATACATAAATAAATGCTTGTATTTTAGGTTTTTATTGTTCTATTGTTACATTTATTCATTTACCTATCACCTCAATTGTACATGCATTTTTTAATTTATTTATATATCAACATGCACGATTGAGGAAATAGATAAATAAATATAAATATCATAATTAAAAAAGATATAAGCATTTGATTATTCATTTTTGGATTTATTTCTGCATTTATTTATTTATTTCTTATTATGACATTTTTGGTACCCCATAGTTTCAGAGGTCAAAGAAAAAAAGAGGGCTGTTACTGCCCAGGGGTATTCTGGTAGTATACTTGAGTATACCTACCCCCTCATCTTGGGACTTCGGTTCTTTATCAAGATTTACAGGTTTGGACCAGCTGCTAGCACCAGCCTGAAACACTGTACGGGCCTGTGGCTTCTGGCGCAAGCTGCTCTCCCAGCCATAATTCCCCCTAAGGGTCCCCTGAGAGACAACACACTCCCATTACACCAAAAATTAAAGGTCATGCAAATGCACACTGACACACACTGCACACACACACACCTTCTCATGCAAAAGAAATGAAAGATTAGTGAAAGATTTGTTAAAAGCATGAGGGAATTAAAAGTAGGAATTTCACTCGGAGTGAGTGGAAGCTGAGAATCTCATCTGAAGCCATTTTTTGACGAAGGAAGAGTAGATTCTACTGCGCTCTAATTTCTGCTGTAATCGTGTAGCTGACGGTAGTTATGATCAAATAACAGACATTATTGTAACAGTGACTTATTAAAAAGAAAGTAGGAAGTAGATTAGGAAGTAAAATATCTGAAGAAAGGAAAACTCTGTTACCTCTGGTGCATCTTTCCAAATGATGCCATTTTCCCCCTGAATAAAGCCGTTGTCATCCTTTAATTCTGTGTAAGGAGACAGGACAAAATCTTTCAAGAGTAGGTAATATTATGAGACATTTGATTGCTAATTCAACAATATATCAAGAGAAGGAAGACGAGCGCATAGAGACCAGCGCTCAGGGTTAAGAACTTATATCAAGATTTCCTTTAACATTTTCAAAAGTTGAATTACATATTTCTAAGTAAACACAAAGCATGTCCTTCACATAGTGCACGCTGCTTATGTTAATAAAAAGCAAAGAATTGTTTTTCTTACCGTTTATGTTCATGAGACGGACCTCACATGACCTCATATTATACCCCTCCAGATCTAGAAAATGAGGAGAATACAATGACCTGACTTTTTATTCAGATCAACTAAACCCCCTTTCACACCCACAATAAACAAATCATTCTTCCTGAAACCCTTTCATAATGCATACCTGCAATGTAAATTGGTGAGTCTTTGCTGCTGATTTCAGAGAAGAAACTGTCGGATAAGATGTCGCATTCGCTCTCTGAGAAGTGTGCAGAGTCCTCCTTTTCAAAGGCCTGAGAAAGACAGAACATGTATTACATTTGATAACACTTTGAACAAATACAGACTAACACTGATTTATTACATCATTTGCATACCTGAGTGTAAACCTGCTGCGCCTTGAGTGGAGGACAGGGAAAAGACAACAGGGTCAAAACCAGCTTTCTGAATATGGAAGACGGTTTGGTGTCTTTCAGCACACTGGCCCAGTGTTTCTCCAGTGATGCTGCTTCTTGGTTTTCTTTCTCTTCATCCTCTGCCAGCTGATACTCGAGGAATTCACTTGTTAGCTGGCTGACCTCTTCAGGGGAGCTGCAGATTCCCAGCTTGGTCCCAAGCTCCTCCACTGCTTTCCCTGTCACTTTCTCCCTGCTCTGGGGATTCAGCAGCTGTGCCACACTCCTCAGCACCCCCTCACTCAGAGGCAGCTCCTCTGCGATGCAACCTGTGACTGCAATATAGAAGGACAACACCTCCTCTGTGAGCCTCGGCAGTGCATCTGCATCCTCAGACTCTTTTAGGAAGTCTTCCACAGTTTTGCCTCCCAGATTGAGCTCAGGGGTCTGCAGGTGGAATTTCTTGTTCTTGAGGATCTGGGGATCGTGTTCTTTGAGGAAGCGGGCAGCAGCTTGAGGGTGAAGAAAGTAGGAAGTGTAGATACTCAGCAGTTTACTGGCCTCTTCGAGAATGAGCAGCAGATCATCTCTGGCAGCTTCCCTTTTTTTCTGCACATGCTTCTGGAAATTGTGCAGCGGTTTCAGGGCGTGATCCAGGAACATGAACGTTGCCCTGAGTTTGGGATCCTGCAACTGGAAGCAGATGGACTTGGCCTTGTCGTCATCCTTGGTGCAAGACTCAAAGTATGACACAAGATCCGTCCATATCTCCAGCATTTTTGTGACAAAAAGGCAAAACTGAAGGCAGCTGGTGTTGAGTAGAAATGATGTACTGTCCGTACTGACATCACTGCCAAAAAGAGCTGTGAGCTTTTCATTCTTCTCAATGCAGGAGGAGTGGTGAGCGCCGATGTCCCCGATCAACTCCTGGACCTGGTTGGAGAGCTCCTTGATCACTACATGGCAGGCAGCATCAGCGATGGTGTACAGCCCTCCTAGAGCTACAAAGTTGGGGTTGAGTTCCCTGAGCTGTGAGCAGATCGACTCTGAGGCTGCTCCGTTAGCATCACAGTACACAGCTACGAGATTATCCGTGGATAACTCAAATTTTCTGAAGGTTTCAACCACCGCTTCAGCCGTCTTATCTTCCTCGCCACCCACTGATGGAAGAGCGTCCAGGAATTTGATGCAGTGCCTGGAAGTGTAAACGTCAAAGAACCCAAGAAGGACCAAAGAGACGGTTTCATCCTTTTCTAGCTTTTCCCCGCAGTAGACGTACGCACAGTAAGGTGTGTGCTGACAGACAGATTTGACATCTTCGGGGTAATGTGGCCCCAGTTTAAAGCGTGCAAAATTTCTTGACACCTGTTTGCCTTGAGAGGAGCCGGTGTAAAACCGCTTGTAGATAAATCGAATGCTTTCTTTGCTGCAAGGCAATGATTCCGAGGACTGGTTTTGCTGCGTATTGCTCATGTAAGACATAAGTCTTTTCCGGTGTATTTTTGTGTCCAGATGTCTCCTGAGTTCAATAAGGCCTCTACGATATGTGAGCAGGTTCCTGTCACAGGAACGACAGTAGGTATAGTCCTCTCCCAGCTTGCTCGGCTCTGCCCAATCATAAATATTCCTCCACTTTTTTGAGTAGGTGAACCTACTCGGGGTGTCGCCGTTCTCCACGTGTGACATCGGTTTAGCTAGAACTACAAAAAAAGAGAGAATATATTACTGCACAGAAATGACCCTGCATGTCTGATGTATACAGAAGAATCTTGTTTGTTTGTTTGTTTGTTTTATAACAGTCAACTAAAGAGATGACTTACATTTGCGTGACTTGGCTTTTATGATGGTATCTCCCAGGATGGGGCTGATTTCGCAGCTGTTCCGAGCTCTCACAGGATCATAATGAGTTTTCACGTTTGCCGAGAAAAAAGCTTTGAACCACTTCAGAGTGTCAAAGCTGCATCTGAAATCCCCTTTTATGAGCTCCTCCACTGGAATGGTCTAAATCAAGACAAATGAAGACATTAAATATTTTTACTATTTCTTTAACTTTCATATTCAACAAGGGAAACAAGGGAATAATAAATACATTACAGGTCATGTATACATTAATGCAAACATTCAAGGTATTGTAAGTTTGTAATCTAAAGAAAATTTAACCATGATAGGTTTAGATTTCTAGTTTAAATAACTGTAGTTTAAGAGTCAATTAGGGGGTCAATTGACATTTCAGAGAATACTCTTTTCAAGGTAAGGACAAAAAATATAATAAAGACGACAACTTGTTTTCATAGGTGAGCACATTCAAGTCTTTAAATTAATTTTATATCTATATCAATAGAAATGGAAAGATCGAAACTTGCAGATTTATAAGGAAAACTAGGCTTATACAACCTATTTTCTTTGTACAAATATGGTAACAGGTACACCATCTCATGTACATCTCGCTGTAGAACATTGCTCAATGCTCCTTATACATGTTTAAGTAAGTAAAAGTGATCCGTAATGCTATACTACCAAAGAACTTAAATGCACAAACCTTTCTGACGTTATTCTTGCAGAAGGCCTCTTGAACAAGGCGAAAGTTGTGCCTAAAGTCCTCCTCATCTTTTGCATCGAAGATAACCTTGGACATGTCAATAGATCCAGGAATAACCCAGTCCGTAATCTGGCAGTGACAGGCACCTGTAGGGTCACATGCATGTTAGAAAACTGTTAAGAAAGTGTTGTTTTTGCTGAGTGAGAAAACAGCAACTTTTTTTGTTTGGCAGTGAGAAACAATGACTGTGTGCACACTAGAGTGTTGAATAAGTTATAGTCACTCTGGTATATCACCTGAGCCCATGTGCCGCACATCCCTGAAGTTTGTCTTCAACAGGTTGTTTGTCCAGGATAAAACATAATTGCGACTGGACTTATCATGGACGACATCTGGAGTCACAATTCCTTTACTTGTCATCTTGCAGCCCTGTAAGAAATAAAACAACAACCCTTACTATGTGCACAGCAGGACAGAACCCTCGGTGGGTTAGAATTTCAGGGGTCAAACCAATTCTTATTCATTTCAGTAATGTTTTGAGGATTTGTTGGAGTGTCTGTTTTACTTTTTGTGATTATATTTAGATGTTGAGCATGCTCTGGGGGTTGCCTAGAGGCAAAGACTAAAAAATAATCAGTGTTTTAAGAGGAAATCACTTATTTTGTGTTTTTTGAATCCTGGTTTCATTACTTTATCATTTCCTTGAAGTAATAATCGCCATATTCATAATTTCTGATTGTATTTCCATGAAAAAATGACCATAAATGTTCTTCCTTAAGCTGCGTCACCCCGCAGCAGTCCGTAATGGACTGGTTCGGGGTCATGCCACAAACAAACTGATGCTGGAAGAGAGTAGTTGGTGAGTTGTGTTTGGTCTCTTTGTTAAAGAAATTAGGCAAAGTACAAAGATGTTTGGTGGCTAGGACCCTATATGTCCTGTTGATGAAGTTAGGTGCTGTTCTGAGCATTATTTGTGGCTATACAGTGGCGTTTTGGTTGAAGTTTGTTTATGGCTCCTCAGACCGCTGTGTATTGCTATCATGCGGTCATTACTGAAGTTGGTATAACTAGAGAAGCAAGCAGTCAGCAACATTAATCTCTCAAGGGGGTGTCTAACTCAGTGTTAACATGTGTTTAAACCTAAATCCATTTTACGCCGGAATATCCCTTTAAATAAGGAGCCCACATTTGATGATCCTTGTGCCAATGTCAGTACCATCAGTGTAATACTGACATTGGCAGCATGAACAGCTTGTGTTTGCTGTAATTCAAACCCTCCACCTTTAAAATCCCCTTTTAAACATTATCTGATAGACCAACATGGCTGTCATCATTTCCCAAGCCAGTGTTTACCCCTTTCCCATTGATGAATTGTGGAGGTGGGGGTGGAGGATCAGACTGGGCTACGGGGGTGGCTCCAAATCCTCTATTGTCTGACTGTGGAGGATGAGGAGTAAGTCTGTGAGCCTTTACATTCGTGTTTTTGCTCGCATCAGATTGCATTTTCTTGTTCTACTAAGCTGTGCAGAAGAACAGACCACTCGGGCCACGCTGCTGCTGCTGTCTCCTCCCCCTTTCTCCTCAATGTATAGAAAGTGATAACGAAGTCTCGCGTTGTCGACGTTTTGCCGCGAACGTCCCAGTGCACGACTTCCACTTTTCTCCTTCAAGGAAACTTCAGCTTTAACACGAGTTCCTTTCACTTGACAAACACGTTAATAATCATGTTACAAAGCATCAACATATGCCGGTTGCTTCCGTGCCTATTGTTTAAAAACAATTCTTTGCTCAAGGTTTGAATGGTTTCACGTTTCACATGAGGCTACAGCCTGGTTTGACATAAAAGCGGCGATCTTTATGCTTTAATGTAACAATGCAGCAAATATAAATCACTCCAGTACCTATAAAACACATTTTGAGAAGAGTAAACGACCTGTGCACACGTGCATTGTGAAAGCTACCGGCAAAGAGAGGCTGCTTGGAGTGAACTGGGTCCACTACCGGGACGTCAGTCCCTCCCAGGCTCACCAGCCCGTCTGCTGATACCGTCGTGGGTTAACACAAGCTCTCGTGTCTTTGTGTTGCGAGCCGGCAGAAGGCTAAATTTACACCAAAACAAGTCTAATAACCGGCAACAACGTGAAGCTGTGCGTATCCCACACTAGACTGTTCATAAAAGGGAAGGTCTCGGTAGGTTTCAAGCGTCTGGTTCTGTCTTGGATAAAACAATAATTTACTTACCTCGGTGGTTACTCCATACATTAAGACGATCCCCCTGACTCTTGGCCTCGTCCTACAACACAGTGGCGAACCACGGTGGTTCTCATGACGTCCGCATAGCACGGAAAGGATCCATTGGAGGAACGATACCGAGGGGGCTGTCCTATTGTGGGGCTCCTAGCTATTGAAACGCCACGGTATTACGAAACCATCCCCACCACCCTTTCTGCTGTACGCGAAATGGAAGAGGAACAACTACTACCGACAACTGTTGTGTCGGTTGCCAAGTATATATCCCGTGCCGTCAACTTTGTTCGTGTGCTTAACAATGTTGCGACACGACTTCTTGGTTTGTTTTCCTATTACCAACAACTACCATCACAACACACCTTTATAACGACCAAGGCCTGGCGAAATTTCAAATAAAATAGTAGATTCCCATGTTGGGCGTTGTCCTGCTAATGTCGGTTTTCGTAGTTCTTAACGGGACGAGGCAGGCGTATGAGCTTGCCAAGTTGATATAGCGTCCACATATGGACGTCTCCACCACACGAACCGACGCTAGTTACTACATTATTACGAGACCTAACTCAACAGTTAGCCCCAGTCGTTGAATAGAAAACCACGTTATCGCTGCGCAACGCGAAAGACGAAAATAAAAGAGTGAGTAACGCGACTGTATTCCCAAGTGTGACGAACGTTAGGGAAACGCTGATGAAGTAACGAACTTCATCATCGAACAAATCGTGTTAGATCTACGGTTTATACCGTGTCGAAAATAATTTATTACGATTGAACCGGTTATGAAATGATGAATACTTCCCACTTGGGAAATAGCCTACAACTGGCAAGCCGAATTACGACACAGTTAAGGAGTCGTTACCCTGTAATGGCGGCTCCTCCGCCATTGTGTTAAATTTCGGCATTTGTCCTGCAATCTATCGCACTATATAATATCACTCGACACTAAATAGCACCCATATGCTTTGGGGCGAACAATATGGCCAAGTATTTTGCAGTATATGGTGAAAACTGAATTGTGATATTAAACAATGTACTATTGGTAATGGAGACAAAATGGAGCCTCCTTTGAGTGTCGGTTCGTGTGTCGCTACTACGCCACCAGCAGTTACTGGGGCATGTATACGGTAACCACGCCTGAAATTTAAGTATTATCCGCTCCTAATTGAAATATGACTACATTCGAACAAAACGAGTGCATTTAAAAGCAACAGGTAGCCTGCCCACCATGGGGGACGCTCGTTGTGATTAGGGAAGTATTCAAAACAATACCAGTTGCACCATAATGGCGGCCAGTGGACGTAAAAGAAATTGCGACAGCGATGGCCGAGGTGGCGCTTTAAATACAAAAGGAACCACCGACTCCAGGGAATGGAGGTCGTAAATACAGTTTAGATTTGAAGTACTTGTTTATGTTTGGTCTTCTATGAAATTCAATTCAAACCAGCAATTCATACCATATATCCGGGTACACCTTTTTATTTTAGCATGAACCAACAGAGCAGCCAGTCTATCAAGGATTTTTTTCCTCTATGATCTCCAGGCCTCTGAAAACAAGAATGTGAAACCCAAAAGCAAGATACTAGTTGTACACAAGGACCTGATCTCCTGTTCTGTTTGAAAAACAAAGAACAGTGAAAAACAAACAAACAAAATCATCAAACAAGTCAGTGATGGTAAGAGGCAGATAGCCTACTGTTGGAAAAAAAAAATAGGTCAATGAACCAAATTGCTAGATAGCCTATTAAAGTTTCAGTTTTAACTTAGGCTGCATTAAATTGGGGGAAAAATGCTTTGTTATTGCTCCTGTGATGAAGATTCTTTTTCATTTGAGTAGACGATGTAGCAAATGCTGAAATTTGCTTGACAAATTAGCAATTTAAAGTGTAACCTACAACAAAACCAGATGCACAAACTTGCTAACACATGTTTAGATTGATAGATAGCTAGATAGATGTAAACAGGCCTTTCTTCTTATCCTAAAGGTTTAAGTGTCTCACCTTATTGATACGCCAATAGGCTAACCTGTGAATTGAAATCCAACTTTATTTATTTATTTATATATTTAAACCACTCTTACAGTGTGAAGTGCTTTTATACTGATAACAACTACCTGTCCCTGAATGTATTGTTATAATGTCATTGATAGGTTGACTTAAGGCCACTTTGACGCCATCTGCTGTGCGTGAAGATCCACTTCAGTGGTAGCCTACAGTGGGGTCACAGGGGTCAGGGTGGGCTTTGTTTGTCTGACCATGTCCCACCGGCCTTTTCCTCCAAAAGGATGGGGTAATCAAAGAAGAGAGTAAGACATTAGATTTTCACTTCCCTCCATTTAGCCGCTGATCAGTGATGATGTACTGGTGGGGAACGTGTAGTCACTTGTTAAAAGTTAAAACCTCTAAAAAGGAGATTAATTTTAACAGTTATATCACGTGATGGGTTAAGAGGTCAAACAAAGGAATTCAGGAGCCTCAATTGAGACCATGCTTCCAAACAAAGAAAAAGAACCCCACCATAAATTCCTGTGGTCAAAAGCTTGAATGACTGGTCAAACCAAGTTTGATACATCAAGAAAGCCCTAGTTGAAGCAGTAATAAGGTCTGTTAGCTTGTCCTTAAGTTCGTGTTCCTTCCTAAGTAAGTTTTCAATTAATCTAATCATTGGTAGCAGCTTTTATCTGGATGATACTCAGTCTGGCATTAGTCAAGGATTGAGGCTCTTATGGTTTAGCTATTGCTGTCAGTGATTAACTCTAGTTGTAACTCTTCTGCTGTCATTGCAACATGAGTGCCAGCTAAATAAATAAATGCAAAAAAAGGTAAACAAGTAACGCTTCATCTCTCAGCAAAAGGACATTGAGGTTTTTGAATGGAGGCCTGAGTCCCACCATGCTTTCACACCATTTTGATACAGTGGAATGAAGCAAAACCCTATCCAGGTTAAAAATAACTTCTTTTGTATTTCGTTGCAAACACAGGTGTCGTGTCAAACAGGAGGAGCAACAAACAGAAACAAAACCGGTGAGTTACAATCTGTATGTCCTATTTGACATGTCTATTTATCCTGCTTCATATTGGTATTCCAGTATTGAACTATGCGAAAGCATATCTCATATTTTCCCCAGATCCTGCAGGCCTACTACAGAGGATGTATAGCAAAACACATCACCTTCCATTTTAAGGTATGCTGTATGATCTTGACTGAATTACATAGGGAATGAAACATTCAATAACTCACTCTAGCTGAGAGTGTGCAGCACCTGTCTCTTGAACAGTTACATTAATCATGTAATATCAAGGTATACGAGGAAAAATCTTAACCACTCTCACCAGTGTCATGCTGTGTGAGAAAAAAGGAAAGCATAAAGGTCTGAGAAAAGGTAGAAAAGTCTGAAAAGGGGACACAAAGGTCCTCAGGAGCACTCAGGGGAAATAGGCTATTTGTCTGACACTTTAATGAATGAGTATCATTTTGAAAACCGCTGCACTGGAGGCACTAAGGCTGTGGCTTTTCAGAACAATTTAACTACTTGGCCATCAGTCCACGCAGTCTGCAGCTTTAGGTATGATTGTTGAAGAAGGCTTTAAGTCTTAAAAAGTACATTTGTACAAATGTCAGTGCCTATAGACTGTTTTTTCTTTGATTGTGTAGTTGATTAGATTTCTTAGCTCAACACTTTGAAAGGGTAGGCCATGTGATATGAAATGATCTTTTATATTAACATGGCTATTGGTGTTAATTGTGAGTGCCGACTAAGATATAACATCGATATAAAAGTTGAACATCAGTACAAGCCCTGTGAACAGACATGAACACGTGTAGCTTGTAGCAGCCTATCGCTGTCTTCTTCAAATGAGGGCTTGAAGGCTATTACACCCTCCTGCTGATCAAAAGAGGGCTGAAAATGTTGCTGCCAGACAAAATGATTTGTGGCAAATCAAGCAAAATATAAATGAAAAGAGAATGATACAAGCCTATGTACGTCAGTTTTAAGAGGATTTAAGATGTAAGAGACTCTTAAAGACTAAAGATGAGGTACAGAGTAGGGTTATACTAGGTGGTAGATACCGGCAAGATTCAATTACTTCTGTTTACATTCAGGTAGTTGAGCATCATAGCATTCCGTATTTGCCATTTTCAAATACAGCAACCCCAGCTGTGACTGTGGTAAGATTTAAGCCCAATATGTGACAGCCATTTCAGGTCTACCTTCATTTAAATATGAGTAATTCATCCAACTGAGGAAATAAAGCTACAACTGGTGAGGGTGATAACCTTTGATTGTTCAGTTGATTGTCGACTAAATGCCCAAATTCCTAGTTGCATGACAATGTTGTGTCAATAAAGATAAAAGAGTTTCATCAAAATCCCTCCTTGAAAAATAAAAACGTGACAGAAAAAGGAATGTGAATATTCACGCTCTTGTCTAAATGTGTTCAGCTGTGTTGAAGGCAAATATTAAAAAGGTCAGGAAAGCAAAGCTGCAAAACTTCCAAAATGGTTATTCGGCTGCATTCACTTTGTGTTTAAAATTACATCCCTTATTGAATCGATTTGGCGAGTTCATTGCAGCACACATAGCATGATAGTATCTTTTACTCTGACATTGTAGTACTCCTTTCAGCTTTATTTTCAGTCTCATAAAATTTCTTAAGAGATTTTTCTGCTGAATGCCAATTCTGGAAAAGTTCCCCAGAAAGTCGTGCTGTCTCTTTGGTTTATCATGACTTTTCACTGATGGCAGTAGCTCACTGAGTCTTGTTACAAAAAGCTCTATTTGCTCTTTTAAAACAGCTTTGTGGTTGAAATAACATTGACAAGAAGAAAGTCATGCAAGTGTAGAAGCTAAATTAATCTCAACTAAATGGTTCTAAACACCAACACGTGGTTCAGACAGAGAGAGCGAAACAACAAGTGGGCTAAAAAACGGGAAGAGGAGTCTAAAAGGGGAAGAAAACAAAGAGACAAAGGTCAGCCGGAGCATTGGGGGGATAAGGCTTAAGAGACAGGGCCTGACAGGTGCAATCAGATGTGTCACACAGCGGCAGTAAAGTGGATGTCAGTGTAGCCGTGGGGGGCCGCTATGAGCACGTCACAGCCAATCAGCATGGCAGAATAAGCGCTGGAGAGTGTTTGGGCAGCAGGGAGTGTTTGTGTCTCGCTGCAGTAAGCCCATTACAGCTGTCGAGGCCGAGCAGTACTGGCATGATCAGGGCTGCAGGCACAGGTGGTTCTGACACATTCTGAACATGTGAGAGAAAGAGGAAGAGGATGGGATGTCGATGGAACATGCAAATCATGTTGCAAATGCTGTCCGGACTAATCAAGAAGTGGTCAGGTTTGCTGATGGGAGCAGTTACTTTTTGACTCGTTTGCGACTTGTCCAGCAGAATTTCTAACCACTTAACTCATTCATACGTGTCGTGTGAACATGCAGATGTTGTCGCAGATAAAGCGTTAGTTATGAGCAGTGGTTAGGTCGGTGGGGTCACACATACAATCCGCCTTTGTGTCAAAGAAACAGGCTTCCTCTGGGCCCCTCAGTTTTCAGAGGGGAGTTAAAGTCGGGGTGGAAGACATGGAACTTAGTTTTAAAGAATGGTGTGCTTTTCTGCTTATTTATCAGCTCCATTATATCAATTAAATAGTTAATTCAGGTAAAGATCCTTCAGGGAGTTCTTCTTCTTTAACAGTATGGCTATAAAAATGGTGTTTATTGAGCCTGTGTAAGAAAAAAAACTCCTAAGAAAGTTTTCTTTGAAGGCTTTAAGGAATCTGATCTTTTTTCATAGATGTAAGAAATTATATAAATCGACATGCAGAGGCTTTAACACTGCTCAGGAGACCTCAGACGCCACAGGCAAGTTAGCGTTCAGGCGCTTCAATTTAGAGCAGTTTAGTTTCTTTTTGATACGTTCAAATAATGACAGCTGATGTTTGAGAGTTGACTGCTTACATGTTTCATAAAGAGAAACCCTTGAGAGAGGACTGAAAAGAAAACATGGTGTGTTTGCATAAAAATGAGACGATCGTGTGGAGAAGTTGAATAACACTCGAATGTATCCAGACTGAAAGTTTCAATGCTGTCACCGACTTCTGCTTTGTTACTCTGCAATCAGTACTGTGACAACCATCATAATAAGCGTAGTGATAATAATAGTGATTATTGTGACTATCATGTGCAAGCCAGGGTTTGCACTCGTAGCATGACATAGAAATCATGCAGCATTCTGCATGTAAGCTGACTGTAAAGAGTCAGAGTAAAAACTAATGCATCCCACCTCAAATTTTTGGAGACTGTCAGGAGCTTTGTGAATATTTGGATTCAGCTTTCTGGAGCGATGAGACAGAATTGAATCATCATCAGGGTTGAGAAGTCAGACAGATTAAAAAACCTTATCTCAGATTGAAAGAACTGTGAGGAACTTTCTGTTTGCATCCAACTTAGAGTGGACTGCATGGGGGTGCCGTGTGTAGTGTTATTGCCACTCAGTAAGGTTACTGGGTCAAATCCCAGCTAGGGCCTTTTGTGTGGAGTTTGCATGTTTTCCATGTGCATGCGGAGGTTCCCCCCAGATCTTCCAAAACCCAAAAACATGCTTGTTAGTGTAACACGTCACCTCAAACTGCCTGTAAGCTTTAGTAATATGAAACTCAAATTGGGTATAATTGATCAAAAATGACTAAACAGTGGATCACTGTGGTAAATGAAGTCAAATTGTTTTGCAGAGCAAGCAGCAGCAGTTGCTCTGTTACAGATAGCCAAACGCAGTCTTAATACAGCTTTATCTAAACTGTGCTATACTACAAGATGCCATCTGTGCGTGAGTTTTATCACAGCATCGTGGCAGTTACCATTAATATAAGCTCAGCTCCTTTTCTGAATATTATTTTCTCTACACAGTCTTGACCGAACATGCATAAGTCTGGTTTCCTGTTGTCTTAAAACAGTCAAGCATATCTCTGTGGCTTTTTCTTCCTGCTTATCTCTGTGTCTGCTTCACACGAGTTTGCAGCGGTAACAGGTGTTTAAAAAATCATATAGAAATGATCCTTCCTCTTGGAGATCATGTTTTGCTGTTATGGCTCCTATAGAAGCATCACTGTCTGAAACTCCTCACAAGAACCAAAGAGAGCCAGAGTGGTCATCGTTTTTTTTTCTCTGTTGGTAAATAATCAGAAACAACCTTTTTATGCTGTAAGCCTACACACCTCCATTGTAAAAATATTGATCAAAGCTGCTTTAATATCACATCCACACAAACACACAGGAGCTGGGTTTAATGGCTGCTCTCCAGCTTGTGTCTCCTCTCCCGGTGTTGTGCGCTCATTTACACCCCCTCATGGATTTACAAAGAAAATGATGGTGAAAACAGACGGGTGGAGGCCTCCTCTCCAGATCTCAGTGACACTAATCCAGAGTCAAAGCGGTGCACGTGTGGAGGGAGTGAGCTCACACTTTAAAAGGAGGGAGAGAGGGAGCCGGAGCTGAGGCCCTTATCTCCCTGTCATTTGTCCCTCCCCTCCCCTCCTCCCCTCTCCTCTCTCTCCCCTCTCTCCTCATGATTAACCAGACTCATCGCCCTCTATGGTCCGTCGTTTCCTGTTACTTAGTTACCAGTTGCCACGATTTGCCTGGGCCGCTTGTGTTTCCATGGCGACTGTGCCCATTCTGTCGTCTCCTGGCTGCGCTGTCCCGATGGCCTGTAGCCACCCTGGGCCCTGACCCACAGCACAGCCCAGCCCCCCAACCTCCGTCCCTCATGGTCCCATAAGGCTGTCAGTGTGTGTTCACGTCGCACTGCAGCCTCTCACCATGCCAGACTGGTGTGTGTAAGTGTGTGTGTGTGTGTGTGTATAACTTCTGGCTGGTTGTCGACGTCTGACTGAACAGACAAAGACAGAAAAAGAGAGAAAGAGAGAGAGTTCATTTTTAAAAAGACACTAAATATTCAGTCAGCCTGCTCTCTGCCGGCTCTACATCGCTCCATCTCAACTCACATCAAACACAACATCAGTATGAAGAGAACGAAACACTGTCAGTTTTTCTGAAAGAGGGAGGTCATCCAAATCATCAAAAACAGCGAGAAACAGTCCAGTTAGAAATTCCTGTAGGCTTCACAAGTTTCGTTTTTAAGAATCCTCCAGTAAAGATCATCTAAATCCTTCTGACAAAGTGTTCGATTCTCCCAGGATTGATTATGTTTGGCTGTTTATCAAATCAACACTGACTAAAATTGATTCAATGGTCCTCTTGGTGTCATAATTTTCCAGTTATTTCTAATTATCTAGTTTGTGTGGGCGTAAATGTCATGTTTTTGCACCTAGAAGAAGTAGTTGAAACATTGATAGTGGCTGAGAAGAGTCCTAAAAAATCTGCAAAAATTTGTAAAATAAACGGATATCTCAAAAGTCGTTATGAAAACTAACTTAGCAATGAGTCTTGTTAAAGCTTTTGACACCTCTTGGCTGGATAGGCTTTATGATAGATGTGCTCGATCTAATCAGTTCAGGGTGAGCTTGGCTATCATGGCTTTATTTAAAGCTCCCGTGAAGAACTTTCAGTTTGTGTCCAGTTTGGCGCCTCCTGTGGACAAAGTGGTCTTTGCTTATCTCGTCCCAGATATGCCTCAGTAGAATCTCCTGACAGTGAAATCTCATCTCTCAAACTCCTGACTGCCATTTATCATGAGTATTAAAAATGACAAATGTAATAACAGGGCTGTTTCTTCAGTTGCTTGATTGACACCTACCCTCTCAGACTGGTATCAAGTGTTAAAAATTACAATATAAAAATCATTGATCTTGTTGCTGCTGGCATTTTTTGCTTTTTTTATGTCATAAAAAGACACCAAAATGAATTTTAGTCAATTTCTTAGACATATAAAAAACTTCTAACAGGAGCTTTAAACTTGTCATTTAAAATGATGTTAAGCAACAAAAGAAAACGGATTTAGAGAATATAGTACATAAAAAGCCAAATTATAAAACAATCCACTCAAACAGCTAAAGTTATAGCTGTTCAAGGATTTAAGAATACCAAAAGATATGTAAGTGTTTACTATAAAGTGGTTTTTAAAAGGCTGAAAGAGGATGGCACATTAAAGCTAAAAGCTAATATCCCAAAATCAGTATGAACTCATTGAACTTGTAGGAAAAGATAGGCAAAACAGATGAAGCCGGTACATGTGTTCATGCCTGTTAGAGCACACAGTTTTTAAGAGTATCACATTAGAGGAGGGGGGGTTAAAGACTTACATCTACCTACATTTCCTGTCTGTCCCCAATGTCCTGTCTTATAAAGAGAAGAACGCCCTGTCAAAAGAAGAAAAGGTTTGACATTTTAGGTAATTTGATGTTCACAGAAAAATTAAAGTCACAAAGCTTTTGTAAAATTGCAGATCTGGCACTCAAACATCACTTTTGGACCAAGCGAGTGTTGTCTGTAGCCTGAAGTGTACAGTTAAGGTTGAATAGGGATGAATCTCACACAAGCAGCTCTGTAAAAACCCTGTTTGAGCGGTGAATCAGAAATTCTCATTTACACTGTTGAAAAATAATTATATTCCATCACAATGGGTGTGATTTTATTTCGGTTAATTGCATTTTCCTCACTGTTGCTTTGTATTTTTATTCCGTATTAGACTAAAATTATTGAATTTTCATACTTTGATTGTTCAAGTTGTTTGTCAGTCGTCTGTGAGACATTTCACCTGCATGACAGATGCTTCACACATTTATTTTGAAGGATATTTGCAAAAACACATCCCGTTAATTAAAAACTTAGCGTTGTTTACAGTGTAGACAAAAAATTGCAATGTAATTGGGATTAAGTCTTTTTAGTACTCAGATGAAGGTTGAGTGGTGGTAAACGAGATTGTGACAAACATTATTCCGTCTGTGTTCACCACAGTTTTATTTTGTTTAGAGTAATTACACTGTAAATTCAGGGCTTTAGTGGACCGAGATAACAAAGTCTTTCCTGGTGAGAGTATTTCCACTTAAACCTATAATGAGGAAAAAAAAAACACATTAATTTAAGTCTTTAAACCTGCACTTTTAAACGAAACAGCTCTCCAGACCTGTTACGACCAATGGTACATTTTTTACAGGGTGTGATTTGGTCAAAGTAACTATATTAAATTTAATTTTAACATGAACATATAGTATCAAAAGAGTAAAATATAAAACAATTTTAAAATAAATTCTAAGATTTACATCTGAGACAAAAAAGCATCCTTTGGCTAATGTGTTGGTCTTGTGCAGGACAGGTCCAGTTCAGGATGTCTGACACAAAGGAGGCGCAGTTTTCATCTCCACCATCAGGAGGCAGTAGTGATCAAATTGTCAGTCTCTCTGTATTATGCTGAGGGATGCACACACCGGCAGAGCAGGGTAAACTTGTCATTCTAACAGAGGCTGATTCACCATCACACCCCCTCACAGTGTGTCTGCCTCTCATACTCGTCTTCAGTCTAACACTTACAGCTCTGTGTCACTGTCTGTCTCTCTGTTTACTGTCTGTGTGTCCCCTTAAGCTCTGCTGAGGTTGTTGCACCCTCCTCCAAGACAGATTTTGTTTGTTTATACTACAACTACACAAGAATTCTCTTTACAGCAAGATCAGCAGACATCGTCTTTGTTAGCAGTGTAAACAGCCTCAGAGAAAAACTTTCAATGTGGCTGCTGAGCGCTCGCTGATACCATCCGTGGTGTATACAGTATTAAGGCACAATTTTGAGGCACTTGGCTTGAGCATTACAATGTTCCGCTGCAAACAAGACTTTATTCCACTTTGTTTTTTTAAGTGTTTTGTATTTTTTTTTTCTTCAGACTAGGATGTAAAAAACAAAATGAACTTTAAAGAAAGTTTTAGTTAATTTCAATTACATGAGCCACTAACAACAGGATGGAAAACGAGATAATGAAATGCAAATTAGAGGAAACTTGGCTTCAAAATTGACACTACAGGGAATGAATGGTTGGCAGGGGGCAACAACGCTTATGAAGTATTTGCAAGACATGCAAAAAAAGCTTTTTCACCCAGGATATGATGATAAATACGCCACACTTTTGCTGTTTGCTCTGCTGTGCAAAAACTTATTTATTATAAATTTTAAATTTGATTTTAAAAAGTATGCAGAAGCCCTGAATAACAATATCAAGATGAAACCTTTTATCATCAGTTGCACAATTTTGATTTAAGAGTCCACATATACATTTTTTGTATTGTATCCATACAAATTAAATGAAGCTTAGAGAAGTGTTTTTAGCTTGCTCAAGTTGAAGACAAATAGTGTAGTTAGGGTAAAACTTTGGGAAACAACAGCAAAAAAAAGACAGAATTAGCAAAGTGTCATTTACCCAACTGGGAAAACCAAGAGGGTTCATATGAGACCATCAGATGCTCTGCTGTCTCTTGATGAACACCATGACCATCATTATTTTTCAATCAGCATGAATCAGATTAAACATTACAGTGCTGCCACCACTATATCATATACAACAATGTGGAAAACTTTCAGTTGGAAGTGAAGTTTTTAAACTTTTTATTTGTCAGGTAAACTAGCTCATAGCGGACTTTTGTGTGTCCAAAACAAAAACACTTGCCTCCAGGAGGAAACCTCTGTGTTAATTTGACACATACATGAACTGCAACCACATCCTTTTGTTACCCCTCTTGTTCTTTGTCCTACCTCACCTGACTTCTTCCTGTGCTTATCTCCTCTGTGCAACAGCTTTACTGCCTGGGCGTACAGCACATCGCGGGTCATTTATCCAACAATGATATATAACAGGATCCTTAAACACTCCACCCTGCTCTTGATGACACTCAATAACAAGCATTTCATTAGCTGATATTAGATAATTTTCTGATCAGCTGACTTGACTCGGTGAGGAGAGAAAAAGAAGGGGACCTAGAGCAGAACCCTGAGGTACCCCAGTGAAGAGTCCAGACACACTGTAGACTCTCTCATAGTTATGCTGTGTGTGTGAGTCTTTGGGGAGGATGAAAAACATGAGACTGTCAGGAAATCGGAGAGGAGATATTGGTGATTTTCTCTGTCAAAAGCTGCTGAAATGTCCACCAGGATGAAAATAGAGGAGAGGGAGGCCGCTCTGGGAGTGTGGAGTGCAGTAAAATCAGTGGAGTGCCCCTCTGAGTGAAGGATCTGAACACTTACTCCACCACTGGATAACATGCCCTCTAGAAAGTGTGGGATGAAGACGACAGTGGGTGGACATGGAGGACGCTATGCTTTCCTGTTAATCCAGAGGTTAGAGCGATGCTAATCAGAGTGTAAACGTGAAGGACTGACTGATGTCGGGGAAGGGTTTTTATTTTTGAATGTTTGGTACTCAGTGAGGCAGCCCTTGCTGTGGCCCCCCAGGACAGGACTTGTCCACCTCGTGGTGAAGGGGAAGCACTCAGTTGGGGGTTGTGAGCATAATTACAGCAGTTTTGCCTCATTAGGAGTGAGGAGGCGTGACCCTGCCTGCAGGTCTGACAGCTGAACCACACCACAGTGGTGCTGAGAGATGATCTTCACTCAGAGGGGGAAGGCCGATCCAAGGCCTGATCATTTTACTTGTATGTGCCGACTGGTTGAAAATTGATTTGGATTTTTTTAAATCCACTTATGCATTTATAAAACAGTGTGAAGATATTCAGCCCTGCATAATTTAAGATAAAGGTTTAAACAAGGCATTACCCAAGTGTGTCCACATGTTTATGCCTTTCTCAAAACTGATTTAGATGTGAAATTGTGACCATTTTCTCCTCTAAAATATTTAGGCAAAGATGTCTTTCCCCTGCAGCCTTTAAACTTCTTAAATTGTGTTTTTAAAAAATAAAACAGGACCGGACTTTGGCCTCTTAAAGTTTCTCAAATGACAAATCCAAAAGAAACATCACTAAAGCAACAATCTGAACCATTTGGATACAGGGTTAACATCACCAAAGTTTGAGCGCTTTACATGATTTTTTTTCTTACCATGTTTAACACAGAAGGCCTTAAATTGATTGGATACTCTTGTCACAACTTTGCCTCAAAATAGGAATAAGTTAGGGAGAGCTTAATTGAAACAGTTCATAACAAAAAAACACTTCAAATTATAGCATTGAAAAATAAGACCAAGTCAGAGTCAAAACAACCCAGGCTCTGCTTTCCATTTGTGCGAGGGAAAGTGATCTACCTATTTTGCTGGTGACCCAAATACCGTTTAATTGTGTCCCAGTTATCTAAAGTGTGTTATCATTAAGTTTATTAGGATACACAATTAAAAGTCGCTTCATTGTCAGTCAGAAGCTTCTTAGCTGTCACTTTCACTTGCTGTCCCAATGCCCCATATTGTCACTTCTTTAATAATTTGTTGGACAGTTAAATCTGTGAGGTTTGGTTAGGAAGGACGAACTTAGGACAGTATTTTCTTGGAAATTAAGACGGGCCTTTTGGAGAACAAGTAAGCCATCAAAAATCAATTCAGTAGAGTAGACAGTACACGGACAGTCACATGCATTTTTTTCCAAAATCCAAATTTGTATCCACGACTAAACCTTTCAAAATAAGAGTAACTTTAAGGATGTTTCCACCCTTGACAAATGATTGTGTGGGATCCTACTGCTCACCCAGCATGCAGGCCAGTCCTAAGAGAAGACAATGCCAGACCAAATGATGAAATAAAATGAAATAGCTTACAGAGGCCTCAGTCTTTCACCACAAAACAAACAAAATAAAAAATAAACACATATGAAGTCAGTTTTTTTTGACTGTTTAAGATTTTCATCCGTCACTCAGGGTGGGGCTCATCTTCTTCTTTTCTTCTCCTCTTTTTTTTTCTTTTTGTCCAGCGTGCTGCTCGTTGTCTGAGTCAGGATGGAGAGATGAGGACGGGGCATCCCACTCACCCTCTGCACGGCCGGAGACACTGCTGCGCTGCTGTCATGGCAACAGCAGCAGTCACCACCGCCAGCATGGGCCTATAATGCACAGGCCAGGAGGAGTCACACACATACACACACACGGACACACTCCAACACAATCCACACACAATGAGAGCAAGACACCACACAAGCAGATAACTCAAAGGGGGAAAAACAGATTTTTTTTCGCCTTTTGACTCATAAAATTATGCATTTCATTCATTTTTTAGATGTGTTTTATTCAGTTTGTGCACATTTGTTCAACTCTGAAGGGGAGAAATAATCTTAATCCTATTGAGGAACTCTTTTAAGGACAATGAACTATTTTATAACCCAAATTGAACATTGAATAAGCAGTTACTAAGCCGGTTAAAGATTATTTTCCATGCGTAAAAAACACACAAAATCTGCTGTTCTTAAAGCACATCGTGAAAATGTTACCAAGGCTGTTCCTCATGTCCCTGACTTCCTCACCCACATTTTATCTGTCTGTTTTAAAAAGTGTTTCCTGTTACAGAGGAAACTGTTTGCGGTTTTTACGCATTTTCTTCAGACAGAATCAAACAAATTCTGCCCCCACCCTCTCTTTTACCCTCCATGTCTCCAAATCGGACATTTTCTCTCTGCGTGTGCCACTTGTAAAAACCGCACACGCCGCTGTGAATGAAGCCAGATATGATGCAGATATGAGTGCGTGTTTTTCACGGGATAGACGGAGCAGACAGTGCGAGTTGCGGTGCGGATCACATTCAAACAGGTGTGAGGAGCAGAAACAATCCCAGGTGGCGCATGTTGATCGGATATGTGGCTGTAAGGGAGCTTATTTGTGAGCATTTTTTTAAAGGGTTGAGCAACCTGCATCTGAAAATAGTGTTTGCTGTTAGAAAGTAGGTCGATAGGAACTGAGAGAGACGTTTGTTTCCACGCTTTTGTCTGTGTTCTTTGTTGTTTAGCGAGGACTGTGGGTTTTTTTCCTCTACCCTTTTACGCACAGGTGGGAGATACCCGCTCGGCGTACTGTAGGACAGCCCCCCTCTCTGCTCCTCAGCGGAGGATGTGAGGAAGTGACATTTTTCAGCGCTGCGGTTCGGGACAGCTCAGCTCCTCTGCAAACAGGTGTGCTGCCGTCCGGGTCACTTCTGCTGGGGGGGAGAACCACCGCGGAAAGGCAGCGTCCCAAGAACCAGAACCAGACAGACAGCGGGACAGCGGGGACCAGCAGAGGAGAATCAGCCCGTTCAAGTCTTTTCTTTATTAGCCTGGGCTGTTTGAACAGAGGGAGAGAGAGAGAGAGCGAGAGAGTGGGGGAGAGAGGGAGCGATGGCAACGAAAAAGGCGTGCGTGGATGCGCCCAAAAGGAGCCGGAGTCCGGTCGTGCTGGAGGCGGAGATGTTCAGTGAATTTCAGGACTGGTGTCTCCGGACTTATGGAGACTCCGGCAAAACAAAGACCGTCACCCGGAGAAAATACAACAAAATCATGCAGACACTGTTGCAGAATGACGAGACGGACGGCGTGTATATCGACAACAGCCACATCAACGCCAAATTCAAATTCTGGGTGAAGTCCAAAGGATTTCAGGTCGGAACCAACGTTTTGGGAGAGCACAACAAGAAAGGAGCTCCAGGGAAACCCGTGCTTTATGTCCCGGTCAAGTCAACGGTAAAGTGTGTGCGTGCATCTGTGTTTATGTGTGTGTGTGTGTGTGTGTGTGTGTGTGTGTGTGACAGAGACAGAATGTGCATGAGATGTCCCGTCACCGTCTATAAGTTGTCATTATCTCAGGCTGCACACACGCATCTGTCACGTGAATTAACTGATAACTTATGAATGTTTTGTGGTCCCGGCTCGCCCTCGTCTTTCCTCATAAAGCTCCACTTTGTCCACATCCCAACCCGAGCAGCCCTACTCTCATCCCTTGCTGCCATAGCAACGCCGGTGCCTCCTGGCAATCTCGATCGTAAAAAGGTAGACTATCATGCTCAGCCATCTCGCCACTGATGGTGAAGTCCTGTCAGCGGCACGCGGCCGGCTGCAAAGCACGAGATAATTGACTATTGACAACATTTAGTTTCAGACCGTGCCGTTCGGGTCTCGTGGAGACCGATATGGTGATGCTGTGCGCGCGCACGTGGATGCAACGGCATGTTCGTGTTGGGTCGGGTATGTCAGGGTACTCCCGCGTGCTCATTGATGGACCGCAGACTATTAGCGCCAACTAAGACGGTGTCAGGTCCGGCTCTCTGCTGGGAGGACCCGCAGGTTTCATTGTTAGAGGTTTGGCAAAGGGCACGCGCCCTCACTGTCCCATCTGAACCGAGCAAAACGGAGCGTGTCCATGCGTCGACAAGATTAATTTGTCTCCCCTCTAAAGAGAGCAGATATGGCTTCAAAATAAACTGGAATGTGTTCCTTTTTTAGTGATTTTATGATTGTGTTTGAGACAGTGTGAGTCTCAGTGTTCGCACCCCACTTTTCATTGTCCTGGGCGGGATGCAGATCGGCTCGCAGTCACTCGCTGGTTGCTCTGGCAACACCTGTGTGGTCCAGGATAGTCTGCCTCTGCCGCATTTTATTGTGCATCTTCAGACATTAAGCCCCTTTAAGCCCGTTTAATTCGGTCTTTGCAAGAACAACATTAAAAACGATTTTCTATTTTTGAAGAAGGGAGGCAGCAGCTGTGCGTAATTGGTGACCACGTGAGGGGCTGTGGCGGAAACAAAAGGGTCTGCTCGGGACTGATAGCGACATACGCCCACAGTTTGAGCTCAGACTTCACTTCTGCATGTCTCTGCTGAGGTTTGGGGGCGGGGGGCTTGGGGGGTTGGTTGGGGGTGGGAGTGCACATCACTCCGGCTGCAGGTGCGTTAAGGGTTAAACCACACATTCTGCTTTTCTCAACGGTTTGCCAAGATAAACATGTACATGGTGAACTGTCAGCAGTGCCCTCAGTAGTTCTCTCTGTGAACGCGCTCAAGATGTTTGGGGGCCTGCTGTGCCAGAGAGGAGAAAAACCACCATTTTAAATAAGCGCCTTCAGGGAATAATCCCCCCCCCCCCCTCCCCTTCCTGCTGGGACAAAGTCTCTCTGGACCCTTCAAGAGCAGAAACACATTTTCCGTTCACAAACTGGAGGAGATTTTGGCACAGATTGCAGACTGAATCCTTTGATTTGGCTTGAATAGCGCTGATCCCTCCACAGGTGCTGTACCTGTGTGAATGCTCAATTTAGATTCAGGCCCAGCACCTTACAAAACTCCTCTAATCTCCACTCAATATTAGGTTTCCCTCCAGGCAAGAGGGCAGGTGTGATGTGTCTCTGCAGGTGCAGGTGGTGCCTGAGATGTGTTTTTGATTAGCTTCTGCCTGTAGTTGTCTTCATTTATCGATTTAATTCCTTATTGGTCCTTCTGTCCTTATTCAGACAGATATTTTGCGGTGAAAACATAATTCCCTGAGGTCTGATTAAACAATTTTAGAAGCTGAGAAAGTCTCGCATGAGTATTGCAGAGGAGTGCACACACTTTGTAGCGAACATAAAGCGGAGGGGAAACCTCCCCCTGACTCAGATCCACTTGGGAAATTTAGACAACAAACAAAACATCAGCCAAACACAAGCAGGTTCTGATGATGAGTCAGAGGCAACAAATCAAACTGTTTATATGCACGGGACTATTAGAAAGCAGGATCTTCAAAAATTCTGCGTCAGGTTTTATAAATAGGATGTCCTGGGCCAGTGGAGAGGTGACACACATAATCAGATATATAATGGTCAGTGGCTCCTCGTGTGGCTTCAGGGCCGGGGGCGTGTCTCTGAAGCTCCAGTATTGGATCCCTGCTGCAGCTGCTCCCAGGGTGTGCCAAGTTTGTGTACAGGGGCAGGCAGGGGGCTAAATGACGGGCGGCTGGGTGGGGGAGGAGTGTGCGGAGGATGATGTGCAGACAGAGAGGGTCTCTTCTATGTGTCAATGAAGCATACAAGGCAGCTTCAGTGTGCGACGGGACAGACGGGCAGGGCACAGAGGCACAGAGTCAGAGTGGATCTTTTCAAGCAGGATGAAGAATCATTTTCTGTTTGTATTTTTCTGTCCGTCTCTGTCCTCCTGCTTTGTGTTGTCTTGCCTCCTCTCTGCTGCCGCTCGGAGACTCCAGCAGCCTTCAGTGTTGAAGATGCAACCTCGTTTAGCTCTCATTATGTCCTGATTAGAGGAGGCCGCAGAGGAGGAGGGGAGCAGAACCAGAAACAAACACAGAGATGCAACACAGAATCAAACAGGGTGTGTGTGCGTGAACAAGGCTTCCCAGAGTGGAGTGCATCCCGTTTCAAAAGAGACGCTTAAACGCCCCGTGCACTTCCCCTCGGCTGACATGAGCATTGTACTGAAAAATTTGAAGTACTGCGAGCTGTTGCTTTTTGTTGCCATGCCAACTGAAATCTGTAAATATCTCTGTTCGTTTCTCCTGACAGTTTGGTGGATGTACTCTCACATACACATACCATATATACATATATACGTATATATGTATATATGGGTACAGATATATATATATGTGACATTTCAGAAACATTTCACATGATGTGTAAAAAGTGAAAGTTGAACTTTGTTTGCTGCAGGAAAAGATCCACAGATCTCTGCACTTGAAAGCAGCATCTGCAGGGGAGGGGGACGATTTAGGATAGGAGGTGCTCTGTTTTTGTTTGTAAGACAGCACCATTCATACTGTTCAAAAACTGAACATTAAGACTACTGAAAGAAATACAACATAGAGAGAAAACAAGGCTTTAAAATGCTAAATAATTCAGAGAAGTTATTTGGTCCAGTCAGAAAAACGCAGCAGCTGAAATCTTAAACACCTTTTCTTAAACTTTATGGATGTTGTAGCTCAAATCCAACCACATTCAAGCATCTAAAGCTGCTGAGCACACTGTAAACAATGACCAGAGACATTTTTCGATTGGACCAGTTTTTCACCAGGAGATCCTTCAGAGGGATTCAGAAGAACACACTCGCTCCTTTATGTCTCCAGTTATTGTCGATCATCCAAACTCTGTCTCCCATTATGTGAATGTTCAAGCCTAAAGTGGTCCTTTGAATGTCTTTGTTTGGTCAATGGCGAAAAAAAGTCCAGAGATATTCAAGTGGCCATCATGAAAGACTGTGTTGGCAGAAAATATTGAACTCCTACCAAAACCGGAAAACAGAGACAGTTTTTGAAAAGTATTCAAACTAGTGCACTGTTAATTATAAGAGCTGCAGAATATGACCTATCAATCATCTGATCAATTCATTGACTATCATTTGCAGTTCTGCTTCCAACTGCTTTTCTCTCTAATAACCACGGCAGCCAAAAATGTGTAGATCCTGGTATCCAGCCTCTCAAATGTGAAGATTATCTTGCAGTAAACTGAAATCTTTCACATTTTTCTGTTCTTCAGATAAAATTAGAGGTTTTCAGACACAGCTGTGTGTGTTTTTTTTACAGTGTATTTCAATATTTTAACTGGATGAATAATGAATTAATGAAGAATAATTGGCAGATAAATTAATCATGAAAATAACGGATAGTTGCCGCCTGAAAGTGAGAGGACAGGACCAAATTAAACATGACTGCCACAGAGAGTGGGTTTGTGAATGGAGGATTAAATCTTACTGTCATTTTCCTAAACAAAGATTTGTCTTGGGACGTCCTCTCTCCTCGCTGAAATCACAAACCAACATTCACACTCTGCTTCTTGGGGAACAGGCGCTAGATGTTTGCGCCTCTCGGTCAGACGAGGAAGAGGAACATCATCATTATTATCTGATTAATTAGTCCACATTTCCCCTGAGAGCTCCTCTTTGGTGGCAGGGCCACAGAGTCAAAAGAACACGGGTCCTATTATTCAGCTGCATTTGCATTAATGCTATTTTAGCAAAGAGGAGCTCCTCTGCTTTGTCCGGTGTGGGTTTTTATTTGGTTCCAACCCTCCTCAGCAGCTCTTATTACAGACAGGATACAGACTATAACCCATGGGTTCAAACTAAATTCTCACCTGTTCAAACATAAATTTACCTGTGTGTGTGTGTTTGTGTGTGTGTGTGCAGCTGTGATTGACACTTTCATCAAGTGGGTAAGGGTGGAGATGTGTGGGTAAGGGTGGAGAGCACACATCTTTGTTTAATCCAGAGTCCTAACGAAATACGCTTTTGCCGTAATGTGTTTTATTTCATAATTTTACAAACCGGTGATGAAATCCCCCCCGAACTGAACGTAGTTTTGTGCGTGAATGTGTGTGTGCATGTGTGTGCTTGTTGAAAGAGGGGGTCGCTGATCGCATGCTCTGTGTTTCCTCCCTTCAGCACCCTCTCTGTTGCCATGGAGAGACCGTTCTTTGCTTTCCCATAGGAGGAGAAATTAACACCATTTTTAACTGGCCCGGGGGCCTCCCCCCTGTGTGGGAGATAGTCTGAGTTCTGCTGCTGCACACACACACACACACACACAAATTCACACTCACACTGAGTCTTTAAGACGGCAATAATCTTCCTACCACACCGCTACAGTCATTTTTAATACCTTTGCGAGGCCGGCGTTTAACGAAGTGGGACAGTATGATAATAGCTCCAAAATGGCAAAATGGACTCTGGGATGTGATGATGTATGTGAGAGTCCTCGTGTGTGTGTGTGTGTGAGCAGGGTTTGTGTGTGAGTGCGTGTCACTTACACTCCATTTTGACTCAGTGACTGGAACGTCAACAGTGCCAGGCCACTGGGCCGGTGGGACCGTCTGTGTCTCCGGCTCAGTGGGATATTGGGGATGTCACACACTCTATCAAATAAAGCTCATCATGGGAACAGCCGCGAAAAAAGACACACTATCTAACACACACACACACACACACACACACACACACACACATAGAGGGACGCGGGACAGAGGGGAAGAGCTCAGAGCACCTAATGTGGATTTAATGACGGGGCTTTATAATTGAGGCAGAGAGGAGGATGATTGTGAAAAGAGAAGAAATAGGAGGGGATGGATTTTATTTGAAGAATGGGGACACTGTGGAGGTAATAGTCTGTTTCATCCCAGTTTTTTTGTCCCTATCATCTTCTCCTTGGAGCGCGCGCACACACACACACACACAGGCTCACACACTCGCATATACACACACAAGACACAGGGATTGCTCCATTTATGTGTCCATTAGCCAGTTGATAGATTTACAGAGGGGAGATGGGGCTTTAAAAGATGACCTGTTGTCACATCTGCAGTGAGATAATCTGAGTCATGAGTACTGTTGACACAGCCATACTCGCCGGGTACACACACTTACACACACACATGCACACACACACAGAAAATACCCTGGCACAACTTAAGCTACTTATGTGCAGCCACCTTACAAAATTAATGCACACCATTTCTTGTATGTTGCACCTTTGACTTTTACAGTAATGTGCAAAGCCATATTGAAATTTTTCCACATTATTCTCCTTTCAAGGCCAGTTTCTTGCAGGATGCATCTTTTCCATCTTCCTCGGCCTGCCTTTGTGACCCAGCTGCTTCCCCATGAACCCCCACCTCCTCCTCCTCTCCCTCCTCCTCCTCCTCCTGACCTGCCTGTGTGCAGGACTGCTCCTCTCTCCCCTCAGCGACTCTCTGCTACAGTGTGTGTGTCTCTGTGTGTGTGTGAGTGTGCGAGTGCCAGCGGGGGTGGGGGCAGCCGACTCAACCCCTCCAGTCTCCTAGCAACAGAGCGGTTTGGTGCGGGACAGGGAGAGCGCACAGGGGATGGGGGCTGGTTGTACAGTGGCTGGGGAGAGCAAAGTCCTCCGGGATTAGAAAGATAGAGAGAAGGAGGAGAGGAGGAGAAGAAGAAGGAGAGGGGAGAGAGTTTTGCTGTGTTGTTGGCGATTAGGGATGCTGACATGTCTCCTTTTGCTCTTTAAAACGACATGCTGTTGCTGATGAGACCAAATATGTAGCTCGCTGTTCAACAGCTGTTCTCCTCAGAGATCCTTCAGCTACGAGCTGTGCCCGGTAGACATGTAGTGCACTTAAACACACATGGCGCACACAAACACACACCCGGAGCATGTCGTGTTTGGGGGTGAATGTTTAACTCCCTTGTGACTAGTGTTTGGAAAGTAAAGAGCTTATCGGTGCTGAGGAGCTCAGGAAGGCCTTCAGGTGACAGGACTGACGTAGAAAGAAATGTTGTCATGCTTTAAAGTTCTTACTTGAGGGTAGGCAGCGCACAAAAGAAAGCCAAGGTCAGTTTGATAGCCAAGTAAACAGCAATTAGTTTGGCATTTCGTAAACTGTATGAGTTATATTTTAGATTCAGCCTCTTTCAGCTGCAGCTGCTTATGCTGTCTCCCCTTTGTATGGCTGTGTCCAGAGTCACTCATCGATCCCTGCATAGTAAATTTACTATATTATGATTCTTAACTAAACTTAAATTATCATTAAACCCTTATCTAAAGTAACAGAAATGCTTTGAATTGCAGATATTTATACAGTGTTAGAAAGTATCACACTGGTAGAACGACACGGATTACTAGTTACTATGGTTTCTGGCCTTAACCTGCATTGTATTTTCTGCCAGTATCAGACTGCAATTTGGTGTTGAAACATATTGATCTTATCCAATGTCAACTGATTTTATTGTGGAGCTGATTGATTACATTATCAGACAGGTGCATGTTGTACACCGGCATAGATTTGGTATCTAAAATGCTATCTAGGCTGTACTTCTAGGATGTAAACTATGTGGACATCTGTTTGACGTTGATAGCTGATGGTCATTATTGTAGTGTTTCCCTCATACATAGTGTGTGAGAAGGGGGAGGTACAGCGTACAGCCTAATCCAACAGGTGTGGGCGTTAGCCAGGACAGGCTTCTTGAGCAGGCTCTGCCTTTATTTCTTCTTTCTAACAATTTACTTTTGACTCTGCTTTTTGTGTTTTTCTCTTATTTTGCCCCGCTGCAAATGGAATAATAGAGGAAGGTAGAGCGTACAGCCTAAATAAGCTTCCTCCTCTTCCCTTCCTTCCATATCCTCTTTCTAACATTTCCACGTACTAGCCTCTCTGTATTCTCTCCTATCTCCTCTCATGAGAGTGGAGACCTCTACCTCTTGACCATTTTGTCTTTTAGGGGGAGGTAGAGCGTCCAGTCTACTGAGGCAAGGGGTTTCCTACCCTGGCTCTTCCTTCACTCTCCTCCTTAAACATCTTACTATTAGCACTTCTTTGAGCGTACCTTCCTTTTTTTTTCATGTGCAAATGGATGAATAAGGGGAGGTAGAGCATACAGCTGAAACCAGCATTGATGAGTCTGAACCCAAACAGGCTTCATGCCTTACCCTCTTTCTAACATCTCTCTGTCTAACTTCATCTCTGTATTGTCTCTTCTTGTGTTGGTGTGTGGGTTTGACTGTTGAGTCTCTCCAAAGTGTAGCAGGCAACAAAACTTTACAAAACATCCCTGAAGGGAGGAGCTGACTTAATAACTATGGTAATGTATGGGCTCTCTGGTTCAGTGTATCTTCATGCTTGGGTGTTGGGGGACATTGTGTTTATTTGAAATACCATAATACTGTTAGGCTGACTAGAAAAAAACAGGAGTGTTATAATACATAGGTCAGAGATTTACAGTTGAGCCCAGTATGTAGTCTTCCACTCAGACCTTCCCACTTCGAAGGTGGACCTGTGGAGCGATCAACAATCCAACAGCTGCACAGAAAACACCTCATAACACTCAAAACTACTGGATCTATTTAAGAATATACAAAAACTTAAAACCATTTCATAAATACCCCCTAAAATCAGTGCCTGAGTGGCTAAAGCAGCTGTCCCCAATCCAAAAGTCCTTACTTCTGTTGTCATGACGAGTGTTGTTAGCATCCAAGAACAGGTGTCCATCTCTTGAGGAGCTAAAGAGACGACAGAAGAGGAAAAAGGGAACAGATGGAACAAAGAAAAGATGTGGTTTAAAATAAGACCTTTTAATTCTGTTTATGAAAAGACCAAATTAAAATAACATGCCACAAATCTTGACTTTTACATTTTCTTCTGTTAGTCTGACCCGTGAAATTAATCATTTTAACGTGTTAATTTAGAGTGGCGCGTTTGTTTGTGTTTCATTCCCTGTCTCAAAACCAAACCCCCTACTCAAACAGCGTGTAAAGTCAGAGCTATGTGTATTTCTGTGCTAAATGATGGGAAAGCTAGATTAAGATAGTTATAAGCCCTAAATTGGCTTATGGGTCGCAAATTGAAAAGGTCTGCTGTAGATAGTGAATAGGAATGAGTTCGTTGACATGTTCTGATTTTAAAGTAAACATCTTGTGATTTGGGTTTGTTTGGGAGGTAAAAGGAGAAAAATTGTGATCTTTTGGTGGAGATAACCAAAGTAGAGTTGGTAACTAAAAGGCACATAGAAATATAATTTTTTTTCCAAATACTTTCTTCTAAATATTTTTCTGACATAGTCTTAAGAATTAATCTCTGAAAATGGTGGTTGCAGCTGTATCCAGAATTACTGCGCACACAGTGCTCAGATTACCACCAGGTCTAACACTCTAAATCTCTGGATGTCTCCTCCAGGTGGGAGAAAACACTCCCAACTGAGTATCCAGTGTGAGTGTGTGAGTGTGTGTGTGTTTGGATATTATGTTGGGGTTGAATTCAGCAGAGGATGCAGCAGCGGTGTGGGTGCACTGCAAACCCCACAGTTGTATGAGATTATCTAAATCCAGCGTGAATGGACCTGACACCATTGTCCCAGCAGCAGCAGCAGCAGCAGTGATGTTAGTGGTGGTGGTGGTTGGTGGTGGTGATGATGTCACCAGGGGAATGGCGATGATGATGATACCTCCAAGTGCGATAGATTACAGCTGTGATGATGAGGTGGAAGATCACTATTATTTCATTTATTATCATTACATTTAGCCTGCGCTGACAGGGGAGAGTGGATGAAAAGAGAGAGAAGGGGAGAAAGGGAGAGAGAGAGAGAGGGCCGGATTAAAACAAACCCGCTCTGTGAGCTGGTTTTAGTTGCCATGGCAACGATCATTACCTCGCACTTGGGAGAGCAGGAGCAAGGAGAGAGAAGAGGAGGGGGGTAGAAGAAGGAAAAGAAGGAAGAAAGACGGGACAGAGGTGCGGGATGAAGACATGGAGAGATGCAGGAGGGAGAGGGAGGAAACGTGTGGGGGTGAAAACGGGAAAATGAAATGTCAGATCCCAGGAACTGTGCTGAAATGTCAAGAGGAGGAGGGAGAGGTGGAGGGGAAAAGTGTGATTCCTCAGTGCCAGAGGGACAACTTTTTTGAACTCGGGACCCTCCTCTCACTCAAACGAGAAAAGATCACACCCCACTTTGAAGACAAACTCCAGTAAATGTCAGAGCTGGTCGCATATCTGCATAGCAGAGGGAGGAAAAAACTCATTAAAGCTCAAATCCAGTTTTTTCCCCATTTTAAGCGAGCTGGGGCACTTTCAGTTATCAGCAGGTGCTGAAGCAGAAAAACAAAATCTCTGAGGAAGTGATGTGTTTATGAAGAAGGAGTTACTTGGGAAGAAAAGATGGAGGTAGAACAGGGAGGAAAGCCCCATGTGGCGCTGCGGATGGAGGCCGTCGTCCTGGCGATCCCACTTGTACGCTGTGTCACATGACCCTTTGCCCGGCACACCTGCCCGAGAGAAATCAGTGGCAGTTTCTATGGCGACAGGGTCAGCAGTATATAGAGGTGGGGGTAGGTGGGAGAGCCGGGCCTGTACGGTGTCTGTGCTGTTATTTTTAAACACTGCAGATGTGAGGTGATGGTTGCAGACCCGGTCGGGGCCGGGAAGATTCAGCTCGACTGGTTCTGAAACCGTCACATCAAAAAGAGAGAGTGAAAGCTGGAGGAGAGCTGACAAGGCAGAGCAGCTTTTTGCTCAGTTAGGACACTTCAGTCAGTGTGTGTGAGACTTATAAACCTGATGACCTACGACTGGTGCCTGACAGATCACTCGTCCCTCACATGAATGAAGGAATCTCTGTTTTCAGCTGCTTTTGTCTGTCATAAACACAGGGTTGTTGTTTGTTTAGAGAAGTGTTTTGGTTTTTGTTTGTTGTGCATTTGTAGACAGTGTAGTATTGACCAATCACATGTCAACAGGCTTTTGTTTATGCAGTCTGTAAAGAAGAAAATCCACTGTAATGACACCCCAGCTATCATCCTCTCAGTGATGTGACAATAACTTGTTTATTTCTTTAACTGAGATACTGATAGATCTGTGGTGTTAGTGCAGGACATTCAACTGTTTGCTTCTGTTTGTGTTTCAGTGTTCAGATGGGAACTCAGCCCAAGACAACTCCTCCCTGAAGCGTGTCGCCGTGGTGGAGGACTTCTTTGACATCATCTACGCCATGCATGTGGAGATGGGCGCAGACCCGGGCAGAGCACCCAAACATGCAGGACAGAAGAAGACCTACAAAGCGGTACGTAAATCCTACTGTGTGCTTCGAGATGCCGCAAACTTCGACAACACCCCTCTAAGTCTCTTTATGCTTGTCAATATTGAGCATGTTAACAGTAAAGCCAACATTATCCTCTAGTGTTTGTCATTTCATCTTCATCTGTACCAAAAGACGGGCTGCTGCCAGGAATCACAATGACAAAGAAAACGTGTCTGCTCCCCCAAAACAACTTTTTTTGTCCGATTCAAAGGGTCTCTTTCAAAGGAAGAAGTCACTTTGAACAATAAACACTTGATCTCAGACAAACAGCAGTCTAATGAGCGCTGTGAGGCCGCTAAATGGTCCAAAGTGGTGGGTAGCAGACTGGCCTACTGGCCTTAGCGTCAGAACTACATTGCTCATTTGAGACGAAAAAACTCCACCTAAATAAGCTTTGCAGACACCGAGCACTCATTAGGAGGTCCATAAAAAAACAATGGTGTCAAACGGAAATGTTCTCAGCAAGTCAGCACAATTATATGATGTTAAAAGAATAGATTATTGCATGAGTACGACTGAAACTTGACTAAAATACTCAAACGTACCAAGTCTAATGGCTTAGTCAGGCTAATACACCTAATAACACAGTGGGGATTGTTTTTCCTGAACCCCTTAAACGCACAGAAGCAAGTCAGGTAGTAAACAAAACCTCAACAGAAGAAAAAGTACATTAAAAAGGCGAAGATGTGGTAAAGTTAAGAGCAGTTAAGTTGTCTGTGTTTTCACCTTTCAGCGTACAAAAACACTGTTTGTCAGTTGTTTTGGTTTGTGATCCAATAGGCCAACCAGGAGACAGTTTGGTAGTAACTCGCTGAAAGGCCGCAAATCGCCATCTACCGTGTCGATATTGTATATTTTTTTTTGTAAATGGATTCCTACCTGGTGCTTGTAGTCTCGCTTGACTTAACTGTGCATGTACACTTACTAAATGATGGGTCCAACTTTGTTCTACACTTTGTTATCTGCTCTACACCTTTGATATTTGTTTTGATACTCCCTACAGACAAAACTACCAAATTTAAATCCTAGTTTACCTTGTCATTTTTCTAGATTTCTAAATGTAAATCTAGAAAAATGGTGTGCATGCCTAACCTAAATCTGTCCGAACATCATATATAATAGTATGCCATCCTATATAGTTCCCTCTTTGTTGCATGGATTTTTTAAGATATGGCGTCAGGACTCAGCGTGCAGAAAACCTCTCCTCTTCCTTTGAGAGAAATTTGTCCCAAAACCAGAGGGGGTGAAAAAAAAACCCCTGACAGATCGTTTTATTTTACAATAGGCCCAAAGTGAGGTCAGTTTTCTATCAAGGGACAAAACCTTTAAGCACTCGTGACCGAAAGTCTGTTAAACAGAGACTAACAGAGAGTATTATCCTGCCTGTGAGAGACAATGGACTGCACTTCTTAGCTATAGCAACATAATGTATCATTTTTAGCACCGGGAGTTACCAAGGGAACAACTTTCCACCTTTATCAGGCAAACAAAGTGTACTTGAGATTTTTTCTTTTCTAGTGTGTCATAAGATGTCTGAAGAACAAAGGCTTGGATGAGGTGTGGTCTGGTCTCAGTCGGGTGTGGTGTCCTGACTAAGCGAGGGTCTTTGTATGCATCCTCCGTGCCTCGTTGAGAGAGGGGGGATGTTGGCAGGACTGTGGCACCCCTCCTCCTCCTCCCCAGCCCCCCAGGTTTAAAAAAAAAATAGATCCAGTTCCTCCTGCCCTGTAGAGAGGTCCTGTCACGTCTCATAGAGTGTACCCTTTTGAGGAGGCAGCATCAGTGGGGCAGGGCATAATGTGGAACTGTCACTGTGGCCTTCTGGGAGGTGCACGCTCCTCTGGGTGGCCTTTCCCTCTCTGCCGCCTCAAGGGGGCACAAGGGGTGGAGGTGGGGTGGAGGAGGGAGGTTCGAGGGCAAAGGGGATGGGGGGGTTCTGGCAGTTTGGATGATGATGATGGCGATGGTGGGAGTGGGCCGGTGGGGGTATGCACCCCTGCTGCCTCTCGATGGTCACGTGAAGGTCGCGTTTTACAGGGAAATGCCAGGGGGGGTGAGGAGAGGATGGTGGCATGGCATCGGAGAGAAAAAGAGGAGGGGTGATGACAGAGGTGGAGATGTAAGTTAGCTTCACCTGAGAGGACGGAAAAACAGAGTTTAGTTCAGGGGGTTGAAGAACAAAAGATTTAGTTTTAGGCCTTAAACACCGATAGGAAAAGAGCTCCATCACTGCCAATCAAACTCCATCAATTCATTTACCAACTGATCATAACAGCCTTAAAGGGATATTCTAGCATAATATTAATTTAGGGTCAAACACACCGTAACACTGAGTTAGACACCCCCTCGAGAGATACATGTTGCAGATTGCTTGCTTCTCTAGTTATACCAACTTTAGTAATGACCGCACGATAGCAATACACAGCGGTCTGAGGAGCCATAAACAAACCTCAACTAAAACGCCACTCTATAGCCACAAATAATGCTCAGAACAGCACCTAACTTCATCAACAGTACATATAGGGTCTTAGCCAAACATCTTTAAACTTTGCCTAATTTCTATAGTAAAGAAACCAAACACAACTCGCCTACTCTCTTCCAGCAGCCGCTTGTTTGTAGCAAGACCTCAAGCCAGTCCATTACAGACTACAGTGGGGGGGACGCAGCTCAAGGAAGAACATTTATGATAATTTCTTCATTGAATTGCAATCAGATGGAGACACCAAGGCAGAAGAACTACCGCGTCTGCAGTGCAAAATGATTAATATGATGATTATTACTTTAAAGAAATGATAAAGAAATGATCATAAATGTTCTTCCTTGAGCTGCTTCACCCCGCTGTAGTCCCTAATGAACTGTCCCAAGGTCTCGCTACAAACAAGCGGCTGCTGGAAGAGAGTAGGTGAGTTGAGTTTAGTCTCTTTGCGAAAGAAATCAGGCAAAGTTAAAAAGACGTTTGGTGGCCAGTGCTGTGGCTAGGACCCCACATGTACTGTTGATGAAGTTAGGTGCTGTTCTGAGCATTATTTGTGGCTATAGAGTGGAGTTTCGGTTGAGGTTTGTTCATGCCTCCTCAGACCGCTGTGTATTGCTATCGTGTGGTCGTTACTGAAGTTGGTATAACTACATTCATCTCTCAAGGGGGTGTCTAACTCAGTGTTACGGTGTGTTTGACCCTAACTTAATTTTACGCCAGAATATCCCTTTAAGTTAAAATTCGGTGTAGTGTTCAAGATCAACAAGTAGATGATGTGCTGTTTTGTCCACAGGGGGCGCTAAAGTCAACAAAAACAGAAACTTCCTCACAGGAGCTTTAACTCAGAAGATCAATTGTACATTGTTTGAACTTCGTGAAGCACAATAAAAATCTTAATGCTGCTACATGCAGGGGGTTTGCCTGAGATGTACTTGTGCAGAGTGCTCTAGACGATGCTCTGTACACAGTATTTTTCAATTATAACCCAAAGAGTCAACAGTCAGGCACTCAGTTTTGTGAAGCTGTACTTCACAGAAAATCCTCCACCTGATGTCAGGTATCAAGGAGGATCTTACTTTAAAAATGGATTGTTCTTATAAAGTGCTCTTGTCGTCTTTCTGCCATCATACAGCCATGGCCTATCTGTATTAACCAATCACATTTACAATAAAAACACACTCTGGTTTCTGTGCCACCAGGAGAAGTTAGGGTTCGGTGTTTTGCCTAAAGGCACTTTTGCACATGACTGGTGAAGTGGGGATCAAACCTCAGATACTGACAGGCAGCTGACTATTACTGAGCCACAGCTGCTCCTTTTACTGTGATGGTATTATTATTATTATATACGACAGGCCCAAAAAGCAGACTCCTTCCATGTGACAATAACAGCAGAGGGTGGAAAGTTTCCCCCCTCCAGACACACTGAATACCAGGCAGTCTGAAAAATAAATCATATATCGTTTTTATGGTAACTCTGAGTTCCAAACAGCAGAGTGCTGTTCACTTAAGTTTCTGTTTTCTTTATGTTTGTATTAAATAATTCCTCATCTTTTCAAACTCACCAGTGATTTTGAACTGCCAGCATTTTTCCGCCCATATTATGTGCATTTTTTAAAAATTCACAAGTACAGGAAGAGGTCTGTGTACAGGACAATACTGAAGTCTGGGTATCAGAATCAGTTTCAGCAGAAAAAAAAGTGTTATCTGAACATCTCTGGAAATATATGCAGAGCTTCAGCTGGAATTAGGCCATCCGAAGGCACACCAGAGCGCCTACAGGGAGAATTCCTCCTCATGCCACATCAAGATAACACATAATCGCTGACCCCAAACTTTCACACATGCACAGTACAAAAACACCTGCACACAGTTTGACTCCAACCACAGCCTGGGCCAAATCTGCTGCTTCTTCCTTTTTTTTTCTTTTCTTTTTTCGTTGCCATAACCAGGTCTCCTCTGCTCGCTCCCTCGGTACAGATAGCAGAGACCTACGCCTTCCTGCCCAGAGAGGCGGTGACTCGCTTCCTAATGAGCTGCGGAGAGTGTCAGAAGAGGATGCACATCAACCCCAGCACAGCAGAGTTCAAAGGTAACGCCACACAGAAAACCTGTGAAGGTCTCAGTAATTCTGAACATATCATTAAGTGATATCCTGTTTTTGAGATTAACGCACGAGTGCTCTCAGATCCTTCAGCCTTCTAGTTTTAAAAAAGGGTTAATACAATGTTGAAATGCACACTGAGATTGTGGAAAGCAATCTTTACAGTTGTTATCATCGGATACTGTGAAATAATTTCATCATAAGATTTATAAACATGTTTACTTAATGTTTCACAAAAAGTAAAGGAGTTGAGTTTGTGCGTTGAATCTTAATGACAGAAACAGTGAAACGTTTAATACGAGCTGATATGAACTAAGGTGTTGGGACTTTGAAGACTTTTTGAATCAAACCCTCATGAATAAAACATTTTGTATGCATCTATCACCAACATGATGTAACAAAGACTCAAGAGGACCACATCTCTGGGATTGTATAGACCCGATAAAATATCCACACACCCCCTCTTGTGGCTGGTGTTGTTACTGCAGACAGCTCTCATTCATACTGTTGGATTATAGGAGTTTAATCCACTCACCGCCGCTGTGTGGATTTCAACCTTTGGTGGGATATTGCACCAAATATGCCTTACTTACAAAACAACTTAACAGAGGTGCCCATGTTTTTTTTTTTGTTGTTTTTTAATAGAAAAGAGTGATGTTTCCAAGTTTACTCAAGAGCTCTTATGATAGTAGAACATACGGTTATGTCCAGTGGTGATTTTTCTGATTCATATTGTATTTTAATTCTGTCATCTTCACAACTTTTAAAAAAATCACTGTAAAACCTACTGGACCCAACACTTATAACATCAAACCATCACATGCATATGTAAAATTTTTACAAATATTCTTATTTCTATTTAATTCTGAAGTTAAATTAAAGATTCAGATTCAGTTTGCAATGATCAATATAGTTTTTGACAGAAGAGAAATGTTTTTTAAACACTAGCTGGAAGTAACTGACTCATGAATTTGTTATCGTGAAGGAGTTAACGCATTTTTGTAGTGGAGTACAAGCACCCTAAATCTGCCTGTTAGTTAATAAACAATCATTATTTATGTTTTTTTTTTTCATTTGTTATTTTTAATTGTATTTTTCTTCTGTTTTGGAGGGCAGGGGCTGGATACGGTGAGATTTAAATATTATGATTTAGGCCAGTGTGATAAGTGATACCCTAGGAATCGATCCTTTTACCTTAATGACTTTAGCTTGTACCATCTGAGCCCAAATCATCAACCTTTAATTTTTAACTCTCCCTTTTTTCTTTCTTCTTTTGTCAGAAAATGACCGTCCCACCTCTCTGGTCCCAGACCTCATTGACTACAACATGCCTCTTACTGCCACCTACCTGAAACAGATGAAGCTGCAGTGCATGACGGCCACTGAGAGGGTGAGTTTGCGCTTTTATCAGTGCACCATGAATGTCTCTGAGCTTAAAGCAAAGGAAGATTCAAGTGTCCTGATGGATCAGTCAGAATGTCATGTTTTCGTGTTTACTGGCTGCACAGAAAACATTTAGGTATTTTCTTTTTACTCACATTGGATCTGTGGAAGTCAACACTGGGCTAAAAAAGATATAAGGCATCCCATCCTGAAACTTATAGTTATCGATCAGTTAGAGTCATGCAGGGAGGAGGAGCCCTGTGTGAAACGAGGATTAGTAAATCCTCTGACGTCACTTGTAGACCACTCCCATGTGTGGCTGTGACAGGAACACTCAGGAACCACTGTCACTAAAGTGCAGGGAGCGCTCCTTGATGATAATAATGCCGACCCCACTCGTGCATAATTAGGATTATCCGGAACAATGACCCAGGCTGTGATTTGTGGGTGAGTACAAATTAACAAATGCTCGGTGTGTTGGCCGTGTCTGTGTGCAGACTGAGAATGAGCAGGGGGAATAATTTAATTATTAACCATCACAGCGGGTCATTTTAATGCTGTGGGAGACATTTAGTGTTTTAGCTCTGGCAGAAACTCCTGGACTGGCTCAAAGATCAGTCAAAAACATCTGATCTCTCCCTTTTGGTTTAGTCTAGTTGGTGTGTCACAACTGTTTACATGTTCTCCTGCAGAAGTTTGAAGGTTGTTACGACACAACTTCACCTCCCCCTCCCCTTCCTCTTCTATACATCTAACTGCATGAAAAAGATAAGTGCAAAAAGACTCTTTGAACAAGTTTTTACTGCAGATTACCATGATGATAAACCTTTATTTTACGATTGAGTTTGCACTCAGGCCCTCTTTTAAAAACACCCCTAAAATTCATGGAGGTTTATCATCATTTTAGAACAGAAAGCTGCTAACAGAGGAGGCAACAACACAAACTCCAAGGATGCAGAAAGAGTTTAAGACTCTGAGTAGTAAAAGTGCAATCTCTGAGCTGTCAACAAAACTTTGCTTTTACTCATAAAATCTGGCTGCGACTAAAAAATCTGCTAGAGAATCACACAAATGCCTTTTCCTGTTTTTATTCTGTTTGTACAAGAATCTAACACTTAAAATAAATAGTTTTCCATCCACATAAATAACAAACATGCTGTCCTCTTATCTGGTTGGACACTTGGGCTGATTTGATTATGCTCTTAAATATCTAAGTAAAGGTTACTGAGTGTTACAAGCTTAATTTTCTGTGACCTGGTCTCAGTTTGAAAAGTACATCCACTAATTTGTATCAATTATACATCTGCTTCAGGAGCATTACTGATGCTACATTTACTACTACTACTAGAAACTGTAATTATAACTCTCTCTCTCTTTCGCTCTCCCTCCTTCCCTCTCTCTCTCTCTTTTCCTCTTTCTCTCTTTAATGCTCCGTCGCTCACTTGGTACCTAATGGAGCTGTCACTGAGCATTTTGGTCCTCTTCAAAACCTCTCACAGAGGGACAAACAGATTCCCATGAGTTTAGGCCTATTTGTGTGCTCGTGTGGGGGGAATGATGAGATGACGAGATGTATTTCTGCTCTGTTTCCGTCACACACTCGTAGTTTTGCCCCCCTCTGCCAGCTGACACATGACGACGCGCATGCAGGCCAAAGAGAGGTTCTGTTACGCTAGCGTGATTTTACACCGGGGGCTCAGCGCTGGTCAAAATGTGTTTCCAGAGGATGATTTAATTTCTGCAGTTGGAAGCCAAAGCTTTTTGAATAGTTTGGGAGATTATTCTGCTCTCTGTTGCTAATCCTTACCCCCCTGGTTTACTCATACTTGTGTTACGCTACAACAAGCATCTTTAGGGTCTCTACGTAACGCAGTTAAAAATAGCAGCGCTCTGAGAAACATATTACTGCACAGGGAGCCTCCTGTGATTCTTTTTCCTCCTTTCTGCCGCACTTCAGGAGGGTTTGAGCAAGAAAATGTGTATCAACATGTAATCGCACATCCATTCATGACACAGTGTTTTTGGCTGCCTCTTAACCCTACTTCAAAGAGAGTCCTTTACAAAACCAATTCAGCCCATGTTTGGTGCAAAAATATCTCCAATTTAGTAGCTGATGATACGAGGCTTGTGTCAGTGTCTCTTTGCTGTCGCTGACAAATGAAATACTGTCACTGGGAGAAGGAAACAGAAGATTTTAGACCTCAAACTCACTTGATTTTTCATTGACTTTTATCTTTTATCACTTTCACTGACTTCACTTAAAGATAAGCAGAATAAAACATGACATATCTACGATCCATGATTGATTTTCTACTTTTCCAGTGTGTTAAAAGTCCTATTTGTGTTTAGCTTTGTGTCATTTTGCAGCTGTTACATCAACCGGATCTTTCTGAGAAGAAGACCCCATGTTTCTTTGAGGTTAAAGGCCAAATAAACCTTAGAAACTGAAAACTAACAGCCACAGATACAACTTTAATTCTGTTTAAAAGCGTGTCGTTATTGGATTAAAATAAGCCTTCAAAGTTTGAACCTGAAACATCCAAACACATCAAAACACTATCCTCTCCTCTCTTTTCCACCTTGTACTAAACTGAAACTTTGATGCTGCTCTCTCTCTCTCTCTCTCTTTCTCTCTCTCTTTCTCTCTCCTCAGGATGACAGTTCGATGAGCAGCGAGGACATGAACAGCGCCGAGCCTACATGGGTCGCAGCTGAGCAGCCCCCAGTGCCTGAGCCCAGCCCGCCTAACGGGGAGAGAGTCAGCAACCCCACAGCCAGCGTCAAAGAAGAGGACGGTAAGACATCAGACGTCTTATCACAGCCGTTGATATTTAAAGATGTTTTTTTTTTTTTCTTTCTTCATATTTTTGGTTCTTGAAGGTTCACTCGTTTCCCGGGATGGTGACAGGAGCTCGGTGTTACTCAGGGAACAGCTTGCCTCGTTCTTAGTGTCCTAATCCACACAAATCCACTCTTACAGGGGGTGGACACACCACCGCAGCCCCAATCCACCATGCACCCCTCTCTCTCTGGGTGTCGGCTTAGAGAAGTAGGACAAAGGCCGATGTTAACCCTCATAGATTATATAGCTCTATAGAAAAACACTATGAGTATATATATGACATACAGAAATAAAAACACTAACATCAGCAGGCTGAGGTAAACAGAGCTAAAAGGTTTAATTCAAACACACCAGGAAGTGAAGTCTCCCCTCCCCCATCAGTCCCTCCTCCTCATCCTCATCTCTTCCTCTCTTTGCCGTTAAAACTCCTCAGATTCCACCTTCTGCCCTAACTTTCATTTATACTGACAGCTGACCCCAATACCCACTTCCTTTATAATTTCACAGAGCACAACGTGGGACAGGAAGTCCCGCCCCCTGTGCCCCCCCTCCTTTAGTCATAAACAAACCGACATTAATATTGAATGATACAAACATCCACACTGCTCGTCTCTGTTCCCACTCCTCCTTCTCCTCCTCACCTTCCTCCTTCTCTGCCCAGATGACGACTCCTCAGAGACTGGCAGTGCCAACGGGCTGCCGGCCCTGACCTCCCCGGAGGTGCTGGCTGTGGGTGGGAACCCCCCAGATGGCGGGGCCCCTTACGGGGAGGTGACAGAGAACGGGCTGAGCGCTCCCCTGGACTTCAGCACCACCTCGCCCTCATCCTCCTCAGAGGATCAGCAGCCGGTCAATCTGAGCGACAGACTGCTGCCTGCAGGGAGCTCGCCGCAAAACCCCTACCCCGCAGAAGGCAACAGGAAGTACCCCGTCAAAGCAGAGTATGCCAACAAGGTGGGGACAGAGACTTTGTGACAATTCGATTCGTTGTCAGAGTTTGTCTGTGTAGTTTGTAATAATGCTGTTTCTGGTGTTTTTGTGTGTTTTCAGTCTCCGCCTTACAGCTCAGGAAGCTATGACTCTGTGAAAACCGAACTGAGCATGAGCGCAGAGGACTTGACCTCTGGTCGGGCTCAGATAATTGACGATGACGACGACGATCATGATGACCATGATGACAGCGACAAGATCAATGATGCTGAGGGGATGGACCCCGAAAGACTTAAAGCCTTCAATGTAAGTGACCTGCCTCCCTGCAGGGTGTTATGAAATATATATACAGAGAGAGAGAGAGAGAGAGAGAGAGAGCACAATACAGTCCAGATGGAGTGTTGTTGCTGCGCATAGATATCATACATAAATTCTCATATCAAGAGCCAATAGAGGGGAGGACTTGATCATCACTATTCACCTTATGAAAAGCAGATTCCTGATTTGAATGGAAATGAATAAAACAGTAGAGCTGCAAAAATGCAAACAGAAGTGAGAAAGCAAACAGTAGAAATATTGTCCTGAATATGAGCAATGACTCTGTTTCCAATCTCCTCTTTCCATCTCCTCCCCCTCCCTCTTTATCCTCTCTCCTTCCACTCTACCTCTAATGCTCCCCCATCCCCTGCCTCACTTCCCTCTCTTTTGTTTTCGCCTCTCACACCCCTCTCTCCCCCTCTCTCTCTCTCCACACTGCACCCCCACTCCATTTTTCTGCTCTACATCCCCTCTCTCCCCTCCCCCCTCTGCCTGTCTCTGTCAGATGTTTGTGCGTCTGTTCGTGGATGAGAATCTGGACCGCATGGTGCCCATCTCCAAACAGCCCAAGGAGAAGATCCAGGCCATCATCGAGTCCTGTAGCCGCCAGTTCCCAGAGTTCCAGGAGCGTTCACGCAAGCGCATCCGCACCTACCTCAAATCCTGTCGCCGCATGAAAAAAGGCGGCATTGAGGTACAAAGTGCCTCCAGTCATGAGCATAACAACATGTGTTTCATTTGCATTATGTGTAAACATTTCCCTGACCTCACTGCCAGATACGACCCACACCCCCTCACCTCACCTCCGCCATGGCTGAGAACATCCTCGCTGCTGCCTGTGAGAGTGAAACCAGAAACGCTGCCAAGAGGATGCGGCTTGATGTCTACCCAGCAACGGTAAATGATGTTTTGGAATTAACCCAGCAAGGATTCAGGAGTATACTTAGTATGCTACACATCATTTAAGTGAAAGTGCTGAAAATGAATGACTGTATCCCACACAAACTGAAGCGTTTCATGTCTGATAGGACGAGCCCGCCTCTGTTGACAAGTCCAACTCGAGGGACCCAGCCTCTGTGGCTCCGTCAGGGTTCACCATCTCCAGCGCAGCTTTCGCCCAAGACCAGCTCTACACCAACGGAGGCCTCAACTACAACCTGCGAGGTTACGGGACAGTCGGTAGCAACCAGCAGAACTCTGGTGCTGCACAGACTAACGGTGAGGAGCTGTTATCAGCACAACTCAGCAAGACGACTGTGGCTTTAAAAAGAAACGCTGATTCAGTCTATTTAGGAGAACAGTCTGAGTGTTATTTAGGGTTTCTTGGTAGTTGTTCACATCATTAAAAATATTCATATTCTCACATTTTAGATCATCCAAAGAACAGACTATTCTCTGTTTATCTGAAAGAAAAAAAAAACATCAATTGAAAGCAGCCAAAGCTTTGTTTTTGGATTTTCCAAATAACTGCTGAGTCACAGTGGAGCTGTGACGCAGCTAAATGTTGATGAGCAAGTTAGACAGTATAACTTCCAATCCATGTGGCCTTTAGTTCGATAAAATAATCCAGAAATCTATTTAGTGGCCATCATATGTTTTTTTTCTTGTTGTAAAGTGGTTCACATAAGCTGGAATCATCTAGAAATGCCTTGATTAACTAAAAATCAGCATTTTTTAGATACTTTTTATACTCAGTTGTACGATATAAGAATTTCCTGACATTCAATATTTTATGTAGGTCAAATGGTTCAGTGTGGCTCTGATGTGAGTGACTGAGAAAGCTGCATTTTCTTGACTGAGAGCATGAAATATCATTACGAGCATCTGCACCGTGTGTCAGCATGAAAGGCACGTCAGACTGGTTATGCTCAGTTTGACGTGCAGCTGTCACATGCGCGTTTGTGCAGCGTGAGCCTCCGTGGAGAGACAGACAGACAGACAGATAAGCAATGCCTCTGCTTTGACATGTCCACTATCAGTGATGACAGTGAGTCATTCTGTGAGACCACTTTGTAAACAAACACAATGACTTGTGCAAAGAGATGCTGCAAAACAGTATCAGGCAAGGGAGGAAACACTTCGACCCTCACCACACACCTCAGTGACAGAGACTTAAAGGGATATTCCAGCGTAAAATTAAGTTAGGGTCAAACACACCGTAACACTGAGTTAGACACCCAGTCGTGAGATGAATGTTGCTGATCGCTTGCTTCTCTACTTGTACCAACTTAAGTAACGGCCACGCAATAGCAATACAGAGAGCCACGCACTCAACCAAAAAGCCACTGTATAACCACAAATAATGCTCAGAACAGCACCTAACTTCATCAACAGGACATATAGGGTCCGAGCCATCAAACATCTGTTTAGCTTAGCCTGACTTCTTTAGCAAAGAGACTAAATACAACTCACCATCTCTCTTCCAGCAGCCGTTTGTTTGTAGCGAGACCTCAGGCCAGTCCATTACAGACTGCTGCGGGGTGACGCAGCTCAAGGAAGAACATTTATGATCATTTCTTTATCATTTCCTTTAAGTAATAATCATCATATTGATCATTTTGCTCTGCAGACGTGGTAGTTCTTCTGCCTTAGCGTCTCAGTCTGATTGCATTTCCATGAAGAAATTATCATAAATGTTCTTCCTTGAGCTGCGTCACCCCGCAGCAGTCTGTAATGGACTGGCCTGAGGTCTCGCTACTAACAGGCGGCCGCTGGAAGAGAGTAGGTGAGTTGTGTTTAGTCTCTTTGCTAAAGAAATCGGCCAAAGATAAAAAGATATTTGGAGGCTAGTGCTGTGGCTGGGACCCTATATGTCCTGTTGGTGAAGTTAGGTGCTGTTCTGAGTATTATTCGTGGCTATAGAGTGGTGTTTTGGTTGAGGTTTGTTTATGGCTCCTCAGACCGCTGTGTATTGCTATCGTGCGGTCGTTACTAAAGTTGGTTTAACTACAGAAACAAGCTGTCGGCAACATTCACCTCTTGACGGGGTGTCTAACTCTGTGTTACGGTGTGTTTGACCCTAACTTAGATTTACGCTGGAACATCCCTTTAAGACCCCTTTTTAATGAGCTGGTAAGTTTCATTACATGTGACCCAAAACATCAGAACAATTTCAGACCCACTCAAGCCTGTTAAACCATGCAAGTTCCATAATGTGAGAGGTATTCAGCTGCAGATATCTTGGAGTTGCATATATGTGCTCGTTGCAACAGCCAACAGCTCATTGGCATCAGGCTATGAGCAAGCACACTTATTCTGTAGCGTTAAGAAACCTGGCTAGTAAATGCACACCCCCACTTCAGTTTTACAAACATAATAGTACTGGTAGTGAACATGATGCTCTTGGATAAACACAGGAAATGTGTGAGAAACGTTAATGAGAAATCATCCTGTAGGTAGATCACCTCTGACTTTATCGATCCATAATCTTTTGATAGATAGCCTTCATAAAGCTACAATCTGAAGTAGACTCTCTATTCAGCCTTTTTTTTTAAATCAATTCAGCAGTAATTGGTTTGCTGAAATGCTGAACTGAATTTTGGCAAAAAAAAAACTCTTTACACCAGCTCTGCTATTGTGAGCATGTTGGCATGTTGAAGTCTTTCGTTAAGCTCAAGGCCTTTTTTGTGTTTGTTGAAGCAGAGACACTCAAGAGAGACGAAAAGAGATGCATTTTGTGGATTTTTTGGTAAATTACTGTCTTTTTTTTTCAGTAGTCATTGTGCGATTAATTGCTTATGAGCAAAGTTAGCGTTTAGGGATTTTCTTTGAAAGTATTTTGCACCCTTGTTGCTCTCTATCAAGATCATATATCTTTATTTTTGCCCCCAAAGGTCCCACAGATCTAAGTATGAAGTCAGTCGTCCCGAACTCCACCTCCTCCAGCTCCAACAGTCACGGTCAGGGAGGAGGCGGCGGTGGAGCGTCAGCCCAGCTCAGCCCTCCAGAAGTCACGGCGGTGAGGCAGCTGATCGCCGGGTACCGAGAGTCTGCAGCCTTTCTGCTCCGCTCCGCAGACGAGCTGGAGAACCTGATCCTGCAGCAGAACTGAGCCTACAGCCTGTCAATCATCTCTCCGTCACACATTATGGAGGCAGAGTTGTAATCAAGGACACAAAGGTACACGAATGAAACTGCAGTGCACAGTGGGTCCTGTGGGTACGATACCTTTACTTATTCCCACATGTTGATGTATTCTGACGGGCCAGAACGTGTCCCAGGCTGTTTATTTATGCATTTGGTTCACTTTGACCTTAGTGCCCTGTTATCTGTAGCCATTCATCCTCCATCCAGTTCATGTTACCACCTCGACCTCCATTCGTCTCAGGAAGTGATGATGTGAAAAAATGATCTACATCGTTAGGCAGGGAAGTTGAAGTGTTAGCTGAGAACTTAGCGCCAGATTCGGCTCATTTGTGCAGACTTTTTTGACGGATAGCAGTTAACTAGCAGTGGTGAAGCGTCGTTTCCTTGTTTCTACTTTTATAGAGATGTAAAATATGCTGTACAGTGGCACAATTTGATTCAATCTTCTCTCCAAATTTACTTCTGCTTCACTGGAAATCTGAAGCGAAATAGTTTTTCTGAAAATTTCACAGATGAATCGCTGCTAAATCCACCGACCTGCTAACCTCATCAGCCTCTGGAGGCGGTGGAAAAAAAAAAGGTAGAGTAAGGAAAAGAAACACAGGACGACAACTGACGGGGTTTCCCTGTAAATTCTGACAAAGAAATCAAATTATTGTGGTTTAAACTTTACCTCGCTCCTGCTCTGTTGGGGTGTTTTCCAGATTCTTTGGCATGTGGTGACCGAGAGACAAAGACCCATTATCCTGTGTGACTTTATTTCAGTTGAATTAATAGAAATATTTCTACCACAAGCAGTTTTTCACGACTCAAAAAGAAGAGAAGGAGGCTTTTAAGAAGCATGGGTATGCAAATTGAGGTCGCAGACACCTGTCAGGGAAAAAAGGAGATTAATATATTGTTTAGACTCGCGGTTTGAAGAACCAATGCTACTGGAGAAAGGTGCAATATCAAAGATAATCAGCGAAGAAACGGCTCTGCCTCACTCACTGAGCAATTTGAGGCAAATACAGGGAGGCATTTAACACGAATCTCCTCCTGCTGTTAAAAGAAACGATATCCCATGCAGCATTGTAGCCAATTTCAATGTTGTCGTTTGTGTGATCGTCATCGATAACCTCATGACTGAGGCACTTTCATGTATTTGGGATCCATAGAGATAGAAAGAAAACAGGACCTGGCAGAGACTCAGCGGTGTACGTCTGATTTTGAGAGTTTTTAGGTTCAAACAGACACATTTAGCCCACATGCATCCATTTCTGACGGTTATGTGAATCCAGCAGTATCACCATAATGTGCACACAGCTTTACTGGATAACAGTGAGTGTGTGTTTGGGCTCCTCAGACAGAAAGAAACTCCATCCACCTCTCCATCTGTACGTGTGTCTCATCCTCTCTGACCTCAGCGCCCTCTCTCTCATCTCCACTCATCGATACCACGTCTGAAAAACACACTGTTTGAAAAGAAGCAAGAGACAATCTTTGAAAAAGATGTAATCACATCACAGTTTACTCTCCCAGCTTTCTGCTCTGGCGTGTGTGTGTGTGTGTTAGTGTGTTAGTGTGTAAATGTACCTGTGTGTAAGTGTGTGTGTGTGTGAGGTCTGGGGGCACAGCAGAGCACTCAAAGCAGATCTAGAGCACAGTCTCACAACAGACACTTTTAACGGTGAGTCACTCGGCACAAAAACAGTGGTGTAAGTGTGTGTATGTGTGTGTGTGTGTGTGTGTTTTATTTCTACGTGATGTAAGTGTTATTGACAGTATGTTGATTTTTTTTTTCCACGTGTGCGTAAAAGTGGAGTGACCCAGTTTGTACAACATCAATCTGTGAAGATTTATGAATTCAGTCGGCTGAAACATTCCAAACAAGGACAATGACTCTTCACGCAGCCCCAAAAAGAGGCTCGCACCTTAATGACCTGTCAAAGTTTAGAGAGATATATTTCTGTATTTATCACAAATCTATCAAGTTTATCAGCGATTTATCATTCAGAGGCCTCATTCTCAAACTTCTCACCACTACCGCACCGCTCTGCAGTTGGATTTACATCAAAAAATATCCATTTTATTACCCATGTCATGATTGGGCTGCATCCCATTTACATTTAAATGATCTATTGCAAGTTTGGAAGCACTTTATAGCTCAGGATTAAGGTAACATAACACAGAGATCTGAGTGTGTCTTTACCTCATTTGGATTATCAGATTCAGTTGAAACACGTCGAGAACGGATCATCACAAAGGATGATTCAAAACGCGGCTCCCGGTCTGCTTTAATGTCAATGATTTAAAAGAGGACAGAGCTCGTGTTTGGAGCTCAGATTGAACTCGTCAGAGAGTGAAGTCCACGGTGTTTCATAAAGCGAGGTGACGAGCGGAAAGCCTGAGTCAAACCAGGATGGGTCTGTTTCATAAAGCTGGTTTCGAACTAATGTGAGACATCAAAGTTAAATTTGATATCACGACTTCGGTCATTAATGCAACGTGAAAAGCAAAAAAAAAAAAGTCATTAAAAAGGTGCAAATCAATGCAGTGACAACCTTTAAATAACTGAAGCTTGAGCTGTTTTCTTGCTCTGATGAGCCTGCAAGGATTCATCACCTGAACGAGCTCTTCTTTACTTCAGTGTTTTGGCCCTTTTGCTGTTCTTGAAATTTAACAAGTTTTAGCTTAATTTAACTCAGAAGCAGTTGAACCATTTCTGCTCAGCACCAAACCACAAACAGATCAAGTTAGCAACTAGATTTTGACCGCAGCGGTGCATTTACAGCTAAAGAGTCGGATATTTTCATGGTAGAAATCAAGAAGAGACCCAAAAAGACTGAGTATAACTGTAAAAATTCATACACATTATTCTCTACAGTGTTTGATTTGCAAAAAGGAACTTTTGCACACTGTTTCAACTGCTTTCTGCTGCCCCCTAGTGGCTAAAAAAAATACACAAGTTAGTCTGAGTTTGATGGTTGGACTTTGTGGCACAGCAGCCTCACTCTGCTGGAGTGATGGTTCTATATTGAGTAAAATTAAAGTAATAAAATTATTGATTTTAAACATAGATGTACAATCACCGTCAATGTAAAATGCTACATGTGCCTGTCCAGCCAAGAAATCTACCAATTCTGTTTACATAACATATATAACATCAAATTTAACAGTAATAAAGAATTAAAAATTGATCAGAATTGTGAAAGTTATTCTCTCTGTGGGTTCATAAAGAGGCCAAAGTCAGTTAATCTCAGCTTTTATCCCAGTTTAAAACGACACAGATTTACTAAGATGTCTGGTTTTAAAATACAACTTAACAGGCCTAATTTTTCTAAAAACTGTGACTCTGTTTAGACTCCACCTGAAAACTACCTGGATAAAATAGAGTCTTTTTTCCAGATCAGCCTCCTTTATGAAACAGATCCTGACTTGTTGACGTTTTACGCTGAAAATCCTGCTCTATGAAACGCCCCTCTGGACTAAAACAGACGTAATCATAGATGTACGTGGGACCCGAGTCCCCACACATGTCTTCCTCGTCTCGTTTAGTTCCTGCAGCCACAGCAGATCCTCTTCACTTCACGTCTAACTCAGTGATTTCATGTCGATCTCGTCCACATCTAGCTTGCAGATTTGTAAAACTGTCTTAAGTCGACGCTGAGCAACATTTTTAGCTGTTTGCTGGAGTTACTGTGATCAACGACAACGACTGAGTGTTTGTTGTCGTGTTGTTGTTTTTGTTTTTCTAATGATGCCCAATGGATTTTTCTCTTTGTATTGACTGGACAATGTAATCTATTGGTGTTGATTAAAATGCCCTGGTAGCTTGTGGATTGCTAAAGTGGTCAGATAAATGTACTGTATAGCTGTACAAAGAGTGATAAAGATGTTTTAAACCTTTCTTTTTTCTGTGGGTACAGCACTGTTTAAAAAAATCAAAGTGGTTTTAGCCCTTGCCTGTTTTAACTTATCATTTGGTGGTGGTCTGTATTTCTTATTGTTATTTATATTATTTCAATTGTTGCCTCTCCTGCACTGATAAGAGACTGTAGCTCTGTGCAGGAGGTCGTACTGTAAACCTGTGTGAAGCTTTGTAATTCTCCCCTCTGGTTTTGGACTCAGTGAAAGTGTGATGTTTACATGTACAGTTTTTCAGAATTTTACGTTCTATTCGGGCTAGTTTCTGTTTTTTCTCCCCCCTCTCCTCAATCTGTGTACATTTTGCCCAGATGATTTTCCTCGTTTTCTTTCTGTCGTTTCATTACATCAGACGAGACCTCTTTGGCCTCTTGGTCACAGGGTCAGAGTGTGCCATGGTAGGCTCGGTGTTGTGGTGGCTTCCAACATTTTTAAAAACTTAATCTTAAGGAAAAAAAAAAAAAAGGGAGCTTCTTCACAACTTCTCAAAGTGGACCAGCAAAGATTTATTAAGGATCAAGAGGACTTTAATCAGCTGTTTTAGAAAACTATCGTGGCCTAAATGGAGATTGGTGGATGTTGGTACATTTATTAGACTACATTAAGTGCTCAGATTCTTTCCTTTCCCGGCTTTTGTCAGGAAAACTCCTTGTCCTTAACCTGACTGGTACCCTGAAAAGGTACACTTTGACCTGTTGTAATATCTCCTCGGTATAACACAAAAGCCATTCCCCTCTCCTGGCCTTTTAAGGGGAACCCATAAACCTCAGGAAATACTGAATCTCCGAGTTTAGTTTTTATCCGCTGATTTCTTCTGAGATGAAACAAAAACCATTAACATTTATATGAGATGTCTATTGTTTTGTACATTTATCATTGTGATTTAAAAGTGGAGCTTTTTCCAGTACCTGTGACTTAATATTTTGATTTGACTTTTTTGGAGTGTTTATAGGTATGGATATTTATTATTATATGTGAAACTACAAAAAGACAAAAGAAAAAGGTTGAACCTGTTTCATTTGTATGTTTCATGCAAAACTGTCCAGGTGAGATTCTCTC